CTCCTAATAACTGTTTACACCTGTGGTTATTGAGGTACTGAGAAGGTAAGGAACTTGCCTAACATCCCATTGTTGGCGAAGCAGAACAACGCGGTAATTCAGGCAGGTGAGGCCGTAAGTGCATGCTCTGCTTTATTATCTGCATTTGCGGCACTTTTCAACCTGTCTTAGATTGGAGAAATGCAACAAATACTGGATTGACCATTATGTGCAAGGAGCTATGTTAGGTTCTGGCTTCATACAGATACACCTACACTGTAGTAGAGAGAAGAAACTGTAAACAACTGATTGCACAAGAGACCTATTACAGCAGGGAAATTCCATGGAGAGCACAGAAAGCCCGCTGAGAAGGTAAGAAGAATCTCACCCAGTCCAAAGAAAAGGAAGACCTTGACGAACAATTAGGAATGGGCCAGGCCAGACGGGGGCAGGAGAGTGCACAGGCAGACGCGATGGAGAGAGAAGACCTGCGGTGAGTCTTGTGTACACTTGCTCCATTCCCTTACTTGGTTAGGTGCCATTTCCTCTCCCATTTTTACATTCCCTAGAGCTGGTGTCAGCCAACTATGGCTAGACACCTGTTTTGGTAAACAAAATGTTATTGGAACCCAACTGCATTTTTCTGTTTCCATAGTGTCTAGGGCTGCTTTTGTGACATGGCAGAGGGGTTTCAGCAGGGACCATTTAACCCGCAAAGCTGAAAATATTTACTAGATAGTCTTGTGCAAAGAGTTTGCCAATCTCTGCCCTGTAGCAGCATCCACAGTACTAAATATGCAGGAGACATTCAGTGATTTTTTATTTTAAAATTTTTAAAATTTTTTAAAATTATATTTGTTTTTTACTCTACTTCTATGTAGTTTTTAAGGGGATTTTTAATAAATACACAGTTTAAAAGCAGCCAGCTGCAAAGGACCACAGATTGTATGATTCCATGTATATGGGCTGTCCAAAATAGATAAATCTGTGGAGGCAGAAGGTGACTTAGTGGTTGCCTGGGGCCAGCAGAAGGAGGGAGAGTGGAGGCGCAAAAGGTGAGTAAGGCATTTATTTGGGGATGATGAAAATATTTTAAAATTGATTGTGGTGATGGATACACAGGTCTCTAAATATGCTAAAAATTACTACATCATATATTTGTGATAGATGAGTTGTGTGATATGTGAAATTATATCTCAACAAAGCTGTTATTGGAGAAAAAGTATGCTTTTGTTTTGGTGATGGGGAAGCAGGTTTGGCAGATGCGAAAGGAATATCCTTATGTTAGTACAGTTAATTAAAAAAAAAAACATAATTGCAACAGAGCACACTTGAGTCTGACCTTCCTAGATACCCAAATGGGAAATATTCAATAAAATACTGTCTAGTATAAAAAGCACTGAACAACTAATGCTAAACGACAGATTTCCTATTATCCTGAGCTCTAGAAAACTACTATGTGGGTTTTTTCATAGGGTTCACAAGCAAAATGAGAGCCAGAATCCCAGCAGATGGTTTTACAGAAAGTAAAGTACACCAGTGACTGTTTCTTATGTTGACTGTTAAGGAAAGCCAAGGGCTCAGAAATGCTTTCGCCAATTGTCTTGGCCAGTGTTGATCAACAACTTTCTGGGATGAAGAAAATGTTCTGTATCTACAGTGCCCATAAAGCAGCCATTGCCCTCTTATGGTTATTGAGCCTGGGGAAACGTGACTAGACAACTGACTATAATTAAAATTAAACAGTAATTTAATTAAATCCCATTTCAGTTCATTTAAATAGCCACAGGTAGCTAATGACTGCTATATTAAACTGAGCAGGTCTAGAAAATATGGACAGGATACTAGAGCATTAACCACTGAGACATAACTAAGCAAATTTTGTTGTCCAAAAAACCTGACAATTCTTAGTGACAGTTTAAAAATGCAATGGAAAACACATTTACTTTGTAGTCATAATGGTCTAAGCTAATCCACTAGTGACAGGAAGTTGGCTCAAAGTTATGCATTCTATTTGTATGCAAATAGGGTTATTATCAGTAAATCTTATTTCTTTCTTTTCTTTTTCCTATTTATGTTAGCTGGGAAACTGTTCACCTGAAAACACGATCTTCAAAAATAACCTCTCCATTCCCACACGAGCACCAAAACAGCATAGAAATATCAAAAGGCCCAACTAACTTGTGTTCTGCCTTAATGAATCAGTGTGAAAAAAAAAAGTTGGAAGAGCTAAGAGTGGTGAATGGGACTGAACCATAGAAATCTGATATTTGAGCTGGCTGCTCATAGTTGAAGGTGGGGGTGGAGGACAGACATTTAGTTTGTGTACTTTCAAAGCTCGGATAAACAAGGGAAAGAAAAGTAAATATGAAGACCAAGTGTCATTTAGGAGAGGCTTCAAAGAGACTTTGAATCCAGTGTGGCATTAAACTCTAAAACAAGTGAATGGTCAACACATCATCTTGTGTGAGTGAGGCAATCAGAAATGGACAACACATCTACAAAAATCTACATCTGTATATGATGAGACTCTACTAAAATAGAAACATATGAGCGTTTTAGTGACTTTAGTGACTATAGATCCAAAAATATTTAATTGGTTCAACTTTACTAATGTGTTTTTGGAAAAATAAATAACATTTACAAAATCCTCACTTGAATAACAGAAAAGTTATTCAAGTTAAACATAACTTTGAGGAGAAAGTATCTAACTCATTTGATGTAATATTGGCTAACAGCTGGTATACACGAAGCTAGCTTATGAATAAACTATATTAAATTCAATTTAAAACATCTTCAACATAGTGTATCCCCCATTCTATACCACTGAACCACTAAAGATTAGAAAAGAACATTAACTAATTTAACTGGATTACATGGCAATGCAAGCCAATCCATGAGTCATAATCTGACAAAAAAAAATCAAGGGATGTTTATCAACTGGGTTGCTTCCCTAAGAAGTGTATTTATAGTACAAAGGGCTTTGATTTGTCCTTCTGAATAAGATTTGGTTATCACAAACTGAGAAGTGAGGCTAAACATAGCAATGGGGTTCTAAAACCTACATATGCCAGAATATTTGGAATTTATATATATTTTGAGCTAAACCGTGTATTTCTGTCCCTTTGTAATAGCTTTACCAGGGCATTTAGCTTGTCACTTTACTTGATTTCTTTGCATGTTTATATGCCCACCATGAACTCCTCAAGGAAAGGGGCCTCAAAATATGTCAGAGCTGCTGTGAGCACTTTACAAAGGACTAGGAAATTAGATTGCTGAAATAATTATAGAATCTAATTTCCTTTTAATTGCATTCTTTAGAACAGGGACAGGAAGTCATAAAATTGGCAGACGGGAGCATGTAGTGCTCCAGAGCATGGGCTGCAGAGTCAGAGTGCAGGCTCTGCCCCTCAGCAGGTGTGTAACCACGGGCAAGCCTGGGTGTCAGCCTCCGCATCTGGAAAATGGGTATAATAAGAATGCCCACCACAAACGGTATTGTGAACAAGAAATGTGAAGACATATATGAAGCTGTAGCATGGTCATTGACACATACCAAGTGTTCAATAAATGTCTGCTATCAGAGTATTGTTAAACATTTGAAAATTGGTAAACATTTATTCCATTTTTGTTTCATTATTGCTAAAATAAATCATAATTTCATCTTCTTCCTAAATTGGCTTCTCTCTGAAACTCCCTCGGAGAAAAAAAAAATACTAGATATTTTCAGAATCAACATATGGAATTGCCCATACACAATTTTTGTGGGCACACAGCATTCAAAAAGCACTATTTCATGCCCACATTCATGCAGCATGGCTGAGGAAAAGAACCCAGATTTTTAAAAGTGTATTCTCAGTTCCAAATGGCTGTGAATCAGAAGCATTTGTAACTTTCTACCTCTCCTAACTGCCATACAAAAGAATGTCCATTCAAATATTCAAGTATTCATTCATTCATTCATTCAAATATTTATTGAGCCCAAATTGTATTCAGTTACTGTTCTTGATGCTCATGATATATGGTGGATAGATACACAAAGGTGCCTGCCCTTGCAGAGCCTACATTCCAACATAAAGCCAAGTTCACCTGAAGTAAAGCACTTACTTCGTCATTTGCTTTATATCAAACAACATAGTGTCTCATTCATTATATCAGACTCTATATTGTTAATAAAAACCCTTACATTAAGGGAAGGGAGAAGAAATGTGTGGGAAATATCAGAAAGGGACACAGAACATAAAGACTCCTAACTCTGGGAAACGAACTAGGGGTGGTGGAAGGGGAGGAGGGCGGGAGGTGGGGGTGAATGGGTGACGGGCACTGAGGGGGACACTTGACGGGATGAGCACTGGGTGTTATTCTGTATGTTGGTAAATTGAACACCAATAAAAATTAATTTATTAAAAAAATAAACTAAAAAAAAACCCTTACATATTTTTTCTTTCTTTACATTTCTGTTTTCCCTAACCTGCCCTTCTGCAACAGAAACTGAATATAATATCCCTCTCAGATACAAAGCAGATACTTATTAAAGCTAAAAACAAAATTGCAATAATGCAGCAGATTATTTTAAAACTATGCTGAATGGCAATAATTAGCTTTATTCCCACTCTCTGGTAGCCAGAAATATGGTAGGAAAGTAATTTTATATATATCTTTTTAAAAATGTTTTGCTACTACAGACAAAAGTGCCCTCCATGGATACTAGTCAGCAGTTTTACTTTCTTCCTCATAGAAGGATGCATACCCATGAAGCCCTGAAATAAAGAATTTTTGGGGGGAATGGGTTTTGTTTGGATATGACTTTCTTTCAGCTGAGTGAAAACACCACTGGATTTATTAAATAAGGAGAATTTCAAAGTTAATGAAACTGACATTTATGAGAAAAGCTAAACTAAAATGGCAGGATAAAGAACACAGAAAGAGAAAGTCATTGGATTATCTTGAGCTGCAATGAAAGATGAAAAAAATGTTTTAAAATTCTGCACACATGTCCTATTGACCAGGATCCTTTTTACCTGGCTGCCATGAGATCCAGGAGATGCTGCCACCGGTCATTAACCTTTCCGAGTTTGTATTCAATCTCAGAGGCTTTGCTTTCATGGCTGGCTCTAGCAAGTCGTTCTCCCATTTGCTGGAGCTGTATTTTGTTCTCTTGGGCAACAGCAATTTCCTCTTGATAATCCTGCATAATAAATAGCAATCACGGAGATCAGAAATCATATTTTTAATGCATTCAGCCTGGCTCTACTAGAAACATGATAATTACTATTTTCTATTGCTTGGAATAGTTTAGACATGAGGAATACTGTGTGACTATCAGTCTATGTACACAAGAATTAGTGGTACCTATTATTTTCAGTATGTGCATAGACTCTAAATGGAATTTTCAAAGAGATTTTCTTAAAGAGAATTGAGATATTTTTCTTTACTTAAAATGGGCATTAAAAATCAATAATAGTATATAAATAGAAATAAAAGAAAAAGCTTGAAGGATTTTAATGCTGGGAAATTATACCTTATTTTTATAATCATCAACCTGGTGTTATATTTAGAATCAATCCTTATAGTTGCTAGGAGGCTTAGAATATATGTGTGTGTGCCTGTGGGCAATGCACAGTTATATATGTGCAATTGACATATATGTGCATTTACATGTAAATGTATATTATGTGTTTCTGTTATTTGTGCAGAATGCTTTCAAAAATAATACTTTCATTTTAATGAGCTATCCTCTATACAATGTCAATATTTTACAAATAAATCAATGGAAAATTAACTCAAAAGAATAATAACCATTAGTCTTAGGGGATCAGTGGGTCTCACACCTTTTTCATTTATCCAGTATTCACTCCTCTTAAAGATTGTTTTGGATAGGGAAACACTGGCTTCATATGCAAGACAGAGGCCACCAATGGTATGGTCTAAGTGATGATGAATGGACAGGCCCTGTGCTCCTCAACCCTCACCACCTGACCAATGATCCTCTTACTCTTGCCACAGTGACAGAAGCCAATCTTCAGAATTACTTTTTCTTCATTTTGGAATCAAACTTCTGTCATGCCGCATATATTATCTTAACAAAATAATATACAAAGACAGCTTAGAGGGTCATGGGTATTTTAATGCTCTCTTGCTCTAAAGTTAGTATGGCAACAGGGCTATCCTTTCAAGTCAGTTATCAAAGCAAGAGACCTCTAAAAATGGGAGAAGCCAGTGTAGTTTTATTCTATCTTGGTGTTGAGTGCTCTTTTTAGGCCCAGAAACCCCACCCTACCTCACCTACCTTCCATTTTATGTTACTTCACCACAGTGGGATTCAATGGCCGATATGCTAGATGCACTCACACCATGGAGGCAAGCTCATAGAGATGTCTTTTTAAATCTCATAATTCATTTTATAGACAAAATAGTATAGCTAATATTTTAAAGATTATTTCTGACATTGTGCCAAAAAGTAAAACATAATTAGGTGAAACACTAAAGGTTTTCTAAATTTTTTTTAGTTTTTCTAAATTTTGAATTGTAATTGTATTTTGTCTAAGAGAGAGTTTTTTCCACACCCCCAAAATATGCATCTTAAATTTCATGAAGAAAATCAATAAGAATATAGATACACTTATCCAAAATTTATTGTATAGCAAGCTTCACTGTAATACCTATAGTACATTGTGTCTGGTAGAGCATTCCCTGATATCCAGAAATTATTACTGCAAGCTATTAGCAGATGTTATAGTGAAATCTGTATTATCTTAGTTCACATTTTAAAGGTTTACCATATCAATGCTTATTGCTAGAATTTGAACATTTTAAGTGGAAGTCTTAAAGTTATACTGCATGCTGACACTGGAGTTTGTTTTTTTTTTCTCTTTATGTGTGTGCATGGATAAAGATAGTTTTTCTTAATAATTATTTATATTTATTTTAGAATGAATAAGGCTATAATCCATTTATTCAGTAATGACTGAGTACTTATAAGAAGCTCTGAGTTCAGGAGATACAACAATAAACAGACAAAGACACTTCCAGCAAAGCTGACAATCTAGTAGGGCATCTACTGTACAGAGACAAAAAATAAGTAAAGAGGGAAAGTATGGTGGAAGCCAGAGAGTGATATGTGTTAATAAAGAACATAAACTAAAATAAAAATGATTAACTGTTCAAAATATGGAAGCACTATTGACACCACCAAAAACATTTTTAAATGCTAATAAATTTGGTCAGCCCAACAGAGACATGAAAAATGTTCTAGAACCAGATGATATATAAAATAATTTAATAGTCAAGTCATACATAACTTGAAAATAATATGAAGTAAAATCTCAGGGAGGTTTTCATTCTTTTTTACCTTAAAATTTATTTATTTATTAGAGAGAGAGCCCACAAGTGGGACAGAGGGGGAAGGAGAGGAACAAGCAGACTCCATCTGAATGAAAGCCCAAAGCAGGGCTTATCCCATGACCCTAGGATCCTGACCTAAGCTGAAATCAAGAGTCTGACACTCAACTGCTCAACCAACTGGGGTGCACAGGGAAGTTTTTGTTCTTTTTTTTTTTTTTTTAAGATTTTATTTATTTATTTATGAGAGACACAGACAGGCAGGCAGAGAGATAGGGCAGAGGGAGAAGCAGGCTCCCTGAGGGGAGCCCAATATGGGACTTGATCTCAGGACCCCGGGATCACGATGTGAACCAAAGGCAGACAGACACTCAACCACTAAACCACCCAGGCACCCCAGGAAAGTTTTTATTCTTGCAATTGTCTGTGCATAGTGTTTTATAGAGAAAATGTCAGTTTAATGAATCCTAAAAATTTTTTCTTTTGGTTCCTCTCTAGTGATTTTACCTCTTTAAAAACAAACAAACAAACAAACAAACAAACAAAAAAAAACAGGACACCTTGGTGGCTCTGTGGTTAAGCATCTGCCTTTGGCTCAAGGCATGATCCTGAAGTCCCTGGATCAAGTCCCACATGGAGCCTGCTTCTCTCTCTGCCTGTGTCTCTGCCTCTCTCTCTTTCTCTCTCTGTGTCTCTCATGAATAAATAAATAAAATCTTAAAATAAAAACAAAAAAACACAAAAGAAAACTAATACATATAAATGATTCCTTCTGAACAGGTAGCTAAAACAGGAAAATACTGAACATTTATCAGCAGATAATTTACTTCATCATATCCATATATATTGTATATAAAGGAGGCCTTTCCATGCAAGTTTATTTTGTATTAAAAAGATAAAACATTTAAAAGATAGTACTCCTTTTACAGGAAAGTAATTTAATAATGAGTAAAACCATATTTTATACCTGTTAAAAGTACACCTAAGTGTTATGAAGAGTAAAAATATACATAGTTAGGAATCCTGTACCTTCTTGAGCTTTTCTATCATATCTTCAATGAGGATGTCTCCATTTTGAGAAACTTTGCTTTCCATCTGGGTCAACCATTCACAAAGCTCCTTGTTCTTTTCACTGAAGACTGCCCATTCATTCAATCTTTCACTTACTTGCTGCCGCCTTAAGGAGAGCTGAAAAGTTTAAATGGGAAAAAATGTAAAAGGATAATCAGAGTACAACTTGTACCCTGGGTCGCGGGGGGTGGGGGGGACCAATAAACTGAGTTGGGTGGAGGGAAATAAGCAACAGTTGTGCATGTCTTTAGGTACTGTTCCCTGAGTTTGAGTCCCAGGAGGGATCTCCAGCAAGCTTTCACAACAAGGACCTGCTATGAAATGCCAGTGGGAGGAACCCCACCCTGTATTTCCACCCCTCTAAAGAGCTGCATGCACCTTCATTTATTCAAGGTTCCAAGCAATCAAGCCTCACACTGAAATTAGTTCTATGCAGATTTCTACAGCAATATTTGTTTTAAAGATTTTATTTATTTATTCATGATAGTCACACAGAGAGAGACAGAGAGGCAGAGACACAGGCAGAGGGAGAAGCAGGCCCATACAGGGAGCCCGACGTGGGATTCGATCCTGGGTCTCCAGGATTGCGCCCCGGGCCAAAGGCAGGCGCCAAACCGCTGTGCCACCCAGGGATCCCTCTACAGCAATATTGAATGTACTTTTACTAAAAGATAAGGAAGAGCTAGGAAAGAGGGAGGGATAGAAAAAGAAGGAAGGAAAGAAGGAAAAAGGGGAAAAAAGAAAAGGAAGAAAAGGGGAAAGGAACAAAAGAAGGGAAAGAAAGAAAAAAGGGAGAGTGAATTGAATCTCAAGTGTCTGGAGAGTGGAGCAGAGGCGCACAGTGCAGAGAGGTCTGAAGTGGAAGACGGATCCCTGATGCTCAGCTCTATACCGATCCTTTTACTTTGAGCAAGTTCTCTTACTTCTATGCCTGCTTTCTTTTTTATTTATTTACCTTTGTCTTTTTCATTTCCTTCTTTTGCATAATGGCTTTATTGAGATATAATTCACATACCATACAATATTGCTTAGCATAATGTTTTCAAAGTTCATCTATGTTGCAGCATGTGTCAGTATTTCACTCCTTTTAATTGTTGAATGTATCCCATCAGATGGATAGACAACCTTTTATTTACCAATTCATCTGTGGATGGATGTTTTGGTTATTTCCACTTTCTGGCTATTATGAATAAGGCTGCAATTGTACACTTGTAGACAAGTGTGTGTGGAGACACGTGTTTAGTTGCCTACGGGGTACATACCTATGAGTAGAATTGCCGGGTTACACGTTGACACACTATAGAGTGTCTACCAATGTACATTCCCACCAGCAGTAAGGTATTCATTTCTCCACATCCTCACCAACACTTACTATTTATCTGTCTTTTTGATTCGGTCATCCTAGTGAATGTCAAGTGGTATCTCATTGCTATTCTGATTCATATTTCTCTGATGACTAATAATGCTGAAAATCTTTTCATGTTTCTTGGCCATCTGTATATCTTCTTTGGAGAATTATCAGGTCAAATCTTTTGCCCATTTTTGAATTGGGCTGGGGTTTTTTGTTTTTTTCTTTTTTAGCATTGAGTTGTAATAGTTCTTTATGCTTTAGAGATACAAGGGGTCTGTTTCTTATCTCTAAATCTAGAATGTTCCCAAAAAAAACCTAGAACGTTCCTTTCCAGTATTTTAAAATTTTATGATTTCATAATACCCTTGTTTTTGCAGTGCTGCTTACGATACTAAGAAATATTTTTAGTTAAGCCAAGCTACCTGTTAGCAAAATATAATGTGATTTGACTGGCAAGAAGATGATCCTTTTTTATAGATGTTCTACACACTCATGTTGATAATGCTAGACATTCCACCAGTCATCTCATCGCATTAAACACCTACTTCAATTTTCTTTTCTTCCACCACCATTTTATTATGAAAAACATTAGACATACAGAAAAGTTGAAAGAACTGTAATGGTAAGCAGCCATAATATACTCCCTAGGCTCCAAAACTGTGAACGTTTTGCTACATTTTGCTTTAATACATATATTCCTTTATCCATCAGTCCATTTTACTTTGTGATGCACTTCAAGCTAATTTCCTTTAAAAATGAAAATATTTCTAAGGTACCTTACACTTTCTAGTTAGCAATTCTGCCTCAGATTGGCTCTGCTAATGATTAGGTAAATAATAGTCAAGGTCCCACATAACCCAAAATGTCTATGATTCTATATCTGAGAAAATACCTGGTAATTAGGCTTTGAGAGCAGGTTCCCTATGCCTGGGCTAGCCCTCATCATAGTGAGGTGCTCAGATAGTGGGCCCCATAACCTAACATAGTTTCTAAAATGTCACCATTACAAATTCATTCTTTTGAATTATGATCTTTTAAAATACAAATTTCTCTGAGCAGGGTGACACTGATGCATCCATTAAATATTTCCCCATTAGTAAAAATCAGCTTGTTTTCTTTGAGGCAGAAAAATAAAGAACAACCAAAAAGCAGTGAATTTACTTGGGGTGGGTACTGGTAGGAATGGAAAAGGCTAAGAAAACATAGGTTAAAAAGTTTTGGAGACAAAGTTCACCTACAATAAGCTATATCAAGACAGCGCTGCAGTTAGGAGCACAATCCTTCCAGTACTCCCTTACCTCTTGAACTCTGATAGCAGAGTGTATTCTGATCTTCTACAGGAATGCTACGATTTGGAATTTTGTAGTGGATATGACTTCTTCCCTCTCAATCACACAGCATCAGAGTCAAGAGTGTGGCTGGTCATTAAAATTATGGTTCAACTGATGTCCAAACTGAAACTATATTTTCATAATTGGGACCTCTCAAAGCAACTGTTTTCTAAGAAAAGACTAAAAGCCCCCACCCTTCAGATTCAACATTAATAGTTCTTGCTATATGTATCTCTTTCTTTCCTCTTTCCCCAAATCTTGGCCCTGAGTAAGGATGAATTCTCGGACTTTCCTCAACAACATCTTCAGGGAAGATGACCACATTATAGAAAAATATTATCTATTTCTTTGAGAGGTGGGTTTTATTTTTTAAATTTTTTAAATTTTTTTATTTTTTTTTTGAGAGGTGGGTTTTATTACCCCCATTCCAGAGAGAAGGTTAGACAAATTTGAGATATTTCTTTCTAGTCAGTATGAGACAGAATGAGCAAAGCTTGAGTCTTTGATAGAGGCTGTGATATAATGCTATGATCAAATATCCAGAGGTACCTGAGATTCAAAAACAGTCTCTATTACTTACTAATGATATGACCAGGGCAAGGTTACTTATCTTCTCTATGTCTCACTTGCTTCATTTATAAATGAATTTTACATCTGTTCCAAATTTCATTAAGCAAATGTTTATTGTTTGCAGTAAACAAGTATCTACGATGTGCCAAGCACTGACATGTGTCCTGGGATAATAGGCTTATAATAGAATGCAAACAAGAGGGATCCCTGGGTGGCGCGGTGGTTTAGCGCCTGCCTTTGGCCCAGGGCGCGATCCTGGAGACCCGGGATCGAATCCCACGTCGGGCTCCTGGTGCATGGAGCCTGCTACTCCCTCTGCCTGTGTCTCTGCCCCGCCCCCCCTTCTCTCTGTGACTATCATAAATAAACCAAAAAAAAAAAAAAAAAAAGAATGCAAACAAGAAATTAATTTAAGAAAATAACCAGTACAAGCTAAAGATTTAACAAAAGCTGGCCATTAACATACTACTCCTCCTCCTCCTCCTCCTCCTCCTACTCCTACTATGGGACATCATTTGAGTTTTTGTTTTTTGTTTTTTTTTTCATCATTTGAGTTTTTATCATTTTTTCCACCTTGACACCCATGTATTCAATACCTCTGCTGAGCAGCTTGCATATGTATCTCTGGTACTTATCACACACCATGGAAGTGTTACTTTCATTTGCTCACTGTAAAGCAACAGCTGAAAGAAGAAACAGGTAGACCACAAACACTGCTTGCAAAGCAGCACAAAAGCTTCTAAAAAGATTTAAATTCTCAGTGGAGACAGTATTTACCTTTTAGTTTGTAAAACTAGTGTTTAGGCTATATGATAAGTGAACATTACCACCCCTTTCTTCGGGTTTAACTGAAACCCTCATATTACTTATCAGTTTAGCACAGATTTATGTTTTCTCAAGAGTATAAACACTCTGCATTGTTAATAGCTGACAAGTACCAGCTGAAACCTCCAGAGTGTGAGGCAGCTGAACAGGAAATACATCCTTTTCTACTTCAAATATTTTTGCCTTGACAATTTAAAAAACACTGAGCAATTACAATGATGATGTATTTATATCTCAACGAGAAATACACACGGATCTATAAACCCAAACAGGAATAAAAACAAATATAAGCTATGTGCTGAATACAGACACAGCAAAATGTTTGGGGAGTTTATTTATGAACAGTATACTTTTATACATCAACTCCCCTCTGAAACATTTACTTACACCGTGTCTTCCTCCTCCTCCTAGGTAGTCCCAATTGCTCCTGCCTTCTCACCCACTGCTTCAATCGGAATATGAACAGACTACCGGCTCTTTAATAGCGGATAATGTCAGGTTTAAGTAAAGTTTTTAACTTTTAAAATGAGACCATAGGCTCAAGCTCATTTCCTTTTGTGGTTTCATACTTGACAGAAGAACTCCGGAAACACTAACTCAAGAACTAGTAACTAATTTATATTCTCACTTATAGTTATATCCTGGCACCTTTGGCATGACTACTCCGAACTTTAAAATCTCACTGGATTAAATAGTATTTTTAGGTTGAAGCAATGTGAGATCAGTATGCTTTAGCTTCATGCCTTAAGACATTCAATTTAGAAAGTTTCCAGAAACTATGTATTCAATGTACTTCCTTTTTTTTTTTTTTTACTTAAGTCTTAGCCCACTCACAGGTGCAAGGTATTCATCTCTTCATGGCATATCATATGATCAATAGCATCCTTCAAAATGTATTTCCAAACGGATATATCTAAGTCTGGTGAGCAATTTTAAACATGGAAACTTTGGCCCCCTTTTTTCTTTTTCCAGCTTTACTAAGATATAATAGACATATCACACTGTGTAAGTTTAAGGTGTATAGTGTGGTGACCTGATGCACATTTATACTGTGAAATGATTACCACAAGATTAGTTAGCACATCCATCATATCACACAATTACTATTTCTATGTGTGTTGTGAGAGCCTTTGAGATATCACTCAGCCATAAAAAGAATGACATCTAGCCATTTGTAACAACATGGATGAAAAAAAAAAAAAACAACATGGATGGATCTCGAGAGTATAATGATAAATGAAAGAAGTTGGTCAGAGAAAGACAAATACCATATGATTTCACTCATGTGGAATTTAAGACAAAACAAATGAAGAAAGAAAAAGAGATAAAAAAAAAAGAAGAAGAAGAAGAAGACTCTTAGAGAGTCTTTGTAGAGAACAAACTGGTGGTTGCCAGAGGGGAGGAAAGGAGGAAAGGGTGAATAGGTGAAGGCGATTAAGGTTATTAATTATAACCACTTATATTGATGAACACTGAGTAATGTACTGAATCACTCTACTGTATACCTGAAACGAATATAACACTTTATGTTTATATTGGAATTTTTTTAAATAAATAAAAATTTAAATAAATTTTTAAGATATCTTTCCTCTTAGCAACTTTCAAGTACATGATACAGTCTTATTAACTAGAGTCACATTGCTATACATTAGATTCCTAGAACTAATTCACTTTATAACTAGAAGTTTGTAATCTTTCTACCTCATGGCATTTTTACACAGGACTGGTTTTCCTAAATCAAACAAATATTGCACAATTATAATCTTCCTAACTTCCAAACTAGTCAGAGACTATGTCATTATTTTACATTTAGAGGAACACAATGACATAAAATAAATGCCCTAAAGTCTTCTTTTAATTATTAACAGTATATATATGAACACTTACTTAGCTGTTCTAGGCACTGGAGAAAAAAGGAAATGGTCTTCATTCTTAGGGGTCTCATAGTCTTGAAATAAAGTCACAAACATTGGGAAAAAAAAAAGAAGAAGAAGAAGAGAGGAACAATGCATCATCAAATGATGGCACAGGCCAAAAGGGAATTGGGGAATAGGAAAATACTGAGGTCTGAGCATCTCAAAAGGTGACATTCTAGGGATTGTGGCATTTGAAAAAAGGTGGGTTAAAATCAGAAGGGAAGAAATAGTCAGTCTAGGCAGAAGAGTGGTCTGAGCAAGGTCTTGGGGTAGGGCAGTTCATGACAGGTTTGGGAAGGGAATGGAAGCCATTATCTGAAGTGTTACCTCTCTGAAAGCTCTGTAGACATCAATTAGCCAGAGAAGTAGATATAGTATAATTAATTTCACAGGATATGCTGAAAAGTATTGGGTCATGAAGTAGTGCTAGATTTTTCTCAATTTTAAGAAAAACAAATGGATAAGGCTCATAAAAGTAACCGAACCACTGCTGTGATCATTTTCCATTATTTGTACCCACAAATTATCTTTCACTTACATGATATACCCTGATAAAGTCCTTCCATTAGAAAATTATGTGAGAATTTACTGGATAGTTATGTACTGATTTTGGGTTAAATAATTCAGAGAAGAATAAAATATTGTGATTAGCATTATCATACTCCATGTGAGTTTCTCACTGTGTTCACTAAGAATATGAAGCTCCATGAAAAATGGCTAAATTAATTCTGAACTCAAATTACTCGCATGTTTATGAAAATCATCTCTTACACTCCTCCCTTTTCAAAGTATATATTCAGAAGAAATTGTTCACACATTTAGGAAGTGTGCTCCAGAGTTACCCTCTGGCTCATGGTCTGAGAAATATCTTGGTTTTTATCTAAACACAGAGAGAAATTTACCTAACAACAAATTTCTTGTTGCTGTCAAATGAATCAGGAGGCTATAAGCCTCTTAATCTCTGTGTAATGTTTCCTGAAGCATGAAGATAAGTATCTCTAAACTCAGGGAAAATGGGAGGGGAGGACGGAAGAGGAGAGAGCTCTAGATTAGCACACTTGGCCTGAAACTGGAGAGGCACGAAGAGACCCCTTCTCAAGAGCCCCTTCCTCATCCGTACAGCACTTGCTTCTCCCCAGCCAGCTCCTCTGTCTCCTCCTCTGCCTTCACTCAAGCTGCAGCCACGTCCAATCCACCTGCTTGCTCCTTCCACACCAATCTGTCTCTTGTGCTCCCTGTCTCAGTGCTCAGCTGAAGATTTATCCGCTGCAACAGGTGTGTCCTTTATTGCCTGCAGTGCACACTGCCCTGGGTTTGCTTACACTGCTGTACATTGTTTTAGCTTGTTAGAACCAGTTCTCTTCATGGCATAGGTTCTTCTGGACTGGTTTTAGTTTCAGCTCTGTTGTTAAATTCGATGGTAGGAACACTTACTCTAGCTTATGAAATTCACAATTAGTGTGACTGATTCATTTACCAAACATGGACCACAGCCTCTCATGTGCCAGGCAATGCATTCAGGTGCAGCAAGGGACATGACTGACATACACCCAGCCTCCTGGAGGGGATGGTCTCAAGGTCCTCAGAGCCTGTTCTTCACTTGTGTTTAATCTAGGTTATGTTATTAATCTATGTTATTCTTCTTTGTCTTTGATTCCTTCTTATTGCCTTTCCACCAATCTCTTCCTTTCATTTCAAAATCAAAATCCAATCTGGGATCCCAATTTTAAGGTACAATGCACAAGAAAGGTACTTAATAAATGAATCACATGTAACTAAAAATGCCAAACACATGAATTCCTAGGAAAAAAATACGGTAAATCATTAGCCACAATCATTCCAAATACAAAACCATTTCCACAGTATTAGCTAAAATTGCAAATAAAACAAAGGTCTTTCATATGTACAAAGTAAGAAACAGACCATCAGTACTTAGCAGGACTACATCTGTGAACCAAAAAACTATTTTCCCTCTTACAATATTATGTCAGCCAGTGAAAGGGGCAGCAAGAGAATCCAGTTGAGATGCATCTCAAATATAATGTTAAAATGTAATTGTCTTAATCTACAATATTCTCACAAAAGCCAGAGTTCTTCCTCCATGTATACTCTGAGTTATAGAACCAATACAAACATGGGTCAAGCTATTTGACATTTCAAGTCATCTTCCAGTTTTCCACCTTTCTGAGCTAATGCTCAATGTAGAGTTTGTCTTACCTGGTGGCACAGTTCTTCCCACTGCCTTTGCAGAAGCTCCATGCGTTCATTCAGGATGGAGATATCATCGGCGCTGATGTGGGCACAGAGAGTATCCTTCAGCAGTGTCAGCTGAGCCATATCATCTGTCCAGCGCCCAGCTACATTTTCCAGCTCCTAGATTAAAAAAAAACAAAAATGTGAATACTCACAAATATCTATCATAAACAATTTGTGTGTGTTAGGAATCTCCTCATCATACAATTATCTTTCCATCCCTTTCTATTTGAATATCTCACTTGGTTTATTCTATTTGCTCTGGTGTTGTCTGACACTTTGCCAAGTTCTTCTGATAAAATCCCAGGTTGTGGGGTGCCTGGGTGGCTCAGTTGGTTAAGCGTCTGCCTTTAGCTCAGGTCATGATCTTGGGGTCCTGGGATCATCCGCATTGGGTTCCCTGCTCAGTGGGCCGTCTGCTTCTCCCTCTGCCTCTGTTCCTTCTCCCTGTTATATTTTCTCTCTTTCTCTCTAATAAATAAATTTTTAAAAATCATAAAAAATAAAACCACCCAGGTTGTTGGAAGAATCTTCCTATGATTTATTTACCTTTTAACTGATCATTGTGGCTCACCTTTTTTTCTTTCTTTTTTTTTTTTTTAAGATTTCATTTATTTATTTGAGAGAGAAAGAGAGAGAGAGAGAGAGAGAGAGAGAGAGAGAGAGAGAATGCAAGAGCAGGAGGAGGAGCAAAAGGAGAAGCAGACTCCCCACTGAGCAAGGAGCCCAAAGCAGGACTCAATCCCAGGACCTTGAGATCATGACCTGAGCACTTGAGATCATGACAGGCACTTAACTGAATGAGCCACTCAAGTGGCCCCCTGGCTCATCTTTCCTAAATTGAACTTTCATTACTGCATGATCTTCTTTACTTTTAAACTGATTTCATAAATTGCTAATCCAGCCTTTATTTTTGTCCAGGGTTATTGATCATGTTAATAAAATATTTTCAAAAAACCAAACTTCTAGGTTAACTTTCACCTTCAAACACTATGCATTTACATTCTGCAATATAAACTTAATATAATTGCTGAATTGCTATTATTACTCAATTGAAAATAATGGACTGAATTCATTTCCTGTAGGAACATAGACTTCTTCAGGTTACTAAAGAAAAAATTATGTACTCTGTCCTTTTGGGAAATGATTTAAGAAAAAAATCCATAAAGCAATATTTGAATGAGTTGACATTGGATTTTGCAATGCTTTGAACCGATGACCAGTTTTGCAATTTGTATAACTCTTGCTTTTTGCCAGCTGTGGATGCTTTTAGATTCTGGCTAATTTTGTGTATAAATAGAGTATTTCACATGGCTTTTTCCTTCTCTTTTTGCCTCTTCACACAGGAGACAAGTTTCCAAAGGCAAATGCAATTAACAGTAGTGTTTGAGGCTAACTTCTCAGGCAATTTAGGCAGATGAGGTTTTAGTCTGAATTTTCCAGGTAATTGCTTTGTTTTGCTGCTAAGGGTGGTTTAGGGAAGAGTAGCAGAGAGCTGGACCAAAATGCATCCTTTTAATCTCCAAGCTTAATAGCCGGGTATGTTTGTAACTGTTGTATTTTGGGTGATGAGGTCCCATGGTAACAGCATTTGGCTGAAAGACCATCCCGGTGGAGTAAAATATGCAGTATTTCTGCTTATATTTGTACACATATTAAACTGTCATGCCAATGTAAAGATTTTCCCCTTTCTTTCCAATTTCTAGCCCCTAACTCCAACATCAGACATAATTCACAATGTAAGGATTATAAAAGAAACAACAGCACCACCAAAACCAACTGTTTCAGACTCACAGACTCTATTAGATGAGTCTATATGGTAAAAATACAGCCTCTGGATTCAGGCAGCCTTGATATTTACTAACACTGAAACATTATTAAACTTCTAGAAGCCTCAGTTTTCACATCTGTAAAAGGGAAATAACAGAGTGTCCTCATGAGTTTGTGTTTATGTCAGCTAAGATAACACTAGTTTACTGACTGGCACATAAGAGCAGCCCAATAAATGCCAATTTTCTTTAATCACTTGTTATAAATTTACAATCACAGATTTAAAACAAACTTTTTAATATTTGCATACTTCTGAACTTACATCTCAAGATAATATTTTCCTCACCTGCAATCCATGATGTCATGTATATTACCCCTTTATTTTTCCTAAATCTGCCTCTTCTGAGTTTCAAAGGATATCCTTAAATTTTAATACTGAAGAAAAATTCTTACCTCTACGCTTTTTGTGATTTCAAGACTCCTTTAAAAATTAATTTTTCCTTAATGCTTATGACTTCTTAGCCAGAGTGAAGCAGAAAACTTCTGATTAAATCCGAATCATTTAAGTATATGTGAAGTTTCTTTCTAAAAGATTTATTTATTTATTTATTTATTTATTTATTTATTTATTTATTTATTTTAGGGGAAGAGAGTGGCAGAGGGAGAGGATCTTCGAGCAGACTCTCGGCTGAGCACTGAGTGTGGAGCCCAACCTCACAACCCATGTGATCATGACCTGATCAGAAACCAAGAGTCAGAGAGGCTTACCCAATTAAGCCACCCAGGCACCCCAGTACATGTGAAGTTTTACAGCATTGCTCCAGAACAATAATTTGCAAATGATTGGGAAACACAGGGACGTGTATTATTTGGGGAGAAAAGAAGAGACATTCGTAAAGGCAGTTTTGACTAGATCTGCATACTGCTTGACAGAGAACTGCCAAACACTTCACTTGCCTATATAGGTATGAACAGAATGAATCCTCTGCCACCACACCACGTTAGTCTCAGCGAGCTCACGATGCAGGGAGTGGTCTATATTAGCTCCTGATTTGCTTTCAACTGTGATTTGAGGTGTTGCTCATGATCTCATAAATAGGGCCCTGATAACTGAATGACTGTGTGTCTCCTTGCTATTTGCATTTCCTGTTTTCCTTACAGAAGAGCCTACAGGGCAGGGTGTTCCCCTAAGGACCACTGTCTGCAGCATTTCCAGGCTGTCAGGACTAGACTATTCTGCTAGAACAACTCTCCAGTACAGACGCTTTAAAAAGGATTGTGTTTATTGCTTTTGACCCCACTTTTAAATATCTTTCAATGCTGTGTTTTATATTTCTCAAGATATAAACCATAAGCCAGTCTAATTTCATCAACCACAATAAATCAGCAAGCAAGCCTCACCAGAGTTGTCTGCCCTAATGCAATATCCAGGAACTTGTACCAACATATACACTTCTGGAGCAGTTTGACTAGCTTATTCTTTCAAAGGCAATACCACAACAGAAGCGCACAGGCCAGTGACAGCTAACAGCTCAATCCAGTCAGCTACCTTGCAACGCATTTGCTCTGCATGCAGCTCCTCATGGTGATCTGGAAGAGGCTGAGAAAGCTTCTTTTTGAAAGTTCGTAGTTTCTCCAGAGAATCAGCTATTCCGTTCTCACAGTTTTCCCAGTCCTGTAATGGGAGAAGGAAGAAATTTCATGGCTTTGTTTTTGTTTTGTTTTGTAAGAAACTAAAACAAAAGATCCCTTCTTAAGGGATTAAGACTCTTCTTAATCCCAGAGAAACAACTAAAGATTTGTGGGGGGTCCACATCCATTGTCATGTAGCCGCATCAGAAGAGCTGAGTTCAACACTTACTCTATGTGACTTTAAGCAGGTAATATGCTATGTCTCAATTTTCCCTATGAAAATGGGCATAACACAAACTCTATAATTGTTGGAGGGCTGGAGGAAGCCATGGCTGTGAACACACTAAATACAAGGCCCAGAATATTACAAGTAATCAAAATTGTTATTTGCATCTGAATCAATCTGCAGAGGTAAGAAAGTAATCACAGTATTTTGCCTCTTTTCTAACCCCACTATTAATGTGTCTACACTACCTCGGATGTTCTATAAGAGATCAAAAAGAGGATATGGAAATTCTTTCAGGATGAAATGTAAAAATAATATAACCCTGCCTCTGATTCAGTTCATTATATGAACACTATGAGGCACATACATTTGATTTGTTACAGAAGTAGAAATACACAAGTACCAAAGGCTGGCAATGGGTGGGCTTCATCTCAATATGCTGAAATATGTATCACAAAAGGGTAAGTATATAAACACATAAAAACTGAAACAATCAATGGGTGAAGAGAGGTAAGGCAAATTTAAAAAATATACATCTAGTATGTCAAATATGAGTGAGTGCTCTGAAGAAGAATATAGCAAGAAAAGCAGTAGAGAGTGGCAGCATAGACCAGTAGATCTCTACAGAGTGACAAAGAAAACATACATTTATGTGGTTATGTTTTGGGTGATTACATACCAGACTTGTAACAGTGGTTTATTCCTGTGGAAGATTACAGGGTTTGGTTGTGGTATAGGGGAAATTTTGTTTTTTGCTTTACATATTTCAATTATTATCTGATTTTTTTTTAATCAGACACATGTATTTCTTTTTAATTGAAAGAAAAAATTAAAGGAATCATAATGCTTTATATCATTATACCTACAGATTAACTCCTATCCAGTGTCTCAGTGAAAATTCAAATTAAATTCATTTAAACAAATCTCCTTAATTTCACCTATGACCATCCATTCCTGTCCCCCCTTCCTGGTAACCCTTCCCAGTAGCCACTCCCTGCAACTTAAATTACTGAGCTCTGAAGAAAGACAGAATTGCTTCTAGTAGTGAGCCTGGTGGCAAAATTATGCCTCATTTTCCTTCACATTATCTCTTCCACCATTACCAGTCTTTTCTTGTCTGGGCTTTTTCTGTCTTTCTCTTCTGATGCTTTATTTTTAGCATAGCAACCCATAGGTGCTATGACCAAAACTGTCTTCTGTTAGAAGTGTTGACAAAAGTGTGTCCCTATTCAAAAGGTCTTTTGGTTTCTAACTGACCTGAGAATTTGGCCTAAGTTTCATTTCTCTTAAATTCCTTCAGGGAACTTCCTAGAGTACATAATCACATTCCCTCTTTCCATTTACCAGAAAACACACTAACTGTCTGTCTTGGACAAATTTGTTCTAATTCCCCTTTGTTAAAGTACCTCCATGTTCCCAGGCTACAATTAGTTCATCAATGCTAAGCATAGTGAGATCCTTTTACTAAACTGAACAAGCATTCTCAATGAAATCATCACACCCCCTGAAACCCATCAACATGCCATCAGTAAATCTCCACTGATCTAAAAGAGAAAAGATAAGTTTCTTATTTTTTATAATAAAATTAAGAGGCCATAGTGAAGCAGGTGAACATGCAGGCCACAGAATCATCATCACTCTACTTTTGGCATATTTACTCAGAGCATTAAATCAAGAGCTAAAAATAGATAAGTATTATGGCTGTGATATAAAGATATCCTAAAATAAAGAAAATGACATTAGAATATAGCTTCATAAATTCCTTCTTTGGTAAATGGGTCCTAGTTTATGATTTAAAATAAAATAAACTTTAACAAGAGAAGAATAAGGATTCCCCTTTCCAAGAACGGCTTAGATTCCAAAGCTATAACCCAGTCTTTTTACTACATGAATTACAAGGACATAACAAAATGTCATGGTCTGCAAACATCTATCAAAGTGGATGTTTTACACACCAGCAAACAGACTGGCAAGAAAAGCAAATGCAATGACTCAGCCATTTTGCCTTATTAAAGTCTTGGGAATCTGTCCAAAAATCACATCACAAATAAAGAAAAAATATATGATTAACATATCTCTACAGAATGAGTTACAGTGTTTTTAATCTTTTATTGAAAGTAAAAAAGAAGAAAAAAGAATCAGACATATTGTATTACGGATGAATTGTGCTGTATGCAAATAATAGTTCTTTAACAAATGCTCAGTGGCATTTTTGATTGATTGTTTCCTACACAGAAGGTAATATATTATTAAATAAAATTCAATAGAATAAATCCAACGGGTGTGCATACTTTAAGCATTATAAAAGCAAACTGTGTTCTATTAACTTTAGTTACTACCTGTGATCCAAAAAAGCGTCAGGCCAAATTTAATACTTTTGTTAAAGTGTTGGTGATTATCAGCATGTATAAAACTTTACTATTGAGCTCTGTTCACTCTTTAATATGATGATAATATCAACAACGATGATTACCACCCTTTACCACATGCTCAATTTGTGCAGGTATTGTGCCACATGTTTACTTTCCTTATTTCATTAAATCCTCACAATGCCATCTGAAGGAGGGGTAATCATACCTACTCCAGAGAGGAGGAAACTGCCTCTCAGATAGGTTGAGATAACCAAGTTACTTAGTTTATTAAGATTTTAATTTGGGTTTATCTGAGGTCAGAGACCATGCCCTTTTTCCGATGCATTCTAATTATGTATTGAATATGGTACTGAAAAGTAAGGGAGAAAAGCATCTTGTGGCGGGTCTGAAACTTGCAGTGTGATCAGTATCCTCTCTGTATCCAACTAAAGGCTGAATATACCTCCTGAATTTTCTCTCATAGCAACATTCTTGGATAAACTAAGATGAAATCAAAAGTATCCTCTTGGATAAGTTTTTCCCTGCTATAAAATAAAAGATATCAATCTTAAAAACCACTTTAGAGTCTTAGATCAGGGAGTGGAATCTACTCTTTGCATTCCTGTTTGGATTTATAAAGTCATTGCATGGTTCTTGGCTTAGCACCGACCATTAATCAGAATTCATCACTTGGACAGTCTTATTAGACTTAAAAGTACTTAGCTGGGTGATTTTTCTGAAAGACAAACTGCTGAAAATTGGGAAACTTCTCCAGTTCATGCAAGACAGGACAAAGTCTTAAATAAGACACAGGGCAGGGGATCAAAATACTGCAGGGTATGACTTATGGATCTTTGCACTGTCTGATTGGAAAGCTAAAAACAGGAGTAATAACTGCTTACATGGCTTCTTAAACTGCATTGCATCTAGAGGAGGAAAAAGCTGAACTTACTTTCAACAAGAAGGCCAGTTTTTTCTTCTGTTCCTCCAAACGCACGCTGGCTGATTTCCACTTCTCTTGGATTTCAGTGAGTTCTGCCTGCAAGGCAGCCTCAGCCCCACTGTCTGCTGAGAGCAGGAGCTGCTTGCCAGCCTCCACTGTTAGGATGTAGCTGCCTTGCTGTCGCAGGAACACTTTTTCTTTGAACTGAAAGGAATCGTAGCTTTTTAGTTTCTCATTCTTTTTTTCAGCAGTTCCCTATTACAAGTGTTTTTAAGTAACCCTACAGTTTTTCATACATAGCATGCCCTCTTTATCCAACATTTGTTGAGCTAGTACTTTGGGTGTGAATGAAGCCCTGCATAAATGAATGAGAATTCATTCAGGATGAGCCGCGGGAGAGGCTCAGTTTCTGTGTTCAACTTAAGTACAATGACCGTGCAATATGGAAACTGCTCTAGAAGATTGATGTATAGGGAACACACTGTGACATGCTTCATTTAAGTTTTATTAGGATCTCTTAATTTCTTCTGCAAAAAAACATTCATGATGCTTGTTTGATACAAGCAACCCACTTCCAAGAAAGACCACTCCTCAAATATCTAACCCACATGGAAGCAAGATGAAGAGGCTTCATGAGTCTTGGAAAATATATGAACATGGCCAGATTAAGGAGGAGCTGGTATGATGAAGGCCGGGAATCAGGGAGAGGAATCCTTCCACGCGGAGAAATGAAGATAGGCAAATTTACTATAGGAGATCAACAGGATGAATTTAGGACCTTGGATGTAGTTCTCAGGAGCTAGGATATATTATACTTGTGAAAGAGTGGCAAAAGATGACACAAGAGGGACGCCTGGGTGGCTCAGCAGTCGAGCGTCTGCCTTTGTCTTAGGGCATGATCCTTGGGTCCAGGACCCGAGTCCACGGGTTCCCCATGGGAAGCCTGCTTCTCCCTCTGCCTGTGTCTCTGCCTCTCTCTCTCTCTCTCATGAATAAAATAAATAAAATCTTTAAAAAAAGATGACACGAGATGATACCCTGCATGAGAATTTTTTTAATAGTGAAAGTGACTGAGATTCACAGGAGAAAATTAAGTAGGGAAGTCATGTGTCTGGATTAAAACACTCTGCAGTAGAGTAGAAAATGAAATGGAAGAATGGTAAATATTGGATACACTAAGATAGGTTAGAAAGCTATTGTCTATGTAGGTAAGAAATCAAGAGCTCCCCATCTAAGGTAGTGTCAGTGGTGATAGAAACTGGAAGTGTATTAGAAAAGAGGAGGGAGAGAAAAAGAATATAGCTGTAGAGTGACTCTAATGTCCCTGACTGATAGACCGGATAGCTGGTAATGACATTTCCTCAAATTAGGGACACAGGAAATGGGACTGCTGGAGAATGGCTGGTCCCGGCATCACAGGCTCTGCTGGAACCCACAGAATATATTATATCCTTGATATATATATACCTAAAAGGCAGTTGAATACATAAATTGAAAGCTTAGGAGGTGGATGTGACTAGGAGATACTACGTGGGCCCTTCTGTGCTGGTAGAAGGCCAACAAAGCCATGTGTGCATGGGGTTTCCCAGAGAAGCGAGGAGAAAGGAAGCTGCCAACAGTGAAGAGACCAAAAAATACACTGGGGAGGACTGACTGGTAGGAGGGATCTGTTTCAGGGGCAGGGGGCCCTGGTTCCCGGGGAAGACAGAAGGAAGCAGCCATACCAGGAATGGACAAAGAGTCCAGACAGGACTGAGACTTTTATCTTTTTCAGAATACTCAAGTTACACATTTAAATTGTTCATGATTATGATCATTGCAAAGTGCTCCTTTCTTGGTCATTGTTTTTCTCTCCATGCTGGAAGTCAGTGAGCTGCTGGGAGGCATTGGTGTGGGCCATGGAGTGGCTCTGTGAGCTGCTGGGCCTGACCAGACTATCATCACTATAAAATCATTATAAAATGTAATACAATCATTTTATATGTTCCTGTTGATACTTTGGAACCATATTTGTCCTCATTCTAGTGTCACTCCAGGATCCTTGTGAAGAACTGAGGCAAGGGTAAGGTGTACAGTGGAAATGTATAAGAGGTTTAAAAAGCATGTGTTTTGCACCTTACCTGCACTTCATCAAAGAGGGTCCTTGCCTGTTGCAGTGGTATTGGGACACTTCCAAGAGCACTCACGGGAAGATAGGACACTTCAACCAACCATTTACGAAGCTTCTCTGCCATCTCCCTGTACCGCTGCCACTGGCGAATCTGGCTGTCAATGATGCCCCTCCTCTGCTGGGCCCGGCGAATCACTCCCTGCCACTGATTGCTGAGAAGTGTCAATTTCAGGTTGAATTCATCCCTGGTACAGAAATAATTACATAGGGAAGAAAAATTGTTACCCTGGATGCATTTACACATCAGCCAGATATACACACTGTATATACACTTTATGACAGTAATAAACCCTGGGAAGTGATTTTAGGGCAGAAGTTTTGACAAATATTATGTCATAATCTGTTACTGGGTCTATTTCATGTGATTTTTGAAATTAATAACTGGGTCACCCAGGGGCCCCTAAAAATGTTTTTTAAAATTATACTCATAAACTTCATATTCCCTCACAATAAACAGCCCCAATCTTTAATGATTATTCCATATGTTAATCTAAATAATTCCTTCTACATTTTAAACTCACTTCATTTTGTTCTTAGAAATGAAAACTATCCAGTTATCACTGTCTGTATGAAGATTGTCCATATACTTAGAGATAGTAATATATAAGTGTTCTCAATTTCAGGCTGAATAATCTCAGATCTTTTATTAGTTTGTTCGTCCTTTATACCTCTGTGTTTTCCACCTTTAAAGAACATTGATAGTTCTTTATGAAGTTTTCTTTAAAATTCAATTTGTAGCTCTAGAACTGGTTTGTCTAGTAACAATGCATTTCTTTGTACATTAGGGTATTATTCACATTTTAATATTAAAGTGTAACATTACTTGTTTTTTCTCTATTGTGTTAGTTTGCTTTTCTTCCCTAGATATACTATTCTCTTAAGGGTGGCTTCAAATCTGAGATGGACTTATTGTCGTGGACTCCTATATTCTTGTCACCTTCTATCATCTAGGCCTGCTGTAAACCTTGCTTTTGTAACCAAATGTGTAATTGGTAACCTCTGTGTTTGAAAGGAAATTCTGATATTAATAACTAATTGCAATAGAACTAAACATGATGGATTAGGTTCATGAAACTCTCCTAGAAGTTAGAAGCATCTATCATCTCTGAAAATATTTAACTCTAGGACTTGAGAATGTCCTACAACATGAAAAGTGCCCTGCATGCTGCTATCCCCACCAGACCACCATCCGAGATCTCTTTGGAGCCCTTGTCCTGGCTTTGGAGAGCTCAACTGTCCTGAGCCACCTGCCAGCGTAAGGAAATACTTAATACATGACAGTGTTCCCGTGGCTGAACTTGAACTCTAAAACACAAAACTGATAAATGAACTTTTAATACACGATACGTTTGTAATCTGGGGCCCTCATGCTCTAATCTGATTTTTTTTCTCTCTCTCAGCTTTCAGAATTATCCTCATCCAAAACTTCCATTTTCTTCTCTTTGGTGTTTTCCCTTAACTGTTAACATTTATAATTTAATAGATGTTGGCTTATATATGAATTTTAAATTTTGTTTTATTTATTGGCTTAAACTTTTATAATACTGTTATAGAGCTGACCAAGGGAGGATAAAGCAAAGGATAAGTTAATTGCATTTCAATTTCTTTTTATTTTGAAAGCCGTATATTCTCAGTAAAGCTCACATTTAAGTTTGGCTTACTTTGAACAGAATAAATATGGTATCACATTTTGTTGTTCCAAACTTAACTATGAAAATCGTTCATGTTACTTCCAAAGAAATATCCACTTAAAACTGAAATTCATTCCAGAACACTAAAAAAAAAAATCCTCTTAATAAAAATAGTGATTTATGTTCTTTTTAAAAAATACTAATTATAATCAGAACTACTGGTTCTTAATATGGGTAAGATGTTCTTATGTAAATGTATAAGTTTAAATGAGGTTTGTACTCCAAATATCACTAAATAAAGTAAGTGGGATGGACTAGATATTGTTCCTGGGAAATGTAAATATAGTATGAAATCAGCATTTCACATAATGGCAGTCAAAAGAGGAGCTGGATTTTACCTCTTCGTTTTTAATAAAGAGGTAATCTGCTAAGTAAATGAAGAGGAAGCCAGATTTCAGGTTGAGTGTCATCTGACTTAAGGTAACAAACCCTTTTGAAACCTGGAATTATCATGGTGTGGGAAAGCTGGCTGGTCCTGACTAAAAACCAGATATATAATTCTACAGCTAGTTGAGTGACCTTGGCCACATCAGTCTGCATTTCTGTGCCTCAAGTTTTCTTCTATAAGTAAGAGAGATGATCAAGTGATCTCTATGCTCCTTTGAGGAAAACAATTTCTGTAAGGGTAGGAGAAGATTAGAAGCATCTGTTTACAAACCATTGATACATCATTGATACAATTTGTTCTGATCTATTCATTAATTCCAGTCTCCTGCAGAGGTCTGGAGAAGGTTGGCTAGGTGATTTCCAATTACTCTATGTCCTTCATGTAATATAATAGCCATTCTTTAAAAAGATTCAATACTCAGTCATTTCAGAGATTCAGACAAGCCTTTCTTCCAATTACTGAGACCCCACTGAAGTACAATTGCCTTAGGAAGATTAGACATATGCCCTCTAATCTGCTCATTAAAAAGAAAATGACTAATTCACTGGAACCTTTCTTCATAAAAATATATCAAAGTTCCTACCTGTCATCAACTTGACCTTGTTCTAGAAGACGCTGACCATCAATAATGATTGAGTGCAAAATCTGCTGACGACTGAACATCTCTGCTTGAAACAACTATTAAGTGAAAAAAACAGAAAAATACACTGTAGAGTTCCCGATTTTAGTGACCAGTTTTATAGTAACTTCACCAAATTTTGGTTTTAGCAAGGCTTTGAAAAATATTTCCAGTTGAATTGGAATTTGTGTGAAGTCCCACAGTATAGGAATAATGCATTTTTAAACAATCACATGAGATATAATTAAAGATAAAGTTTAGTTTTTGCTTACAAAAACTGACTAAAAGTAAAATTATGTTTTCCTTCTTTCAAAATCACCTAATAACATTGGTTAACACATAATTTATATTCTAATTTATTTTCAGATAGAGAATAGCTAAAGACCTTTCAGAAAGTTAAAAAAGATTTAAGAAACTCCACATTTCTCTTTTCTTTTCTTTTTTCTTTTCTTTTCTTTCTTTCTTTCTTTCTTTTTCTTTCTTTTGGAACTCAATATTCTTTTATTTAATTTGGTTAATAAAATTATTTCATTACAAAAAAATTCAACAAAGTTTTTCAAATTATTGCTTTTGTTTTTAAAATAGATTTACTGAGATATAATTTATATACCTTATAATTCACTTATTTAGAGTAACTTAATGTCCTTTAACATATCCACAGACTTGGCCAACCATCACCATAATTGATTTTAGACCAAAAAGAACTCCACACTCAGCAATAACTCTCTCTTCACAACCTGTGGGACCCAGGAAATTTAACAAAAATCCCCTACCCCTGGACAAGCAGAGCAGGACCAACTCCATTTTGTGCTACACCTGCCACCTCCTATATGACCCCCACATGACCTGCTTATTGCTTAAGGTGCTGCCCCACCCTAGTCAAACTGCTGGGCACACCCTAATCTGAAATCGGCTCATAACAATGTAACTCTGCCTTGTGCCCGCCAAAACTGCGCGCCAATTCTGACCAAAGTAATAGGCCAGCTCAAATAGATACTGTAGGGTAAGATGTAATTCAATCAGCCACCTGCCTGTGGACCGACGTGACTGTGCAACTATCTGCATATCCCATGGGCCACTGGCCCCTATAAAGCTGCTATGCCTCTTAGTCTCGGGGTCCCAGTCCCTGCTCCGCTATGTCGGATATACTTGGACCCAAGCTCGAGCTTGTAATAAACCCTCGTGTGTTTGCATCGGTGTCGGCTCCTTGGTGGTTTCTTGGATTCGCGATCTTGGGCACAACACAACCCATAAGCCCATTAGGTAACCACTGACCTATTTTCTATCTCTGAAGATTTGTCTACTTTGGACATTTCATATAAATGGAATCATTCAATGTACTGTCTTTTGTTACTGGTTTCTTTCCACTTAGCATATTTCCAAGGTTGATGCATGCTCAGGATGCATCATCACCATATTCCTTTTTATTGCTGAATAGTATTCCACTGTACAGACATACCACATTTATTTATTAATTCATCAGCTGATGGATATTTAGGGTTGTCCTCATTTTGCAGCTCTTATAAATAACACTGCTATGAACAATATTGTTGCACAAGTTTTTGTGGACACATGTTTTCATTTCTTTCTGGTATAAACCTAAGATTGGAATTATTGGGTCATATGGTAACTCTGTAAAGTATTTTGAGAACTGCCCAACTGTCTTCCAAAGCAGCTTCACCATTTTACATTCCCAACAGCAATGTATGAGGATTCCAATTCCTATATACCCACGCCAACACTTAACTGTCTTCTTCATCAAAGCCATCACAGTGGGTATGGTGATATATCACTATGGTTTTGATTCATTGTCTTTTATTTCATCTTCAGTCAACTTAATAAAACTTGACTTAAAAATACCTTATACATATTTAAATTCTCTATTTTTAAAATATAAGCAAATTCTTTAAAGTTAGTTTCATTCTCTTGTAATTTATTTTCAGCTTTTCTCTGCTTTTAGGTAAATCCTATCTCTCCATTTGTGTATATTTCAGAAACATACAGGCCAATGTGGTTATACCAGTAAACAGCAAAATATAGATGAAATGCAAATTAATTAATTTGCTTTTTGTATCTAGTTCTCTCTTCAGTGTTTCTTAAGAAATAATTATAATGCAATTTGATCAAGAGGTACTCTTGGAGGGCAGCCGCGGTGGCGCAGCGCTTTAGCGCCGCCTGCGGCCCCCGGCGTAATCCTGAGGACCCTGGATCTAGTCCCACATCGGTCTCCCTGCATGGAGCCTGCTTCTCCTTCTGCCTGTGTCTCTGTCTCTCTCTCTCTCTTTCTGTGTCTCTCATGAATAAATAAAATCTTTAAAAAAAAAAAGAGGTACTCTTGGAGATATTTGGTAGTTTGAGCTCCAAGTATAAAATATATACATGTTTTTTACGTAACACACAATTTTCATTTATCAAAGACTTCTGATCAAAACAATCTCTTTAGCAACTAGCCTTGGCAAGATTAATGTAGTATGTAACTACTTTGAAAATTGTCTATTTCTGCATTCCTTTCACACATACCCTTGATTCCCCGCCCCCCCTTGTAAATAGACTTTTACCACAATTCTGGCTGTATATGTTGCAGGATATCTAAGCCCACCACATTTTTAAAACCAACTAAGGAAACAAAGAATAGGACCACATTTTTGTAATTAACATATGAAAACCTCAAGCTTAAGAAAGAAGGCAAACAATGACTACACCTGAGCAGACTCAACACAAAATATAGTGCTTGAACTCCTCCCCATGGCACTGTGCAGCATTTTTCAAGGATCAAAAACTATTTTATTACCCCACTAACCTACCAACATAACTTACCTCATGCGCTCTCTGCTGCTCCAAAAGATGCTGATAATTGCCTGAAATCTCTACTGCTAACTTTTGTTCCGTTTGAACCAGGAATTCCATCCATGTTTCACATTTTTCCAAGAAAGTCTGATGTTGTAGCAAAAATGATTGCAACTTACTGACAGAACAAAGGAAAAGAATAATGATTATGTTGTTGTTTGTTCTTCTAATGTTAGCAATAAAACTACACTAAATAAATATTTTCTGCCTGCAATTCTAATTTGACCACCATGAAGCTTTTGATGTTAGGTAGTAAATTTTTAAGAAAAAAAAGTTTAAAATGTAAGTTTTCATGGTGCCTGGGTGGCTCAGTCAGGTAAGCATCTGCTGTCAGCTCAGGTCATGATCCCAGGGTCCTGGGATGGAGCCCTGCATCGGGTTCCGTTTGGTAGGGAGTTGCTTCTCCCTCTCCCTCCACCCTCCACTTGTGTTCTCTCTCTCTCTCTCTCTCATTCTCACATGCTCTCTCTCTCAAATAAATAAAGAAAATCCTTAAAATAAAATGGAAAGTTTTCAAAATGATAAAATTATGTATGTATCTTTATTATGTAAAAGAGTTTTTCTTTTTTGTTAAAACAATATTTAACACATCAAGCATGGGAACCCACTTCACAATTTGATTTCTCCACTTCTACTTCAAATTTTGTGAATATCACTGGAAAGATTGATAAACATGCACAAACCATGCACTTATTTCTCCTGATAGATCAGAATGGCCAGACATGTACCTGAATCTTTCTGTGGTCTGAGAGGAGATCAGAGACCAGCGCCGGTTCAGATTCTGCATCCTTTTGATTTCTTTATCATTCAGTGGTAGCCTATACCCAAGCTCATTTAGACGGTCTAGATCAGGGGCCATGCTGCTGAATTTTAACATCTGTCCCTGAAAGCAAGATTTAAAAGCCAGTTTAGCACTATGGTCAGGAAAGGCAGAGTTCTTTTAAAGTGCATGGGGAACTTCTGATTTCAGGAAGAAGTCTCTACATTTCTAAGCCACTGATTTGTAATCTCAGATCTGCAAATAGAGCTTTGTCTCCTAACCAGCTCCACTGCTGTCACTGCCACTGCTGCTACAGCTCACTTGTTTCCACTGAATGTTTAGTAGTTTACGTGTATTACTTACTTGCCGATGGATGAAAATTCTGTTGATGACTGAAAAAGCATATTTCCTACTCTGTATTCCATTTCTCTATGCTAATCTGCTCTTTATTACCTAATATCAGTAACAACATTTATAATGATAACCATTTATAATAGCAACAGCTAACATTTCTTGAGCACTTATTATGAACCAAGTATTCTTATAAGAGCTTTACAGGTAATAACTCATTTTGTTTCCAAAACAATCCCCTAAGGTAAGTACTATGACTATTCCGACCTTATGAGTTTAGAAATGGTAAATAAATTACTCATGGCAACCCAGCTAGTAAGCAGCAGAGCTGGGTAAACAAGAGCCCTTAAGTGCCTGCAAGATAGAATTCGATTCCATTTGAGTTTTGAAGTCACCACACATTATCCAGCAGCTTCAATTTTAGGTGTTTGGCCCAATCCCAAAGTTAGTAAGACTCAACTGACAAAGCAGTCTGTGCTTTCAGAGCTCTTCCCTCCCTTCAAACACAGGACAAAGCTGTCTTTTCTGGTTTTCAGGGTTTGGGGGGTGGGAGGAGTGGGGGGGAGCAACTGTAACTCCAGCTAGGAAATTGGCTATAGAAAGGGGGAAATGGCAGGACGCCTTTGGCTGTGTGTTTTTCTCTTTGCATGCTCTGAAATAGGCTCATTACCCTAAACACAGAATAAATCTTTCCAACTGCTAAAGTTGAAAGTATAACAATTAGATGGCAGATTTTCCATGGATAGATATTAGCAGTGAGCAAAACTGATATACAGGGCTCCTTCTCATGGGTCCTACAGACAATAAGATACTATTCCAAAATACTATTCCACAACAGTAGTCACCTAATCACACAAAGGTAATTAAATGGTATGAAAAAATTTTGAAGAAGAAAAATGGTATGCTATGAAAGTATGTGGCTGGGGAGCCTGACCATAAATAAAAGGTGGAGCTTTCTTAAGACAGTGACATTGAACAAAATGACCAAAAGTTCATTCCTTTTGGTGGGAAGGGAGTTGGTGGGGACAAAAAAGAAATTCCAGAAAGAAAGAATGTTATATGCACAGATGCTAGGAAGCACTCTGATGGACACTGAGATGACTAGTGGAGGAAGACAAGATCCTTAGGAAGATGGAAGCCAGGTCCACTGGTCTTCACCCTGAGAACCATGGGAACCTGTGGAAAGTTTTAAATAGAAATAATATGATAAAACTGGCATGTCTATTGTATCATTTTATTTACTGAATGTTTAAAATAATTCATAATTATGTAAAACTCTTTAAAGAAAAAGATCATTCTGGCAACTATGGGCTAGAGATGCTATACAGAAGGCTATGGAAGCTATTGGTGGGGTCTGAGAGATAGAGGACTTGCCTAGGAGAGGATAAGGGTATAGATGGAGATGGGAGGCTCAAAGGCTCCAAAGGAGAAGGTGACCTGCTATGCAGGGGAAGGGATGAGAGGTGGGAAGGAGGAGTGAGCTGGAATCCTAGGACTGCTCCTGGCTGGGCTCCCATCATAGGGTGTGAAATCAGCATGTGCTCACTACAGGAAAACAGAGCAGGTAAGGATTTCTTTGGAAGTTCACAATAAAAAGTAGGCGTATGTCAGGAGTTGTGAGTAATCCTTAAGAACTGGGGCACAAAAGAAGATTTAGGCCTAGGATTTGAATGCATTTACCTTAAGTTCTTCCATCCTTTCCTGAATGGTTGAGAGGTCAGATGAGTGGCTAGGGTCCTGCCCTTGTAATATGTCTTCAGCTTCTACTATCCAGGCCTCCAACGCTTCTAAACTCTTGGTAAAGGTCTCATAGTCAAGAACTCCAACCTTTTGTTTTCATAAAAGAAAACTGGTATTTAGATATCTAGTGAAAGGACAACTGGATGCTGAAATTATTTTTCATATTCTTGTGCCAAATTGCTATCCTCAAGAAGCAATAACTAAAGAAATAAGACTATATGATTTAACCTTTATTCTCTTTATTAATATAATTTTTTGAAAACTTGGAATTACTCTTATATTCCATTTATTAATTAACTAATTAAAGTTATTTTTAAAATATGCTACTAAATAGAAATATATTCTGATTCTTGGCAAAAACTTGTTATATAAACAAGAATGTCAACATTAAAGCCACTTACTGTTTATTAGTTGAACATATTTCACTCAGTACCATAGAAGGAAACATTGTTTTAGGGGCAAAATCACATTATAAAGAATAGTGTTAAAGACTTCCACCTTCCTTTGTCCTCGCTGGAACTTCCAAGTTCATTTACTTTTTAATTCTTTGGTCTTGAAAGAGGTATTGTCTTAATGATGAAAAAATTTTCTTTTCCTATGGTTAGGTTCAGATATTACAGAAAATCAATTTATAACACATACCTATTATGAGCTCTGTAACATACCTGTAATGTAGTCTGCTGCTTGCAAAGAGCCTGTTCTAGGGCACATAGGTGTTGACTCAAAGACAGCTGATCAGATTGAATGGCTGATGCCGCTGAAGCATCCACTTGTTGCTTGAGCTGCTCTCCCAGCTCATGGAGAACAAAAAGGGAATCCTTCACTATCCCCAGTCCTTTGAGGAGATCCTACAGATGATGAAAATATGCCCGTTATGAAACAATATGGTAAGTGTACTCCTTAAACTGATAATCAGCAAAAGGTCACACATCTAGAAGTACTTAATCCTTACTTGTCAAATTACTACACTAAATAATCTTTACACCTGCAGAAAAATAATGAAGAATTAAATCTGATTTTTTTAAAAAATGGATATGTTAACATTTTTAGAAGTATATGTACTACCCTTATAATAAAAGCCAAAGAAATCCATTGTAGGATCCTGGGGGAGACGCAGAGAAACATACATAAAAGGAAGAAACATTTTCTTCATGTAGACCCAATAAGTGGAAACATTTGGGCATTTTTCCCCCTATCTTTCCATGTAGTTGATATCAAGTCAAAATACACAGAGCTACATTTGACCTTTTTCTGCTTAATATTATACACACAGGGGATGAGTTTGTCAACAGCATCTTTCATATGCATGGTTGCATTATAGTGGTTGTGACAGACCCTCCTGTCTCAGTGGAGCATAGAACCCCAACAATGGCCCTGGTGAGCAGGGATTAAAGCATACTGTAGCTCCATTTTCTTCTATGGCTTCTCTTGTCTCCACTTTTTGTGGGACACTCTTAAATGCTCAAAATGTAACCAATGGAAATTCCCTGTTTCTGGTTTCCATCTATCACTAAGAGATGACAAATGACTTTTTCTACCTGTTGAGGGTGCTCCACCAGACATGGTGGGAAGGGTAGAGCCTGTTAACCCTGAACAGTGACTCCCATGAGAGGGAGAAAAACAAAAGGCAGCTTTGACCTTGACATAGATCTTAGACAAATTCAGAGAGATAATTTGGAGTATTACCCCTTAAAACCAGTGTGTATGTATCAACTCAGGAGGACTGGAAATTGAAAATGACAAATCTTGTAAGAATAAATTATGTGGAAGGAGGAGAGAAAAGAATTATGTTATCATTATTGTAAATATTAAACTTCAGCCCTAAAGTCATTATTCAGTATTCACGTGAAAGTATTACAATAGGTTGAAATTTATATGCTTTTTATAACTTGCTTAATCCTAATAAACTGATTTGGGAAAGTTTACAAGAAGATCTTTGAAACAAGTTCATTAAAATAAAGACAAATAAGGACACATGACACATGGTAGGAACCATGTAATGGGTGAAACAAGAGAACAGTTTCTGAAAACCTAAGTGGGTTATTGGCAACTTCAGAGAAAAAGAGAAATATTAAAAAGCTATTAAAAAGAAGCATACCAGTAAATCAGGAGAGAAAGACTTCTTATTAAGTTCTTAGAAGAAATAATTATGTGTGATGCTTACATAAGAGATAATGGACTTAAATAGGTAATACCTTTCACAGTGGATTTTTAAAAGATACATTATTCTCCATATTCTCTCATTTCTTAATATTGACCAAATGTGTAAAAACAAATAATCTAAATCTTCATGTGGATGGCATGCTATTTGGAAAAAATGCAAAAACAACTCCTCTTTAAAAACAGTGGGAGGGACCTTTTAAATGATACATGTGCAACAGTGTTCTGAAAACCTAGCAGACTCTGATACTTAAAAACAACTTTTGGATAGCTGTCCCACATACTGAGACTGTACTAAAAGCTTACACGCATCAGCACTAGCCTTGCTGAAATTGAGAGAGAGTCTAAGACCAGCTTGGGGGGAAAACATACATTGCAATCTTGAATCCATGTAGCAGCTTCGTCATCAGCAATGTCCTTGTTAGTGGCTGCCTTCAAGAGCTCATTGGTTTGGTCCTCTTGCTGCTGAACTGTAGAAGCACACTGTTGGGAGTAGTCCTTGTATCTTTGCCAGAGTTGAAGTAGGGCTTTGCTGGAGTGCAGCTGTTCAGCAATCTCTTCCAGCAAATTATTCCATCTAGAAACAATAGCCAACACTCATAGGCAGATTAACACCCCTCACCAAATGCTGTTATTTGCTATTTTATTTTTCATGATCCTGCTTTATGTGAATATGGAAATAATGGGGGGGGGGTGTCTCATTTCTATTAGACATAATTTTGCCATGTAGTATTTCCCACTTGTATTTCAGGGGCAAAAATGAGGTCAATCTTTGGGTATATAGCAGTTGTAATCTCTTTCTAAGGCTCTTCACCACATTCAGTTACTTTAAATTCATTTGTGAAAACTGAAACATTAATAGAATCTATACAGCTTGAATTCAAAATGCCAGCAAATTTTAATTGTATCATTATTTATAACAACGCTGTGATATAAATAATGTATAACAGTGTAAAAGTAGCATGTTCCATACCTCATATTGACATCTTTTAATGTATTGGTAAGAGTTTCTGTCACAGGTGGGTGACACTCTTTTAACAGTTGGTTGGTGATAGAGCCAAACCTCTGTAGGTTCTTTTCCTGTTTTTCCAGATCATCTTGAAGATTCTGCCCCAAAATTAAAAAAAAAAAAAGTGCTACAGATGACATGCCAAGATATAAATTTTAATAATCAAGTTTAAAAGGAATTTATAGCTGTTTTCACAAATATATACGTAAAAATATGTAAGCCATAACTTTGTTCTGATGCTTTATGTTTTCTTTAGATAGCCATTTTTTCTTCTATAATTTTGTTCTTATGAGTATGAAAAGGGATTCTTTAAAACTAAATCTTCTTACAGTGGCATTTGGAATTCTGCTGGAAAAGTTCACATGAGTGTCCTTGTCCTTCACCTAGTAGGAAGCTATGGTGGTGGTATGCATGCAATCTGTCACACTGGTTCTCTTTGTTACTCAGAGTCAAAACCCAGGTTTCCATTTTATTACATACCTAGAGTTGTTCTACCAGAAACTTCAGATAAATAGACCGTAAGAAGTCATGGCTTTTCTGAGTATCAGTTATAAATTCTATCTCTGGGTGTTCTTCCTTGCAAAGAGCATTTATTAGACAGGCTATAGACTTGGCCCAGTCTTCTACCAAAAACTAGCGAAAGGTCTTGAAGGAAATATTGCTGAGGTGCTAGACTCAGTTTTTAATAAAACTCTATAGGTGACAGAGGCTACAAAAATCCAGTTTTGGGGCAGCCCAGGTGGCTCAGCGGTTTAGCGCTGCCTTCAGCCCAGGGCGTGATCCTGGAGACCTGGGATCAAGTCCCACGTCGGGCTCCCTGCATGGAGCCTGCTTCTCCCTCTGCCTGTGTCTCTGCCTCTCTCTCTCTCTGTGTCTCTCATGAATAAATAAATAAAATCTTAAAAAAATACAGTTTTATTTAACACCAATATCTGACTGCCATCAAATCAAAATCCTTTCAGATCTTAAAGATAGCATGTGCTGGTATTAAATACAGACTAGGCTAAATTAAAAAGTACTTCTAATCTCCTCAAAGTTATAAAATATGTTTTCAAATTTACTATTTCCAAAGCAAATTTTAATGATTTTCAATATATGCAACAATTGTTTAAGGTTTAAATATATGTATTTTTTATCCTTCCTCCTTTCTACCCCATCCCCAAGAAAAGGTGTTCCCTGCAGATCAGAGTCTGTGTATGAGGTCAGCAACATATAAAGTTTCATTGCCAAGCCAGGGAAAGGGATTGATGTAAGGAGGGTACATGCTGGGCTCTTGCTGGCAACTCATCTCTTGAGGGCCTATGCTGCCCATCTTGTATCATATAGTCTGCATGAATTAGCCAGGGAGAAAGAGTGGCCATAGGTGAGAGTGCCCAATCAGTGCCCAGTGTGCAGGAGAGTGAGGGCTGGAGCTGATTTGAAGGCAGTGGCCTGAGTTAGGAGACAGTGGTCTGCAGAGTCAACAGCAGCGATGTCATTCTGTATGACAGGAAACCAAGCAGTAAGTGCTAGAAATAGAGGCTTATGTGTACAAATCAGGCAGACCACTGTTACTATGCTGAACAAAAAGAAAACAAGAGTTTACAAGTTTACCATTTTTGCTATCTTTCTCTTTGTTTTCTCTTTACTTCCTTAGAATATTCTTGAAGAAGCAGGATAAAGAGAGAAAGGGAAGATATAAAAGTAGCAACGAGATCAAGGAGGTTGGTTTGGATGTGAAATCATTTTATAAAATGCATTCAAGTGGATATTTTTATAATAGAATTTTTAAAATCATTTAGTTATATATCAACTAATCCAGAAATTTGGTATCTATAGGCAAGTTTAAGTTACAAATAAAGCAGGTAGGATTGATTCTACATATTTAAAAATAATTAAATGCAAATGATATACAGCAATATTCTAGAATGCTGTTCATGTTTGCTTTTTTTATTTTCTCAAATTAAAAGGAATATTAAAGATGGTTTAACTTCATTCCTTACCTGAAGATTGTCTACCTGAACTTGTACAGCTTCTAAAGAGCCAGTCAGCAGACGGAAGCGGGAAAGAGAATATCTGGCCTCCATGAGGTAGCTGTTTATCTCATCAAAGGCCACCTTGTGATTGTTCCATTGGTCAAACACGGACTTCAACAGTATCTTTAATTGCCCAACCTTTTGAAAGAGGCAGATGCTTCTTATAATCGCATAATATTTAAAATTTTAAATATTTAAAATGATGGAATTCATATTGAATTGATGGAAACATTAATATTTAAGAACTTCATCAGGTTTCAGACATTATAAATAAACTAGAAAAGAAAGATTTGAAAAGAAAGACATAGAAACACTGAAATTTATATACTTTTGTGAATTTTTGACCACTCAGTCTAAATTAGAATGCTTAAAAAAGTAACATACAACCTTTGAATGTAAATATACACAATATGTATTCTATATATCTATAAATATACAAGCAATAAAAGATTAATATATTTAACACCACAGTTTGGAAATATATTAAATTATTGTTTTAAATGCATTAACTCATTTAATTCATATAACAACTTTACGAGGTGGGTATAATTATTATCCCCATCTTACAGATTAAAAAACTGAGGCTCAAAAAGGTTATAAAAATCACCTGAAATCATACTATTGGAATATGAGAGACCTAGATTTGAATCTAGGCAGTCTGGTCCTAAAAAATGAAATAAAAATCTATCTATCTCTTCCCTCATTTCCTTTCTCTCTCTTTCTCTCTTTTTAATCTCACATATGCATTTTCACACACACACACATACACACACACACACACACCAACACTCAAATTCATATCTTAAGACAAAACATTTAAGAACATCCTTTCCCTAGACTTATCTGCAACAGAAAATTTAAGCTCTTTGTTTGGTCTGTGTTATTTGGAAAGATATCTACTTTGGACTTCTTGAATGGCACCCTTAATCTTCTAAATGTAATATTTTGAATAAGGTAGAAGTATGGCCATAATTAAGAAAAGAGATAATATAAATTAGTTTATATCTACATTCTCTGCTTTTGTTCTTAATATAAATAAAAAATGCTGAAACCAATCAAACTACTATCTAACGGGCCAAAGGACTATGAAAGTGCTGCTTCAGAAATGCTACAAAGCTTCGAGGTGCAGACAGGGGTGAGGGCTTAGTTTATGCAAGTCAGGGGCAGACATGAAAATAAAGCCAGGAAATTAATCAGAGTTTTTAAATAGTCTATTTCTTCTTTGTATTATTTTCACTTGCTTTTCATGAGATGTTTCTGTGAAAGAACCACTTAATTTACATAGTAAATTGTTTCCAAGATCTGTGATGATTTATAAGAATGCATAAAATTAAGTAAAACAGATTTAAAACTGGGTTAAAGATAAGGTAAGGAAAGCCCGGAAGGCTGCACCTAGAGAGGTAGATAGACTGTAAGGAGCTGTTTGCTGTACGCCATAGGTCCCAGTCACTTAACCTGTTTTTGCCTTAGCTCTCATCTCCGCAAACTGCCATGATAAGTACTCGCACAGATGTGTGCAGAGCAGATTTGTTGTTCTACATATTTTTTATTGGAAACTTCAGCACTCCATTAGGCATAGATTTATCAAATGTCTTCATAGAGCTTACATTTTAATGAGAGAAATTTAAACAAGTAGGCTGATTACTTTGTTAGAAGTTGATAAATGATAAAGGCAAAACAGAGAAGGGCTTCAGGGAATACGAGGTAGGGATGTGGAAGCTACCATTTAAAACAAAGCCAACAGGAAAGCCCTCACTGAGAGAGCAGATTTGAAAAAGTTTGTGGAGAGGGAGCAACCCATGTGGATACGTGGGAGGAGGTGTTCCAGGTGGAGGCGAGAGCCAGTGCAAAGCCCTTGAGTGTGAAATGTGCCGAATGAGTTAAAGAGTTAGGAAAGACCAGAAGCAAAATGAATGTGTGGGACAGAAGCAGAAAATAGGTTGGAGAGACCATAGAAGGCCAGGCAGGTCCTAGGGGCCTTCAGGCCCTCACCAGGCTTTGGCCTCATTTTTAATAAGACAAGAAGCTACTGGGGGCAGGGGAAGGGTTTGGTCAGATGAGTGGTATGACCTGGTTTCCATTTAACAGGAGCTCTCTGGCATGGAGGCCACTGGAAAAATCAAGGCCGGCAGTGATGTTGACTTATACCCGAGTGTAGGCTATGGAGATGGGGGAGGGTAAGATTCTTGATTTGTGCTGAAAAGAAAGCTGACAAGACTGCTGATGGATCACATGTAAGGTATGAGAGGAAGGAGTGAAGAATGACTCTGGCTTTTGCCTACGCAACCAGGCAGAGCAGTCATTAACCGGCATGGCAGAAAGCATATGTTTGTGGGGGAAGAACAAGTGTTGGCTTGGGCATGTGAGTTTGAGGTGTCTACTGGTCATGCAAGAGGAGCTGTCTATAAATTGAATTTCTCTCTCTGCCTCTGTCTGTGTCTATAGTCTAGGAGAGAAATCCAGGCTGGGGATTTACATTTGAGAATTGTCTGTACCTAGACAGTACCTATAGACGTGGGAATAGATGAGATTGCCAAGAGAGAATGTTCATAATAATGTTTATTATAGGAAATATCCAAAGCTAGACTTAAAAAAAAAGTCTAATAGGGGTGCCTGGCTGGCTAAATCAGGGAAGTATTCAACTATTGGTTTCAGCTCACATCATGATCTTCCAGGTAGGGAGACAGAGTCTTGTATCAGGCTCCCTGCTCATCAGTGAGGAGTCGGCCTCCTCTGCCTTTCCCCTTGTTCTCTCTCTCTCAAATAAATAAATAAAAAATCTTAAATAAAATAAGGAAGAGGTTAACGAAGTAGACCTAATATAAAGAGATAATGTAGAAATTCTGTAACTATTTACTGTTATTTTCAGAAAACCAAAACACCATGACATGTTTGGACACAAAACAGCCTTGGAGTCAGGTCTCTGCAAGCAATATTACCATGTGGTCTAAATTTGCCCAGGTTTGGTTCAGCTCCCGCAGCGTGCTCATGACAATGCCAGAGACTTCTTCTTTCTTGTTCTGAATCAAAGCAAGTCCACTCTGTTCAATTCTCTCTACCTCTTTTTCTTTTGCTTTAACCAAATCTTCTAGATCCTGAAAGATTAAAAATAGTCATTTTAAATTGTTCTATTGTGGAACTCTGTACACTGAAATTGAGCTATTACAGCCCCATATCCCCCCAAGTTTTTGCTAATCCAAAAAATTTATCATTCTAGAAGGAGAGGGTCTCCACAGCAATACTTGTTCCTACATTTAAATTTTTAAAATAGCCTTTTAAGGGAAATTAGCATAACTTTTAAAAAGTAAAATTTGATTACCTAATAAAGACAAGGCAACATGTAATTTTTTTTCAGGAAGTAAGAAGGAAAGAAATATATGTGGGAAATGGTAACATGATTTATATTCTTAAATTCATGAATCTTGGTGTGGGAAAAGTTACATAGTCCTAGGCCACAGGATGAAATGTAATAGGATGGTATTCTCAGTATCTGAGTTTAGTTACATTTCTGCTACTATTAAGATGTGCCTCTTTAAATTAAAAACTTCTACTGGGTCTCTTTCTTTTGACAGAAAATCAGAATCTCTTTTAGCCTTCCTTTGTCCCTGATTCTATATAATTCTGAAAGGTTATAGGCTTTTTTTCATGAATCAAATCCTATTTTTGGGGGGCATGTGCTTTTATAACAGTCAGCATGAATTCTTCAAAAAAGAAAATGCAATGAGGCAACATTGTGGAGATCAGCCTTAACCATACATTATAAACCAGTTTATATTTTAATGTCATTTTAAACTTTGGAAAGCTCATTTTGGATGGATGAATAAGTGGGAGATCAAGTCATATAACCTGTCTTGGATTATAGAGCTGGTGAGGCCTGGAGAAGGGATTAGAACCCAAGCCTGCTGGGTGTACTGACTCCTAGCACAGTGTTGGAAGCGAGTCCCCAGATGTAACCTGTGGAGAGGATGTAAGTTCCAGATGCGGCTGATGTGAGAAGCCATATATTAAAGCCTGGTTGCATGCTTATGTTCAGTAGTATATCTCCAGAACTAGATATGTAGATTTGTACGCACTGGAGTTTAAAGTGAAGAAAATTCCTAAATAATATACATGAAATGTCTTTTAAGCTGTTAAAAATTTGGCAAATGCAGAATAGTATTAGTCTATTCAGCTATTTGGTCATCAGCCATGAGTCAGTACTAATTTATTTATTTTTCTCTCCTTAATTATCATAAAGCTATTTTTTTCTTGATGTATTAATTGAAAATTCATTCAATTAGTAGCCTGAAGAGATTGTTTTTATTTTTAATATTTTGCTTTCATTTCTACATAATTCTGTCAATATTTTGACAGTTTTAATTGATCAGAGAATGAATATGGTGATTACCAGAGTCATAGGTCCTTTATGCAATATGGAAAACATAATTAATTTTACTATTTAAGGATTTCTCTCTCAACTTTTTAAAGGGTTAACCATAAATAATCCTTCCAACAAGTCTTTAATATAATTCTAAAATCCAGCCATTGAAATTAAATTTATCCTATTTATCCATAGATGGTAACTTTAGTGAGCAATATTAAATGAATGATCCATTACTTAGAAACACATCTCTAAAATGGTCTGCATGCTTATGCTGGCATAAAAGCAAAACCCAGGAAGGAAACAAGACTGACTGAAATATATACTTTGTCCAAAATGAAATTGTGTTTTTCTTTCCTTTCAATAATTAAAAGATAATTGTTTCTGATCAATGAAGAAAAAAGCCAAACCTAACATTTTTTTGCTCTAATAAATTATTCTTGAGTTAATTCATAAATATTATTTTTTATGTTGGTTTCAATTAATAAATCACCTCTGAAAAAGTGGGAAAATATTCAAGATGTTTTAAAGAAAATAAGCTTAAATCCAGTCACCGATTTAAGTCTGCTGGCTTGAATTTCACACTTTGGTCCAGAGGAACAATTTCTCAAAAATGACAATAAATTTTTATCTAGGTTTGTGGTACTGCCAAATAGAACCTGCCATTAAGCTGTTGTGATTTTTATGTGATGCCCCAAAATAATTGTGTGGGTTACATTCATTCGGTTCTTTGTTTCAAAAAATAAAGAAAGATTAAATTTGAAATATCTAATTGGCATTGTGTGTGAAATTCTCTAAACGACATTTCAAGCTTTCCCTCCTGACGCTGCCTGGTGTGACCTTCTGTGAAACTTGGCCAAGCTTCTGCTACATTTTCGATAGTATTGTCTCTGTTAAATAGAAGACGTGGTCATGAAAAGAAACAAAACAGAAAATGGCAGAAAAAAAGTACAGGAAAGAGAAGAAAAAACAGTAAGAAAAAGTAGTAGAGAAAGTAGAAAAAAAGAAAATTTAATGTATTGTTTCACTTTTAATAGTAAGGTTTATCACAATGGTATAACAAAGAAGCAGTAATGTTACTAATGCTAACACTTAAATGATCTTTTAACTTTGGTGGAAACATTTTAATTTAGAAGCTTAAGAGGTCTGACTTCTCATCCCTCAAAGGGAAATTGTGAAATTCTGGATTTTTTTGTACATTTAGATATACAAAATTGATGGCCCAAATTAGAAATACTGCAGGCCCCTGGAAAACTGGAAATGCAGTAAGATGCATACTTTTGGTTTTCAGTCTTTTATATGTCCATCTTCTGATGTGAAACATTTTTTTTTTTAAATTTAAAGGTATTTCTCTATATTACTTTCTTTGCCATTTTTATGTACTCTGGAAATTACAATCCATTAGCTTGTCGGCCTGGCACAAGAGCATCTGCTGTTCCTTTTCTGAATGGAAAAGCTTTGACTGAGAGCTTAAATATATCTCTCTTTTCAGGTGCCCCCAGGGGAAAAAAAAATGCTTGTTGGAAGGAAGATCATTATGAAAGGCCTTTCCCTTTGGAGTCTACAATATGAAAACAAGATTTAGGGAAAAGTGTTTCTGTAGAACTATTTCACAGCTGAGTCTTCAATTGTTCTTTGGAAATACTACAGAGAATAGTCACAGCTAATCTGTACATTAAAAATTATTGAATTATTTAAAAATTTTACTATAGCATTACCTGTAATGACTCATATTTCTTTTGTAATTCACAAGAATACCTAAGCAAATGTTAAGTGTTCTGAAGTCACTGGAAAACATTTAGAGTGTGCTCACTCCACCTGAACCAGAGATTCTTCTAATAGTAGAACAAGCATATGCTGCTGAATGCTTCCCATGGGACATGGAAGAAATTAATGGTGTCACCTGTGAAGTACTCTGCTCCTCAGAGCTAAAAACAGAATTAAATCAAGTTTCTGGTGCAAACTTCCCTTTACAGGAGATACAGAGGGGAAAAGAGCAAGGTAAAGGATATCTTAAATGAAGTCCAAGCCTCATCCAGAACCTGAGGCCAGTCTACAGGTTCTGCAGCAAGTTAATTGTATTAAGAAATATTAAAGAGGCTTAAGAGGTCCAATAACAAATGTAGCATGTGGACCTTGTTGTACCCTTATGTGAGCAAATTAACTGAAAAAAAAAAAAGACATTTCAAAGAAAACTGAGGAAACAGTATTATGAGTTGAGCACTGAATAATACTACGGGATTATTGTTAAAATTTTTGTGGTGATAATGATGTTATGATTATATAAGAAAATGTCCATTTCTTAAAGATGTGTATTATAGTATGCAGAAATAAGATGACATGATGTCTGGGATTCACTATAAAATATTTAAAAATAATTCAAGCAAATATGTCAAAATCTTAATAATTACTAAATCTGATGATCAGTATAGAGGGGTTCATAGCATTCTACTTACAAGTATATCTCAAAATTCTCATAATTCCAAATTCTTTTAAATAGGTGAAAGAACATAATAGTTAACAAAAAACTCTATAAACTCATATAATCAGAAAAACTCATTACCGAACAAAACTTATTTCAGTATCTAACTCTCAACTCCCAGGGTCATAAAACTGTGACCTATGCATGTCAGCGACCTGGACAAGTTACCTGACAGTCTTTCATTGCGTTCTGAACTGAAGCCTGATCTCCAATTCGATGCTGTTGCTTTAGTCTGTTTTCCTGGGTTTCATACCAAGTTTTCAGACTTTGTACATTATTTTCATATTCTGACCAAGATTCCAATAAGCCTTCCAACAGCTGGATCTGAACAAACATAATGAAATGAAATGTGCAATTTTATTTTAAACTCAAGCCACTATTTCCTCCAATTACTCAAGCCACTATTCCCTCTAAATTAAGAATTCTTACAATATAGTTTATTGGATATATGATTAAAAAATGAATCTTATAAAGTGTGAATCAGTGACTAGTATTGATAAGTAAGTAAAAAAGTCAACTTGAAAGGCAAAAGAAGTTAAGCAGCATCTTTTTAAAAAAGATTTTATTGATATATTTGACAGAGAGAGAGGGAGAAGAGAGCATAAGCACAAGGGGAGTGGCAGGCAGAGGGAGAGGGAGAAGCAGGCTCTCCATGGAGCAGGGAGTCTGATACGGACTCCATCCCGGGACTGTGGGATCATGACCTGAGCCGAAGGCAGATACTTAACTGACTGAGCCACCCAGGCACCCCATGAGGCAATTAAAAAAATAAAACAACATGTTAACAGGTGAAGAGTAGATGATATATAACAGAAAATAATGAAAAAGTAAATATTTGGAACAAGAGGATTCAGTGGTGTCCCCTGCAGAAACATCAATGTGCCCTGTGTAGCTATACAACTTGTGAAATGAGTCTTCTTTACAGAATGTGACTGTTCTTGGCATTTTCATGTAAATATGGACAGCAGAGGCCACTTGGCTTACCTTCTCAGTCACTAGACCCTGCAGGATTTGCCAACTTTTATTCATGGCTCCAAGTTGTTCAGCAAAATCAGTCTTATCACTGCGTTTACTTTCCACATCCTGACTACTGATTTGTAGCACAGACTGATTCACAAAATCAACTGTCAACTGTTTACAGTTAATATCTATCTTAAAACCCTGAAAAGTGAAGGGATAAAAATAAGAAAACAAGGCTATGCATATAAATATCTTATATTTTATCAGGAATTGGAAAGCCTCAAGTAACCTTAAAATTAATTTTATAAAAAAAAAAGATGAATTTTATCATTTCCATGATTTAGCCAGAAGGCACAAACTGCATATATTTATATAACTCATTATTATCAGAAGTTGAATATATATATGATCATCCTGAATCTATAAATTTTGAACTTATAAATATATTGATACAAATTTGAATTTATAAGATTTTTAATTTATTAATATGCTGAATGTAAATATATGTATATATTTTTAGGTAGAGGATGTAGAATTGGATAAATTGTATTATCTCACTAAACATGTTTATAAATTATAACATTTTTATGATTATTTAAATGACACAAAATCATATTCAAAATTATTCCTAGTACCAGACAACTTTTCTATGGTCTACAACTAGGGAGGCAATTTCCTTACCCTTGTACCCCTCTCTGGTCACTATGTATGAAACATATACTCCAAAATCTGATGTCCATAATTTGAGTTCTTTTGGATAAAAGAATCTTAAAATATGAAAAGTTAGAAAAAAGTTCCATTACCTTATATTTCTGAAGGTATTCATGAATTGCCTTGTAACCTACTGAATTTTGTATATTCTCTTCATCCTTTTGAATAACATTTTCCATAAGAGAAATCCAAGTCATAACTTCAGAAATGGCATGACGGGAAGGCAGCTTATCCATTTGGAGCTGCCCAATAAGAGACAGAATAAGACACAAGTGTTAAAATTCAAACCAAAATTCTTCCAACCTAAAACCCCTACATTAATATTTATTAATGTCCAACTGAGATAATGATTCCTAATGACATCTTTGGATCTTAACCTCATTAGAAACTTGAAATTAATCATCAGGCAAACACTGAACAATAATAGTCATCTTATGTTTACTTGACATCCAATACTATAAACATTGCATAAACATTAACTAATTAATCAAAATACCAGTAAGAAGAAAATATTATTCTTATTTTATAGCTAGTTTTATGAGTTAAAAAAACTTAAATACAAAACATTCAACAGATGTATTTTATTAATTATCTTGTAAAAATTTCTGTGTATTATGACTCAGGAATGTTAAAGGAAGAAAGAAAAATACCACACTACAAACTATCATTTTCTAGATTTTTGGCACTCTGATATTTATTCCTAAGAGCATAGCCAATTTTCTTACTCTTTAACTAAAATATACTTAGAATTCTGAATCTTACTTAATCTATCATACATTTTTGTAGATACTTATTATAATGATTTGGAGAAACAAAAGCAATCATTTAAAATATTTATGGACTTCTATGTGGTGCAGAAAGATATAGAGATAGATGTGACCTGTTTCCTGCCCCCTGGATGTGATAGCTGCTGATTAGGAGGGTAAGAAGGCATTAAACACAGGTATTATACCTGGTAGAATGATGAACATCAAAGAGAGATAAACATATACTGTCTGGGATCTAGGGGAGAGAAATGTATTTCCAGATAAGGGAAGTACTTACATTTATTGAATGCCAGTTGTTCTATTGTAGGTGAGATTATAGGTCTTTTCTATATAGTGTGATTGAATCCTCATAACTACCCACTTTATGAGGGAAATGTAGTCACCCATGTTTTACTCATGAGAAAACAAAAAAGTTTAAATAAGGACAGGTGAAGATTCTACTACACACACACACACACACACACACACACACACACACACACACACAGAGTAAAGAACTCCTTGGAAGATATGACATCTGTAGGTATGGCTTTGTAGAGCAGTTCACTTTTAGTATGCAGAACAATCCAAGAGAGAAAAGTCAAGATGTCCATGACAAAGCTGATTTAAATTTGGAAGTAAAAGCAGATTAATACTCCTTTCATTTAATATTGCTTAAATCAATTATTATGATTTAAACCTATGATTATTTTTATACCTGATGGAGCTTTTCCTGTACAGATGGAATATTTGTCAGCAGTTCAGTCCATTGGCTATCAATGTGTGACAGCTCTGAACGTAGGGCAGCTGTGTCTACTTTCTTTAATCGAAGAAGCTGATTTCCAGTGCTGAGGACAGACGATTTCAGAGAAGATTTGGCATCCACTTCTTTGGAAAACTCCTAAAAGAAGTAGCAATGTTCAAACCAGGATTAAATGGTCAGACCTTTAATTTAAGGAAAGAGAACCATTTACTGCATAAACAATTTTTCTTTACCTCTTGAGAGTTATGTTAAGCACTCCAGAGGAAAACAAAAGCAAGCAGACCATTGCCTTGAATGAAAGCCAACAACAAAGCCATTCCTTGAAAATTACTTTGATGAGGCAATTATTGACCATACATAGTTAACAATGACATACCCACTATAGCTTGGCTTATTAAGTATATAAAACTGAATCAAGTGCTTTAGATTCTTAGGCTTACCAGGAAGGCATTTAGATGATCACGGACCATTTCCAGTTCTTGTGGGACTGTCACAGATTGTTGAGTCCAAAATTCTAGCCTGTCTTTTGCAGATTGCAACCAGTGAATAAGTTCTGCAGATTCGCTTTGATATCTGTAATTATATTGATGAGCCTATTAAGTAAACATCCAATACATCTCTTCTGTTAACCCATGTTATTCAGCAATGCCAATTTTAAAACGAGATGCAACAGGTTTGGGAGAATAAATGTCTTGCATTCACACTGTCAATTTCTCTTCAAATTTATACTGTAAGCAAGTTTCAAGTTTCTCATTTCTAAGCTGAATGTAAAAATATACATATATCTTCCTCCTACTCCTTCACATTGAGGCTATTTATAAAATATTAGATGACTGCTATTAAAAGTTCTTAGAAATAAAGGTGGCACTGAAATAGAGTATTTCATTATGTAAAATCAACCTCCACTTTCTTGCATACTTCCTACTGCCCTTGAGAAACTTTAGTTTCTCAAACACACTTTCCTTCTATTTCTCCTAAGATTTTACTGTGACCACTCATATACAGTCAAAAGGCAAGGCAGGATCAAAGGTCCAAGATACAGTGTATCAGGCACTTGCTTCCCTGCCTATTTCTAATACATGTTTATACAATTACATAAGAATCTAATTAGAGACTTTGTTTTTGCCTTTATTTTTTAAAATATAAGAATAGTGCCTAAAGGGATCAAGTCTTTTTAAAGTCCCATACCCAGGAGCCTTATAAAGATTCTGTAACACTAATCTAAAATGATGTCTAGTAGTCATTGTATTACCTGGTCCAGTGTTTCAATACTGTTTCCAATCTGTGAAGTTCCTTAGACACTTTGTTGGTATTATTTAACCAGTGTTCTCCAAGTTGATTTAGCTGGCCTTCTAGATCTGAGCAGCTAATGGATATAAGCAGTCGTTTCCCATCATCTAATACCTGATATAATTTGGGCTGGTATTCATTAAGGCTGGATTTCAAGTGCTAAAAATGATTAAAAATAGCAGGTTAAATGTTTGGATGATACAATTTTTCTCTTTAAGATTCTAGTTCCTCTGATGTCCATAATGTTTCTGCTCCATTAGTCAGACTTCAAATATTTGCACCCAAGTAAGATTAGAAAATTTGAGATAGCTCATCAATATCTAAGTATAGATCTTCTTCTCCATTGTAGTCATTGTCGTCATCGTGGTTGTCGTCTTCTTCTTTGTAGTAACTTCAGGTACATTTAAAACTATCAAGTTAAAGTTAAGGATATTGTGACACCAGTATATACCACATAAAATGCTTGGTAGAGGCTAAATTTTTAGAGCTCTCTCATTTAAAAAAAAAAAGAAAAGAAAAAAGAGCTTTCTTATGTTCTATTATAAAGAAAACACTTAAAATCTATTTTGAACAATGTCAGTAGCTTGAAATAAAAGTAAAAGTACTTAATAAAATATTTGATTGTAAGTTTGTTTAGAGTCCTGTTAAAACCATGGGAAAATTTCAAAGAAAATATGGGTACTTTTCACACCAAGATGCCACTGGACGCTGACCTGATAAAGTGCAATCCGGTCAATGAGCCTGTCCTCACTTTCTTCCACCAACCCCACACTCGGGATGCTACTTTCCACCACCTCCAGCTGTCTGCTGAGCTCCTGATAGTCTTCATCCAGATGAGACCATGTCTACAAACATAGTATCAGTCAGTGAGCTAAAGAATCCTCATTAAGGAACAGTGGTACTTTTTTGTGTACAAAATATGCATCTGACAGATTCTCTTTAAAGTTATGTTGGATATGTTTGTGTTGGGGGTTTGCTCTGGGAAGCAAAGGATGGCTTTGAAGCAAGTAATCAGATGGTGACCCTGAAAAGCACAGGCTTTGGTATCTACAACCAACCAGCTGATGAACATGGGCAAGTCACTAAACTTCTCTAAACCTCATTTACAGTATTTAAAAAAAAAAGGATAATAGCTATCTTGTTCATCATGAGGATTTAGTGGAATAATTGGATGCAGTGAACCTGAAACACAGTAGGCACCTGATATGCACGGTTTCATCGTTACCACAGTAACAATGTATGATTTAAGTAAAAGGGAAGGATGTGTTTACTTCATGTACTAAAGCGAAGTAAATACATTACATTCACAAATAAAAAAAGCTATAACAGACATTTAAGAAATATAAATATATGGTGTAGATATTTTAATAAGGAGAAATCCCAAACCAGTCACTCTGAAATTCTGATTTTTATTTTATTTGAAACTGGAAAATCTTTATAAAAATTATTTGAAGCCTTTTTCAATAATGTAAAGCAAAGGTTGGCAGTTTTTCAGTGTGACTGTCGAAACCCCAAACATGGTCATGCTCTACCTGAAGTCAGTATTCAGGGAATATAGCTGACTCAAGGTATGGCATAGCTCTTATCCAAATACAAATAGGAAATACAAGTGGGACAAGTCAATTGGGTAAATATGTCTTGCCTTAATGGTGTGTTTTGCAGTTAAGTTTGCTGTAGGGAAGGTGCTATGTCAACAGTCTCACCTCTAGAATGTACTCCAACTCCACACCCCTCTTGTGGGCCCGTTTTAGTACAGCTGAAGCCTGTGCCATCAGTTCTGCGTGGAACTGAGTTTCCTGTGGGACTGCAAAGCTGATTATCTTTCTGAAGAGTGTTTCAGTCAAGATCATATGAGATTCCAGGCCCTGAAAATATTCCTGCAATTTTTCAGATAGAGAGAGGTCAGCAACTCACACATATACCACCTACAATAAAAGCTGCTTCAGATGTGAAAGCTAATAGAATTCAGTACATGAGCAACATCTTTCCATCCCTGCTCACCCCCACCTCACATAGGTATTCATGGCTTCCTGCCCCAAACAGGGCTCCAGTCTCCTCACTGGCCTCTCGTCCCCCCATTCATGTGCACCTACACAGGCTGTGCTGCAGATACTCCATCCCTACAACAGATGTGACCAGCTGCTAAAAAAAAAAAAAAAAAAAAAAAAAAGCCCTCTGCTCTCTAATGACTTATCCCTGTACAATCTGGGAGCCTCTCACTAATTACACCACGCAAACTGGCCTTCCTTATCCCTGGACACATTAGCTCCCAGTCCCTCATCTTCAGCCTCTGGCTTTACTCCATACTTGCTAAGATGTCCTCATTCCACACATTCACAACCTTTCTTCCTCTATGGTTGGGTTTGAGCTCTACTTTTCCAAGTTCCCACTTGTTGTGCTCCAATATTCACTGCCAAGCATAATTTGACATGTACCAATGGGTATGATACAGTTTTAAATTTCCCTTGCATTATACCTACACAAAACAGAATTACAGGCCTTGGACAGTCCTACAAATGTGTTTTCAAATGTTATTTTCTATGTGTAGAAGGCCCCAGAGGAGGGAGACAGAGATTATCCGACTTCCTGTTCCCTCCACTGTGGGTAGAGCTGAAGACTTGCAAATTGATAACAATATTTAGTACAGACGATATGCTGAAACTCTACCAGTGTTTTACTGACAAACTCAGTTAATCCTCGTAACACTTCTCTGAGGTATGTAGTTTTATTTCCCACTTGGTGGATGAGGACACTGAATGACTCAGTCTATAGAACATGTTCAAGGTCACTGCAGACCTCTCCCTCCCAAAATAGTCTGGTCAATAGAAGCCAGAATCTTCATTTTTTTAACTGACAATTATTGTATCATAGAATCTTTTTTTTTTTTTTTTTTTTTTTTTTTTTGTATCATAGAATCTTGAAGTTGGAAGAGAACTTGGAGGTCATTTAGTCCAACATTCACCAAAAACTGATACTCTTTTTACAACCCAATCTCCCCCTAATGGCCTTGGATGTTGTATGGTCTTCTCATGGCCAGGAAAGTTGTCTGCTCAATGGCAGCCTATTCCTTTTAGAGTGCTTTACCTATTGGGCCTACTCCTCTGTTATTTATACTCATTGATCCTAGCTTCCTCTCTGGAATAACTCAGGATGATATTTTATTGCTGTTGTCAAAATTTGAGGGAAACCAGCTGTGAACTTTAAAGCAATTTTTTCAAAGCCAAATGATAAGGCTTTAATAAATCACAAAGTTTTGGACAAAAATCTCTGGGAAAAATAGCAAGAAGTAAAACTAAAAAAAAAAAAAAAATTCACCTTTATAAGCCATTACAGAGCTACATAATGGTAGAATGTTAACTATCTACAACCCAGTGAGATTTTCAAAGTTTCCATGTATGACATTCCTACAGTCTAGGAGTTTGGGTTTCTGGATTGGCAAACCTAATCTTTCTGTAGTCTAAAAATGTTTGTGTGTGCACATTAAATAGGCATTCCTTTACTAAGGTGTGGTGTCTAACTTGAGCTTGGCTATGGCACATATTGTTAGGGCAATCTCAGGCCTACCAGTTTGATCACATAGTTAAAGGACTCATCCTACAGCAACAAGAGGAACATGTGCTTACAGGCCAGAAGAGCTGAGTGATGGACATAAGAGATAGACACCCAGACCTACAGCTGAGTAGGTAGCTCTGCTTTCCTAAGGTGTGGCGAGCAGCTGCTACCCAGGACAAAGAAAGGCAGAGAGAATACTCAGAGCTAGATGAATAAATGGGCATAAAAGACCCAAAGACAAATCAAAATAGAGTTAAGAGGGAAGCCAGGCACTTTGAAGAAAGTCCCCAAGTTTCCATTTGGTTGCAGTAAATGATGAAGAAAAGCCTGGCTAATATTACTGGGACTGTTGTTATTCTTTTTTTTTTTTTTTTTTTTTTAATTAACTCCATGCCCAGCATAGAGCCCAACACAGGGATAAATCTCATGACCCTGAGATCAAGAAGTAGGCCAAGATCAAGAGTCAGATGCTTGACTGACTGAGCCACCTAGATGCCTCTGTATTCAATTTACAGAATTAGAGGAACATATCCTCTATAATTTTTCTGTGCTATTTAATGTCTATGGATTTGAAGAGACATTTGTTGACCATTTTGAAGAGTAATTTATTCAAGGAGGGACTCATAAAAGATTAATATTGGGTTTTACCATGTAGATACATATCAGTAACTAAGAATATGCTTTCACAACTATTTTCTCTCTCTCTCTCTCTCTCTCTTCCCCTCTCTTTCTCTTTACCTTATGTTTGTCAAGTAGTTGTTGAATTTCCTCTTTGGAAGACACAATGATTTTCTGGTCAACTGCCATCTTCTCCTGTCCAGTCTCGAGCAGGTCAGCCAGATCTTGCAGGGCCCTTTCGTACTGACTCTTGAGTGCAAGGTTCTGGTTCAGACCACTCCGCCGGGAGCCTATGGTCATCATCAGTTCATCATACATATCCTACAAAACAGAGACAGTGATACTCACTCTCAATTAGTATGTTGGCTCTCCTCTGAAAAGCATACTACCTATCAAACCCATGACTCAACCAAGAACACTCCTTCAGGTAAAGATGAGCACTGCCCACATGAGTCTCTTTGAAAACTTCCTTCAAAAAAGATAAGCTAATATTTTAACATTCACAAAGATATGCAAAAATGTTGGCTAGAAATGATGTGAGGTAGACTTGACAGCTCTCTTCTCGGGGTATCAACAGTTTATGGTGGTATATGGGATCAAAATGTTGAAAAGTTGTTCATGGGCTGAGGGAAATATAAGTGTAAATTCTAATTTTCTAATGTAATTCTAATTTTTATAATGTTCTTAATATTTACATAATTTTAGAGTAACTGAATAGTATCTTTCACTTTATCTGCTAAGTAATGGTCAGATTTTGGACTATTCCCTAAATAAAGATCTAGAGAAACAGAGGAGTTTAATGTGAGCAGAATGCCTTAAGACTTAAAAAGGCAATGTTTTTGCCAAATGTGGTGGAGTAAATAAATAACTATTTAAACTGGAAAAGACATTTTAGGAGATGATGATACACCAAACACAAAATTTATTTGAACCATATGGACCTGATTAATGTATCATATTAAGGTTTAGCAGGTCAAAATGGTTCAATCTGGAAAAGTTCAACTTTAATGTCCATTTACAACTATGACGTTTGACTCTTCCACCTGACATTTAAGCACTGTTGGAAAACTGTCTAAGTGCAAAGTGGGGGCAGTGGGCTCATGACATTGTGAAATGTTAGATAATGGAATGAGACAGTTAAAATAAAAATGTTCTTTTAAAAATAAGGGCTATTTTATTTTCTCAAAAGGAAGAACTTGTGACCTTGTGCTGAAGTTATGCTATTAATCCCTCAATGGTTCTCTGTAATGCAGAGAAAACTTAACATGTGTGTGTCACTGTACACAATTTTTTCTTAATGTAATTTAACTATGTTGCTTATCAGCTGCTAAATTTTGCTGGTCTAATATCCCAGTTCCTCCCTACGTCCCCATATTGGATTTCTGCCTAGCAGCCTGGTAGAAGAAAGCAAATTAACTCCAATTATTTCCCAATCCTGAAGGATCCTGGGAAATCTATTTAGGTTTCACCTACCTTCTAGTTTATTTTTTTCTTTTGTTCTGGTATTGACACTGTGTCCCTCTTCTATCCGGACATGTTGGAAAGATTAACTATAGTTTTGAAATACCAGAGAAAAACTACTTTCTAAAAAAATATTAGCTTGAGCCTTTTTTCTTTAAAATAGTTTTTTGAGGAATGCCTAGGTGCCTCTGGTTGAGCGTCTGCCTTTGGCTCAGGGTGTGATCTCAAGTGCCTGCATGGAGCCTGCTTCTCCCTCTGCCTATGTCTCTGCCTCTCTGTGTGTGTGTTTCTCATGAATAAATAAATGAAATCTTAAAAAAAAAAGTTTTTTGAGGTCCACTACAATGCAGGGTAGATGTCTCTCTTTTAACTCGTCAAGATAGGAGTGATGGTTATTATGTTTTCTGGAGTAGAAAATAATATGCAACAACTAAAGGCATATATATAATAATGCTTAACCACTAGAATAATAATAAAGTAAAGGTCAGAAAAAAATCTTAGAAGTTTAAGAATACAATTTATCACATTAAACCTGGTAAAAGTTTCAGAAAAATCTCTAAGTGTTACTTAGAATAAAGATTAGGATCTAAATGAAATGAATTGTATAGAAAAAAACCAAGAAAATAAAGAAAAGAATTTCTCTTAACTTCTAGTTAGGATGTATCATTGAAGCTGATTGGTAGAAAACTGTACCTGAAGTTTGGACAGTTCCTGCATGGAAGGCTGCTCAATCTGCAACTTGTCACCACGCCTTTTTAATTCAATGATTCCTGCATCCAGTTCCTTTAGCCCATCTTCAGCCTGTTGTATTGCCTATGTAAGATTTATGATATTTCATTCAAATTCCTATTAACAATTTCCCACACAAAATGTGATTACTAGGTCTCTCTATTTGTTCTCTCCACAGTAAGTACTTTCAATGCCTACAAAAGGAGTCATTTTAATACAACATAAAAACCATGACCATCTAGTATATAGAAAAGAGAAGGAGGTCCTTTATTATACCACAGTTGGCTACCCTACAGGTAAGGAGGTAGGAGGGACTTCATTTGGAGGGTTGGGAGGACAGTGGCTTCCTTAAACAAACATGGGAATTCATAAACAGCAAGATCTGAAAAAGAAGCATAACTTTAGGACATGGTTAGAAAAGATATTTGCCTGAGATTTCCTAGGGGAACGTGTTTTGGTTTCCAGAAATGCATTTTGAGCATCCTTATAGAGAGATTCTCAGTGAGGTAAGAGGAAAATATCTCACAGCATCGTTAAACAAAGCTCACTCTTTGTTTAGTGGAAAAGCAAGTGATCAAAATTAAAGTGGCTGCTGGCACTATGCCTCATCTTCCCAGTGTGAATTCTATAGAAGTAGTACAAGCTCTCACTCTGGCCTTCAAGGAGCTTACAGTCTGGTTAGGAAGTCAGAGTAAACAGAGCAACACAAAACAAGGATGAATCCAATGACATACTCAACTTGATGCAACTTACCCCTGTTAGAGGAGTTTGGAGAAGAGAGACAGCAGTGGATTCTGGAGCAGTTAAAGCAGACTTTTGGAAGAAACACAACATTAGTTGCACTGAAGGATGAAAAGAACATGGGCTCCAGATGGCAGATGAAACACATGTGTCTTATTTTCTCCTTCCTGAATCATTTACTACAACCACAGTAAATATTCTGTTTGCTTGTTTTTTGGTGCCCCTCGCCTGCCCATAAATCTACCAGGACAAAGAAATGGGAAATAAGGCAATACCAACAAAATTTTGAAAATTGGAATTCAGAAGCATACAGGATAACTGACTTAAGACATCTGAGAAAGCTGAATCCTAAGTTCATGGGAGAGCTACATCACCTGACTTATAGCAATAGGAATCTCTGGCACTCTGGGTGGGTGGGATGGGGCACCAAATAAGGAGGGTTGATAAAAAGCTGTTTAAAGAGCAATGAAATTTCCAGAGCCTCTTCCTCATTCCACATGGCCCTTTTTCCCTTCTCTAGGAAAGATGGGGAGTTTATTTTCTAGAGAAGGTAAAACAAATAGTCTCTGGACTGAGGGGTACCACATAGTTGTGAGTTTGAGTACTTGACTGAAAATAAGGGATATGTGACTGAATGCCCACAGAATGCTAAATGGGGAGCCTCTCTGACATATTCTAGAGTAGTGCAGCCTGACCTCTAGTCTCCAGACAGGGGAAGAGAAAAAAAATGTAGAAAGACCATTAGAAAAAACTAAAAACTGGATACAAGAATTCTCCAACAAATAGCCCACATGGCCCAACATTCAGTAAATCTCAAAACCATCAAGCCACATCCATACACAAAGTTCCCATTCAGCGGTTTAGTTTTCCATCCTAAATGTGAAGAGACAACAATAGAATTTCCATAATCTCAGAAAAGTTGCTAACATGAAAGATGGAGCCTAAAACAAATGAATAAAAGCAAGTTGAAGGGAAACAGACTATATAGGAAAAATAAAACTCTGGCCAAAAAAATCATTAATATATCCAGAGAGATTACAAAAGATAATGCATCTATTAGAAAAAGAACAGGATACTACAAAAAAGGATCATTCAGAGAACCACAATGAGCTCAGGGAAAATGAAACAAATGAGAGCAGAAATGCAAAACTCAGTAGGAAAATTTACAGTTGAAATCAAGAAGTCTTCCAAAAAATAGAGCAAAATACCTTTTAATAAAATAAAAAAAAAAAGACTGAACCAGAATATCCAACATCTGCCTAAAAAGAGTTCCAGGAAGAGAGATAAAATGGAGGAATGAAAAATGTTAATCCATTAGTCAATTTTCCAAAATGGAAAGAGGAGAGCTGCCAAATCAAAATAGCCTACTACACTTCCAGTCCACTGGATAAAACAGCCCCTTCCCAAGGTGTGTCACTGTGAAATTTCAGAGCACTGGGATACCTCTGGGAGTTAGAATGATTTTAGATTCCTCAAGCCAACACCAGAAGATAGAAAACAATCAGGTGCCTCAAAATGCTATAGAAAATTGATTTCCAATGAAGAATTTTATAGTGAGCCAAGTTATCAATAAAGTGTGAGCACAGTATAAGGACCTTTTAAGATATGCAAAATATTAAAAAAATACATCTAGCATGCATCCTTTCTTAGTAAGGATATGCGCTAACAAGACAAGGAGGCAATACAATAAAGTCAGACTTGAGACTCAAAAAGTTGACTGAGAAGATCCAACAGAGGGAAAAGTGATGAAAATTCTCAGAATAGTGGTAAAGGGCATCCCTGGAAGTCACCTGTGCACCAAGCTTGTGGAGACAACAAGTCTATTCTAAATCAGAATGACACAGCTCAAAAGATGAATATATTGAGAGATATCATCTTCATGCTTTCTGCTATTATTACCTTTTAACCCAAGAAGGGTTGAGGTGGAAAAGCACATTTTTTTTTGGTGCTTTCCTTTTATTCAGAGAAATAGTCTAGGGGATTCACTTTATCTGTGGGATTCACTTTAGTGATACTGGTTAGTAATTAGTAAAAATGTTACTTGTGATCATACATATCCTATATTTCACATTAGAAAATCAAGGCAAACATCATTATAGCTGCTGAAATCTTTTTTTTTTTTTGGAGTCAGGTATACTAAAAGGCAAAAATTAAAAAGTAAAAATTAAAAAGTTCCTTCAAGTAGAAGATATGACACAGAAGAATGCTTTTTAATTTGGGGGAAATGCGGGATTTGTTTTAAAAAGCAGATGAAATTATGGTAAAAAAATATACATTCACATACAATTTTGCAAGTTATTTTAGGTGATCTCTCGGATGGATGGATAGATAGCTCTAGATATCTACCTTGAGAAATATTTCAAGGGATTTCTATCACAGATGATTCTCTATAGTCTACTCATAGAACCCTTAGAGGTCTGCTGAAATTAGGTTAAGAAATTCTATTTCTAAAACACATACTTTTCATAATTACTTAGCTTGGGAAACAGGAGATATTATATGTAACATCCTTCCCATTACTTCTTTCCTCCCTGTTTCCAATGACATCACACAAGTTAGAATTCTCATTCCTTCTCATCAGTGCAGCTATGTGAAGCTTCTTGAGGTATATGATGCTTCCTAACCTGGCACTGCCATGTCCACCATCCAGAAACATTTTTGCTTTCAAACATCCCTGCTGACTCTGTATTCCCAGTGGTCAAGTGCAGACACCCAAAAGTATATGTAATGATTTGTGAGGATGAAACACTACATGTTTCATTTATGTTCAATCATATTCTTCTGAATGTTTTTGTATTTGCTTTATAACACTACCTGATTCTAATTCATAAATAAGTAAATATCCATATACTTGTGGTGTATGCTTATTTTTTTAACTAAGGAGGTATGGCATCAATAAAGTTTAGAGACCACACTGGTTTGTAGAATGAAGTCCAAATTTCTCTGACATTCAAAAGGCCCTGCAAGCTGCCTCAAATTCATCCAAACTCATGTCCCCTCAATTGTTTTTCATTCATCATAAATTCACCCAAGTAGGATAACTTGATATTCTCTGGAAGTGCTCTGAACGGTCTGACATTTATGCCTTTGTTCGTGTCCCAGTCTCTGTGTGTCCAAACTTCTCAGTCCGGTTCAAATTTTCCTTTACAAAATGTCCTCTGATCATACCCCTGCTGGAGGCGGTCTGCTCCTCTTCTGAATGTCCACAGTGCTTCATCTGTATTGCCCAAGGACAATTTGACTTTCTGTCAAATGTCACTAAGGCTCATGTCTAATCTCAGTGTTAAGTGGCAAACTTCTTTAAGTCATCATCTGTCACTGACACCTTTACCCATCTCCTATTTCCTGCTTCCGTACAGGAAGAGGTGATGGATTCCATATCACTTGGCCAGTCACTCAAACCTGGCACTTAAAGACAAAATGTATGACAAACTAAAATGCTATAGTAAGCCATGAATCTTTTATATAATATTTCAAATCTCCTAGTAAATCAGATCTACTCTATGCATTTGTTCTTCTGGAAAAAGGCAACTGTAAATACCTCTATTTGCTCTGCCACAGGTTGTTCAAACACATTTGCCAGTTTCTGTAGAATGATGTATTTGTTGTCAGCCAGTGATGTACACAGCACCTTCAGATCATTCTAAAGAGGAAAGCAGTAGGAAGACTCAACATGTGTAACAAGGAATTCAAATTGTTGTAAAACTAACACACATTCTTAGAAATAACATATAGGTGTAGGAATTTAGTGTCCAGGAGAAACAATATTGTCCCAGGGAAAGGGAAAAGGAACTGGTAACAATTTATCTAGATGTTAAAATTGATGTTTGATGAATTTATTATACTAAGTATTTCCAACACAATACAAATAGTGATGAAGCATACAAATAAAAGGCAGTACTAGTCACCCTAATTTTCTTGTTATGTGGGAAATAAATGTGCATATTTAAACACTGCAGTGGAAATATTACATTAATGATTTCTATTTAGTAAAACAACCTAAGTTTGTTACTGTTATTTGAAAAAAAAATGTGATCATTTTATTTTATTTTATTTCAATTTATTTTACATTTTTTACTTCATTTTTAATTTTTTTTTATTTTTTTACTTTATTGATATGTCCAAATTTTATTTAAAACTACATTTTAGGGTCAGCCCGGGTGGCTCAGCGGTTTAGCGCCACCTTTGGCCCAAGGTGTGATCCTGGAGACCCAGGATCGAGTCCCATGTCAGGCTCCCTGAATGGAGCCTGCTTCTCCCTCTGTCTGTGTCTGTGCCTCTCTCTCTCTCTCTCCCTCTGTGTATGTGTGTGTCTCTCATGAATAAATAAATAAAATCTTTAAAAAAATAAAACTGCATCTTAAATTTAATGAAAAATGTGATTCTTAAGATTAATATAATTCCTTTCTTCCTCTCTCCCCTCATTCCCTCTCTCCTATACTTCCTTTTTTCTCCTTTTTTCAGAGAATTTGCATAAGCTTATAAAAAGCCACCCTGAAGTGTAGAAAATAAATTTTATCCGTGACAACCAAAGACATATGATGAGACAATACAAAAAGACCTTAGTAAAGCCTGTTGTTCAAAAAGATTACTCACTTAAAAGTCTAAATATGTATGTTGAGTTACATTTACACAACAAGAAAGTTAACTATCAGAATTTTGGTCCTCAGTTCTACAAGAAATAATGAACTGGAACAAAATTTGAATGCTATAATTCCTAGCTTTCCTCCCTGAAATGTCGCAAATAAGTTCTACTTATTGGTCAACAAACGATGGGATGGTTGTTCAACAGAGGCTGAAGTTTTGACTCATCACATCCTCTTTGCTGGGGACTGATGTTATATACACAAGGATACATCACCAAGATGTAAAAATCTGTCCATAAGGAGAAAGTTAATAACAAGGAAGAAAAAAACATCTCTAAGGATGTGTGCCAGCCTTATGACACAAAATGCAAGGCTAGAAAAGAAAATAGTGAGTGGATTATGCAGCAAAATAAAAAGAAAAAAAGAAAAAAATTGCACATGAACATTAGAGAAAGCATACGATCCAAAGAGGCAATAACTGTCGCTAACCAAAACCCAAACCAGTCTGTGCCTAGTTGTGGATTCATTAGGAAATTGTTGTAACAGCCCTGGAAAAATGATGCCAGAAGCAAGGTTTTTACTTATGAATTATAGCAATGTTTGTATTATTCAACTGTGCTCAGGGTGAGGCCATGTGGGCAATTAGGATGATGACATATTTATCTGTTTGTATGCCTGGGAAAAGATGTTTCCCATTCATTTGAACAGATTCAAAAGAAAAGGTCTCTATTAGCTATATATATTTAGAATAACATTAATTCAGTTAATCTAAATGAGTAAATAAGTCTAAATAGTATAGCGGGTTAGAAATGAAGATTGTGGAGGTGCCTGGCTAGTTCATTTGGAAGAGCATGAGACTCATGATCTCAGGGTCTTGAGTCTGAGCTGCACGTTGGGTGTAGAGATTACTTAAATAAATAAACTAACTATCTAAAAAAAAAAAGAGAGAAAAAAGAAATGAAGATTGTAGAGATACTTCCTGTACATCATCTTTATATTTTCAAAACATACTTTCTGTCTTAATTATATTGTACTAAAGCTAACAGAAAACAGAATTCACATTTCTGTAAGCCTCACTAATTACTGAGAGGGGCCAGTCAAGATGATACTAAAGCAGAGAATATGATTGACTTAAAAATTACTAAATAAGAGACCCTGAAGAGGTGTTAATAACCATAAGGATGTAACCATAAGGATGTTGGTTTTTTTTTAAACTTGTTTTTAAAGATTTTATTTATTTATTTGAGAGAGAGAAAGAGAGTACAGGAACATGAGTGAGGGGGAGGGGTAGAGGGAGAGGGACAAGCAGCTCCTTGCTGAGCAGGGAGCTGACATGGGCCTCAAATCCAGGACCCTGAAATCATAACCTGAGCTGAAGTCAAGATATTTAACTGACTGAGCCATGCAGGCATCCCATGGATGTTGGTATATTTTTAAAAATTAAAATCCAAAGACTTTAGCTGGTTTTGTCTCTCCACATGCAATACAGCAGGATAATTAAGGCATCTCTATATCACACACATATCAGACATCACAAGTTTTATCATATGGTCACTGGCATTGCTTGTAGGACATAGAGAGGCAGGATTCTTGCTTTTTAAAAAACAGGTGCATATAAGGTTTCAAGTCTTAAAATCATCTGTGCTGCCTCGCTCGTTTAATAAATAATTCTTTCATTTTTTTCAGTTTTTAAATAAAATAGTCAATTATAAAAATGTCTAGTAAATTTATTTGAGGTTAAGTCTATAGAAAAAAAATAGAATAGTTGATGATTAACTTGTGATTCCATGGAGATAACATACATTTACATACCATCAACATGTTCTTGCAGATTGTCTGTTAGGTATAGGACAACATTAACAGCCTGACAAAAGCCAATACTCAAAAGTAAAATGGAAAATAAAGGCATATCATTCCATTATCTACTGAGCACTGACAGCATACCAGGTGCTTGGTGCAAAGTAAAATAAAATGACCTTTAATTATATTAACTTTGGAACTATGTCTTTCAATTAAATTGGAACACAAACATTTTGAAATGTCAGTTGTTGTTCGTGAGCTGGCCACCAACAAGGAGAAACTTGTTGGCAGAAAAAAATAGGGAACATGATTTAAAGGGAATTTCATGATTATATGTCCTTCTCTTGGTCCTCTAGAGAAAATCAGTTCCAGAGTATTTATTCATGCTTAATTCATATTTTACTCTGACTGGCTATAATTACCAATAAAAATTTTAAAGTACTTTAGGCACTAGCATAGTAAAAGCGATTTGAAAAGGGAAGTATGCTTCCAAGTGATACACACATTTGTACTTTTAACCCCCCTCACTGGTGGCTGATAAACCAACCAGAATACTGTTAAAACTCAGTGCATTTTATGCAAGTGCATTTTAGAGTAATGAAACAAGTTTCCATAAATTACACAACACTTTTGCCGATTCTAGACAGATGGTGTATACATGTACACACAATCAGGTCTTGCATCCAAAACAAAATATCCAAATAATCAACCCCAGCTTTTCTGATTCCAAGTGAAATGTGTTTTCCTCTCTATGACCTACATGTCATAATCAATACAAATGCAAATATCTAGTCCAGGCCATTCCTCAAAGCCAGTCTTGTATACTCAAATGTAGACTGCGGCTCTTCACCTGAGTATTTTAATTCTATGGCATATCCCTGTCCAGCCAGCAGCTCAGTGCTGTCCATTGGTCAACAGCACTGCTCTTCACCAGCCCTGTCAGTCCAGGTCTCTGGACTTCCTCAGCAGTGCTCCTTTCTCTCACTCTCCATTTCTAAGCCACAAATAAATATGCTCCTATCGAGTCTGTCTTCAAAATACATCTTGAAGGGGTCTATTATTCTCCATATCCACTATGAGCACCCTAATGATATAAAATATAAAAATGTTCTTTGAGTCAAATCCTGGCTCTACTTCTTGATGGTTGAATTAGCTTAGAGAAGTAATTTAAACTCCATATTGGTTTCAGATTTTATATGTGTCATCATGAATACTGCTATTAATAGCAATAACAGTAACAGAACTTACTGAGTGCTTACTATGTTTCAGGCACTGTTCAAAGTATCTCCTACATTTTAACTAATTTTACCCTCACCAAACCCCATTAGACAGTTATGATGGGTGTGACTTAATAGTCAAGGACACTAAGGCTCAGAGAAGCAGCTAAGCATATATAGCAGTAGATGACAAAGCCAGAATTTGAACCCAGGAGGGCTGGTTTTAGAAACTGTCCTTAATTTTTTTGTTCTTCTGACTTTGCAAAATGAGTATGAGAATAATGCTTAGCTAAGAAGTATGTTGTGAAGATTAATAATACAGGTGAAATTTTTTTGAGAATAAAAAATGATACACAAATTTTTCTCATAATTTTTTTGTAGTTTTAAGAATACAAATTACTGAAAGGCAGTAATAATCTGTCTCTGTAGGTGAATATCTAGAAAATTCCACATATCTTGGCTGATATTACATTTACACTTTAACAGTATTTTTTACAAATCAAAATTTTATATCAAACTCTTGGCCCTAATTATGTAATTTATAAATCATCCAGGTTTCTTAAAAATAAAACTCAATTAGGGGCTCCTGGGTGGCTCAGTCAGTTAAGTGTCTGAATCTTGATTTTGGCTCAGGTCATGATCTCAGGGTCATGAGACTGAGCCCCATGTCAGGCTCTGTGATGGGCATGGAGCCTCCTTAAGAGTCTTTCTGTCCCTCTCCCTTTGCCCTCTCCTCATCTGTCTGCCCTCTTCTAAAAAAATGAATAAATAAATGAAACTCAATTAAAACTTACGTATTCCCAAAAGATGCTTTCTATTAGAAATGGAAATCAACTCAAAGTTTATCAGTGGCTTTTGCACTTGCTGAAGTTTATAGTCTAAGGAAAAGTTTCATAGGCAGACAATTACTCAGCTGGCAATGGAACTCTAGTCTAGGGCTAAAAGGCAGTAAGTCTGAGGAGTTAGGAAGTCATGCTGTAAACTTTTAAAAAAGATTCGATTTATTTATTTATTTATTTATTTATTTATTTATTTATTATTTACTTCTTTAGTGAAGTGGGAGAGGGGCAGAGGAGAGAAAGAATCCCAAGCAGACTCCATGCTGAGCGCTGAGCCCCATGTGAAGCTCGACCTCTCAACTCTGAGATCATGGCCTGAGCTGAAATCCAGAGTTGGATGCTTAACTGACAGAGCTATCCAGGTACCTCAACACCATGCATTTTTAACAGAGATAGAAGTAAGTAGGCCATAGTCATTTTTAATAGCTCCTGGTCAATGGAGTCTAGGGTTCTAGATAAATACTTGTGTATTTATTTAGTTATGTTTTAAATAAACTTTGGGTTTATTTAACTTAGGGTTCTAGATAAATAAATACTTGTGTATTTATTTAGTTATGTTTTAAATAAACTTTGGTTATATGTTTTAAATTCCAATTATCAATTAAATATTATAATCATGACTTATAGGTTAAATTTAAAGTTCTATTCAGCCCTTAGTTTGGTTAGTTGGTTTTCTCAACTTTCTATTTCTAGGAACATTAAACTAATCCTAGAGCTCTATTCCCTTATTTTTCTGTAATGTTCTTGTTCTTCACTGCATACTTGGAAAAAAAAATAGGTCTATGTCATACCTCAGTAAGACATCCTGCTTATTACTGACTATAGCTAGAGAATGATCAAACATCTCTTGATGATGTATTACCTGGAAATTTAGTATTTGCTGAAGTCTTTCCTTCATCTGATGACAGCGCTGATTTACTACTGAATCTAGCAAGGACAACCTGCCCAAAAGACAACCCAAAGTGTCTTCAATGACATCTCGGTTATCACCATTCTCTGGAAATGCTTGGGAAAACAAGTTCCTGTTCTTATCCATTTCTTCAGACATTTCCTTAATATCTTTGGCAAGAGTCTAGGGTTGATAAACGAGAAAGCACATTTTAATGCTTAGATCCATGAGTCTATATACAAATCAACTAATTTTGTTATAGAAAGTCCACTATATCTCTCCTACTTTTCAGTGATAATTATACATCAGGCAAGTTGACCCACTTTCACTTCTATAAATATTAGGGAAGCTGATACTGGAGAGATTTTTCTCAGAAACTTTACATCATTAACTAATATTAATAATATGTATTCAGTGAAAAATGAGACTTTGTAAAGGGCTATTTAAAACTCATACAATATTTTTAGGCTATGTTTCATATGTAGAAAATTTACAATACACAACAAGTTTCTACTAAGAGTCCTCCACTTTTTTCTTCCTGCTACATATATAAGATAGAGAACAAAAATGCAAAACATTAATATCTCTGAGAGATTTTTACACTAGGGAGTTCTCTTCTGCATTATGCTGCTTGGAAATATGCCTAATTTGTTCTTTATTAGAACTGTTTTATGTTTGACCTTCCTTATACATTAATTTTCCAACACCAAGATTAAAAGTGCTTTCTAATATCACATACTCACACACACCAGCTGCCAAACTTACCTCTTGGTTGAAGAGGCAAGCTTCTGTTTCTTCTGGTAAAAGTGCTGTGGCAACAAATAAACGTTCCTCAACATCATCCAACCATGTGGAGGTAGCGGACACCCCATCATATAACTTTTGTTCCAAGTGAATGTTCTGCCTCTTTTTCCCCCCACTCTGAGAAAAAGGAGAGGAGGACACAGAATTAATTATAGTGCTTTCAAGAATCAAAGAAAAATATCAGGATGAGATACCAGGGTCCAGTGGCTCTGCCTTTCAGGGCTAATCACTTGTGCTTGATCTCAACCGTTCATGCCCTGAGGTAGAACAACTTCATGGAGACCAAGATTCATGAGCAAACCAAGAGTGCAGCCCTACCTGTGATGAAACCTCTTCGAAGACCTGGTTCAATCCATCCAGCAAAGATGTCACTGCAGATTTGTCTTGGGTCTGCCCATCCCCTTTGTATAGTGGCACACCAGACAGGAGCCGATTTGGCCTGCTGTATAGCTGTGGGCAAACAGGGGCACTTATTTAAGAGCCTATGTACTATGTTCAGGTTTCATCATTTAGAATTATACTGTGAAGTAGATGCTGGAAAAACTATCCATATATAAAAACTTCTTCTAGAGAAATATGACCTCTTCAACATATCATGTCCACTAAACATGGTGACCAAATTCAGCAAGAGTAATATTTCTACTGATGGACTAAACAACAACAACAACAACAACAACAACAACAGCAAAACATGGTGGGAAAAATGCCTGAAATCTATCACAGCCTTCCTCTCAACTTGTCTTCTTGGTTTTAGACTACCCATGATGAAATCATCCATCCTAGATAACAGATCTAGACTGATCCTTATGCTTTCTTCATTCACCTAACCTCCCCTAAACGCTTGTAGGCACACAGAGTGTCTCCCTGATAAGGTCCACGATATCGCTTAAACTTGATTGGAAACATCATTCAAAAGTTTGAGTGTTATACTTTATAAAATGTTTGAGTCTTATACTTTATAAAATGTCTCATCCTCACCTTGCCTTTCAGGCTGATTACTCATTATTCTCTAAACAACTCCTTTCCCACTGGAGCTAGAACACCCACCATACAGCACCTCTTTAAAATCCACCACCTCAAATTCTACACCACTACAATAGCCTTCTACTTTTTTTTTTTTTTTACTTCTGCTTCCTTTTTAATTCCTGCTTACAGAGCCTATCATGATTGCCTAACTTCTCAGAAATAAAGACAGAGATAATGTCAATTTCGACACAGTGTTGTTAGAAATAACACCTAGAACACAAAATATATTCACTAAACACAAAATATATTCACTAAACAATCATCCCTTTCTTCTTGGAAACTCTCAAGGCCACACTGTTTCTTCCTCACCTTTTCTCTCACCTCTTCACACCAAAAAGAAGAAAACCACCAAGGGCGCACTCTCTATAAATGACCAGTGATTATGGAAAGAAAGTACTCAAATAAAAAAAAAAGCCATAAAATAAAGGACATTTAATGAATGCTTCCATTTCCAATTCCAAAGGCAATAAAATATGGACCTGAACCTAAACTTTAACAGTCTATGGAGTGTGGGAATGTCAGTGAGAGCAGGCAGGGCTTTTCTGGCAGGCTCACACAAGAGGATGTCAAGATGATAGCACAGCACTGACTGAAAATGTAGCTCTCTGAGACAAGACTGGGTAATAGATGAGACACGCAGGAAGTCTGGAGTCCTGGGTGAACCATGCAGATGCTTTAGGCTGGATGGGCAACAGGTTGAATCCAGGACTTGGGCATTTACTGAATATAGAATAGTAAGTAAACATAAATATTACTAGGAATGCCTTGGATTTATCTGACTTAGGATAATCAGAAAAGACTGCAGTCCCTGATTTAGGACTTGATCTATCCCTTATAGTTAAAGGCATGGGGAACATTATAAAATAAAGGTGAGGTAGTGCTCAAGTCCAGGAGCTCTACATCAGAAATCAAGAATTCAGGCTATAAGTCAGAAATGTTTGATCAGGGATGTGAAGAAGCATTAATTCAAACAGGTCGGAGGTCCACGTGAAAGCTCTAAGGCACCACTTGCCAGGGTAGAAGAGGATTCTGGGATAACTACCTCCAAGAATGGAGTGCTCTATGATCCCCAGAGCCAGTGCTGGTGACTATTCACATGGACACCAAAAAAGAAGGCTGCTGGCCAGAATAGAGGAGTGAGAAAGGGTGGCATTACACAAGAGTCTGTAAAATGAGATAGACATGCATGGTTCTAGAGCACTAATGCATGGTTCCCCACAGATAAGGAGACACACCGTGACCATCAGCCTGTCTCCTTTTCAGGTATCTGGCAAGCTGTATCTGTTTTATAGTACCTGCCTTGCCATCTCCTGCCTTCTCCCCTCAGAGGCACTCCAGTTACTAATATCGTTTCACTTCCTGTTGCAGCCTCTCCCAGCCCAGAAGCTAGTCCTAGTCAGATCAGTGGGAACAGCAGCTTCCCCAGATCTAAGGACCTAGACTTTACTCTGATTGTACAATGGTCACAGAATGGCCTAGAAAAGCACTGCTGGCCCAGGACCCAGGACTAGGGTTCTGTCTTCAAAATCCTGCCAGGAAAAAAAAAAAATCCTGCCAGGTTACAGCTGTGATCAACATCGGAGGGCTGTCTGGGTTTCCACCTCATGCACTAACTCTCCACAGAGTCGATTCCTCTGACTCAACTGTTCTCTAGCTTCTGCTTACAGTGAACTAATAGCTATTATCTACCTGGACCCTTCTGTTGCTATATTAGATTCCATTGGATTTGGCTTGCTTTGTGAAACAAGTCGAACATCACACAGTATCTACCATCCTGGGAACAAGCCTACAGATGGATCAGTAACCATTCTAGCTGACAACTGGCTTCCTCTTCCTTTTAGATCCACTGAGGTCCCAACATGTTTCTCATTAAGATCTTCTGAAACTATTAAATACTGGAAATAGTAATGGAAAAAAGATAACTTAGCATTTACTTCCAGAAAGTAACCAAATTTGTTGAATTTCTCTTGTCCTAGATGTGTATATTCTTGACTTGCCACCTTAATTTTCAAGGTTGTGAAAAAAGAAGGGTTGCTAATTAGGTTTATGCTAATAAATCCCATCAGATATTAACTAACTCTGAGGAAAAGAGTATCTAGAGGGACACCCGGGTGGCTCAGAAGTTGAGCATCTGCCTTTGGCTCAGGACGTGATTCTGGAGAAAGCCTGCTTCTCCCTCTGTCTATGTCTCTCTCTCTCTCTCTCTGTGTGTGTGTCTCTCATGCATAAATAAATAAAATCTTTAAAAAAAGGGTATCTAGAAATCAAATAAATTTACACACATAAATACATAATTATTAAAGGAAACATGAAATATGCTTGTTAAGAAAAATATAAAATAAATAATTCCTTTATGTCTTATTTTAGAATTGATAATGAATTTACAGATTACTGTAGTTACATTCCATTAGCATAACCTACACATCTTTTATATTAGTTAATATATAAAATCAAAATATTCAGATACCACTTGCTCTTGTTCCTGTTCCAGAACATTCTGTAGTAGCTTCTGCTTGGTACTAAATTCTTGATGTAGGCTTTCCCATTTCATTCTCATCTGGTCTTCAGCAGCTGATTTCTCCCCTTCCATCCCCAATTCCTGGGATAACACATCAGGTTTTTCGCTATTAGAAGAATAAATAATCTAAGTTTACAATTTGTGCAAAAAGGTGTTAAGTTCCAGGTAATTTATTGTATATACTAGATCTGGCCTCCAAAATTGGAATTAGATTATTTTAGTCATTAGTTTAAACTTTAAAACTATCAATTAAAATAGAAAATTTGAGACTAACCATAAACAAATATATTCTTACTTGTAAGTATAAGAACTGTGAGCACAGTAATTTAACAATTCATTGAAAATAGCTCACTAGTAAAGATAAAAAATAGTTATAACTTTTAGAAACAGAAAGTGTACAATTAGACTAGTGTCCATCAACAAACAGCCCACAGAATAATGAAAAAAAAACTAAAAATGCCACCTAGTCTATTGAGAGTTTTCATTCTGAGTCCAAAGAAAATGCTACAGACAATGTTTCAGGACATGGAACAGAAGCACAGAGGGTGGAAGGAAGGTACTGCAGTATCATCCTTATTAAGGCAGCAGGGTAGCATCGGAGAAAGACTATGGCTTTGGAGGTGAGATAGATCTGGGTTGGAATCTCTGCTCCAGCATATTAGATTTGTGATTTTGAGTAATTTGTTTCAATTCTCTGAGCCTCTATTATCTTATCCTCAGATAAAGATAACTAGTGTCTATCTTACAGAAGTATAAGAATTTAGAGAAGACATGCACAATGCCTAGAACCCTTCCTGGAACATAATAGCTACTTGATAGGTGGGGCCTAACAAAACGAATCTGGGGGACCCAAGTTCCAATAGATCCTAGTTTGTCAGAAGTTTTAAAGACCTAACTAGAGGGGTGCCTGGGTGGGTCAGTCAGTTAAGCATCTGCCTTCAGCTTCTGTCATGATCCAAAGGTCCTGGGATCAAGCCCCGGGGTGGAGGACAGTGGGGACGGGGGGGGGGGGGCTGCTTCTCTCGCTCCCCCTGCAAACCCACTGTTTGTGCATTCTCTCTCTCAAATAAATAAATAAATGAAGCCTTTAAAAAAAGACCTAATTAGAACCATGTCATCTTAAAGATATACTAGATTGTAATTAATATTTTGACAGAACTTTTGCTTAAGTGGAAAAAAAATAACAAGTTCATTGGCCAGATAAAACTATACATTACCCTAACGTCTACTTTTCTCAGAATAAGTATTGAATACAATAGCTTTTTAGGTAAATCTGTTGAAGTAAGCCTTTAAAAATTATCTATAAGGCTATAATGTGGTGTATTCTACTTTCTGGGATACGACGTAGAGAATCTCCCCAACCTGTGCACTTAGAGACACTCAAGAAGGCTAACTTCAATGATGCTAATATTAGCAAAAAAATACAAAATTAAAAAAAAAATTTAAAAAGTGGTAAGGTAAATGCCCATCAGCAAAAAAAAAAAAAAAAAAAGAGTGAACAAGTTATTTTCACAAGATACCATTAAGCACTTAAAATGATAGAACTAGATCTATATGTATCAACAGGGATTGTTTAAAAAGCTGATACTGAGTGAAAAGTGCTAAAATCAAGCTAGTATCTCTAATTTGGCTCGTCATTTTAGTCTCTGGAGTTTTCTCTGTGGTTTTTTTTTTTTAATCTTTTTAAATAAAAAAAGTTTTAAAGTTCTTATGAAATTAAATTTCTTTATTGTGATGTCATTTGTATTGCTGGACTGTATTTTTAATTCACTTATGTTTACATAACACTTTAGTATAAAACCAAGGGATATTAAATATCTCTATTCTTACACTTAATCATTAATGCATATAAAATGCCAGCAGCAAATCAGTCTTAAATTAGAACAAAGCCTTTTATTTCCCATGGAAAAATATTCTTCCCTTTGATATTTATATCAATTAATAACCAATTGAGTTTCCTTATCTTAGAAGGATCCCTCCATCAACCTTCTATACATCATATAGTATTTATTCTTTATATATTAAATTTCTACACTTGAAGCAAATCATGCCCCTCCCATAGGGGTTTTCTTACATAAACCAATTCATATTTGATAGTCTTAGAAATCAGCTAATAAGGTGAAGTCTGACTACAGGGTTGTTTTTTTTTTTTTTCCCTAGCAATGTTATTTTGTTCTTTTTAAAATACATGTATTTTTTTTTTTGGATACTAGATATTGCTTACTTTATGTTTGTTGGTTTGGCTTATTTACACAGAGACTTGAAAGGCATGGTTGAACTTTAGTCAATAGATTTACAGGTGAATTTTCTAAAGATTTGGACTAAAAATTTAAAAATTTATAAAATTTATAAAGCAGTCTTTAAAGCGAATCTTGTGTAGAAAGGCAGTATTGCACTGTGAATTTCTCTTTAAAATATTTTTGTATTTGAAACAGCAATTTATAGTTGTTTGTCTTTCATCTGAGTCGTTTCCAAAGCTAAAGGCCAAGGAAAGAAAAATATCATGGCAAGAAAGTCACAGAAGATTCCTACTGCTGCTTTTTGTGACTATTCATATGATGAGGAGGCAATGTGTGAATGAGTTCTTTGTAAAAATAGCATTTGGCAAAAATATTCAGAAAATTGTGAAAAATGAATAAATGTTTTAGAAGAATAAGAGACAGAATAGAAAATGAAAATCAAAGGCACGTCTTGACTCAGTCAGCATGCAAGGGATGGCGTTTCTCACGTTGGATTTACACAGACACACATATTTACAGCCTTATCTGTGCTTGTAAGCATGATGGACAATCAGGATTTTTGAAAACTCCTTCATATTTTAACATAATTTTTAGAGTTTTAAGGTTATTTTAATGGAATTCCTGACTAGTGATGTCATAACAGTTTTCATTTGTATTCTTTTTAAATTCATACTTATTAGTTTTATCAATATTTCTGCTGTCTTTTTGTTTCATTTTTCTTTTTGATGACAACCTAATTCCTATATATTTTGTCATAATATGTCTATTTCAATTGAATTGTAGTTCAATTTCTATCATCTTGCATTTTAATTCTTAAACATAGCCATATATACAAACATATAGTCAACACTGATGTTATATGTCAGGGACATTTCATAAGTATTGATTAAACTGCAAAAAAAAATACAATAAAAGGTTCTGTATCTATCTTTTCCAAAGTTAGCTTTTTTAAAAGAGATTTTATTTATTTATATGAGAGAGAGAGAGAGAGAAAGTGAGAGTGAGAGAGAGAGAGAGAGAGAGAGACCACAAGCAGGGGCAGAGGGAGAGAGAGAAGCAGACTCCCCTGCCAAACAGGTGGCCTGACATGGGGCTCGATCCCAGGACCCTGGATCATGACCTGAGCCAAGGGCAGACACTTAACCTGCTGATCCACCCAGGTGCCTCAAAAGTTAGTTTTGATCATCTATATTGTATAGTCCGGTTCTTACTCATGCATATACTATACCTACAATTTTATATTACACCTTTACTTAGTATCACATATATATTTTCTGGTATCATTATATAGTTTTTTGTTAATATTATATATGCAAAAACTTTTCTTAGGCTTTTTTTTAATACTAGCAGGCATTTCCCCCTTTTCTATTATTTGGTATTCTAAATGATATTTCAAAAGTCACTTCCATAACATATATCTCCTCCTTTGGCTATTTCCTCCAATAAATGCTCAGAATTGACAATGTTGGAATCAGTGGAGTTAAAGCTATTTGCTGTATTTTGGTTGCCGAAGGATACTACTAAATCACAATCTTTACAATGCATGAGCACACAGGTTTCACTGAAACTTTTTTTTTTAAATGTTTTGGATTTTAAAGTTTTCCTGCATATCCTCTCAGTTGTGCCCACCACTTTCATAACCCCTCTGAGATGGAGGGGGTCAATTATTGCTGTAATCCTAAAGATGAGCAAACTGAAGCTTAGAGTTGAGTTCCTCTTCCATAGTGACAGCTGGAGAAACAGAGTTAAAACCCAGATCTGACTTAAAATGCAGGGATACTTCAACTCATCCTGCCTTTGAAATCAAAATCTCCAACTTGAAAATTCTCCAACTTCCTTCACTTTTATTTGAACACTTTGCTCTGCTGTGTACAAGGCTTTCAGTCTCCATTCCAAACCAGGCCTCGAAACTCAATGAGAAACCACAGACAGATATGATCAAGAAAAATCAAGATATTTAGTGGGCACATACATTTATTTTTATTTTTCAGAGTGATGTTAGGGGAAGATAAGCTCTTGCAGGGAAAATGCTTTGCAGTTAGATATAATCACTCAGCTAGAAACACAATGGATCTAATTTTAGAATGCATTTCTTTTTTTTTTTATTTTTAGAATGCATTTCTTATTTGATTCTAAAAAATGAACTCATAGGGATCCCTGGGTGGCGCAGCGGTTTAGCGCATGCCTTTGGCCCAGGGTGCGATCCTGGAGACCTGGGATCGAGTCCCACGTCGGGCTCCCGGTGCATGGACCCTGCTTCTCCCTCTGCCTGTGTCTCTGCCTTTCTCTCTCTCTCTGTGTGACTATCATAAATAAATTTAAAAAAATTAAAAAAAAGTGAACTCAGAAGCATCTTCTTTGGACAGATATGCTCAGCATACTGGAAAGAGGGCAAACAAGTTAGCTATCAGCCATGAGCCATCATAATTACTAGCTATACTCATGCTGTGTAACAAATGTTCAAAATGCAAATAATTTTAATATCTTAAAGTGAAAACATTTTGCAGATGTTTAAAATTTTGAGTGAGATGTTTACATTTCTTCAAATCAGGGCAAGTTGGGAGAAAGTGTTTTGAAACATACCCAGCACCACCAGAGGTCTCTGCAGCTGAGTGCTGGGTGAGAATTTCCTCTCCACGACTGGCCACTGACCGCAGGAGGTTCTTCTGTTCTGCTAATTCCTGTTCCAACTCCTGCTCAAGGAAAAGGAGAAATGAAAATATGTGTTACTTTATGATTATTGCCCACAATCATGGTTTTAGGTCTAGAAAATTCTCAGAGAACTCCTGTAATAAGTTTCTAAGTTCAGATGTTGCATAAAAGGTGTGGTTTAGGTAAATGAACAAAGATGTCTCCAAAGTACTCTATACCTTTCTTTAGTTTTTGTAAAAGTTATCTCTGAAATCTCTTGGAAAAAAATTAATGGGGGGAAAAATTCTGCTGGGCAATGGTGCCCTCAAGTGGTATACAACGCACTTTCACTCTTTAAAATCAATACAGCCAGAGCTGAGAGAAATCCTTGAGTTCAGCAGCTCTCTTGAATTCGCAACTTGCTTGATAAACTGGACAAGATTTGGGTTTACTTTTTCATTACTTATGAAAAATTTCTTTTCTGTTTGAGAAAATAAAATATTTTAATATGCCCTATACATAAAGTATCAATGAGAAATCATTCTTATTTATCAGCTCATTTATTTCACTAGGCAATTAATTTTTAATCCTATTTTGTGATGGTATCTACTTAAAAGTGAAAAATAAATTTCATTTTTAATAAGTTTTTTAAAAACACATAACTCAGGCTTTTACCAATTCTTAAAGGCCTTCCTGAGGTTATTATATAAAATAGGCTCGAATTGGGGCAAATCTGAAAATAGAGTAGGTAACCTTCATAAGGCAGATTATAATTGAGTCATGCTATTTGTAAACCTGAGCACAAGCTTTTCTTAAAGAACAGGCTTTGAAATGACTAATCATTCCAGTGGTCATAAGAAAGTACACTGAAACAGTTAGCCAGGTCTTGTTTCTGTCCAAAGAGAAAATAAAGGGGCACTTTGTATTTAGTACAGAAGTCACTTGTCCATCTAAAACATTTCTCTCAAGGTGTTTGCTTGGCAGGTCTGCCGGATACAGAGGGGTCAGAAATGCTTTACTTTTTGTTGCTGGAGACTGCTCTGTCTCTGGTGGGTCCACGTGGTCCGCGCTTGGGCCAGCCATTCCTGGACACCAGGGCTCTGGCTGGCAGTCAGGTCCACATGGCTCTCCTCCTTCTCTTGTGCTGTTCCCTGCTTTTAATGAGGCAGAAATCAAGAGTCATACTATCCACAGAAAACCCTTAACCAAATGGAGTAAAGGCAACTTTGGTGTGGTCTGTATAATGATACCAAAGTAGATCCATTTGGATGTGAAACCAGACTTTAAAAAAAAAATGGTAAGACAAAACCCATCGAATTTATGGTATTTGCAGAAAAGAGAACAATAAATAGATGATTATACTCAAATATTTGAGGGGGAAACTGTCTACTTAGAGGCTAGGCTTTTTTAGCTCACTGATGTGGTCAACAGATATTCCAGAAATTTTTCCATGAGAATATAACTCTAGATCTCACTTCCTCTACTATCACCACCCAGACCAGACCCCACTGTCATCTGTTGCCACTGCTGGCATGGATAATGTTTGGTTAAGGGAGAAAGACAAGTGTAATTATTAATTACGGAGGCAGGAATTTATCCATCATGCTTGATGATTCTGATGGAATTTGAAAGGCCCTCTAATACTGCATATCAGAATGGAATTAGTTCAAATGAGAATCCTTCTACCCATACGTATATATATGCCAAAAAGATAAAGTACACAATCTTAATATAACTCATTCACTAAATGTTTATTAAATAACCATGCATTGTGTGTCTGCCACTATTCTAGGCATCTTCTGCCAAGAAGCCAGGCAAGGGTCCTTCTGGGGAGATAGATAATAAACAAGATAAGAGCCATAAAGAACTTAAAACTAGATAATGGCATAGAGAGTGAAGGGGAAGGTTTCTTAGGCTGGTCAGGGAGAGAGCATCTTGAGAAGAGACAACTGCATTGAGCACTGAACGATGAGAAACCACCTGCCTGGCAAACATCTAGGTAGAGGGCTTTCCAAGTTGAGGAACAGTTGGAGCAGAGACCATGAGAGAGAGGAATCTGGCATCTCAGAGAGAGCAACAACAAGTGAAGGGGCCAGTGTGGCTGTACCATGGGGGCAGTGAAGGGGGACAGTTTACAAGTAGTGTCCACAAAGGAGTGGTCCTGCTCCCTTAAGCTCCAGGGCTCCTATATCTCCTTTGGTTCTTCATTGCTACATCTGACCATGGACTGGGATCCAGCTGCTCTAGGTCATCCAGCTTGATCACCCACAAAGACCCTTCTCTTCCTTTTATTTTCGGAATTTTACCCTAACTGTTAAGGAAAATAAATGGGGTCAATTTACTCTTCTGTTTTATTCATTAGTCTCATGATTAAATTGCAAAATGTTTGAGATAATGTGGAGATAATGAATTTGTAATGTTGGTATCAGTGCCTGAAGAACAGTGAATGGAAGGAAACCATGAAACCCACAGGTAATATGATACATAATCCTCTCCCAGATTCTGAGCCACCTTAGCTCACAAGTAACTTCCTTTCCTTTAAGATGATCCAGCTTCCCAGAAAGAAACTATGGCTCATATAGAACAATGGGGATGCCAGGGCCTAAAGTATTCCATTTGCATTTCACAGGACCTTCAGAATGGGTGACTGGAAACACCCCATTCAGTATATTCCCCACTCCTCCAGTAATGCTTCTTATAGATGAGCAGTGATTCTCCTGAAGGTAGGAGGTATGAGGTGAATGGGCACTCTTCAGCACTGAAGCCAGTAATTTTCTGCCTGAAACAGATTCTCTCCCATCTGAGAATGCACTATCTACCCAACATAAACTCTGAAAGACTGTGGCTCTTCTGGTAAGGATGAAACAGCAGGTCAAAGGGGACCTGCGGAGAATGACCCCAAGGAAGTCAGTGTACAAGGCTGAATGCTATCTCTAGGGAAAGCTGCCCCAGCTGATGAAATGGTGGCCCTGGCCATGACCTGATGCCTCTCGTGGGATCCGATCACTTTCCCTCGCTTTGCTCTTCAGTAAAGGTTTGTTTTCAGAGCCCAGCCTAGACACTCATATGGTAACCTCTCAAGGGCATCACTTCACCCTTCTGCACAGGTTACTACTGTCTGATTAAGAGTGGGTTTTTTTGTTTGTTTTTTCCAAATTCCTCACAGCAAATTTGTGCTTGGAAAAATAACAATCGCAATGTTAGATCTTAAGAATAGCTTAACTAGTTGTACATGCACAGACACATATTCAGAATCTAAGACTTAAAATCTAAGGGGAGTCATATTTCACTAATTGAATCCACAGCTTTAGAGAAACAAAAATTAAGAAGCATCAAAAGCAGATGTTTAGTATGTATTTTCTAATGTGGTTAGGTTCCATTTTTCAGCTAGTAAATTTTTCTTTGACTGATTTAGCCATTTTGAAACATAAGACTTGGACCACAGGAAACAAAAAATGATTAAGGATCCAGTTCAAATTTCATTCCTTTTCCCATGGGGAAGAGAAGGCACTGATAGAAGGAACAGAATAATGGTAATTACATTCTAATATGTCTGATAACCATTTTCTCTCCTACCTAAGGAAAGAGGAAGTAAGGCAGCTTTAGTCCCTAGAGTCCCCCAGGGGTGGAGCTACATAAGCTGTTTATTTTGGAAATACTAGAACAGTAACCACAGTTGCCAGGAACATTCTTTGGAAGATTAGTGAGGATTGGAAATGCTAAACATTAAGTAAAACATTTCTTTACAAAGCGTTTCACTATTTATATAGGGCAAACTCTGCTCCTTCAAAGGATGATAATGTGTGAAAATGATTAACCTTTTATGAGGAAAGATACCATGTAATTCAAGAGAGTATTACATGCCCATATGTCTCTGTCCCTTCATAAAGAGAAGGAATCTATTAGTGGGTGGGGGACTCAAGGGATTGGTTATTTTTTGATATATACAGAAGTCCAACTAGTTAAAAAGATGACTGTGATAGATCTGACCATTTTGTAGGCAAGCAGCACTGAGAAATGTTGTGCTTATGGCCATACAAGACAAGAGGTGGTACACCAGGATGGGGAGACTTTAGGATAGCAGTTGCAAAGTGCTAGTCAAAGAATCTAGTCTGCCCTCTGTTTGGCACACAAATTATTTTAATTTAGAATTTTTAGAATTAAATGACAGGGTTTTAAAATTGGGAGATTTTAAAAATAATCCAAATGTCCCTTCTCTGAAAGATCTAGCAATGCTGCCTATAAAATCTTCTGTAATAGATGGAGCTGAAGATAACTGCTTGACGTGAGAGCAGCTTGCCAAGATTCTGACCAGGCCTGCTTCACTTATTTATATGCCTTTACCAGGCCCTGAGGCCTTGGAAAGTGTATCCTTATCCCCTCACCCCCACCCCTCAAACCCCCTTTTATCCTGACACATGCCACTTGCATATCAGGTTCCCCCTCCCTTCCTACCTGCCTTTAGGGTAATTGCAGCTTTTTAAATTACTATTCCAGATGTGAAACCTTGAAGTCTTTCCTTTGATTTGGTTTTTTTATAGATAAGGTTCATTCATACAACACCATTAGGAAAAAAAATGTTCTATTTTTAGATTGATGATACTTTTCTATAAAACCAAGTAAATTAGTATAAACTTTTACAGTTAGAAAATTAACCTCATTTTATTCAAATTTAATTTTTTAATTACAATTTAAATTTTTTTATATTCCTTACTCTCTAATTTTATATTTTTAACACTTTTCTTGTTGCTTTGATTCATAAAGTCAGATTGCATGTACATTTTGAAGTATGTAAATATAAAGTGAAAAGCTGTATTTTGTCGTTATTTGCATTTATTTAACCAACAGTGAGTTAAAATATCTTTTCATACATTCACTGGCCATTTGTAGGTCTCGTCTCTTCATTTGAATGGTCTCTTTATCTTTTGTTCATATTTCTATCACGTGACCTTTTCATATTGGTTTACAAAAGATTTGTGGAAATTAAGGGAATTAATTCTTTGACATGTGAATTATGCAGTTTCTTCCCTTTTTGTCCATGTCTTTTCATTTGGTTTCTGTGTTTTTAGTGATAATAGAACTTTTTCATTTTTGTGTTGTAGTTTTTAAAGAAACTAAAATTCTGGGCTTAGGGCATACTGGCATAGATCCTTCCCATCCTAAGATTTTTTTAAAAAATACCCATATATCCAGAACTTTACAGGTTTAAATTTTTACATTTAAATATTTGGTCCATCTATGATGACTTTTTTTTCTGCAAAGAATGGTATAGGAAATCTAGTTTATCATATTTCAAGTGGTTCATCTATTATTTTATTATTATTTTATTCACTGATTTGAAATGCTACATTAACCATTAATCAATCTCCCTTAAATATTGAGGTCTCTTTCTGGAATATGTATTCTGTAAAGTTTTTTGTTGATTCATTTACTGTGCTAATGCCGAACTATTCTAATTATTGTAATATTGTATTTTAACATATGGTAAGATCAAATTAGCCCCTCATAATTCTTCAGTTTCAGAATATTATGGTTATTTTCACATTTATTTTATTCCAGGGAAACCTGGAATCATTTTGTCACATTTTATATCATTGCATTACATTCCAAATAAACATATATGCTAGTACAGGAAAAAACTGCCATCTTTAAAATATTATATTCCTAAGAATAGAGGTTATCTGTCCATTTTTTCACATTTTTTCTACTCATGTTTTAAAATATTATTTGTTGAGATTCCAAATATTTCATATTTTGTTGATATCACAGATGGAAAACTATTATTTCTCTAAGTTGTTTTTTGTTTGTACATGGCAAAGTTATAGATTCTATATTTTTTTAAAAAAAGATTTACTTATTTATTTGAGAGAGAGAAGCAGAGGGAGAGGAAAAATAATCCTCAATCAGACTGCCAGCTCAGTGTGGAGCCTAACGTGGGTTCCATCTCAGGATCCTGAGATTATGACTTGAGCCGAAATCAAGCAGTTGGCCACTTAACCGACTGAGCCACCCAGGTGCCCCTGGATTCTCCATTTTTAAAATAAGCCAGTCATCTTACTAAATTCTTCCATTGCTTCTAATAGTTTTCTGTTGATCAGGTTTGATCTTCCAGATCACAGAATTATATGATTAGCAGAAAGAACTGAAAATATGTAGTGTAGTCTGAAAAAAATTGTCATTATAATGAGAAAACAAAAGCAAGCAGAATAGTATGTTCATTAAGTTTCCACCACAATATTGGTGCCCTGTCTCCCACCAGCACCTGCATGGAGATAAGAGGTTTCCTTGGTACCGTAGTTCTGAGACCACACCCTGTCCTTTGGTCCTATCTTCTCCCTCCTACACATTTTATAACAACTTCTTTTTCATCATTCTTTCTTCTACTGAGTTGTTTCCATCTACATGTAGGCATGCCACATTCTTCTGATCTTAAAATTTTTTTTTAAGATTTTATTTATTCATGAGATGCACATGAGAGAGAGTTCATGAGAGGGGGGAGCAGAGACACAGGCAGAGGGAGAAGCAGGCTCCATGCAGGGAGCCCGATGTGGGACTCGATCCCAGGACTCCAGGATCACGCCCTGGGCCGAACAAAGGCAGGCGCTAAACCTCTGAGCCACCCAGGGATCGCCTTAAAATGTTTTCTAAAGTATATCATTTCTCTGCTACTCTTCATAGGGAAACTCCTGAATCACTTTCTCTCCTCTCCAACCCGTTCCCCTGTCCTTATCCTCACTTTCATTTGAATGTCTTCACCTTCTCTATACAACTGGAACAGTTACTGTTGAGGTCACCAAAGACCTACATGTCATGAGATCCAATGGTCAGCTCCCAATCTTCATCTTGCCCCACTTACCTGCAAGTAGCTTCTAGGAACCAAACTCTCCATCTTCCTCTCACCTCCCTGGCTTCTCCTTGTTACACTCTTCTATAGGCTCCTCCACAACTTCCAAACCCATAACACTGGAGTGTTCCAGTGCCTGATTCCAGGACCTTGATCTTCATCTCTCCTCAATCCTTTGAGATCCCATAAAGCCTCATACCTTAAGGAGGACCATCTAGAGGCTGATGACTCTAGGTCTCTCCCCTGAACTCCAGCCACTACATGACACTGAATAAACATCACAAACTTCACTATCTGAAATTAAACTATTGATCTAACTACTCTTTCTCTCCCCACATCTGTTCCTCAGATAGTTTTCACCTTCACAGTTATCCAGAATCTAGGAAGTTCTCTTCACCTCAACCTCTATGCCATGTCTTCAAACTGGTGTCTGAGCTTCTACTCTGGTTCCCTATAGTGGATAAAAGGTGATCTTATCACTCCTCTATTCCCAAACACTCCAGTGGCTTCTCATTTCCCCCAGGGTAAAAACCAAAGTGTATACAATGCCTATAACATCCTTTTACCATGTTCCCTGTTACCTGTGTCTGGCTTCATTTGACACCACTCTCCCCTTGCTCATTCCATTCTAGCCACAATGGCCTTCTTGAACAGACCTAGGATGATCTCACCTTGGGGCCTCTGTATTTGCTTTCCCCTTTGTATAGAACTCTCTCCTTCATATCTGCATAGTTCATTCCTTCATATGTGACTTTAGGGGGCTTTCTTGGCCACCCTGTTTAGCACTGCAAATCCAACCAGATTGCCTTTCCCCATCTATCCACTTTATGGTATCTCACCTATAGCTCTTATCATCTCCTAACTTAATATATAATAATGTATTTTAATTTTATTTATTGTCTATTTCCTCCAACCATAATCCTTTGACATCAGGAATATATAGCTATAAATACAGACATACAAATACAGGTAGTTATTTTCCAGGCTCTTTCACTCAATTGTATAAAATAGCAGCTGACACACAGTTGCTTCTCAATAAATGTTTGCTTAATATTTATATAGGATAACAATAGCAATATCTAATTTTTACAGATTAAAAAGAACAAAATTAAAATATTGGACAGTACCAGTATGAAAGGTATATGAGGAGAAGTCTGAGTGAAAGTGTTCCAAGGTTCTAATTATACTGCCTTAGAAGGAGATTAAGAAATAAACTTAGAATTTATTAGGTATGAGTGGTAAAGAGTAGATATTAGGGGAGGGGGGAAGAAGTCAACCACTTAAAAATAAAAGTTAAAAAGAAGAAAAAAGAAGAGAACAAAATTTTTTTAAAAGTAAAATAAAAGACATCTACACACATCAGTAATCACAGTAAATTTAAATGGGCTAAGCCTGTCCTTTCAATGTCAGAGATTTTCTGATTAGATAAATGTTTAAAACCAACACAGTATAGCCAAGAGGTAAATCTAAAACAGAAGGACACAGAAAGGGTGAAATTGAAGGAAAGTTAAAGGATATACTAGGCTTATATTATGCCCCCAAAAGTTCCAGGGATATAAAACAGAAATCACTATTTGGGAATATTAAGGTCACTACATGAGAATAAAATGGTTCAATTCATTTGGAATATATGACAATGTAAGGTATGAGCCCTAAGTCAAAAAATCTAAGTATATCTGAAAAATAGAATGTAGGAAAATAGAAGAAAAATATTAAAATGTCATAGAATATCTTAATCTATGACCTATGTTGAAATACTTTTTTAAATAGTATATTTGCTAAATATGGGTATTTATTTTCATGATCTTTTCTTTTCCTGTACTGCAGGCTTTGGGTCTATGGGTTCAAACAGTCGTTACAAAACCTATCTGAAAATCAGTGCCAAAGTGTGTGTAAGTATGTACATTCCACAGCTCTTCCTTTACACATCCTAGGCTGGGAAAAGGCGCCTTGGCGGCCATGTTTTAGGATAGAGCACTGGGTGGCTGGAGCCCTCACCTGGATGTTGAGCTGTTTGTCATGCAGGGCTCTCTGCAGCTCCAGTAGGCTCCCCTTGAGCACTCTCAGCTTTATGGCAAGCTGCTCAGCCTCCTCCTTGGTGTGAGCCTTGCCTTCCAGCAGCAGGTTGTCATTGTGGACTGAGAGTTCTGATAAGGCCACCACCTTCTGCTCTATTTCTAATAGCATGTTCTGGAAAACCAAAATGAGGATGAAATTCATACACCCTGCCAGTCTCTGCACATAAAGATCATTTCTCACAGCGAAACACAATACTTCTTGTCTTTCACCAAAAGAGTATGCGTTCACGTTTTTTTCCTACTTTTCTGACAGACCTGAAGAGTAGTTACAGATTTTCAAAGATTCTTTGAGCTTCCTAATTTTTCTTGTCTTTAAGATTAGATGTTATATAATGGAAAACATCTTAAAAGCATACAAAAGCATATTTCATATAGCCAAGGGATAAGGAGAAAAGACCACACCTTTCCTTAACCCATTATTCCAACTGTTTTACCATTTTAGTGTTAGATTGTGATGCTTATGACAAATAGTAGTAAAGATATCATATAATCAACCGTTATTCTCTCTTTCAAGACATTTTTTTTTCAGGTTGTTGCTCTTATTTCTTGATTTTATTTTTTTTTTGTTTTTATATAATGCATTTTTAACCTTACATTTCTAAAAGTTTTCCTAAGAATTTTATTTTCATTTTCTGAGACAACTCTCTAAGGCTGCTTTTCTTCTCAAATACAGGCTAAATTTTGAGAAGGAGCAAACTAGTCTCCTTTCTTCCAAAGTGAGGTTTAAAACAAAAACTAAAAAAGAACAAGATAAAAACATCAAAGGTAAACAAATAACAATCATTTTATTTTCTGCAGAAATCCTTCTGTTTTTATATTCCTTAACTCTGAACTTTTAAAAAATGCACTCTCTAATTTCAATCAAGATATTTACTAATGAGAAAAGTATTTTAAATCAGAAAAACTGCCATCAACTTTTAAGAGTATATGTTTAAACTAAAAAACTAGAACTAAATGAAAGCATGAAATATTTAATGAGATGGGGCTTAACGGATGATTCCCTGAAGATTCTTTTTGAGAAACTAATATAGTTATACCAAGACTTTACCACTAGGCACAGTTGGCACAGCGCTAAGGGTTCATAATACTTTTAGAGGCCCAATAAAAATCTTAATTTTAATTTCTTCTAAAATCGGAAGAAACAAATGAATATAACAATGAATATGTAATAACGAATCCACTCTAGATCATATTAGTCTTTGGACCAAAGTAGTTATAAACTAAAAATACAGCTTTTAATATTTTTATAGAGGAAGAAGCCCACAGAAGCAAAGTACCCAGAGCCCCAAAAGTCATAATAGGACCCTCATAACAGCCACAGTTCTAATTACACAACTGGCTTAAATACTACACTTGAATTGACTGAGGAACTGCTGTGTATTTGTGTGATTCCATATGGTTCTAGTTTCTGAAAATGTTATCAAAATACCATTTCAATGCTTCATAAAAATCCTGAAATATATTATCTGAATTGTGAAATTTATGCATAGCCATAAAAATAGAGACATCCAAAAGGGAGAGGTAGGAGTAATGTTAAAATATAATTTTAGAATGCTAGTTAGTACATGTGCTAATTTTAAGCACTTAGAAGGGAATGCAAAAAATAGAGGTTTCTTTCCAGTAAGGAAACTTTAGAAAAGATGATATAAATAATTTAGAAAACATTCACATGTGGTTCTCTATTCTCTACCATCCAGGCAGAGAATAACAATACTTTGAATACACATAAATAAATTGCCTAGAGCATTTAAAAATCTCAGTTATAATGATCAATATTACAATAAATCTAAAATCTAATAAAAGGAATGATCAAAATAGCATACTACATATTAAGAAGAAAGCATTCATTCATTAATGGATTTTTCATATTTCCTGATTCCAAATAAGAGACATATGGAGTCACACATACTGATATTTTAACCCTGTAGATTAGGGAAGTCTTACTAGATAGTTGCTAGTTAAATGAAAGAGCTTTTAGACATACTTCAGCCATGTGTGAAGTCGATTATTTTGATAATCATTGAAATTCAGTGATTGGTACACTGGAGTTCATTACTTAGTCTCTATACTTATACATGTGTTTGAAATTTTCCATAATGAAGAGATAAAAAAAATGCTACAATAAAAACCTTAATGTCATTTTACATTAATTCCTAAAGACCTTGGGACACCTGGGTGCCTCAGTGGTTGAGCATCTTCCTTTGAACCTCAGGTCATGATCCTGGGTTCCTGGGAATGAGTCCTGGCACCCAGAGGGAGCCTCTTCTCCCTCTCCCTATATGTCTGCCTCTCTCTGTGTCTCTCATGAATCAATAAATAAAATCCTTAAAAAAAAAATTCCTAAAGACCTCACATCAGAGGAAGGAAATTCTCTGTTCCAAAAGACAACCTTCCTATGTTCAGTCTATCTGCCTGTAACTGAGTTTTTCCAAGTTGTCCAAATAATATATCCAAATTAGAACCAATATTACAACAGAGCACTTAAGGGCACCTCCTTTTGTGTTTATCCACAGTCTGATTTGCTGATATTAATTCTTTTCATTGGGTTTATAGTCCTTAGTAGCCACTAAATATAGATACCATAAGTGTTTTAGTATTTACAGTCTTTAAAAAAAAATGTCCTTTAGGAAGCTAAAGATTTTCTAAAGAGTAGACACCACTGGTAAAATTTTTCAAAAGACTAATAAGTCCAATTCTGAATTTCACTTAATCTTTTATAAGATATTATTTTTCTACATATATACAAATATATACAATATATATTTATACAATAAATATATACAATATACAGATTGAGAAAAATCATATATCCATATCAAGTCTTTTTACTGTTATAATTTCTGTGGTTAAACACAGTATACTCTGTGATGTTGGAATATTCCTTCAAGACCATTTTTGTACCTGGCAGTCCACTAGCTGGGCTTCCATGTCCATAGGCTCCTTCGCTGTACCCAGTGCTGTGTCCAAAGTGGCTTTAGTGCTCAAGAGCCAGTGGTCCAGCTCATCGGCTTCACAGCGATACCTCTGCAGGGCCTGTTCCTGTCTCTGTTCCTCAAGCTGATCATTTAACTTCTCCTGATGAATAAAGTAGAATGCAACACACATCACCATGAGGTAAAATCATTAGGATGCAACACAATACAGAACACCAGGTTCTTAGTCCTGGTTTTGCATCAGAATCACCTGTGAAAGTTAAAAAAATAATAATAATATGGGACACCTGGGTGGCTCAGTGGTTGAGCATCTGCCCTTGGCTCAGGGCGTGATCCCAGAGTCCCGGGATCAAGTCCAACATCGGGCTTCCTGCATGGAGCCTGCTTTTCCCTCTGCCTATGTCTCTGCCTCTATCTCTCTCTGTCTCTCATGAATAAATAAATCTTTAAAATAATAATAATAATAATAATAATAACAAAAAAAAAACGTGCTTAGGCCACGTCCTAAAGCACTAAATGAGAATTTCTGGAAGTGAGTCTCAAGTTTAGTATTTTTTAAAAGCTTCTTTGATGATACTAACATGAACCCAGAGTTTAAGCTTCTTACATAATATACCTATGGGGCTTGGCCGATAATGTAAATAATGGAAATTGACCAACAATTAGAATGAAACAATGGCATAAGAGAGGAAATGGCAATAGGTACTTTACCTTAGTGTCTAGGAAAGTATAAGGAGTGGTGGGCAAGCCCATTCAGAGCACCACAATGTGATTTCAGGCAAGTGATTCCCTACAGGAACAGATGGCTCAGTGGTACTAGTTTCTTAAGTAAAGGAGGAAATTCAAATTTTTTGGTTATGTCTCTGGGTTTTCTCAATGATGGCAAATAATTCATATTAAAAAAAAAAACCTCCAAGCCAATCATTTCATTTTAAAACTCCACAAGGATTTCAAAGTATGATTAGGGACAATATTAATGAATTAAAAAATTAATTTTTAAGACAAGTATTGGGAATACCTTATTTTAAAAATTATTTCATTAATAATTTATTATGTTGTTATTTTTAAATTTCAGTTTTTATTAAATAGTTGAAAATAGAGATTAAATAAAGCTAACACATTGATTTTAAGTGTCTCCCATACAAAAAATAAATGAGTATATGATTTGATTAATCTTATAATAGGTAAAACTTGAAAGAGCCTACACACCCAACAATAGGTCTGTGTTCAACTGAATTTAGCATAAGCAGCAGCTAAATAATGTTAATTTCATATAATAAGAAATTGAGAACATAATTGAGAACTGATTATGTGCCAGAGAAGCCGCTTGACCCTGAGATACCAGGAGACAGATACTCTAAAGGTCCTTAAGCAGTCTCTAGTCTAATCAAATTTATAGGAGTAACAATATGAACATCACATATGTTTAGGGCTAGGAATGATAAGAGAAAAAGAAAAAGCAAAATAACTTATTTTGCATGTTATTGTTACCAAAATTTATCTATTAAATAATGTTAAAGTTAAGTAACATGAGAACCAGAATTGCAAAACTATTTTCATGAACTAATGTGCTTAAACTGGCTAAGGGTGACTAAGGATTTATTCTTCAGAGTATTAGTAATACTAGTCATAAAATGCTCTTATTTAAACAGAGCAAACCATTATGCAAACCTTTACAATTATTCTTCACAAGGCTCACGTCTACCAAGTTTTGCTTTCCACATTCTCAATTTTTCATGCTGAAATGAGTCAGAAAGTAGTGAAAAGACACATTCAAGGCTACACACTGACTCAGTGCTCTATTCATGAGACCCTCCTTGAGACACACACAATACCAGCTTCTTCTGAGTGGGAAACCATAAAAATGTAGATCACGTAAATGACTCGCGTGCTTGTCAACACAAGTTGAAGAGTTAATTTGGATGTGAGGGGAACCTGCAGAGTGGCTTGTTACCTCCAAAAGCTGTCGCTTCCCTGATGCCTTCATCTTGATGGTGGACATCCGCTCAGCTAAGACAGTGAGTGTGGACTGCAAGGCTAGCTGTTCGGCGGGGTCGGACTCGGGAGACTCCGACACCAGCTCCTCTGCCAGAGACGACTGGAGCTCACTGATCTCATCTTGAAGCATGAGAATCTCATCCATCAGTGCCTGTGAAGAAGACTGTGGAATCACACTCCTGTATGTAGTTTTTTTGGACTGAGGAATCGTGTCCCTAGCTGAGTCTCACATCGATTGAGATTAGGTTAGATACTTCACATGCAGGTCATTTAGCCAGCAAACAGGAGTCCCACTAACCTAAGTTCCAAAATGAAAGGGCGTTCCTGACTTCAAAATCATTTGTGTCCCTAACATAAATGGATTTGAACAAGTTAACGAATCCTTCTGGCTTTCAATTAGGCTCACCTGCAGTCCAAGAGTGGGGACATGCTCAGTCTCAGTCCGACTCTACGATTCTATGTTGAAAACAACTCACTACTTTCTTCCTCAATGTGATTTTTTTTCCATTTCAAATTTCCCCAAGTCCTCCACAATACCACACTTTAACCCAAAGCTCACATTATATAAGACCAGGGAGATCTCTCACCTGTTTCTTTGTTGTCACATCTCATTTGTCTCCTGCCCATTCCTGAAACTTCAAATGCTTTCTAATGCTGAATGCTCACAGGGGTGTATCCCTTACTCAGACATCTCTTCTAAATTTTAGGCTTTATATTCCAAGTATACATTTCCCTGGTTATCTCCAGAGTATTACATACAAAGCCTGCTTCCTCCTCTGTCTTCCTCATCTCTGTGAAATGTAGCACTCTCTCATTGTTCAAGCTCAGGACCTAGGAGTCCTCATCACACCTCCTCTCCTTCACCTGCCATATCCAATCCAACACCAATTCCTCCATGACGCATCCTATACGTCTCCTCTGCCCATCCCAATTCAGCCGGCTCTCTGAATTGCTCTGTCTACTGGTGGCTTTCCTGCTTTACAGGCTTACCTAGTCTCCCCAGTCCACTCTGCACAAAGCAATTCGAGTAAGCTTTTAAAAAGGTAATCAGAGCCTCTCACTCCCCTGCTTTAAAATATTTAGTGGCTTATCATCTGTAAAATAAGAGCCAGACTCCTTACCCTACTGGTATGTCTCATCACTTCCCACCCTTGTACTATCCATACTCCCTTCTTGCTTGCTACATTTCTGCCTTCTGTACTTAGTCTACGACCTCCAGCTCTTTCAGGCAAATAGCACACTAACTTCTTTATTTGCATCCATCACAATTATAGACATGTTTTTTTATCCCCCCCCCCTTTTTTTGTATGTTATGACTTACTCTTTAACTTGAATCTTGACAGGAGAAATTCTTATTTAGAATTTGAATGGTATGTTAAAAAAAAACAGGTCCTACCACATGAGGGGCCACCAGCACTTCAAATAAAGAAATACTGGCTTCGTATTTATTAATATTTCATGGTTTCTAATGTATCCATATTTGCATAGTTCATAGCTCTGCCACAGGATTGTAGGCTTCAGGCTAAGCCCAGTGCCTCCTAGAATGGGCTCTCAACAAATATGAAAAACCAACAACAACAAAAACCCTCTATTCTCCTAATATCAAGTGTCATCATACTCAACCGATTTTAAAAATATTTATAGTGAAGTTATTCTATACATCTATATATCATGTAAACATCTATACATTAAATATTTATTATATATAAAAGTACACATATTCTAAGTATATATAGTTTCATATATTTACACAAACTGCATATACCTATGTCCTACCACTCAGATCTAGAAACAGAACATTCCTAGGGCTCTATAAGCCCTTTTGACCTCCTCCCTGTTACAACTTCCCTTCTTCCCAAAGATCATCACAGTGTTACTTTTGAACATCATAGATTACTTTTGCCTGTTTGAAATCATGCCTGAGGTACTATTCTATGTCTAGCTTTCTTCACTCCCTGCCATGATTGTGAAAGTTGCTTATGTTGCATTTGTAAAAGAGCTGGTCATTTTCATTGCTATATGGTACTCCAGTATCACCTGGTTTGTGGATCTTTTCCAGTTAAGTCTTTCTAGTAGGTCATAGTAGTAGTTCATTGTAGTTTTAATTTGCATTTCCTTGATGACTAATGAAACTGAGCACTTTTTCCTATGCTTGTTGGTCAGAAGACAAAGGAGACTTCCAGCAAGGAACCTGAAACAGGGCTCCATCCCAGAACCCTGAAATCATGACCTGAGCCAAAGGCAGCTGCTTAACCAGCTAAGCCACCCAGGTACCCCTTGCAAAATATTTTAGAATTAGTTTGTCAGTCTCTACCAAAGAACTTGCTGGAGGATTTTAATGAAATTGTAATGAATTTAAAGACTGAACTTGTTTGTTTGTTTGTTTGTTTTTTTAAGTTTCAGTTTTTTTTTTAATTTTTTTTATTTATGATAGTCACAGAGAGAGAAAGAGAGAGAGAGAGAGGCAGAGACATAGGCAGAGGGAGAAGCAGGCTCCATGCACCGGGAGCCCGACGTGGGATTCGATCCCGGGTCTCCAGGATCGCGCCCTGGGCCAAAGGCAAGCGCCAAACCGCTGCGCCACCCAGGGATCCCTGAACTTGTTTGTTATACATTCAAAATGTTTTTTCTCCAGTAAATTATTTTCCATTACTTCATAACCATTTTTTGGTTATTGCCAAATATATAAAATTCATATTATTTGGTTTCTTTTAAAGGATTCTCCATAACTAGACTAACCCTATTATGTCTTTTTTTTTCTTTGGCACTGATCCTCTGTATAAGCAAGGAGAACCCCCCACTATCTTCTACCATGTTCATTTGCATTACCTCCTCCAGGCTTTCTTCACACGTGTTTATATTTACAGTGCCTTCTGCCCACTTCTGTTGCCACTACAAATTTTTTAATCTGTGCTTCTGAAAAGACCTGATAGAATTTCCTTTATCTATTTCCCATCATTGTAACCTACAATCCCATTGCTGTTTTTGCACATGTTGGTAATTCACTCCACCCCTAAAGCACATTTTTAAACCATATATTAGTGAAAAAGTTTGTTTTTTTCAGCTGTGCATGTAGTTGGTGCTCAATACATCTAGTTGATTTAATTCTAACTCACGATAGATAAAATCGGTATCTGAATCATGAAGCAACCAGGAAGAAAAAAAAGCCGCCTCCTTTAACCTCAGTGGATTTGACCAATCCAGTGTATAGTGAAATCATCAGCTTCTGTTGTAGGCTCACAACATTCTAAAACAGCTCTCTGAATGTTCTGCAGTAAGGAATAAAAGGGTTTAGGGAATCTTAGAACTGTTGGTTTTCATCCTCTTAGGGTAAAGCCTCCCTATTCATATGCTTCAGTTTACTCTCAAGGGAGAGTGGATGTTTTTGGAAGGTAGCTATAGTTTTAAACTTCAAGATCCAGTAGCTAAGCTTACTGGACATGGGGTTTTCTTCTGAGGTAAAATGTTCTGAAATCAGATAGAGGGTGATTGTATGACATTGTGAAAGCATTAAGTGCCACTGATTGTACACTTTAAAGGAGTTAATTTTATGTGATTTGAGTATCACTTCAATTTAAACAAAAAGATCCAGCAGTCAAATATGTCTTTACTCCCTTAACTCTGTCTCAGCTGGTAGCCAGCTGTTGCCTTACAATATCTGACTTAAAACTAAAATAAAGAGAAGAAACACACATCTTTGTGTTTCTGACTTGTGTTTACAATGAGGGTATGTGCATGACACTTATGTGGTTTAGAGAAATACCTTGGGCTTCTCTAAAATGACTCACTCTAGGGAGAACATAAAGTTAACGCCTGATTTAACACCAAAGGTAAACATGAATTTCATTGTGACTTTCAGAATTATCAACATCCACATAGCTCGTTTCAAACTTTTGAGTTGTCATATATATTGAAGAAGCAAAAACAATAACAAAATCACCTCAGTGCTCTGCTTACTATCTATCCATCACTGAGCTTAATGTGCCAAAGACAACACATACCCATAAAGCATTAACTGCCTAGGACTATGAAGATCTCTATGACAGAGGGCTTATCACTTAGAACAGCCACAAGTGAGCTTATGAACTGTATTAATGTCTTAAAATTAGATATACCAATTTAGAGAAGATAACAGGAAAGACCCAGCACTCCACCCAAATTCAGTAGATTTAGACAAACGTTTAGAGGATAAATATAGGAATTAGGTTAGTTTTTTAAAGAAACATTAGTACTTCCAAGAAAGTGTTGGGAAAGAAATAACAATTTAAGTGTTTCTACTAATTTTTAGAAAATATAAAAAAGTATACTGGGCTTCCTCATCCACTTTCAGCTGGAACTTAGAAATAGTAATTCTACAACACTTCTTGGAAGTTTTAAAATACCATTCCAGAAGCTAAGAACCAATTTAGACTTTGTGATACCATTAGCTTTTCACGTGGGCAGCTCTGTCCCAGAATTTGTAGAACATAGGTACAGATGGCAAAAGTAGGTCAGATGGAAAATTTTAGATTTGCAATTATATGAAAAATAATACATTATATATTTTTTGCTTCTCATCATAACATTAATATAATTGTTAAATTCAAATGATGGGTAATCATCATGGAATTAGCTACATCTCACTGCTAGAATTGTTTGCATTACCATTCTCAATTTAGAAATACACAGAAAGTCAAGGGGTTGGCCTTAAGTATTAAAAAAGTCACAGATTCATTTCTAGCACTTAATACTTAGCATTAATATACAATTTTGAATTTTCTCCATTAAAACCCTTGAAGAAAATAATAATTTTGCTCTACATTGCTTATGCATGTTTTCACAGCAATGCCAGAGAGGCAGGGGGTGGTAGCAGTGATTGACAACTAATTTGCATTTTCAGTTAGGAACTCTGGAGTGTCAGGACAGACTACCAGGATCCTCTTTTATGCAGTTTCTAAATCCTGGGGGATCTAGTGAAGGGTCTTTGCAAGCTATTGTCACACACCTGGGACACTAGAATGATGAGCTTTGAACAAAGGCAGAGATGACTCAAAAGTAGAAAGAGTCTAAGTATGTAAACCCTTCCTCTGGAGCATGTGCTCCTGATAATATGAGTGTGTGACACTCAAATTCATTCTAATGCAGCCTTTGGACAACTTATGCCAAATTCCTTTTGAATGTTTAAAGGAAAGCTGTAACCAAATGGAGGTAAGTTGTCCTCCCCCTTTAGGCACACTGAAGCAAGGGGCTGGAGGGCAGAGGGGCAAACAGAATCCCAGGAAGCACACTGGCACTCCACAGACAACACTTCAGATGACAAAGAGGTGATGGCAGTTGACCATCTGAAAACTGGAGTAGCAGATAAAGAGGACTGTGGCACTTGGAAGGAAACTGCACTGTAGTAGTCACCAAAGTCCCTGACTGTCCTCATGTTTGGTTTGGTCCAGGTAAACAAAGACTGACTTTCATTTTATATTTTTACAGCACCCTTCCCAGCCAGACTATGAATGACTTTGGGATAGCAGAGAGCCCCATAGAAGGCAGTGTTACCAAAATAAGGCCTAAAAATGGGTGCTATACACATTGGTCCCTTGTAACTTAATAAGTTACAAGAGCGTCAAAAACCTGAAACCCCTAATTCTCAATATGTTGTCTCTAGATGAAATGTTCTTATTTTGGGGTTATACTGTAAAGTCCTATATTGTAAAAGAATGGAATTATCAATAGACATATGGACAACCAATGTATTCCAAGGTTATCCTGGGTTCCAAAAAAAACAAAGTACAGAGTTTCACTCCTAAAGCTAACAAATTACCCAGTATTTGACAGATAAACATCTCATATCCTGCTTTTATAGCACTTAATTTGCATCTAAAAATACTTTCTTTTCCTCTGCCTTTTATAGGGTCATCCCATGCTCCTTCATTCTGCTCAGAATCAAGTAGTATTTCAGTGTCAGTGAAATATGAGTCTCACTGCATATTTAGGTGAATACCTCGATACCTCTAGCTCCCATTTATACCTGATTGTATATTAATAGTACACTTGATCATACTGCTAAAGCATTGACTAGATCTTAATATATGCACTTTCTTAGCATGCATCTTAAATTGATGCATTCTTAACACCTTTCCAAGTTAGGTTAATGTAATCATCCCTATTTCTCATGTAAAGTTAAGCTTTCTCTCGTTTATATAACTTTTTAAAAATAGATTCAAGTCAGGGACACTGTAAGATTATAACTTTGAATCCTTACTCTTCAACTGCCTTTGTGTCCACTTAAGTCTGAGAATTATTCTCTAAAGATAATGGGAAGCTGCTAAACACATGCTGGCTAAATTTCTTAAAACAACAGTCACCACAGAAGGAGGATGCGGGGTACATTTTATTCCTACAACAGTTCACAACAACAATAGAATGATGTGGCAACTATTAGGAAATGTACTTTATGTGATAAACATAAAGAAGCAAAGCCAAGGTATGCAGCTTTCTTTAATTAAGTTCAAGGTCTGAATTTCTATCTTTCCCTCTTAGATCCCTCCCTGAAGCAGTGGTGGGAACAACCACCATTTGGAATATTGTTTACTCTGTAAGAAATGATATAATAATAATTAAAAAAAAAAAAAAAGGTCAGTCTGCTCTCCCAAAAACATGCTTGGCCACTTGGCCGGCTGATTAGTCACAAGAGCATGCACCTACTTAATCATGCAGGAAACTGAAGTCATAGCTATTTTTACCTGATGTTCAGCCATCTGGCTTTCTGGACTCCTGCCATGCTCCAGACTCTCACTGAGTTTCATCTCAATGGCCTCCATCTTTGTGGAGATGGACTGTAGGGAGTCCTGGTACTTCTGCTGGCGTTCCAAAGCTTCATAGAGAGTGCGCTGCTTTTCACTTATCTAGAGAAGAAAAGGATATTACCAAATGTTTCCTAGTCCCTTATCTTGTAGATTATGACATTTCTTTCCTCATGTGACATTCTTACCTCTGTGGCCCAACAGAGGGTATTCAACTGTGGACAGTGTGTAAACTCTCTGCATGTGTTTCAAAAGACAATTGCTAAGGTAATCTGTGGCTGGTCCACTAAACAATTCCATGTTTCAGAGACTTACCACATTCTTTAAGGTTTCCCAAGAACGCTGCAAATCATCCAGTTTAGCAGTAGCAGATGGCTCCAGTCCTGGTTCGTAGAACTCCTGAGATGGCAACGTGCTGGGGTGGATCCTTGCGGCATCAGTCTGCAACCTCTCAGCAGATAGTGCTTGGTAATAAGCAATGTCCTGTGGGTACAAAGCCCAGTGTTGGACTCAGGAGGAAAACAGTCTAAGTTAACATGCTCTGGGTACTATCTGTCATGTGGAGTAAAGGTTTAGGACTCACCTCTGTCCCAGGGGGCTATAAACTATAGAAGTTAGTAGAATTCTTTGAATTTTGGCTTCTATTAAAAAATGAACAGATTTACCAATATTTCAAGTTGTCAAAAGTCATTCTTAGTTTGTATTTGGTAAAATATACAAAGGATTTGAGTGGTACACATGTTTAAAGCTTGATTAACCAGCAGGGCAAAAAAAAAAAGAGAATCCACTTTATTTCCTAAAATGTTTTTTAATGAATTGATTATAGTTCTTTTTTGTTTGTTTTTGTTTTTTGTTTTTTTATTGTAGTTCTGCATAATTTTAAAATGTACTTTATTTAAATAAAATTAAATCTATGTCATTTTTAAGATATAGCCAGATTTTCAGTATTTGTGAGTTCATTATTCACAGAAATTAATTAAAATATTTTAATATTAAATGAAATAAAATGTAATACCTTGAAAATTAAAACTACTCTAAGAAACAATAAAAGGGATTCCTTACAATCAGTTCCTGGAAGTACACTAGAAATAATCAAAGTGAACGATGAAAAACAAAACTTTTGAATTTTTTATTAGTTTGTTGGGTTATAAGTAACATTACATATCTTTTAGTATTCATAATAGAATCTACTATATCAAGACATAATTCATGTGTTTTCAATTGTTTCTATACTTATTTATACATATAAATAGAAATTGAACTGGTGAGTAATATTTATATTCTAGGAATTTCTATTATCAAGTTCATTGCTTTTGCAATTATACTGTTGAAGACTATTATGTATATGAATATAAAATACCTTATTGATAATAATATATTGATAAAAAGTCTTGAAGAAGGTACCAGCCACTGGGGAAATCAAAGTAATAACAAGAAGGGGCTGGTGTTTGGCAGTCTGTACAAGAACAGATGCAGGATTGTGTACTAGGAAGAGTTCACTCAGGAGTCTGACACCTGAGGAGTCAGGACAAATGAGATTCCAGGGGAAATTCTCCTCCTAAGTAGCTATACTCACGTCTCACGTATCAGCTCTCTCATCTGTACAAAACTGGGGAGTTCTGAGGATTAAATAAAGTCGTATTTGAGTGGCCATGAGGCCTTCTACCTGTTTTGTTGTTGTTGAAACTTCTGGATAAGTCCTCAGCCTTAACTTATGACACTGGCTCCTCTTCATTTGTCACCCTGTCACCATCTTGAGTAGATTTCCTTGCTATTCTCAAGTCTTTGCCCCACTAGTTCACCCCATTCATTCTGCCCTACTTTTACCCCACTTCCATCCTCCACCCCTTGAACATGATAGCCTGTCATCACTGAATTGGTTCACCCCATGTGCACTTCTAGCTATGTCTAAAGTTACTCAAACCCTTCTCTTGCCAACACCTTTGCTTCCTTCTCCCCTTAAACTCTGCTTTACCCATCTGGAAAATCCCAAGCAGTACTCAATCCAATTTTACTTTCCAGAGTGCATGCGTGTGCATGTTCAGGCACATACAAATACACTCCACACACATGCACAGACACGCAGCTGAAGCCACTGAGGAGATACTCCTGAAACTTCTCAAGTTTCCAAAAATCTGTCTATTCTCAGACTCACCTTTATCTTAACACTGTCAGTTTCCTTGCTTAAAGATAACCCTCTCAACGACTCTCAGAATCCCATCCACCTTCACTTTTTCAAGGACCTTGGTCATTAATACCTTCCTCCTCTCCCTCTCTATTAACCTTTTCTCCAGCATATAGTCAAATATTTTCAATCTAAAAACATCTTATTTTTGGTATTTTTCTTACAGGATATCACATAATGGAAAAGTCCACAAATCACAACATGATGAGTCATCACACATGAACACACAGTTGTGATGACCATATCTTCCTTTTCTCCCTTTCACTTGATAATCCAGTTTCTGCAAATGGTCATTTATATTTGACAATGTTCACTTTTGATCTACTTCTAAACACTCAGCTGAACTTTGACTTTTGTGACTCTTTTCTATGAAACAAAATAATTATTTTCAGCTATTTTTCTGCCTGATCTTTCAGAAGTATTCAACAACTCTGACTGTCCCCTTCTGGAAACACTTTCCTTTGAATCTGTTTTCCTTCTAGCTCCAGTCATTCAAGCTTTCTCTTGTGTAGTTTGTTTCTTCCACTCACTCTTAAATATTGGTTATTTATAAGCTCCACACTCACATATTCAGTTTGTACACTTATAGCCTTTAGGCTCTTCAAACTCAACATTTTCAAAAAAAGATCCAGGATGAGAACTGAATTTAGGAAAAAAAAATTAACATTCTATCCACTTTGCAATAAATGGAACTTCTACTCATCAAAGCACCTGATATTTATTCTCTATTTCTTCTCTCTTTTCACATCCCTTGCTTATTTAGGATGAATTCTATTGACACTTATCCTTGCCACAGCACTGGTTCAAGTTCTCCTTAGAGCAACAACTTCCTAATTCCCAGGCTGTAAACTGGCAGCCTCTAGGCTGCCTCTGGCTTGCATACATTTAGCTTGGCTTATGCAGTGTATGAAATTGTTGAAAATTTCATCGAAGTAGAGAGACTCTTATAAGAATCCAGATTCATAGCTCCTTTTGCAAACCAGGAGGTACATAAGACTGGATTCTGTGTCCACGTGGCTACAGTAATTCTAACTATAGACTTGCTGAGGGATCCTCTTCATCCCTTAGCCTGTTTCTCTCATTGACATCACCAGTCCTAGCCAGGCATCAGAGTATGCAATTTCTGTCCCTCACTAGCTTCTCTGGCTCCGAATTTGTCTATCTCTCTTCTACTACTTACATTGATCCAGAATGACCTGTTCTAAAACTTCTTTCTGTACATAGCTTCTCTCTGTGGTTAACTATTAGCCTCTGGATGAACGTCAGATTTTTTTTTGTGTGTGGCATTCAAGGTCCTTCATGATGTGTTTCCTTTACCCCTCTCAGTTTCTTTTCTCCCCCACTCCCTCCCCCAAATCTGGTTCTCTCATTATACTGATAATTATTTGCAGTTGTCTGATGGGTCATCCTCATTCCAGCCAGCATACCTTCTATATGTCCTTCCTCCTGTCTGAAAAATTTCACTTCACTAGAACACACCAGCTGCCTAACTTGTATTCCCTCCCTAAAGCTTTGGGTGCCATCTTTGACAGCCCCACTCCCCGAACTCCAGGGTCAGGTGCTTATTCCAAGACCACACTCACCACGCAGTTTTCCCATTGTCATGGCACCTGTTCCATTTTGTTGTGATTACTCGTCTGCTTTCACACAGACCGTGAACTAGCTCTCTTAAGAGCAGAGTGAGCTTTTTATCTTTGACTCTGAGCATGTCTTAGGGTGTTTGCCAAATAACAGGCAGGCATATGTGTCCATAATGAATTGTATGTGTAAAAACCCTTTTATAAACTTTATTATTTTATATACGTGGAAGGTCATACTATTACTGTCCACAAGGAAAAGCAAAATGTTGCTTTAAATGTAAAAATTTTAAATTAAATACTCTTTTGTAAATAAAGAAGCAGCCCCCCCCTCCCCGAAAAAAAAAAAAAAGCCAGAATAAAACAAATGGGTTGTTAAAAAAAATTTCTTTCTGGTTCTTTTGTACACGAATATGTGCATGTGTGTGTGTCTGTGATTGTGGATGTGTTTGTTTATTGGTCAGGCCAATTAAACAGGAATGACAATTCCTGGTTTCTTAAAAGCATTTGAAAATATGTCACCTTCTGTAGATGAAGAATTTGTATCTATTTGAGGACTATATAGATTCAACAAAATAAAACAATCAGTCTCATAACTACTAAACAGAGGCACTAACTGGCCTAGTGAGGAATCATCCTTAGAAACATGTCTCTTGTTGCTTTGTGCCTAAGTTATGAGAGTTATTATCTATCCAGTAGATTCCTAAGGGAATAAATTTGGAAAGCTATAGCTACTATTTTATTAACATTGTCCAGGTTAAAAAGTACTTCATGCTACACATCACATTTAATTTTCAAAATTTTGTGAATTGAGGAACATTGTTTCCTATTACAAATGAGGCTGCTTAGGGACTTTGCGGGACCTTTCAGCTTAAAGGGAAAAGAGCTGGCACCCATTCTGAGCTTTTAACCTGGGGCTTGACACTCTTCCTGGTACAAGATCGTGCTTTTCAAACTTTGACTTCTGTTGACTCTACCGAGGAACCCAACTTTGCTTTGCTTCTACAGCAAATTTGGGAATTGCCTGGTTATTTCTAGTCTCCAGGAAGCTAAACCATTACCACATTTCAGCTAATAGCTACTGTCAGAGGCAGAACACACTGACTGTGGGGTGGGGGCGTGGGGGGAATCAGTTAGTTATGTAATGAAGATCTACTTACAGAAGCAGCAAGCACAAAACCTTTTTATAACAGCTGCAATTTTATAAAGCGGTTGCTTTATTTGGCTGCCCCTTGAAACAGTTGTGCACATTCTGTACAGTATTTTGAGTCTGAAAAGTGGAACTTATGGGGATTCAAAATGTCCTCCTCAGCTTCAGAAGAAAGCCTTTGGCCATGTTGTAGTATTTATTCATTTTCCTCTGATTTATATTACTGTACAAGAATAACATGTGGCCATAATGATAGAGTTGATTTGTTTGAACAACACCAAGCATAACACATTTGCTTCTTAAAAGCCTCCTCTGAGGAAAGCCATCTGACAAAGACATTTTTTGCCAATCTGCAATATCATGTAAAAGAACATTAACAATATGATTTAATAGATGCTTTCCTTTGATGGGGAGGGGGTGTCAAAATAGACTTAAAACAAAAATCTCACTCATACTTTTAGGATGTGATTGAGTTTGACAGGTAAGGTAACCATAATAAAATATTCACATATTTTATCATTCACAAGACTTTTTCACATGTACGTTGAAAGAACTTTACAAGAACTATCACTGAAACAACCTTGGAAAAGGCATATTCTTCCCACAGTGTTAATCTCAAGGCCAGTGTTTACTGTTCAATTTGAAAATTTTAAGAACATTGTATATTATAGGGGTAATTTTTTTCCTATACAATAAACAGCTGACCATAGCCAAATTACTCTGATTCTAATAACATCTGTGACCACACAGAAGAACACGTCAAATAATGAGTAATATGTATTTTAAAAACAGAATTTGAAGAACAGTTCCCCCAGAGTGCCCTGAACTTCTCCCTTTTTGTTTTTAGTTTCCTCTCAACACTTCTGTTATTATTCATCCCACATCCACCTTTCTTTTTAGATTACAAGGTCTTTGAGGGTAGGGGCACTGTTGTCTTTTATATTACCTATCTGGGACCTCACACAAGATTTCATGCCAAGCAGGTGCTCAGAATGTGTCTGATGAATGAATAAATTGATAATTTCCTAGAGCTATATACATTTTTACCAAGATAATTGTTTTATCTAAAATTTTCATCAATTTTATTTTCCTCCTTTGGGGGAAGAGGGCTTTTTTTTTTTTATCACAGAAATACCATTTCAAATGCTTCTTCTTTAAAATAAAAATAAGGGAGGCCTGGATGGCTCAGCGGTTGAGCATCTGCCTTCTGCTCAGGTCGTGATCCTGGGGTCCTGGGATTGAGTCCCACATCAGACTCCCCGCAGGGAATCTGCTTCTCCTTGTGCCTAGGTCTCTGCCTCTCTCTCTGAGTGTCTCTCATGAATAAATAAATAAAATCTTAAAAAATAATAAAAATAATTGTAATTAATTTTAAGACAGCCTATAGAACATGTACTCTGTTTAATAATTCTTTCTTAATAATAAATCTCTATTCCTTTGAACACTTACATAATTTCATAGTAATGTAATTAAACTTTTCTAAAGTTATTTGGCTAAAGAAAAAAGGAAAGTATTACTTAATGTGCATTAAAAATTTTTAGCTATTGTAAAAGCATATTTTTATTTCTATCCAGTATTTTTCATGAAAATCCTTTGACCTATTTAATTTAGTACAATCTAAATTTAACAGAATACATGTTGAAAGGCACCACATAACAAGGTATTATTACCTCCACTTTATAGGAAACAGAATTTAAGATTACTGATTATTGAGATTAGTAAGTAAAGAACACGAGTCTACTGAGACATTCCAATAGGTACACTGGCAGACACCCCTTAAAATGGTTGACAGTAAGTAAAGAAAAAGTATAAATCGTGAGCAGAAGCTTTTCATCTTCAAAATCTGAGCTGGTAAGTGGTAAAACCATGTTTAATGAATGTTAAAATACAAATAGATATGTTACTTTGCAATAGTGACACAAATATTTCATTTTCTGTTAGGCTGCAGTACTCCATCGCAGACAGCTATCAGAAACTAAAGCCATCATGCCTTAAAACAGGGCTTTCTCCATCTATAATTTCTGTGACCTAAATTTGGCTCATCTCATTGCCAGCAGCCCAGAAGTGGAGCTGATGTGCTGAGCCAGGAGTAGTGTCCTATGACAATCACAGTTTGTGGAATTTCACACCTAATGGTAAGTCCCTCAAAGTCTAAGATTCACACCCACAGTCTATTAAGAACAGAGAATGGAGTTCTGCAACCATCCAGAGATTGTAACTAGAGGAATTCCAAATGGGTGGTACCTGGTTAACAGAGGCATCTGCATTAGCCACAGGTGAAGGGGAGCGACAGGCAGGTGGAGAGGAAATTTCACTGTTGGTTCCCTCCTCCCCAGACTCCTCCGTCACAGGTGACAGCAAAGTGTGACAACGACCTGCAGTCATCTATCACATAAAATGTAGCCCAAAGGACACAAACGTCAGTTAGCTATGTTAATAGAAGACCTAGTCAGGCACAGGTCAAAATGAAAGTCATAATATAATAAAGGTTAGGGATACAGAGACCCATACCTACATACAAATTCTGTGTTAGTATTTAAAAGTTTTGTCCTCAAGTGACTATGACTCTCGGGATCATATGGGAGAGAGGGTGTATATCACAATAAAGACTTTTGTTCTTGATTATTTATTTTCCTTTCCTTGAGGTGTGTATCTTTATAAACAAGTAGAAAAATCACGAATTATAAAAGCAAGGGAAGGGTCTACAAAATAAAACTTGGGTCTTTTGTGGACATCTCAAATTCTAAATATTCTAGGGAGATAAATGCACCCAAAGTAATATTTTGCCAGAAGAGTCCAGGTATGATTATATGCTACCTGAGGCACAGCACACATGTATGGAAAACATACAGCACTGGAAAACATTTTAGTTACTAAAATAACTCATGCATTATAGATACAAAGTGATAAGCAAGTGATATTGCAGAACAGAAATTAATGGAACCTATTTATTTTAATCCAAAGCTAAACTCTGGATTCTCAGTTTTCTTATTTTCCTAACAATACCTTTTCTTCCATATTTTATTGAATATCTGTACAACAGAATACACAAACATGTCTAGTCGGCCAGTGTTTTAGCTTGAAAAACACACAAAAAATATATATACAGGATGATTCTCCTATCCCCCAGAAAAACTAGAAAACTGTGCAAAGGAAAATTTTTTTTAAGCTCAGAGGCTTTCAATATTATTGTTTAATTATAAACAAATGCAGGGCCAACCTCTGGCATATTAAATAATTCAGCCCCCTCAAGCAAATAGCTTCATTTTAGCTATCCCTGTTTACAGTATGAAAAACTGGCCTTGGCCCAAAGGTAGTCAGAGTTAAGGAAACTGTTTTCTCAGTTCGAATCTTCAAGAGCTAACACTGATCCCTAAAAGAAGTCACGAAGAGGGAACCTGGAACCACTGGCCAGGCTGCGGGCAGAAGGGAGCGCCGCTGGCTCCCAGCGGACCCGGCCTTCCCCCTCACTTACCATGACCACAGAGGGGTGGGCCGAGGTCGCGGGGAGGAGCTCCCTGTCCAGGTCCTCCGTCCCCTCCGCCAGCCCCTCCACCTCCGTGACCGTCAGCAGCATGGTGGCATGCTTGGCTTTCATCGTCAGCATCTTGCACTTGGAGTTCAAAGAGGCGATCTGCTCCTGGTAGCCCTTGATTTTCTGAGCCAGCTCCTGGGGAAACATTTCCACCACCGCCCCCCCCCCGCCCCCCAACTGTGTGTCAGAGCAGCATCAAAAGGAAACACAACTCGTAGCGTTCATCTTCCTCCAGCGCTGGCCAATGAGATCGCAGAGCTGCGCCAGGCGGCAGCAGCAGCCGCGGCCGAGGCAGGATGTGGACGTGCGAGCGCAGGAGCCTGTCCGCCGCGCGCCTGCACCGCAGCCCGAGCACCGCGCAGCCGGGCCCGCAAGAGCCGCTGCAGGGCCGGAGACCAGGGCCCTGGGCCGGGGGATTCTAATCCCGGGAGAGGCCCGCCGTGCAATCGGGAACTTATGTAACGTTAGGCACTGGCAACTTTCTTCAAAATGTCTAAAGAATCCGAACCCGCCAGATGGTTCATGCCATGGAAATGAGGTCATGTGATGACTAAAACTGCAAAAAATGCAATGCTCAGCTCTTACCATACTGAACATATCAGATAGAGCAGTCATCTGTTAAGGGGCAGCGTCTCAAAAGTAACCTGCACCTCAATTCCTGTGAGCCATAGAGGTGTTTTTTTTTTTTTTTTTTGTAGATAAGCTAAATATTACATAGGAAACCCTAATTTTTTATCTTGATTACTCCCACAATAAAGTTTTGTACATTCATCAAATTTTCCCTCATGTACTCCATCATGCCTCACATGTTTCTCATGTTTCAAACTAGAGCTTTGAACTTGAAGTTCAGTTCAAATTTAATGTCTTTTAAACTCATCTGTTGTTGAAAAACTTGTTTTAAGAGAGAGAGGTTTTAAAACTTTTACCAAGAGCTTATTGAAAATATATTCTGGACAGCTGGCAGCTCTCAAAAATCTAAAATATTAAATAAATAATCTAAAATGGTAATTCTAAAATATTAAGTTTATACTAAAAGATGTATACATGCTTAACAAAAAAGATGTCTATTTCAAGACATTAATCCTAAAAGTATCAAACCATTACTTTTTTTCTGTTCCTTTTATTTGGCTCCTTTTCCTGAAAAACTGTCATTTCGTGTTTGTACGAAACATATTTCGCAACAAAAACATTCAATGTCAATATCTTTAAAAACGATAGTGTTTATATACATATATGCCCATATATACACACTAGGCACATATACATACTTCACCTATATGTATATATGATACAAATACTATCATTTTAAACACATTGACATTCAAACTAGAGCTTTGAACTTGAAGTTCAGAAACAAAATAACAACAAACTGGTATATATGATGTATGTACAATGTATATTTATGTGTGTATATGTATATGTGTATGCACACAGACACACACATATATAATTTAGTTTCTCCCCTCCCAGACAAAACTGACTAATGGAAGGAAAAACCTTGCAAAACTCAGCCAGTAGCCTGTCTTCTTGATTTCTTCTATAGCACAAGAATTTTTAAAGCAAGAATTTAAAATGTAGAAATCATCACTTCTTTACCTTTTAGAGCTGCAGGTACTTAGTTAAACCTAATATGGGTTTCTATTTTTAATAGTGATTAAACAGTTGGCCTAGTGCCTAATACATGGTTACTCTATTATAATTAGTTGACATGCACATATAGAAGACATCTACCAATCAGTGGACTCCTTGAATACTGCATTTTCATAGGACAAATCACTAAGCCTTCTTATAATGGCTTGCCACACTGGGTAGATTTGAAGAATCTTTGTGAAGTAGCATTAATTTTAGTCCTTCCCCTTTTCTGGCTACACGCATGGCTGTGTCCCCAACTGCTACACCCTGCAAAGTTGTGCCCATGCTGACAGTGAACATCCATCTCGTAAATTGGAATTCTACACTTTATTGTGTATAAAACTCATTTGAGTTGTTTGTTAACAATGCAGTTCTGTTCTCTACAAAAGATTGTGATTTACAAGGCATTTTATACTTATCCCCTTGGAGAAACAGCTCCTTAGAACTTCCTTCTGCAACAATAAAACCTGTCTGTATCAGAATAACTGTGGGTTCGTTATTAAATCTGCTAAATTAAAATGGAACCCCACTGGCTTAATGTGTTCTCCATTTTCAGGAAGCACATATATTTTTAATTTTTACTGGATATTTCTGAAAATGATTACAAAGCATGAGCATAAAGAGGTGGGAATTTCAGATTCAGTGGCTGTTCTAAGGAAAGCTGCCCTCTGTGGGCAGTCTCCTGCACTCAAGAGAAGGCCTTGTACGCAAGGTAAAAAGCAGGGAGGCCTGACTATTCTTATGATTTAAAAGCAGCAAGATAATTTTTTCAAGTTAAACGCAGCATTTAAAAAATTACAGAAAAAAGTTAATTCCTTAGACACATACATATATTGTAAATAATTTATCAATTTTTGATAAATTATCAATTTATGTCATTATTATAATCAATTATTTTTATCAGATAAAGTTCTCCTAGATGCTAGATTCACCACACAGTTGAAATTCCATTGAAAGCAGACTGAAAATACAGGAAAAAGCAGTCTTCCACATTTTTATGTTATCGTAAATCAGGCTATCTCCACTCAGCACATTCTTTCCTGTGTTTGTTTTATACATACAATGAATCTCACACAGGACTATGCCATTATTATTATGAAAATGTATCCTAAATCACCTGACAGAACTTACAAGAGTCTACACTCCTGTTTAGAACTGGAAAGAGAAAATGTGACAAAATGAATGGACCACAGAACAGGAGCCTGGAGGATAGTCTACAGCTGATTGTGCTCAGAGCCAGCTCTGTGACCTTGGATAAGTCATTCATTTTCTGGGTCATCATTCTTTTCTTCTGTGAAATAAGGTAGCCCAAATAGTTGCTACTGCAGGGGGAAAAAATCATGGAATTTGAACAACAGATACTGGCTTAGAATCTGGTTTCTATCAGTTACTAGACTTGGGAGCTTGGGAAGTCACTTTTAAAAAAATCAGTTTCTGTTTTCTTTTCAGTATAATGGTGATGATTAAAAAAAAAAATCCTTGCCTCACAGCATTGATATAAAAGATAATGTAACAACTGTATAACTGTTTTTTTTTTAAAAACCCAAACTGTAGTAATGATAATTATTGCTATTTCAGACAAGGTTTTTAAAATATGTACTTTCTGTACTCTGATAGAATGTTGTTACAACAAAATTCTGGATCTTCTGAGGTTAAAAATAGTTTCAAAATTAATTTGTAATATATAGTCTAATACATAGTCTAATGTATGAATTATACAAACAGTGGTTTCAAATATTTGCTTAACATATTTTCACTTAACCAGTGGCATAAGAGAAATCAATGGTTAACAAAGATAATAGCTATGGTGTAGAAGTAAATGTAGGTGGGAGGTTTATTTATGTAATTTTATAAAGAATATATAAATGTAAGTTACTGATATGTTGGACATGTCAAGAAATTAATTGCATTTGGAGAGTAGGTAGTGAGACATTTTATCCTTCAAAGGCAACAACTGAATCTTCTGAGAAACTCACTATGATATTTGGTTTGAAAAAATAGTTGCTCTAACATTTTAACAAAATTAAAATGGAGCAGATGAAGAATAAACTAAATATCCACCTTTAGCCCTGAGAAATTAGACACTCTCCTCTGTCCTGTTGCTTTCCCAATTCATGATGCTATGAGCCAGTTCCTAAGGGAAAGAGTAAATGTGATCCAAATAGGAATTGACAGGTCAGAAGAAATTCACTGCTAGATATCAATGGGCCAAAACACTGAAAATCTATGATCTCTGAGACCAAGTCTATGCAAGGGGTGTTCAAATCCTAAGTTTATAAGGAAGTTATAAACCTAAGAAAGAAGACATATTTGAAAATGGAGAAGACGCTAAAAACATGACCTGAAGATCAGCAAAACAACATGGGCCATACTGACTGCAGTGGAAGGGACTGAAGTAACCTCTATTTCAAAGAGCAAATGATTTTGTTTTTAATATGAAATATCTCTTTTTTGTAAAGAGGTCAATCAAAGCAACAAGGCTTTGAGCACTGCTGTTTCTAGCAGTCTTTGAATACAGAGCAGACCATGTGTTGGTATAAATAACTGTGAGAATTTGGGGTGCAGGAGACAGTTGATGGATCCCAGCTAAGATATATCATCCCAATATGTAAAGAGGTTTTGGCCTCAAGGGGAAGACTCAGGCTCCTGGGTCTTGGAAAACACCAGCAAGAACAGGTAAAATCAGTCAGAGAGGATGCCCAAGAACTGAGCACACTATGTGCACAATAGGGAAAACTTTTCTCTTAGATTCACTAGAAACCAATGACATAGTCTAACCAAACAAGCACCTTGCCTGTGTGCCTGTCTCACCTCATGCCGAGAAATCTGGGCTTGCAGCTCCTGGATGTTACTGGTGGCCACAGGTGTATCCTCGATTTCTCTGTGCGCTCCTTCTATAAGCTCCCGGAGGTGCTGCATTTCTTGCTCATACTGTTCATATTGCACCACAGCCTCCTTTGAAAGAGAAAACAACATATGATTATCTTTCTATATCAATAACTACATGGAATCATTCTGTGCTGCCCTCTACAGTGTTAACTGGTATTCACCTGTGTGTCTGGGAATAACAAATGATGGGTAAAATCCCTGGGTGACTCAAGTCCTCAAACTTATGCAGATATTTCAAAAGCTTCTCTCTAAAATAGTTTACTAAGATTATTAACAGACTCAAAATACCTAAATGGCTAGATCTTCTCTCTTCTCCCTATTCATATTGTCCTGAATATAGCAATGTCATGGTCTGAACAATGTCATGGTAGGAAGTGGTATGAGAAACACGATTACTTCATTTTTCCATCTAAGAAATACTAAATATATATGTAAGGCACTTGTCTAAATGCTGAGGTAGAAGATAAAAAAATGAAGTAAGCATGACTTCTATCCTTAGGAATTTACTATGTAACAAATTACAAGACAATCCAAGGAGCAAGAATAGTTGACCAAGTCGACCATTAACTATTTAATGAAAAGATATGTATACAATTTTTGGATAAAGTAAGTAAAGTATTAGTTGAAAGGAGATATAAAGTGGAGAGTGTCATTCCTTCCTGTAAATGTTTTTTCTCTTATTAGCTAAAAAGATTAAGAGTTCCACTTGGGTGCACTTTCAAGGCCAAAAAAAAATGCATTTAGTGTATCAATAAGCTGAAATATGAAAAAAGATTCTGTAATATTATGCTAGCAACAAAGGCATTTTACAAGATTTTAGAGGATTCTCAGATGAATAATAAGAGATAAAAATATATGACTGAAGATAAAATTAACCTTTATAAGTTATTCTTTACTAAAATATATTGCTAAAAGATAGCTTTCACCAAAGGCTATTTTTTATAGAGCTTTCCCCAGGCTTTTGTGGGTGATCCAAATGAGAGCATTTCATCTCCTTATTTTATATAACCACAACAATCTGTCAAATTTAACTTTCTGGATGTGTTTTGATGGCTGAGCCCACACAATGCTAAGAAAAGAAGCCCATGACTCATTTGCTCTTGCTCGCCTGGCGCAGGGACTACAAGAGACTCTGGCTGGCACAGCAGTACATGCCTGCATGATGTTGCACTGCTGGATTGCTGTGTGCTGTAACCGGCTGGCCTCCTCCTGCAGGTGCAGAGCAGCATGGCACAGTGGCAAGCTGGTGACCACATCTTCAGGTATCCTCAGTGCACTCTGGCAAATCTGCACAGCATGGACCTTTGGCTTGAGTGACTCCATCTCAGATAACAAATGCTGAAAGTGCGAGTTCACATTTTATGTTTTGTAAAAATGTTTAAAAATGTTATACTTTAACAGCTTATTTCCTAAGCAAGAGACATTTACTAAATTACAGCTCTGTCACGTGTCATAAATATTTTCCAAGGAATTTTTCTTTTTATTTATTAAGATTTTATTTATTTATTCATATGAGAGAGAGAGAGAGAGACAGAGACAGAGAGAGAGGCAGAGAGAGAGAAAGAGAGAGAGAGGCAGAGACACAGGCAGAGAGAGAAGCAGGCTCCATGCAGGGAGCCTGACGTGGGACTCCATCCCGAGTCTCCAGGATCAAGTCCTGGGCTGAAGGTAGCTCTAAACTGCTGAGCCACCCAGGCTGCCCAGAATTTTTCTTTAAATAATGTAAAGAGTACTAAGACTACAGCTGAGTTTAAAAATCATTTTTCCTCACTATTTTCTCCTCCTCCTCCTCCTCCTCCTCCTCCTTCTTCTTCTTCTTCTTCTTCTTTCTTCTTCTTTTTATACATCTCCTTTCTCATTTCCTCTGGATTATCTTTGCTTACCTGTCGATGAGAAAGTTGCTCCTTGAGACTAAGACGGCCCACTTCTGGAGAAGTCAAGGTTGTCTGGGCTTGCTCCAAAGCAACTTGTAAGTTTTTTAGCTCGGTTTCAAATTTTTTCATATCCTAGAGAGTAAAAGCAATATGAATGTTAGTATATAAGCATTTGAAGTTCAAAGTCATCGGAGAATAGCATCACAGTCAAGAAGGCGTTATCAGAGGTGAGTACTACTTCTCTACTATAACACCACCGTTAAAAAAAAAAAAGATAGACTTTCCAATTTGAATTACTATTTTTTTTTTACCTTGGCAGCATCTTGGAGATTATGCATACGAATTTTGATCATCTGTCGCAGCTCCTCAGACTCCCGTCCCAGTTCTGCCACTTGCTGAGACATTTTTTCTGTGGAGTACACACTAGCAAGGTACTGTAATTTCACAATCATTGCTTCCAGATTGCTGTGAATTTCTTCAGATTCTTCTAGCATGGTCTAAAGTGAATTATCAAAATTTATGACATTGACAGGCAGACAGAGACATATAGGTAATCAATCTGATGTGGCATAAGACTGTCAGACTGAAAGGAAGGGAGCTGTTATCTACAGTTCTCATAAGTACTGTGTAGGTTCTGTGTGTCTTACTGTGTTTAACCCTCACACCCCTGTGCCTACTCCCTGCCTATTATTATCCCCATTTTACAGAAAAAGAAATCAAGGTTTAGAAACTGCCAACCATTTGTCAAGGCTACATGTTATTAAGTGTTGGACCCTAAGGCTCATGCTCTATCTACCACCCTAAGCTGCTCTCTGGGGAGGGTCAGGACATAAGTATCCCAGGAGTGTTGATGCTCTGACATGTTGGGTATCTTCATCAGGTTGCTAAGGCTACTTTTTCTCATTTTAAACTCAAGAGATGCTTTTCAGCTCCCATATCCTATGTCTAAGATCTAAGATGCCTATCAATCCAAGAAACAAAAATAACACAAGAACGTTACAAACAAACAAAAACTTTTGAACACTGGCTTTAGTGAGACAAAGTGGGTAGAAGCTACTTGAGATACCATGAGGAATAAAATGCAGCCCTTGTCATTCAGGATAGTATCATCTAGTGAGACTAATAATACACATTGTATGAGTAGAATGAAAGAGGAGAAATGTTAAAGATGGCAGAAATGAGATGTGCTACTACTTGGAGGAAGACTGGGAGAAGGCACAGCAAAACAAAGATGCAGAGGTGAGTGAGCACAAAATGGGAAGTTACTGGGATGTGTGATGTGTAAAGAGGAGGAATGGGAGCTGGGACATTATTCTTAGGCAATAGATCTTTATTTTTTTAGAATAAAGTACAGTTTTTTCCTCATGAGGAATGCTATATATATAATAAAGCTTCAAAAGTATTGAACATATTAAGAAGAAAATAAAATACTCCACAATATGTCAGAGATAACTTTAAGTAAGAGATAACTGTTGTTATATTTGGGTATATTTTTAGGTAATTGAGACCTAATATATGTATAATTTTCCTTCTTTCTTTTCCACCTGACATTAGAACACATGCATTCTCTCTGTGTATTGTTTTTGGCTAAACTTGGGCAGCCCCACCTAAGGCAGTCTGACCTAAGGCAGGGACAAGAGAACTCTCCAGAATAATATCTACAGGATGAGTTCTCTCCTGAGCAACTGAGAGAACCCTCGACATGTGGTGTCTGTCCTCCCATGTTCCTGAGGCATCAATCCACCTAACTGCCCAAGTCAAAACACCGAGGAGCCGTCCGGGGCTCCTCCCTCTCTTTCATCCACATCCAAGAGCCTCCAGAGTCCAGCATTCTAGCTCAGTAGTAGCCCTTGCATCTGTCTTCTCTCAACCTCCAAAGAGAGACCTGCCACTTTCTAGCCTAACACTGAAACCACCTTCCATGCTGTCTTACCTTCATCAGTCTGTTTTCCACAGGCTGCTAAATCATTCTTAAAATACAAGCCTGAATTTGTTGCTTGCCTGAAAAATATCTGTCAGAGGCTTCAGAGTAGGGTAAAGCCCAAGTTCTCAACAGGCCTTTTGATCTTTTGTTCTTTCTCTATTCTTACTTCTTGTGCCTTTTCCCAGCTCTCCTCCACACCTCCTCCTACTGTCCTGCTCCCTCCACTGCACCAAATGGAGCACCCCTCACTTTTACTACTGGAATTTCAACACAAGTAGGTAGCCTGTCATTCAGGACTCAGCCCAGAATTACCTTCTCCTAAGAAGGCCTCCTTAAATGAGGCAGTGTGGGTGGATCATGCTCCTTTGGGCTCCCTCAGCATCTTGATCATCATTTCCTACACTTACCACATTGTTTGTAATTGTCTAGATCTGTCTGTCATTGTGCCTCCTTTTATCAATTCCCTGGGGCAAGAACAGTGAGTATTTTTTTGTATTCTAAGGCCTAACAAAATTCCTAGCTTTGGAGAGAAAGTATTCTATAAATATTTGTTGAATAAATAAATGAGTGCAGGACTGATTTCAAGGAAAAAAAAAGTTTTGATGGTTACTTTAAAGACTACATTGTACTTTATGATATCCAAAATGTCATTCAGAAAAGTGACTTGACAGTTTTCTTTAAAATTTCACTATAGGGACGTCTGGGTAGCTCAGTTGGTTAAACGTCTGCCTTTGGCTGAGGTCATGATCCTGGGGTCCTGGGACTGAGCCCCTGCTTCTCCCTCTCCCTCTTCCTTCTACTTGTGCTCACTCTCTCTCTCTGAAATAAATAAATAAAATCTTAAAAAAAATAAAATTCCACTATAGTGGGGTGCCTGGGTGGCTCAATTGGTTAAGCAGTTGACTCTTGGTTTCAGCTCAGCTCATAATGTCAGGGTCATGAGATTAAGCCCTCTGTCAGGCTCTATACTCAGCATGGAGTCCCCTTCCTTCCCCCTCTTCCTCCCTCCCATTCTGCTCCCCACCACAAACTCTTTTTCTTTCTCTCTCTCAAATAAATTAACTAAATCTTAAAAAATAAAAATAGAACAATAAAATTCCAGTCTAATTATTAATACTGCATAAAGTATTTTCTACATTTTGGATTGCGGAGTAATAACTAGCATTTTGGTGATCATGATGCATTTTGCCAATTGTTTTTCAAAAAGATTTTAACAATTAAACGTTAGGGTTGAAAGCTCTTTCTTCTTTAAATATGAATCTCAAATAACTTTTAAATGGTATTAATTTGATAAAGTGCTCTCTCACACTCTCTTTTAAATTTTCATTTCTAGATTTCTAATGAGGTTGAATATTTTTGTCATCATTTACAACCAGTTGTAAATTAAGTCTTGTCTTGAGTGGTTTAAGAAAGATTCCAGAAGAGTATACAAGATTGATTAGAGAATACGAAAACTGATTAGCATCTGTTAAAGCATTCCAAGGAGGCAATGAGGCTTTAATCTAGAAACCTGTCCACAGGAATGGAAAAGGGAATGGTTTGAAAGATATGAGTATACATAAATCAGAATAAAAGAGAGAGAATCTAAAATACTTCAGGATATCCATGTAAGTAAGTAAAAATCATTCTGTGTTGTATTGTAAGCGAACTGTGCTATTACATACTTGTATCTAATTCAAGCTAAAGATAATAAAAGGATGAAATAATTTCCTGGATGATACAACCAGAAGAAAACTTCCGGAAATGAAGTAATGCAGCCACCTTCTGATATGGACTCTTTGCTACTTTCTAGCTGACCCCCACTTCCTCTGGAGAGCCAGACAACTGAGACCAGGCTGAGTGCTGAGAGTGAGGAGGCACTCACATGGCAGATAGTGTGCTTGATATTTGCACATATGTTAAACCATTCGATCCTCCTAATAATTCTGCAATAAAAGTATCATTTACATCTCCATCTTAATGAGAAAACACAATTCAGGGAGGCAAAGGAGTTTGCTCCAAATTGCACAGCCCTAAATAGCAGAGATTGGTTTTCCCATCAGTCTGAGTCTGAAGTCTATAATCTCTCCACATGTCATATCTCTTCATGGGGAAGAATTTCCCACCATATCCAAGCATCTGATTGTTTCAAAGAAGCTGCAAAAAAAGAAAAACCTATACAGGGCTATTTGGGTCTTGGAGAGAAAAAAATCTAGGGGAGATAGAGGATATTTATTTATATAGTTTTATGAAATCTTATGGGTAACCACTTCCTTTTAAACCACTGGACAAGTCATTAGGGTTACGTTAGCTTTCTTTTTATCTGGAACCTACAATAATTCTACATCATGGCCCTTTAAATTTTCTGCCAGTCTAGCTAGTTAAATCAAATTTCTCTCTTAGTTACTCTTTGAAAACTATTTTTCCCAAAATTACCTGATGTAAAACGTATTGTTCTCGAAGTTGGTTTGCAGAATTCCATGTAATCTTTCCATGTACCAACACTTTAGCTTTCTCAATCCACTTCAAAATGAATTCAAGCATTTCATTGTATTCTTCTAAATGTGATGCTGCCTGAAAAAATCATTAACATTCAGATAGCAATTGTAAACTCTGCTTCATGAACTAGAAAACAGTCTTTTTTTTTTAGAAAACAGTCTTCTATTTCTCTTTCTATACAATAATCCTAGGGGTTGATTTTTATAATATCTGTGTTATCTAAAGGTATCATGAACAATCATTCCCTTGTTGAAAACCTGTCAAGGACTTCCCAGTGACTTTAGGATAAAGTTCAAATCCTTAATATGCTTGAATAATTTGTCTTTTAAAAATATTCTATCTTCTCATCTCTGAGTCATCAGTCTAGTACCTCTCTATCCCTCCTTCCATACTCCACTCTCACTGATTCAGGAGGTGGTAGTGGGGATTATAGCTGCCAAATTTTGGTACATTTATTTATTTATTTATTTATATTATTTATTATTGCCAAATCCTAATTTGGTTTGTCTGTGATTACAGAAAAAATACATAATGAATTTATACAGGTGAGTCTACAGTCAACAATTATGACAGATGTGTGACCCAAACATATTAAGTAAATGCAAGCATATCTATGTATCTATATATCTATCTTGTGTCTTACATCTTTATATTATATATATACCTTCTGTCTTATATCTTTGTATTTTTATTATATATATAATTATATATATAAATTATATCTATAATTATATATAAAATAATATAAATACTTAAATTTATATATATATATATATATATATATATATATAATACTTAAAGGTATTTGAATTCATCCCAAACTGAATTTGTAAAACATGTTAAGGGATGAGTACTCATTTCACAAAATACTTCTCCAGTTGACAAAATATTCATTCCAATAGTCCATTTATATGACCACCTTTGTAAATGAACTTATAATATAGTTTGATATAAAATAAAGGGAAGTTTACATGTAAATTTTAGGAACACAAGTGTGGTATGAAATAAGCTACTCTTATCATTGTTAATATTATCTTTTTATCTATTTTCAAAAAAAAAAAAAGCAAACACTGAATATCTGCCTTAAAGGATTTTGATTCCTGTCCTGGACATACCTGACTGAGATTGGAGAGCCGATTCTCAGCCTGCCTAATGGTCTGTTGGTGAAGTTCAGTCAGTTTTCCTATCTTCTTGGCCAGTGGTTTACCCAGTTGTCCATTCTGCTCTGAGAATTTCTGTACTGCTGCATCTAGTTCCATTAATTTTAAATTACAGCCGTCTAATTCCTCTCCTAGCACCTAGGTGGTAATCAAAACAAAAGAACATTAGACTACAAGAAATAAATTCCCCTGGATTTCCCAAGGTCAAGGGTGGTATTTTAAATGATTTTTGTATGCATCAAATATTATAAAGAATGATTATACTCTGATCAGGTCATTTCTGTTTCTTCGGTTAGATAGGCAGAGCAGGCAGGATGTTTTATAACCTTGGTGTTTATTTCCTATGAGGCTGAGTGAGATGGTTGTTTTCCTTCTGCCCCACCCAAAAAGGATTAATCACTTAACTCATCAGCAGAGCGAGAACACAGATTTAACCACCAAAATAATCCTTCCATTTGGAATTTTTATATTTATATTACCAAATCATTATTTGGTCTTGTGACACTTTTCCCTATTACACATGTATGCAGAGACATCTATTAATACAGCTCCACTGTAATCATGAGATATATGTTGTAAGGGATCTATGCTATTATGTTTATACAATGTCTTACTGTCTGCCTTTACTTTCTGGATTTAATGAAGCTTGCTAATCAAGAAAGCTTCCCCCCCCCTTCTATATCCCCAAAATAAAATAACTTCAAAAATAGCTAATTCATTCAGTAGCATCTCTTATGTTTCCACTTCTCCTTCCTTACCTTTTGGTCAGATTTAGCTTGTGCTAAATTATCTGTCTTTGCTCTCAGCTTACTTAGAATAGTCGTGAGATCTTTGGCTATCTTCTGAATTTGCCGGTTGAACTCCTGGCTCATGGCCTTGCTCTGTTCAACTTCTCTTACTTTGTCCTGGATCTAAATAATCAATGAGAACAGCAAAACCAACTATGATTAAAATTGCATAATTGCTGCAGAAAACCTCAATCATAAGATGTTGACAAGGGAGACACTGGCGTGGTTAATGCCATTTTGGCATCGATGCACTTTGTCAGACCAGCCACATGCTGTTATGAGCTCTCATGGCTTTCCACACAGCTTTGCTTCCTACCACCTTTATGCATGTACTGTCCCTTTCTGCTGCTGTTTCAGCAAAGAAACAAGCAATGCATGTACAGTGATCTATGCATCAAATGTTTATAGAATATTCATTATAGATAGCAATATACATATAGCTGAGTTTGAATCCTATCTTCTCCATTTACTACCTTCAGAACACAAATTCCTTTAAGCCTGTTCTTCCATAAAATGGAAAACATTTCCAGATAATTGGAAGCACCTGGATTTGTTTCCAAGCACCTTTTTATATATAGCTGTTGGTGATCTGTTAACTCCTTTTCCAACTTTCCACGTACATCCCTATAGTATATCAAAAAAAGGTTAAGCACATCTAATAAAAAGAAAGGTTTAAAAAAAAGTACAGTTAACATTTATAAGTTTCTAATGGCTTTGGTTTGATTTGATAACAGTGATATTTTTACTTCTAATAAAATGCTTAAGAGAAAACGGTAAAGAAATATTTTCTTTATATAAGTGAAAGGCCTTAAAAAAATCACTTTAGTACAGGGGAAACACATCATTGAAAGAACACTTTTTTGAGGTGCCTAGATAGATAGCTCAGTCAGTTGAGTGCCTGACTCTTGGTTTCAGCTCAGGTCATGATCTCAGGATTGTAAGATGAAGGTCTGCATGGCTCTGCACTCAGCAGAGAGTCCACCTGAGATTCTCTCTCTCTCTCTACCTCTGTTCCTCCTCCCAACTCACACTTGCTCACCCACTCTATCTCTCTCTTTCTCTCTCAAATAAATAAATAAATCTTTTCTAAAAAAGAATACTTCTTTGGCCTTCATTAATTTTGAGTGCCAATGTAAATGGGATGCATGAAAATAACTCTAATATAGAAAAATTTACCCAGAGAAAAAGAAAAATTAAATTTAAACTTTTTTAAAGATCTGAGCTTTCTAAGTCATCCTTCCCAGTAAACCTTCCAATGTCCAAGAAGAAAAACCAAATAGGCCAATTAAATACTTAAAATAGAAAATAACATTTTAGTTTAGGTCAATATCATTATGTAGCACTGGATTTTGATGAAATTTTAAAAAACACTTTATAATATACATTGGAGTGTCCAAAAAATGCAATGTACTTGTATGAATTTTATAATTGTTATGATGTGATACTACTTTCCATTTTATGTAGCACTTTAGAATTAGGGATATATCTTCTTTTTGTCCTCTATAGACCGCTTTCAACTTAACTGTGCTTTAGCATTATGTCACCAAGGTGGTCCTAAAAAGCTATTATGTTTCCAAACAGATGCTATCAAAGTTATTTTCACTACGTGAAAGCATGTCCTCTCTTTAGGACCTAACATAGAAATCTCCCTCTGATCTCAGTACTATGAATGATTATGTATCTCTTTGTTTAAAAAAAAAAAGACTTGTAAAATTTATAGTCATGGATTAGATTACATGGCACATCTTTCATTGGTCATTTGAAAGCTAGAGTTATTTGATGAGCCTTCCTCTAGCAAAATTATACAACTCACAAACATGCATTTTGGGTAATAACTTCTTCCTTAGCTTTACCTTATTTTTTTCACTCTGATTTTCCCTTTTTTCAAATATCTTACCTACTTACCTTATATTTTACTGAACTGAAATAACAGCTAGAGGAGTACCTGGCAGGTCCTGGGTACTAAAAAAATTTGTTGAACATGAAATACAGCTTTTAGAAAAATTTAAGTCATTTTTAAAGAAAAAGGTGAAGTAGTAAGTTATTTGTAATTATATTAATTATATTATATATTATATTAATTATATTATATTTTTATATTGTTCATATCTGCGATCATCTGATATATTGCCAACAAATAAGACTTCTAATTTAATATTGTCATTTTATACCTATGTGTTTTTAACTGTTTCCATGGAGATATAATTATGAAAATCAAGAACTCTCCTACAAGAACACTGAGCCTCTGAAAGAATGGAAAGGCATACTTTGTGATCATAGATTTACCTGGTCATGGATAGTTCCTAGGTCCAGTGCCACTTCAGCTAACTGAAGGGATACTTCAGAAGGTAATATGGAATAAAGACCCAGGTATTTATTTTTCTGCTCTTCAGTCATTTTCTCAATGTTCTGTCGGCGATTTGTTGCTTCTGTTAGGAGAATCTAAAAAAAAAAAAAAGACATCAGACCATGTATTATTCATCAATATATGAAGTGTGGACTTAGAAAAACATTTTTTTAAAAACTCAAGCCTTTCTGGGGAGAAGCGTGTCCCCTCTATACAGAACAAAAGAAAGTCCCTTGAAATAATACTAAAAGCCTTTTATATAGTACATTTCTGAAGAATTTTAATTCAATACTCATTGAATATAAGCAAGCATATATCATTAAAATCACGACAACATTTTAAAATGATGAGTATAGGGAATAAGAAGAGTTTTGTACCTGAAGTTCTTCAAGTTGAGCATCTATTTCTATTGTTGGATTCCCCAAATATTCCTTTGTTTCCTGAACCCAAGATTTCACAGAATTGATCTGAGTCTCCACAACTTCTCGTTCCTTTAGCTCTTGTTTTACCACCTTTCCATTACTCTTCACTTTCTCCTGCATGCTTCAGAAACATTAAAATGATAAACCAGAAGTGGATTTGAAATGAAAGGAAGTCCCTAATTCACGACATCATATTATTAAAAATAGATGTAAAAAAAGCGAAGCCTCATATCTTTTTTTGCAAGTAAAGACGCTTCCCAGAATTGTGAGATGATATTCAGTAAAACTTAAGTCAAGGACAACAGAAGAATATATGTCATATGAAGTCAATGATTTATCCCTGGAAAACAGCTGACATACTTCCAAACCCCTAAATTGCAATGAATTTTCCTATCTTAAGTAACTAGTGATTGTTTATTTATTTTCTCTTTGGAAATCTACTCACATGGTGCAGAATCATCAGCATTTAAAAGTAATGTATAATTGGAATATTTGTGACTATTAGAGGCTAGTCTCTAAACAAAGTATGGAGCTTTGGAAATTTGGCAATTAATAATGTTCAACATCCAAATTGTAAGTTTTTATTTGAATTGACATAAGTCTGATAAAAAAGTTCAAATAAATGAAATCAGATTATCCTGAATTCATTTACAAGTAGAAGAGGTGAATATAGGCTATGGATGAGTATTAGTTAATACATGATAAAATTATCTATTGACATTTTTTTCTCTGGCTCAGTAAGTGAATTGGGCTGGCTATGCATCCTTAAGATTAACTTTCTCCTTCTGCTAAATTCACTATCAGTAAATAGTTTTTATTTATCTGGACTTTGACATTACCCTTATCTCCCTGTCCTCCAATTTAGCCAAAAAGTTATCAAGCTTTAACAAAATGTTCTCAATAGCTCTCACCTGTTTACCTTTCAAGCTTCATTTCTCATGAATTACCCCATTGCCCAACAGCTCCTTGAAAGTGACATGCTCACATCCAAGCTTCCTTACATTCTATTCCTGTTTGCTAACCTTTCCTCCCACTTCACTGCCTAGCTTAAGCCTGCCCAGTCTTCAGCATGAGTACCTCTCCTGAAGGGAAGCCTTCCTAGTTGCTTCTGCTTTCTATGCCCTTACCACTCTTTCCATGCTCTACCTAAATGATTCTGTAGTTGTCGGTCTCTGCTGCTCGAGTGAAAACCTCATGAGGGTAGAGACTGAATCTGTATGGCTCATTACTATATTTCTAATTACTACTAGTATGTATTTATCAGATAAATATTTCAAGAGTTAAGAAAAATGAAAGGCAGGGATGAAGAGAACAGTTCCCCCTATTTTTAAGGCAGCATGATGGAACATTCCCAGACTCTAATACCATGCATATCCTTTTGGGTTATGGCCAAGTTTAGTAACAGAGAACTAAAGCAAGTGTATACTTACTTCAGGCACCGATCTTGCATTGCCGTGATTTCCTGGACAATGGATGGCTCTTCTCCAGGGGACTTTGTGGCTCCATCCTGGAGCATACTTAGAGCTTGCTGCTGCAGCAGGCCTAAGGCCAATTGCTGCTGTTCCAGCTCCAGAATGAGCATGTCATGAAAGTCAAGAAGAGTTAAGAGTTCTGCTTTTGAGGCTTTCTCTGCTGAACTTCCCGGTAATTTATCTTGGAGCTGATCAATTATTTCAGTGGCTTTTTTAACCTGATAACAAATGTATATACTATGAAGCTCAAAAACAAAATGAAAAGGCCGAGCAATTCCAATAAATGCCACATCTGATACTAAGGCATTGAAACACATTAAGATCATGACATAAAGTCTAAATATCAGGGACTAAACATGAACAGTCTCCTTAATGTGAAAGGAAAGATTTCTGGGTTTTAGGATTTAATCTCAAAATAATAGGGCAACCAGACACCACATAACATAAAGGGGTTTTTTGTATTATTTATTTTTAAAAAAAACTGAAAATATAAAAGAAAAACTCTTTCCAATATTTATGTTGACATGAATGCATGCCTTTCAGTCATTAAGGAGGATATGGTTTAAAACATTGAAGCCTACTTAAAAGATAAAAAGGATTAAATATGGGATTTTAAATTCTTGCTCATTTTCATAGCAAAGAAAATATTTTATACTTTTTCAGGGCCAGGTAAGACATTTCTTTTTAAAAATTTGTTTATTTGAGAGAGGGAGGGGAAGAGAGAGACAGTGTGCATAAGTAGGAGGAGGAGCAGAGGGAGAGAATTTCAAGCAGACTCCCTACTTAGTATGGAGCCCCATTTGGGGCTCAGTCTGAGGACCAAAGAAATCATGATCCAAGTTAAAACCAAGAGTCAGATGCTTAACTGACTGAGCCACTCAGGCACTCCACTCTTTTTAAGATTTATTTATTTATTTTAGAGAGGCAGGGGGTAAGAAAATTATATTAAGAGCCTAGCAAAAGGAGCAAAGTGGGCTTGTGTTTCTTTCAAAATTTAATTGCTTGGTTTTCTCATTAAAATAATCAGACCTTAGGGAACCTGGGTGTCTCAGCTGGTTGAGCATCTGACTCTTGATGGCTCAGAGTTGTGGGATTGAACACCCAGTCAGGCTCCATGCTCAGCAGTGAGTCTGCTTGGCATTCTATCTGCCCCTCCCATTGTCCTCGCTCTCTCTTTTTCTTTATCTAAACTTAAATAAATAAATCTTTAAAAAAAATTGATCTTAAAAAAAATCAGATCGTGACTTGGGGTTAAATTTCACATTACATTGCACATTGTATTTCATATTTTGGTTTTCACGTCACTGAAATAGAGACTTAAAAAAGAAAGGCTTTTTGGTTTTCATAAAGCCAATTTCAAAAAAGGGAACAAATAATACTGCTTTTGAAAATACATTGTCATCAGCAAGGAAACAATTATTTGGGCCCATTAATCATGGAAATTACCTTATTGTTAAAGCTCTTCCACTCATCTACTGCATCTTCTAGTATCTTCTCCTGGTCCTGAGCCACAGCACGGAGACGTGTCCAGCGCTGCCAGACAGTAGTCATGGACCTGCTTATGGCTGCTTTGCTTGCATCATTTCCAGTTTTTTCCAATTGTAAAGTTTTATCCTCAAGGGCCACAACTTTCTCATGGAAAGAGTTAACTACTGATACTAAAGACTGAGGTAGCGAGAGGATAAAAAAGGTTATGAGGAGAGATTGATTTTTTAAAAGTTTTATGGATTTCAATAAAGCCCAAATTACCTGCAAAAGGAAATGTTCCTACATATATTCATTTCCCTTAGTAACTCTTACTTTTACACTTAATTTTTTATTCACTTAGGCTTGAATTTTTTAAAGAGGTAAGATAAATATATCTTTATTAAAAATTTATTTATTAAAAAGTTTATTTGCAACTTGAGATAACATTCTCCCAATTTCAAAAAGCAGTAAAAATGTAAGTAAACTGCATTTGATATTTAAGTATGTTACATCCCACCTTATATTGCTGTGATATATGAGTGAGACTCAGTTATTCATATCTGAATATAATTTGAATTTATTGAAATTATTTACTGAAATTTTCAATTTATTGAAATTATTTACTGAAAAGTATTTACTTAAATTTATTAAATATCATATCTTATCAGAAGAAAATTTCTCTGAAGGTCTTTTTATAAAACTAGCTGTGCATTTCATCAGGAATCCAGAAAGGTGGTAGCATTTAATTAAATTCAAACTGTTATAAAATATGACTTAGTGTATCCTTTTCATAATTAAATGCATCCAGGTGGGAATGAAGTTATATTGACCTGTTTCTAGAACTCTCAGATGCCAAAGACCCATTACAATTACAATGAAAGGATATTTAAAACAACAACAAAAAACTAACCTTGTGTTCTGACAATTTTTCTTCTGCTTCATGACTGGAAGAAGTCTTTGATAACGAAAACTCAGACAATTTCTTTTCTGCATCATTCATCAATTCAATAACCTCTTCCCTTGCTTTCTGATAATCCTGCCATTGAGCTGCACACCTTGAATAAGTAAAAAAAAAGCCAAAAAGCAACATAAAATCACACATTTCTGTGCAGAGCTCTGATGTTAATATGTCTAACAATACTTAAGAGAGAAGAATGAATTTACATGTACATCATTGGTATATTCCTGTTTTCCATGTGAAAATTAATTTCATTGGAATATAAGAACCAAAACAAATCTAATACCTCTGTAAGAGATCTAATTGGGCATGTGAGTCCTGGATTATCCTTTGGCTTTTATCTTCCAGGGAAGCCATTTTCTGTGCCAGGTCCTCTTTTCCAGTTGGCTTGATGAGTGGGTCCAAGCTGGCCACCAGACCTTGGAGCTCTTCCAGGTTTCTGTGGAATTGATCTTCTGTACTAAAAAATTCCATGTGGCTTTTGAGATTTTCTTCTGCACTCTCCACATCTATGCCATTGCCTGCCAGTTGTAACATCTCATGAGCATCCTCAAGCCAGTCGTTAGCTGCTTGAAATACTTGATAGTACCTTTGACATTGACTGTATATTTGAGTTAAGGCAGCCTGAAAAACAGTAATTGCAAACATAATCAACTCTCATTTGCAATGTATTTTCTGTAAATAGTTTATTTTTATCCCATTTCTTTTCTAGTTCTCAGTTATGTGGATATATGTGTAATAAAAGTGAATTGATAAGTTGGTGGAATTTTTTTAGGTGCACTTCACTATTATCTTTTCCTTTTCCTTCTGCTATCCTTGTTATGGTTTTATTATTGCAGTTAAAATAAATACAAAAGGAAACAAATAGAATAGAAATTATTGGTGGTATCTTGATTACTTCTGAAACTTTGTTCTCTCTCTTTTAAAAATAAATATGTAATGCTTTGCAATATATGACAGGCTGAATATTTACCAAAGTGAAATAATGCCTTAGTTGGTTGGAAGTATAACACCAGTGGGAATGTAAACTGGTACAACCACTATGTAAAGCAGTACGGCAGTTTCTAAAGAAATTAAAAATAAAAACACCATATAATCTAACAATCCTACTTCTAGGTATTTATCCAAAAAAAATGAAATCATTATCTTGAAAATATATCTGTACTCCTATGTTTATAACATAGCATAGCATTTTTCACTAGTCAGGGTATAGAAACAACATACGTGTTCATCCATAGATGAATGGTTAAAGAAAATGTAGTATACAAAAATAAATTCAGAATGGATTAGAGACCTAAATGTGAGACCTAAAATTATTAAAGTCCTAGAAAAAAAACATAGGCATTAATTTCTTTGACATTGGCCTCAGCAACATTTTTCCAGATATGTCTCCTCAGGCAAAGGAAACAAAAAAAAATAAATAAAATTAAAAGCTTTTGCAGAACAAAGGAAACCGTCAACAACAACAAAAAAAGGTAACCGACTGAATGGAAGATATTCACAAACAATATATCCAATTAGGGGTTAATATCCAAAATACATATATAAAAAAAACCTTACACAACTCAATACCCAAAAACCCACAAATAAAATGGGCAAAGTATCTAAAGAGACATTTTTCCAAAGACATACAGATAGTAAATAGACACATGAAAAGATGCTCAACATCCCTCATCATCAGGGAAACAGAAATGAAAACCACAATGAGATATCATCTTGTGCCTGTCAGAATGAAAATGCACCAAAAAGACCAGAAATAACAAGTGTTGGCAAGAATGTAGAGAAAAAGAAACACTCATGCCCTTTTCCCCACTCAGAATCGGTGAGAATGTAAACTGGTACAGCCACTACAGAAAATAGTATGGAAGTTCCTCATAAAGTTAAAAACAGAAATATCATATGATCCAGTAATTCCACTACTGGATTTTTACCCAAGCAAACGAAAACACTGTTTCAAAAGATATATGCACCCCTATGTTACAGAAGCATTATTTACAATAGCCAAGATACGGAAGTGCCCAAGTGTCCACTGATAGATGAATGGATAAGGAAACTGTAGTATATGTACACAATGGAATACTACTCAGCCATAAAAACAAAGGAGATCTTGCCATTTGTGACAACATAGATGGAGCTAGAGGTTATTATGCTAGGTGAAATAAGTCAAAGACAAATACCAAATGACTTCACTTATATGTGGAATATAAAAACAAAAGAAATAGCCAAACAAAAAGCAGAAACAGTCCCATAAATACAGAGAACTGATGACTGCCAGAGGAGTGGGTAAGGGAATGGGGAAAATGAGTAAAAGAGAATGGGAGGTACAAGCTTTGAGTTATGGAATGAATAAGTCATGTAGATGAAAGGTACAGTATAGGGTACATAGCAATGGTATTGTAATAGTGTTGTATGTTGACAAATGGTAGCTTCACTTATGGTGAGCATAGCATGACATATAGTCTTGTCAAATCACTGTTGTATACCTGAAACTAATGCAATGTGTATCAACCATACTTCAATTAAAAAAAATAAAATATGGTATATATGAATATTATTCAGCCTTAAAAAAGAAGGAAGTCCTGTCATTCGAGAAAACGTGGATGAACCTAGAGGATATGATGCTAAGCAAAATAAGCCAGACAGAGAGAGACAAATACCACATGGTCTCACTTATATATGGAATCTAATGAAAAAAAGGAGTTGAAATCATAGAAACTAAGCAGACTAGTGTTTGCTAGGGGGCCTAAGGGATGAAAAAAAATAGAGGAGTTTGGTAAAATGGTAGAAATTATTAGTTTTAAGTTGAATAAGGTATGAAGATGTATAACATGGTGACTATAGTTGATAATACTACATTGTATAATTGAAATTTGCTAAGACATTAGAAATTAAATGTTCTCAACAAAAAATGTGAGATAACAGATATACTAATTCACTCAATGGGGGAAATCCTTTCATAGTGTTTACATATATCAAACCATTACATTGTACACTTTAAATATCTTAGAATTATATTTGTCAGTTAACCCTCAATAAAGAGGAGGTTGGGAGGAAGGAAGTATAACACCAAACTTCCAAACTGTCATTAACCATACTAAATAGCAATTTCTGAAAATGAACTAGTATCCCATAAGTCTTGAATAGAGACTAAAACAAAACAAGTTTAAGAATGGAAAGCTGACCCCATAAAGTGAAATCCATTCAAATGCAGAAGGAAAGATCATAACCAGCCAGCAGTGACTGGACAAGACAAGCCATTACTATGCAAGCAGACACAGGAAGTACATGCAAGATTAGCACTTAATGTGGAAAGGATGTAGATGGTCAAGCAAAGAATCAGTGTGGAGATTAATAATGCCCCTGGAACAATGACCTTTAGTTACCGGGACTGAGACAACCAATAAGATTATCAATCACAAGATGGCAGAAGTAGGGACACCTTAACAGATTCAAGATTTTGGTTCAAAAAATCAATAAATCAACAGAAGCAACCTTACAGGACAGATGTTTCTCAGAAATGAAAACTCCAGGTAACTTCTGTCCTGATTCTTCACCCTAGATTAAACACTCTATAGCTATAGGGAAATTATAAAAGAATTTAACAGTGACCTTGATTCAACACGAAAAGGTAAAAGTATACTAAATAGACTATTGTTTAAGAAGTCAGAACTTTAGCTAATGAAGTTTCCCAAGATTTTACCCATATATTAAGATTAAAAAAAGATTTACTATTTAGTGTTAACCAATCTATATGGAAAATAAAGTTAAATCTTAGCTATCAGCTAAGATTCTTCGGGGTCTACTTCTGTCTCCATCAGGCCCTACACTGAGAGTATAAATCTCAGAGGGAAATATTATTATCTTTCTTCCACAGAACAGAAGCTGAGATTTGAGGAATGTAAGTCATTTGCCCAAGATCAAATAACTGATAATAAAACCCAGGTGTGCCTTACTCCAAAGCTTTAGCTACTAAGTTATCCTAAGGAAAACTGTCTTTTATCTAAATGGCTGGTTGAAATTCCACAGAACTAGGAAGCTCTGTGCATGTTCTCAATTCTTTGTTATTCCCCAAGTAAAGTCATGAACGAATCTTGTAGTCTTGCTTCCTGCTGCAGGGGAGCAAGAGAAGATGAGGAAAGGATGAAGAGAAGGGGAAACTGATGAGGAACCCCACAATAAACATGGCTTGGAATCAGGTCAGGATTGCATCATGTCCACAACACCTCCTTTGGAGGCTCTTCATCTAGCACTAATCTTAGAAATGTCAGGCCTCACATTGTTTAAGAAGGGCATCACTAATTATTCATTCCTAATTAATTAATTTTAGTATTAATGTACTCATGTGTGGTATTGATTATATTAGTGCTTTCATGCATTATCTCTCCTAAAGGTGAGAGAGAACTGAGGTAACACAGAGAACTGTGTTATGACTAAGGAAAAGTAAAAGTCTGGAATACATGAGATTAATGTCATGCATATGAGCAATAAAGATGTTGAAGATGATTCTACATAGTGTCAAAAAAGAAATATAGGGATGCCTGGGTGACTTAGTTAAGTGTCCGACTCTACTTTCTCTTAGGTCATGATCTCAGAGTTGTGAGATGGAACCCTGCATCAGGCTCTGCACTGCGCATGGAGCCTGCATGAGATTCATTCTCTCCCTCAGCCCCTCCCCCTTCCTATCTAAAAAAAAACTGAACGAAGCATCTCTAACCAATAACAAAAACTAAGAAATTTCTCACAACTGTTTACAAATAAGCAGAGTAGAAAAAAGAAAAGAGAAGCCCTAGTATACTAACCTGTCTGGTGCGTAAAGCTTCCTGAACGTCTCCATCCAGCTCTGAGAGCTCAGCAAGAGTGTGTTGTAAATCGGCAGAAATTAGCTCTTTGGCTTTAGTGAATTTCTCCTTCTCCTTGTTACTCAGGGCATTCATTATTCTCAGGCTGGACTGTACCTCTTCTTGATGAATCTGGATCTTTCTGATCTCCTCCTGGATGTCCTGTAGGCTCAGTTCCAGGCAGACTGGCCCACTCAGCTCTGCCTTCACGCTCCTCAGCCAGTCCAGGGAGCGGCTCAGCTCTGTCTGGAAGTCTATACTCTGTACCATGCGGCTCTCACACTCTGTCACCGTCGCGCCAATGGCAGAAGTCAACAGTTTTAACTCCTCTTGCCAGGACTGGATCTGTTGCTTTGCTTTCTCATAAGCCAAGGGATCAAGATGTGGAACCAGATCTTCAAGATGCACAGTTACTCGTTTTAGTATGATTTCTGAATCCTGAAGACTACCTGCTAGTGAGTGATACATTTTGAGCTTCTCCTCTGCAGGAAGTGTCTCCTCATTTATTTTGGACTGCTCTGTTTTCACAGCCTCTAGTTGTTTTTCTAGCTGGTGGCACATCTTTTCATGCTCTTGATATGCACTGGTGGTATCTTCCAATAAATTCACTCTTTGTTCTGCTTGTCGCTTCAGCCTGTGGTACAAGGTGACAAGGTGCAGCATCTTGTCTGGCTTCCAAGGCTGACCGGTGCTTCTAAAACTTTCTTTCTTCTGGTTCAGTTCATCCACTGCCTCCCCGAGGCCTGACACCTCTCTCAAAAGGGCTCTGCAACCATCCTGAAGAGACAGAGCCTCTTCAACTATCAGGTCAGTGGGGACTTTGTTCATCTTTAAGAATTGGTCTTCAAGTTCACTCAGAGACTGAGTTGTCAACTCGATCAAGGAAGCATACTCTTTCCGAGCAAGAATTGCTTCTTGGACTTTATAGAACTTGTCTTTAGCCAAGGCAACAACTACATTAAATTGCAGGGGCAGAGCATTTAGCTTTTCATTGAGGTAGGAATGATCAACTTCATTCAGTGATGGCAATATGGCCTGCCCAGTTCTCTGTAGTGTAAGCAGAAGATTTTCATATTCTGGAGATTGTTCAAGAATGTGTTGGTATTTGGCCAGTTGTGTATGAAGCTCAGCACTCTCATTCATTAGATTGATTTCAGGAAATGTAACAATATCTGCTTGTTTTAGCCAATGACAAGCCTTATCAAAATCTTCCTTAAAATGCTTCCTAGAAACTAAATTTTTTTCTAGTTCTTGTAGCCGATGGCTACACTTTTGTAAGACAGCGTCATAGACACTCTGCAACTCTTGAAGCTTACCCAGTACTTCATTCTTTTCCTGCTCTGTGGCTCCTTTCATTAATTCACGACCCTGAGCCCAAAGTCCAGTGACTTCATTTTGGTAGGTCTTGAGGCTGGCTTGTGCGCTCTTACATGTCTTAACTTGTTTGCTCACATCATCTGGTAACAGACAGATGTGCTCACGGAACATTATCTTTCGCTCATGTTGCTGAATTTGGCTGGTCGCCTGGAACACTGCCATAAGGAATTGGGTTTTCTCGGATAGGGCCTTGTTTAAGTACTTTCGTCTCTGGCCCACTAAGTCGCTGAGACAATTCACATGACTCTGTGCATCAGAGAGTGCCTTCTGGATTATCTGCCGCTCATTTAGGCCAAGATCAGCCATCACCCTGTCAGCGTCCTTAATAAGTGATTTCAGGAGCATCTGTTTGGCCTCCAGTTCACTGCAAATGGCAAGGTGATCCATGAGGAGGTTCTGAGCCACATCTGGTGGGGGACTCTGCTTCAAGGCCTCAGAAATGTTGGGCTGTTGCTCCTCTGCCCACTCCATTAGCTCCTGAAACCTGGACCGCACCACATTTAACTCCTCCAGGTTGGTGACAGACACTTGGATTTTCCTTTTAACAAGGTCTTCAAGCTGAAACCAACGTTGTTCAAGGTGACTTGTCTGCTCTTTGACTAGTTCTTTGTCATCTAAATTCAGATGTTCTATCATTTTTTGTTTTTGATCTTTCAGATCTTCAATAGCCTGCTTTCTCTCCTGCAGTGCTAGGGCTAACTTTTTCAAAGCTTCTAGGTGGACAGCTGTACTCTCTGCATCAGACCTATAAATATATTGAAAGATACAAAAAATAAATAGCTTTAATTAATGTCTATGTTTGTTCATACCATGTTAAATTATATTTCAACAAATGTTTTCTTAAAGCAGATGTTCTTAGCTTACAGTAGTTCAAATTCACATTTATTGAAGAGGTTCTGTGATTATTATGGAATACAAGACTCTTATTTCTGTATCAGAAGTTGAACCAAAACAAGTTGCCTTGATACTTCTCTGTGCTTCTTCTTCTGCATTCTTAAAGAAATAGGTTGCGGATCCCTGGGTGGCTCAGTGGTTTAGCGCTTGCCTTTGGCCCAGGGCATGATCCTGGAGTCCCGGGATCAAGTCCCACATCAGGCTCCCAGCATGGAGCCTGCTTCTCCCTCTTCCTGTGTCTCTGCCTCTCTCTCTCAATATCATAAATAAATAAATAAATAAATAAATCTTTAAAAAAAAGAAATTAATAGGTTATTCACAAGTCATGTGCTTTCCCATGAGAAGAACCTCCAATAAACAATATAGTACTAATTTAATCTGTAAGATATAATCAATGACTTTAACTGTCACTCATCTGTATAATGAGATTTTTTTTGCTTATCATTAGAAATCTTTAAAAATAAGTGTGAAATGCAAAGAATTCTCAACCCTTTGATTATAAAACACACATGAGAAAAAGGAATCTTATAAGTCTCTTTCAATTATAAAATGATCAACTCTGAAATGCGAGTAACAGGGTTGGGAGGTAGAATGATGAGTTCTGTTTGGGCCTTACTATATCTGAGTTGTCTGTGGGCCAACCAAATGAAGATGCCTATATAAACCCAAAATATGGGTTTCTGCTGATATCAACTGGATTTATTCTAAAGGCTAGTAGGATGTTTAGCATCAATGAAAAGTAAACAAATCAGAAAATAGTGCACCTTTCTAAAAAAAACCTCTATAATTTAATTACATCTAAAATTATGTTTTCCATATTAATTGCTACAAATAAATGTAGGCAGAAAAAGTGAAGATTTTAACAATTATAGTGATAAGAAGTACAATACAGAAAGATTTCCATATGAACCCCATATATGTGGCAGAAAAGGAAATTCTTTTCAAACAAGCTAAGAGGGGTTTAACTGCTACAAAATCACAAAGGACACACATTAATTAAATTTGGATTGTTCACTAATTTCTAGAATTCCACAAGTACAAGACAACTTGACTGAATTATAGAGAATGCACTACTTTACAGAACTGCCAAAAAACCTACAGAATACATAGATTTAAGAAGGATTCATTTTATGAATTGATAGATGATAGTACTATAACTGATGATTAAACAAAGCTAGAAATATTCTTGAGATACTCTTTAAAGTTACACTGTAACAGTCTTTGAATATCCCTTAAGGTCACAGGGGAAATGGTACTGTTTTCAAACATTTTCTTTTTACTCACTGGTTAAACTGATACTGAGCAAGAAAAACCATGATTCTGTATCCATATGGCATTAGATTCTTAATAATGTTTTATCAGAATTTATTATGGTAGACAATAGATGTTTAAAATGTAAGACATTTTTGATTTTTATAAAGATTAGGGAATTTCTGGTTTAGCATTTTGGTGAGTCACTAGAGAATTGCTGTTACCTGGCTAAGTTATCCCATTCTGTAGTAAATTTTTCTAAGAACACTTCAACAACATTCATACAGTCATGGTAATCTCTTGTTCTCTGAAGATCCTCTTCCCTTTGCAAGCACAGATTGTTAGACTGAAGACACAGATCTAACCATTGGTCATTTAAGTGACTTATTTCCTTGTGTTCAGGAGACTCCTGCTTCTTGGTTAACTTATTCACCCTTTCTGTAATAGCAGTCATTGATGCCTGTTTGCACTGTAGCTTCTTAACAAAATCCTAAAGAATAACAATAATAACAAAATAAATGCTGTATAATAACCTCCCCCTCCCCGTCCAATAAAGACAGAGTGAGACATAGATATAATACCTCCAAACACTTCAAGTATCTGAAAAATGTATAATGAATGGGTCATGGGAGACAAAGAGGAAGTCTAAAAATCATACCTCTTTATGAATTTACAAATTTCAAGTATATAAGAATCAAAGGGTAACTGTGGTATTTTCCTTCACTATGCTATTTTGAAAAGTATAAAGAAAACTGATAAATGTGAAACAAGACTATAGTCATTAAGAAAAAAAAAGGTAATACTTTATCTAAAAGTACAGCCCTAATTTTCTTAAAATTTTTAAAGTTCATTTCTTTTGAGAAAAAAAATCTAATTTTTTAAAAAAATCTAATTTATCTCTATTCTTCTTTCTGCATATGCAAACATGCAAACAATATTCCAGTAGAAAATATAATGACTCACTATCATGACAAAAATAAATCTTAATGTTTGTTAAAAATCTGGTACAACTTCCAATGAAGTTAATAAACTAAATAATTTTCTGTTACATTTAAGGTGTATGTAAATATACAATATAAATTCTATTTATATTATACTTAAAATTAATTATATATTAATATATGTTTTATGGGTTAGATATATTTAATTAATTGATACATTTACAATCCTACAGCTTTGGCAATATCATGATGAAAGCCTAGTAAATAATAAGGCTTCATGTTTGTTTAGTGGCAGTACCTTCTGGCTCTATTGGCTAAACCATAACTGCTTTATTCAAAAACAAACTACAGAGTGAATGTCCTTCAATCCAAGTAGTTAATTGGGGCTCCAAGAAAATATTTGAATGTTTGCTTTCTAAACTGTCCTTTCCTGGCACCAAATGAAGGTTATTCTGATTCTATCTCATTCCCTAAATAGCTCTACTAATGTTGAAGGACTGGCTGCCACATACTACTCGTAGTCTCCTTTATATCCCCTGGAGACTCATTAATTCCTACCTTCACTTGGGAAACCATGTTCTGTGCAATGTTGAGCTCCAGTTCTGAGTGCCTCTTCTTCATATTCTGTAGTTGCTGATCAGCATCCTGGAGGTAAATCCAAAGCTCGGCCTTCATGTGCTTGATCTCTCCCCAGCCCTGAGTTAAGTTCTGTGCCTGGGCAAGCCTTTGTTCAATCTTGAGAGAACACAGAGGCAAAACTTAGCAGCAAGAGATAGAATATTTAGGTTTAGTGAATCAGACATGTGATCCTTCAGGCTGCCCATGTACACAGGCTAAAATACATGCACACACACACACATACACACACTCTATAATAAATCCAAAACAAATTCTTTATTTGCTTGAAGTAAAGATTTTCTTTTTATATTTATATTTTCTAAAAATTTTAAATGTCAAAGACTAATGCCATGTGATTTCAATTAGTTGTGAAGCTCCAGAAGGTTTAACAATTAGGTCAGAGTTACCCTAGTGGCTTTTTATGGTGGGCATTTCAGTAGACACAATTGCTTGACTGACTCATGAATTTAGTCTTGGGATTAACTAGAAGACTTATATTGTTCTCTCTGGTACATTTGTTGATACTTACCCAACACCAAGTAATTGATGCTTTGAATATATTTTTAGATCAGCTTCACTGGTTTTCGAAACCACATAATTTATTTCAATAAATAATTTCTTTAAAAAGATATATGAATTATATCACCTTTCATAAGGATTTAAAGAGAGCTTTGTTTTGGTAATATAAAAGTAAAAAAATCTACATTATTTTGGTAATTTTAATATCTACATTAGTATTTATTATTTAATTTCTTCGATACTTTTTTATATCCTTTTATTATTCTGTGAATATTCAGTCAATAAATATCAAAACCAAGTATTTTTTTCTTTTCTTTTTTAAACCTAAATGTGTTGCCTTGACAAGTTTAAGGCAGCAGTGGTGAACACATGACTCCTGTGCTGCTATCTGCTGTGGACAAGTACTGCAAACTCCTCACAACATTTTTTCCACTGAGCCGAGATACAGCTTCAGAATCCTTCTCAACACTACACTCAGTAACCACCCATGGATTAGAAGAGTCTTGACGGATGGCATGCTCTTTGCCACCCTTGATACAAAGCAAGAATCAGGACCTCTTCACATTATTACCTAAAGAAAAAGTTGGAAAAGAAAAAAAGAACAAAAATGTGACAGGAAAAATTAGAAAAAAGAAAAAGAGAATTGTAATTAAGGAGAAAGGAGGAGTGGAAAGAGGCATTAATGATTGGCAGTGCAAGGGTACTAAATGTTCCAATTCAGTGGCATTAGATCAGGGTGCTTACTGTCTGTGACTTAGTTGAAATTCAAATATCTATTTACTATAATGACTATAAGAACCTTATAGAAAGAATAATCCCAGGAGATATCTTCTTTCACATCTCACATCAAGCAAGAAACAGACAAATCCAATGTGATTTTTAAACTTTTACCATTTGCTCTGTTTGTTGAATGTCTTTTGCTGTGGTTTTCACTGAAGAGTTTGACAAGTCACACATGGAGCAGAGGAGATCTAAGTAAGTCCTTGCCTGTTCCTGCAAAGCTCTGAAGTGTTTGACCTGAAAAAAAAAAAAAATCGAACTTGTCAGAGTGAAAGAGAAACATGCTATATTTAGATAGCAAATATTTGTACCATTTGTAGTATTTTGTTGACATTTCAAAAATAACCTTGCTATGCTCAGTAGTTTCACCCTTGTTATAAATGACACATATTAGTGACTTGCAGGGAGGAATTCAAAACACACTGGCAGGGATCCATTTGTCCAGCAGCTGCTTCTCAATGTAATTAGTCTGTACAGTCTGGGAAGGGGAACACCCAAGAAACTTCTACATCTTTCCAGATTCTCTGCCCACATTTTAGGTTGTTTTCTATTTCAGAGAAAGGATCAGTACCCTACTCTGGCTACTTCATATGTTTTTGTATATTCTGGAGACAGAAAGGAAGAGATCGTTGTGTATTTGTAGACTTCCTTGGAGTCTGGTAAAAATGCAGGTGGCTGGGCTCTTTTTCTATGCAGAAGTTCATATAGTGCTCCTTCCTTTCCATAACCCCAAGAAAGGCTGATGGGTGAATCTTTATATACAGAAACACAGAGAGATGTGTTTCTGTGAAGATACCTAGAGTGCATGTAAGCTCTGCATTAGATACTGGGTACAATGCAGTACCCAAGAAAAACCCTTGTTTCCATGGAGCTTGCAATCTTATGAGAGAGACAGATAATTTATAAACAAATAAACATGCAATGCAATGTTTGGTAGTGAGAAACACCATGTAGCAGAATAAAGGAAGGGATGTATGATGAAGAGGCACCGCTACTTTAGGAAGAATGTACCTCCAAGATCTCTCTGAGGAACAAAATTAAATTCAAGAAAGTAGTAAGTATTGCCAAGGGGTGATGAAAGGGACAGCAAATGCAAAGCCCTGAGGCTGGAGCAGAGTGACTCAGTAGGAGCAGAGGTCAAAGAGGTGAGTGGGAGAAAACCATGGAAGACCTTACATCTGAATTTGTTAGGTTTATGCCTCTGTGCCTTTTCAACCTCAAATATACTAACATTTGAAGCCAAGTAAATATTTGCTGGAGGGACTGTCCTGGTGATTACAGGGTGCCCAGCAATTTCCCAGGCTGATACCAATAGCATCCCACCACTCCCAGGGGTGACAACCAAAATGTCTTCAGACATTGTCTAATGTCCCATGGGGAACAAAAACCACCCCTCCTTTCAGTTTCTAAATAAATGTGGTATGACATTTGGATTTCTTCAGCATAACTTTCAGAAGTAAGCATATTTATAATCATCACTTTATATATGAAAACACTGAGGCTTGGAGAAATTAAGTGATTTAACCCATGGTCACCCTGCTGAGTAGTTATTAGAGTTTTGTCTTGGTTACAGGGCCCACGCTCTTTCTTTTTTTTTTTTTTTAAGATTTTATTTATTTATTCATGAAAGAGAGAGAGAGGCAGAGACAGAGGCAGAGGGAGAAGCGGGCTCCTCGCAGGGAGTCCGATGAGGACCCGATCCCGTACACACTGGGATCATGCCCTGAGCCAAATAGACACCCAACTGCTGAACCACCCAGGCATCCCCCATGCTCTTTCTATTCTACCATCGGTATTGTGTCCGTCTTCCTAGCTAAAACATGAACTCGACTAGAGTCAAGCTCAGACCTTATTCATACTTTCATGCCCTTGGGAGCCAGCACAATTTGGCACATAATAAGTACGTAATACAATTTCATTGAATGGATGAATCCCAATATAACATGAACTTCCAGGAGTCTACTACCTGCTTCACGGCTTCTGCCCTGCTTAGAGGTGGAAGCTGGCTTGGCTTTAAATCTGGTTGGACTGCTGTGAGCCAGGCCTGGCACTGCTGCAGAGTGTCCTGTCGGCTAACATGCTTCTGAAGTTCATGTTCCAAACTCTGGTACACCTAAGACAAAACAATCATGCTACGGTTATGAGAGTTCAAAAAAAATCTCTGCTGATTTCTATAAAGATCACGGATTCAAATGAAACATACTGACAAGTCCATTTAAGTGCATTTTCTCCACAGGACTCCCCAGAACCATAATACATATCTAAGGAGTTTGCATATGTTCCAAAATGTTGCAAAGCTCAAAGGCCATCTTCAGTTTATAATTTCTCAACCCACACGTTATAATATAATATCCTGATTAGGGGAAGAGAATGTGGGCAGGGTTGATGTGACTATAGAAATGTGTTAGAAAACATGAAATCTTTGAAGTAAATTGTCAAACATAAATCAGGGGTTTTGCAGCACCCCCTCCATGGTATAATTACTGCACTTTTTGTTTAAGCTAGAAACTAAACATAAAAATAAAATATCATATCATGAAAAGGTAACCAATATTTCCCTAACTGAAATGCTTAAGAATATGGTCAAATTGAAACTAAACTATAACATAGGGGAAGGGAGAGTTGGATGCCCTCAATTCATTTTAGAAGCTGTGTTCTAGTATAACAATAATTCAGAATAATCCAAACATTTTCTAGTATGTCTATTCAAATTAATTAATCTTCAACCAGCCAACCAATTTCCATTTTATCCATAAATCCTGAGAAACTAAGTGAAATATACCTTTATGTTTTTCTGAGCAAACTATTCTATTTTTAAAAAGAAGAAAGAAAATAAAAAAGGAAGGAAATTAAGTTAGCCTGGCTTTTTATTAAGACAAGTGAAACAATAATTGAATTCTGTTTTTCTTTGTCATCTATTAAACTCATTATCTTCACTGATATTTGGATGGTCTCTTATTTAATCTTAGTATAGCAGAACTAAAAAGAAAAAAGGTGTTTTGTTCTCTTTATCATTTTTACACACTTTAATTATGAGGTTCTGATTATGTTCTTAGAATTTCATCTGTTTTTTAAAGATGTATTTTTAAACTAAAAGTCTTTTGAACACTTACCATTGTTTTTCAAATTTGCAAAATCCTTACTGTGTAGAAAATGCTTGCTATGTCAGTGTTCAAAATAATCTCTGCTGAAGGAGAACACTAGCCAGCTCACCAGGAAGTTCCATGCTGTTTTATTTTACTTCACTCCCTTTTCCCCTCCGTGTCATCTTCTGAAATCATTTGTTAGATTTACTTTATCCCTCCTTTTTCCTAACTTTTTTTTAAATTTAAATTAAATTAATATATAGCATATTATTAGTTTCAGAGGTAGAGTTCAGTGATTCATCAGTTGCACTTAATAGCCAGTGCTTATTACATCATGTGCCCTCTTTAACTGGGTGAAGGGTTTCACCCAGTTACTCCATTCCCCTACCCCCATCTCCTGCTCTTTTTTCTTAACTTTCTGAATGTGAATTTTTCAAGTCTGGGAAGTCATCTAATGTCACTCAGCTTTTTTTTTTTTTTTTTCAAATCAGGATGAAGATAGAGCATTCTTCCCATGTCATGTGTACATCTCCAGTTCTTACTGGCTAGCCCAGCAACAAAAATGCATGGATTCTTTTGTGATGCCATTTAAAAATTCTACATTATTAAAAAAACAATTCACTTATTTTACCTAATTTTTGTTAGAAGAGTGATTCTTATCCGTCTCAGACTTACTGCTAATGTCATACATTAAGAATTCTATTTTAGTGTTAAGTATACTCATAAATTATAACTCAAATTTAGTACTCACTCCATCCAATTTCTTTTTTTAAAAAAAGATTTTATTTATTTATTCATGAGAGACATAGAGAGAGAGAGAGGCAGAGACACAGGCAGAGGGAGAAGCAGGCTCCGTGTGGGGAGCCTGATGTGGGACTCGATCCTGGATCTCCAGGATCACGCCCTGGGCTGAAGGCGGCACTAAACCGCTGAGCCACCCAGGCTGCCCTCCATCCAATTTCTATATGAATTCATAAAAATACTGAATTGGAGTATAACCTAGATAGCATAGAGTTAAACAGAAAATGATTATTGTGAGAATTACAGAATAAACTCACTTTGGTGTTAGAGAAAAAATGGCAAGTTAAAGTATTGATAGTGCGCAAACAAAATCTTTAAAAAATTTTCATAATCAATCTATGAAATAAAAGGATTGGGTAAAACTGAGTATCTGAAACTTACCATTCCATCACAATAATCAAATGTATGATATGTTAGTCCTGCGTCCACACAGACTATGAAACCTATCCTTCTATTCCCTTTCTGGACATACAACAAAACTAACCCAAAATCTGAGGATCAAAGCTATTTTTAAGAACCTTTAGATAGTACAGACTTTCTCCTTAATTCATCATCACTCTAGAATGTTCCAGGGGTACTCACTCTCTGAGCTGTACTGCAGATAGCTGAGTAACTATCACTCGTGCCCTGAAGATGAGCGTGCACATTTTGTTTTAGTTTTGCTTGAAGGTGGTCTGCACATTGGCTGATCAAATTGTCACCTTTAATTTTAAGGTTGTTCAAACGGTCTTCAAAACCAGCAATTTCTTCCATCATTGCCTGCAAAATTAGAGAAATATAGAATTCTCATAATTCCATTTTCAGTTTTTAAATAACCAGTTTATCAAAGTTTAAAATAAGTAATTTTACTGTTTAATGATGTTTGGAAAAGTTTCATAATTTGTCTTTGTTACTATATTAACAAATAAAAAATGTATGTTTTCAGGGAAACCCTAATGGGAAGAGTTAATGAGTTTAATGGATTAAGTTCTATAGGGATGATGCAGTAACCATTAAGACTAGAGTGAATTCATGGCTAATCTCAGTTATAGAGTTACAGAGATATCTGTTTCATGGTATTATTATCAGCAAAAAGGATGTTCTCACCTTTTTTTAGCTTTATAAATGATAATTCTGATATGATTTATACCTAAAATAATCTAATTACTATTTAATCTAATATACTAATACCTAGTTTACCTAATAATACAATATCTGGTTGATATAATAATCTAATATTTAATTAGTAATTTATATAATATCTAGCATATTGAATAGTATTTATACTAATAAAATAACATTTACTACGCACCATTTATTAAGCCCCTGGTATAGTCCAGGAACTATATATCCTTGATAAATGTATATTATTATCATCATTTTACAGATAAGGAGATTGAAGCACAGGGAGGTTATATCACCCTCAGAGTCATACACCCAGCCTGTGGACCTTGGGTCGCCTAACTCCAACTTGTACACACCACTATTCCCACATGCGTTCTCTAGGGAGCATTCTCATAGATCACTTAAAGCAGAGAATCAACTGTTTCAAATCAGGCTTTAGTTTCCTTAATGCTACATACAATACTAATGACAAGTGGTACATTTCACCACAGATTTCCTAGATTGATACATTAATACATTTAAGAGAAATTCTAGTGGTCCCTCAGCAGCTCAGAGTCCACTACTTTCCATGGTGGTGCTGAGTTACTGTTTTAATATATCCACCATATTAAAAAAAAAACATTTGTCTTTGAGCTGTTGTAGAACCACTACATCATGAGGTGACTGAGGGTATTTCCTCAGTGCCTAATAGAATATATTATATAGTTAACTTTTCTATTCATATTTGCTAAGTAATATTTCCTCCTACAGATAAGGATCCTGAAGCCTAGAAAGGTTAGCTGGCTTTCCTAAGACACAGTAGATAGTTGGCCACAGACGACTACAATTCAGTTTCCTACTAAGATCACCAAAATTGCTCCACAAAATTGTGAACATATGACATCTGTCCTCTGGCACATATAGTTACTACAAATATATATTAATAAAAATAACACTGCATATCAGTATCATACTTTGTGGTTTACAAAATGCTTTCATGCCCATCATCGCCTGTGATGACCACAACAGCTGTGTGACAGGGTTGGCATCATTACTGCTCTTAACAGAACAGTGAAAGGAGGAGACTCAGGTTAAGTTTCCCTAGCTGGGAATGACAGTCTGGAGAGAATCCAGACTTTCTGATTACTATTCCTGTACCATATCTCTGGCTACACTTTTCTAAAATACAGATAATCTCTTCCTTTGATAAATTACTTTATGAAGATTAAATTGTGTGTGGGGGGGGTGGGGTGGGGGGGGTGGGGTGGGAAACTATTAGCTGGGAAAAATGCCACAATGTGTTCAAAAGTTGAAAGCCAGGATTTAACTGTTGTTGATTCAATATTGAATCAACTGAAATATTGAATTCAACTGTTTTCAGTTATCATATGTTCTTGAGACTCGACCTGATTCTTTAGTACAGCTGTTATGATCTAGAGTTGGGTTCTCTCTCTCTCTCTCTCTCTCTCTCTCTCTCTCTCACACACACACACACACACACACACACACACACACACACACACACAGAGCTGTTAAAGCCAACCCTGCATTCTTTAGCTATTTAGAGATGAGGCATACCTTGTGGTGGGCCAGTTGCTGGGTAATTGTCTCTAGACTGCTCGTCTCCATGAGATCAGGTGCCACCAGTCTGCCTGACATTTGCAGCAGCCACTTTTCTACTTCTTGGAGCTCACTGTTATAATCTTCGTGGTCTTTGACTTTCGCCTTGAGGCTGCAGACATGCTCCTATGAAGACAGGTGCCCATTAGAGATGAATTTCAAGCCAAAAATCTACTGATAACTGCTTTATATTTTTAAAAACCCAGTGCAACTCATAGGGCAGATACAGCTACATATTTCTAAAAATTACTAGGAACAGAAAAAAAATAAAGAATCATATCATTGAAAATCTTATCTGAATAAAAGGAAAAAGACTGACTCATACCAGCCCTTAATTTTCTAACAGAAAAAAAAAGTCAAGACCCCTTTCTGTCAAATAAACACATTTTTATTGAATTTCTGATCTCTCCTTACCTTTCCTGCATCACAGAGGTCCTTGTAATCACTTTGAAGTTTATCTATTTCATCCTTTAAAGTGACATCCTGCACCAGCTCCAGGAGAGCTTCACCTTTTTCTCTCACTGATTTTACTGATGGTTCATGGGACAGCACCATTTGTTGAAGTGACTTAAGTACAAAGAAAAACAAAAAGAGCCAGTTCATCTATGTGATCAAGGTGAATATATACATATGTCTGTGCCATGTATGAGATGATCTACCTCAAACAAAGATCTGATGCATATTTTATAAATTGATAAATGTAAAACATTAGAGAATAACTTTTAGAGATAATAAAGTTTTAAAATACAGAGTAAGAGTAACATAGCAAATAGCCCTTCACATGTGGAGAGGGACATATGGAAAAGAATCACCTTTAGCTAAGTTTAACATAGTTCATATTTCTGGCTCCTACCACATTTCTTCCACTGGAGGGGAAAAAAAAACTCTATACAAAAGGAAGTGAGGTGTTATCATTTGACTTTAGCTTGTGAAGTTAATTGCAGTTTGAACTGGATGTGAAGTTAGAGATTTAGATTCCAGGTGCAATACTGCTGTGACAGGCTAAAAGAGCTATTTAAAAATATCCAGAACTCAGTGGGGGGAAAAAAGAGAAAGGCAGTTATGATCTAATGTGGCACCTTCAAAAGACAGACTGCTACCCTTGGCACAAAAACCCAATAATAGGAAAAGACATATTGGCTAGAGGAGGAAAAAGCTTCCAGCAGGAAAAGCTACAAGGGAAGCTATCATACTGAAATTCTCAAAAAAATATTGCTAATAATTTGGGTCAAATTTAGAACACAAATTATTCCACATATAAGCCTCAACAAATTGTTTCAAAGATTTGAGCAGGTGAACTATCTATATCTACATATCCTATATAGCTATATCCATATCACCATTTATTCTTTCAAAAATTAATTTCTAAGATGTTTAACTACAGTTGGTTAATTAGAACTTATTTTCCTACAAATATGGCATCTCATTTTTAATTCACCATAGATCAGCTTATAGGTATTGGGTGCCAAAAGATGAAGGAAAGACTCTATATAAAAGACATAAAGTTTACAGATATGAGATCCTGATACCAGGAAGACTCATCTGGAGTACCCATGTACCTGAATCAGACTGTTAGAATAGATCTCCATTTATTGATACAATCTTTGAATATCAGGCAAATAGGATTTCTGAGTGGAAAAATAAGTCTGATGTAGCATACCTAAACAAATCAATCACTCACAAGCAGCAGAACAGATACATTAGGGATATCTTCCAGCACCTGCACACACCAGGGCTCTCATGTTTCTCCCATTTAAGTCCCTACACGTATGACCCTCCTACGCATTTGTCAGTGAGTAATGGCACACTACCTTATATTTAGATAATTGAGCTTTTTTCTCATATAATTCCATTTTGGGTTCCTCAGGAGTGTGTAGGATTTCTTGATATTCTGATATCCACTGAGTTAGTGCTTTATATTTATCTGAGAACTCCTTTGCTAAAAGAAGGCCTTTTTCCAGAGTCATGTGCTCTTTCCGGACAGTGCTGGTCAGTTCCTTCAACTGCTCCACGTGGTCATGGATCTCATTCCTTAATGTCTCTGCCTCGCTGTCCTCCAGGTATTTGAGAGCCCTCTCTCCCTTCTCTCGGGTTGATTTCAGCAAACTATGGCCTTTTTCCATGTCTTTTAGCAAACCCTGAGAGAGTAAGCAGGAAGCAAATATAGAGTTAGCATTTCTTTCCTTTTAAAGAAAAGGCTTTCAAGTCCCATTCTCGAGTTTCCTCTTTATGATATATTTTTGAAGTTTTATGAAGAGGTGATCTGCCAGGAGTCAGAATCTTCTTTTCTTTACTTCAATATAAGTTTTAACAAGTATTTTTTTAATTTTTTTATTTATTTATGATAGTCAGAGAGAGAGAGAGAGAGAGAGAGGCAGAGACACAGGCAGAGGGAGAAGCAGGCTCCACGCACCGGGAGCCCGATGTGGGATTCGATCCCGGGTCTCCAGGATTGTGCCCTGGGCCAAAGGCAGGCGCCAAACTGCTGCGCCACCCAGGGATCCCGATTTTAACAAGTCTTGATCAATATATCATTTTCAAATCAGAGACTTAAAAAAGAATATGATGTTCTTCTCATCCTTAGTAGTATTCTTCAAGATATGAGTAAAAACTCTTTTTTTAGTATGTGGGGCCATGAATTCGGGATAATTTTTTTCTCTTAACATTTAAGTGTAAAACTGGAATTCAGATATAAACAACCAAGTCTACTCATTCAGATGACATGGCATCACAAAGAACTGAAAGCCAGCTCTTAGTCTTACAGAGATTATAACTTAATATGTGGAGTGAAGTGTGAGCCATGAACTATCACTCATCCCAGGTACACATGCTCCCAATGCCTGCACTAGGGAACAGAGCAGCAATGTGGAAGAACAAAGGCTTGGAGACAAGTCTGATGTATGCACACCTACCTCCAACATCTTCATTTTTTTCCCCATCATCGCTTTATCTACTCTGTCAATTTTGGTGGCCACATTCTTGAAATTTTTATGAGTAGAGGTGTACCAATCAGAATAGGAATTTAGGGATAATTCTGATTCCTCCAAACTCTGGATCTCTTCCTCCAGGAATTTTATTTGTTCCTTTAAAAGGAAAAGCAGAATTGGACAGTAAATTACAGACCTATACCAGTGCCTCTTTTGATAAGTGTGTGTCTTTACCAGAAGTTAATGAAAGGGAGAACATTTTCGCTGGTGAAATTTGCTGGCCTGTAGTGAGCACTGGAAGCCCACTCACCAGCACTTGGAGAAGAAGGGCTTGGTATCTGGAAGTCAGCTGGGTGGCCTGGCAGCCCATTCTGCTGCTCACGTGGTTCTCATCCAACATCTCCTGTGCTCTGGCTCCCACTTCCTCAACTTCATCTTTGTACGCGGTGACTTCTTCATGCCACTTCTGAAATGCCATAAATGTTGCAGAAACAGGTTTAATCTTAGGCAAAGAAATATATATATATACCATACATAATCTTCATGAAAAATTGTATTATGGCAATATGATAAAAACTGTACACTTATTTGGGCACTTTTCTGTATGTGTTATACTTTAGTACAAGAAAAAAGTATTAAAAAATATATAAATCATCCTAATAGTAAAGATTTCAGTGTATGTTTAGAATATATTTATTTTGAGATGTAGTTTTGAAAATGTGTCTAATATAAGCTTCATGAAAAACTGTATTATAATGAGACAAAAACTATTTTTTTAAATTTTATTTATTTATAGACACAGAGAGAGGCAGAGACACAAGCAGAGGGAGAAGCAGGCTCCACGCAGGGAGCCTGACGTGGGACTTGATCCCGGGTCTCCAGGATCACACCCCAGGTGGCACCAAACCGCCACACCACCGGGGCTGCCTGACAAAAACTATTCTTTATGAGTTTGAATACTTTTCTGTATATATTACACTGGTTCAAAACTTTTTTTTTAAAGATTTTTTAAAAAAATTATTTATTCATGAAAGACAGAGAGAGAGAGAGGCAGAGACACAGGCAGAGGGAGAAGAAGGCTCCACGCAGGGAGCCTCACACGGGACCTGATCCCGGGACCCCAGGATCACGCCCTTGGCGGAAGGCAGGTGCCAAACCACCGAGCCACTCAGAGATTCCCCGGTTCAAAACTTTTTTAAAAGAGAAAGAGTGGCATAGATTTTTGTATCTTCTTTTAGATAAATTTTAAACTAGATGAATATGGATAAGAAACTCTAAAGGCCTGGGGCACCTGGGTGGCCCAGTTGGTTGTCTGCCTTCGGCTCTGGTCATGATCCCAGGGTCCTGGGATACAGCCCCACATCTCAGGCTCCCTGCTCAGCAAGGAGTCTGCTTCTCCCTCTCCTCCCTGTTCATGCTCTTTCTCAAATAAAGAAATAAAATCTAAAAAAAAAAAAAAAAAAAGAAGAAGAAAGAAAGAAAGAAAAAAAAAAAGAGAAATTCCAAAGGCCTAAGCATTACTTTGATCATTCCTACTGAATTTGAATAAAAGTTAGAATAAAACTAATTATCAAGTATTATTTCAATGCATTACATCAGAGCAATTTCACATGAGAACCACAAACTTAAATGATTTCTTTTTTTTTAACTTAAATGATTTCAATACTATTATTCATGTATCCTTACAAAGCAAGGCAATAGGGTATGGGAAGAAAGTACAAAACATTTAATTAAATTATATTTTATTAAAGACTAATTTAAAATTCTATTAAATAACTGCTGTAGAAGAATGTTCTACATAGTAATTCTTTGCTGCCAGCAGGAAGAGATTTTGCAAAATTTAAATCTTGGACCAAAAAAGTTACTAAATATTTTAATGAAACAAACTATGCAAGGTCACAGATACTTCGACAAAGATCAAGAATTTATAAGAGTTGTACCTTCATCTGATGTAACTGTATCTCCTTGGCTGCCCTGTTGGACTGACGCCCTGTCCTAACTTTCACTTTGTTCTCCAGTGTTTTGAGCCACTCATCTACTTGCTGATACTTTTGTTCCATCAACCTCAATTTGTTGACTACATTATTGAACTGAGTCCGGGTCTCTGTCAGTCTCTGCTGGTAAGCCTGCCAGTCCTGCCGGAGAGACTCTAAAGCCCGATCCTCTGTCTGGGGGATGCCTGATGGTATCACTTCCTCTCTGGTGTGCAGCACTGAGTTCAACAGTGCCTGCCCTTCTGCACAGCGCACCTGTAGCTCCTGCAGGGGAAAGGTATGCATATTTTACACCTGCACAAGTTATCATGTCTCACCCAAGTCAACTGTGCCATCTTGAACTTCACATTAGAAAAGAATTCTTTTATTCTGTCTTATACCAAAAAAGTGTATCTAACACTGAACCCTGTTTCTCAAGTCAAAAGACTCAGATATGTTTCCAGTAAAATGATCATAATACATACATACTTGCATAAATGTACACACACATAGCCCAATAGTTGTCTTAACCATCTTAGAAACAGTTTTTGAAATTTGACTTTTCAGCTTACAGGCAAAACCATCTGTGATTAAAGGGGTTTTGTTTAAAAGAATAACCTAGGCTTTTTATGGCTCATAAACTACTCAGAGTCCAAGCCTTTTTGTTTAGACAGTGAATGAGATCAGTACTATATTTGTAGCTGAAAAAGGAACAATGGACTCTTTTTTTTGCTAAGAAGGATCCTTTGCCAGAATTGTTCTAGAAGATGTGATGGTCAAGAAAAGTTGACCCTGGAGAGTACAGGGCATACAAACCTGGAAGGCTGATCATCATACCTGCCCACTAGGAACTCCCAGGTACAAAAAAATAGCTTTTCTTCCACCAAAGCAGAAGCCCCAAAGATTTACCCTATGAATGTGGTATGAATTAAATCTTGAAGAACATAAACTATTTTTTATGGAAAGAAAAACTGTTACACCCTCAAGGATGTTGGCAAAACAATGTTTGTTATATACTCGTTTTTCTAATGTTTAAAGAATCCATATTGTTACTTGATCTGATCATCTAAAGTTAAAGGGAACTAAGTCATATCTCACCAAGAATGTTAAAAGTTTCAACATATTTAGTTAAAATGTGGTATTATTTTAAAAATCCCAACATCAGTTCAAGCCATTTGAAATTCTGATATCTTACAATTTTTTTAATCTACAAAAATAGAGCTCTCTTGTGGTTCAAACTAATGGATACATTTTTCCTCAGCTATGATGCCACTCCAAGAATGTTGTATGCTTTGTAAATGGAAAATAACAAGACATATGGTAAAATATGAATCAAAATGTCCACAAACAGAAACTTTATTCCAAAATTCTTAGTTTTTTTAAAGTTAATTTTGTACAATTCTCTTAATTCAGGGTTGGCAATTTTTTTAAATAAAAAGACACAGGAGTAAATATTTTAGGCTTTGAGGGCCATACAGTCTCTGCTGCAAGTATTTAACTCTGCCATTACAGCACAAAAATATCCAGAGATAATACATAAGTAAATGGATGTCGCTATGTTTCAATAAAACTTTATTTAAAATGTAAACATCATAGCCATACGCTGTAGTTTATTGGTGTAGCACTCTCTCCATATACTACTGAGATCCCAGAATGCCATAAATCAAATCTCCCTTAGTAACTATCAGCTCTTTATAGGATTACGGTCATACTGACTTCCCATTGCCTAAAATAATAATTGCATATTCAGAATGAAAATTCCTTTAAGATGAAGTAGACTTTACCTGAAGATCCCGCAATGTTGTCTCATGAGTGTGAGCATCACCTTCAAGAACTGAATGCCGGTCAAGCTTTTCTTGTTCTTGTCCCAGCCAAACTTCAAATGCCTTTAGGTCTCTCTGATATTCTTGGTGCAGGCGAACTAGTTTTTCTGACTTGGTTACTGCTTCCTATTATCAGCATTTAAGATGATTAAGATAAGAATACATTACCACATGCACTATGGTACTATAGTGTACTATAGGTTTTGATGTACTATAAGAACTCATTTTTGGAATTTTAGGAAAACATGATTATTAAATCACTGGAGTATGATTTCCTCAAAGAATGAAGCTTCAAGATTTATTTAAAAAATATAAAAACATAATATCACTATGAAAAGGGGCCTTGAAGATCATTTTGTTGAATTAACTACCTGATGTCTTATGAGATATTACACGAAATGCCAAAAAAATGAATTAACTTTCCTGGTCATAAGAATATACTTTTGCTAATGAAGAAACGTGAAATTCTTATATTGTGCCATAAGTGAGGATTAGGACTTACTGTGGATTTAATTTTTCATGTACTTTGCCTAATAAGGTAGGATATGTTTAAAACTTATTTTTAGTTTCTTTGTGAAGTCTAAATGAAGAATGATAAATATTATTTGTAAGTATTTACTGCTTTAGAAAACTCTCATCACAAAATGTATTAAAATTTTTATGACTCTTCATTATGAAGCTGCTCAATTTTTTTTTCTTAAATTGGTTAACTTCTGGGAATTTTTATTGAAAATTATTTTCCTTCAGTAACTTTCATGAATTAACAGTATTTAAAGGCTCTTGTTTGGTTTCACCAATGATTAAACTATTAAAACTCATTTGTTCTTTTGTACTTTTACAAATCAGCATTCCTGAAAATAAATGATTCTTTAAATAAGCATAGGTCTAACCCCTCCTATTCAGGGAGTCTGCATGGAACATGGCTAGGCATACCTTGGCCCTCTCTTTGATGGCTCTGTATCTCTCCTGAAGATCCTGAAACTCTAACTGGGTGACATAGTGCTCTGTCATGCCAGCCCCTTTGAGCTCAATGGTCTCCAGCAAGCTGCTGTAACTCAGCACTTCTTCACTTAGTAACTAGAGAACATTTAAAAGAAAATAAAGCAGTTACCATCTATACCATCGTATTAGTAAAACTGCTAAAATTAAGATATTTTAACTGTGTAGTTGACAAGTGATCTTAGGTCATCTACCTCTAGACAAGTAGATGGATAGATCCGTCCATCTATACACGTATATAGACTGACTCTGTGTGTGTGTGTGTGTGTGTGTGTTACACATATGGTTCAGAACTTGTCTGAGATACTGATTCCAATTAACTTTGATATCCCAAACATAATTTGTCCAAAAACAGGCTCCTAATCTCCACTCCATTCCCATTTCTCTCCAGCCCCCACCAAACCCCAAATCCACTTCTCCTTCAGTCTTTTATTTCAAGCAGCAAATGCCACATATGCCACCCAGATGGCCATCTCAGAACACTGGAAGTCACACTTGTTCCCTACTCTCTGTCATGCATCCACAATGAAATCTTTTTAGTTCTATTTCCTGAATATGTCCTGACATTTGTCCTCACGTCTCCTGCAAACTCCCTAGCCCATGCTGCTACCATCTTTTACTGGACTTTTGCAATATCCTGCTAGGCAGATTCCCTGCCCCCAATTCTTACTCTGTTCCTTTTCCCCACTCCACAGAGCGGCCTGGGTGATAAAAGATTTTAACACTGTAGATGGAATCTTGTCACTCTCCAGCTCAAAGCATTGACTATCTTCCCTAGGCTGGGGGGATCCAGTGGAAATCCTCAGGTGAGCCCAGAGGGCGATGCACGGCCAGGTTCCTGCTTCTCTGCCACTTCACCTGGCAGCATTCACTCTGCTCACTCTCTGTTCCAGCAGCATGTGGCCTTCTTCTAGTTCCCATGTTGAGACAGATTCTCCCCCTCCTCACGGCCTGAGGACATGCTGATTATTCCATCTGGACCGCTCTTTTCCCACCTCCTCCCCAGGATAACTTCTCTGCACTGCACTCCTTCTGGCATGGTCTACAAGTCTGCTGCTTCAGAGAGGACCTTCCTGTCCCTCTCTCCACTACAGCAATCTGTACTAGCTCTGTGCAGTTTACTCTTTCACCATGGGCCACTTCATTCATCCTAGCACTTATCACCAGTTATAATTATTTATTTATTCATGCACTCTGAAGAGTATGTGTCCTCACCAGAATACAGTCCTTCTCTGTTTTCTTTGCCTAGGATTGAGCATGATGCCTGCATGTAGCAAGATCTCAATAAATATTTATTGAATAGATGAATAATTTAACTAATAGGCAATAAATCATTATAACAATATTATGAGGTAGATAATTATGATTCTATTAATTTTCAGATGCATAAATGAGACCCTAAAATGTTAAGTGACTTGGCATAGGTCCCATAAAGCCATTTAGTCATTCAAATAACTTTTATTCAGCATTTGCTCTGTGTCATACAGAGAGACAAATGGTAGGATATTAAAACAAAGTTAAGCATCTCTATCTATTGAGGACAAGAGACATGTAAGCATATATTCTATGTAATTGGTAAAGAGATATAAACGATAGAGAACAGAAGAACTAAGTAAGCTCAGAGTGGTGGTAGTATGGCAGCAAAAAGTCTTCTGCCAATTCAGAAAGGTGAGTGGAAGGTTGCTGGCCACAGAGGTAGAGCTAGATCATTACAGCAGAGGCAAGGAATCTCTGTTCCATCTAAAGTGCCATTTTCAGGAAATAGTGAGAAATACAGTAAGGCTGAAGCATGGGAAGAAAGGGTATGAGAGTGAAGGAAACAAGGGTGACAAAGGAGAGTGTTAAATTCTTACAAACTAGATAAAGAAAACTGGTTGGGTACCATAGACAATGGCACCCATAGGCAGGAAAGTGAGACATTCGCCTTCATATGAAGATAACCGTAGGTGGAGAGACAAGAGACAAAATGAGGAGGTAGGAGCCTGTTGCAATTTAGGAAGAGGAAGATGGATTATAGTCAAGAGACATTTCTGAGATAAAATCAGCAGGACCTAATGCTTAATTCAAAGTGGGGATAAGAAAGAAGGATCTGGGGATAATGAACTTTCCAATGTAGGATATTCAGCCTGAGATGATACAAATGAACTGAGATGGAGAATATCAGAATTTGAAGGCTTTAGGGGGTAGAAGTAATAAGTACTGATTAGAACGTGATAAAGGTTGAGGTCATCCAATAAATACACCCTCGAGTAAGGATATAAATCAAAGGTTTATTTGATTTTATGTTTGAATACTATTATTAATAAAAAGATTTAAGACTATATCCCCAATATCCTGTCAGCTAACTACTTAGCTAGCTACTTATTTAAAAAATATATGTAGCACTATACCAATATAAGCATTATGGAAATGTACAAAAGTAGAAGTACAAAAGATGTGATAAAAAGAAAGCATTTTTACTTCTTAATGATGAGTAGGCTGAAGATATTAAAAGATATTACAAGTTGTCAAATTTTAAATGTACATGATGAATTTAAATGAATATGAATCTATAAAGTTTCCTTGGAAGAGAAAAAAAAATTTTTTTTGGAAGAGAAAATTTTCACTCCCAAATAGTCACAAACAAAAGATTAAGAAGCCATTAGAAATTATAGTAAAAGCCCCAAACACACTTTACCTATGTGCACAACCCTAGCATACAGGTAGTCATATTTATATGTAACTAAGGCATTTTGAAGAAGTCTGCCAGAGGGCAAATGGAATCTGAAATCCGGCTCCCACCTTGGCTTTTCCCAGAGCGCTTGTTTTCTCCCGCAGTTCGGCATACTGCCTTTCAGATTCATTTAGGCTGGCTTCCATACTGTCCATCCAACCGGAAAACTGTCGAACATCATCCTGATAACTTGTCCACTTAGAAAGAGCTCCTTCGAGTTGACTGTAAGGTATGCGAAAGGACAATAATCTACATTGAGAAGCCATGTAAGTCCCATCTTTATTATGCACCTGCTCTGTCCACTCCACCAACAGGGAGTCCACAGATCAGGACAAAGGCCAGCTGGGGTGGGCTCAATGGACAGGACTTATCACACCTGAGTCTGGGTCCTTGACAAGCCTAACCTCAGGAAGCAAGGGACCATGAAGTCCAGGCCGATGAGTGGAGTAGTGGGACTGGACATAAAACTTAGAATCAATAAGCAGGTCACACAAGACCCTGGGAGAGACTTGAGGGGAAAATTGGGAGAGATCCTCTCTACGAGGCTTTTCTGGAGCCAAGACCCTATGCAGGAAGAGAATCAGTACTTAACTCCATCAAGTTGAGCAGGACATCCAGAGGAGAGAAAAAAATGAATTAACAAGAGAAGGAAGGAAGAACTAAGTAAGAATAAGTACAGTAACTATCTTGCATGAGATTTAAAAGTCAGAAAATCATGATGGAAAAATAGGGTAACGTTTTCTGAACTGGTCTAACCTGATTACTTCTCTTCCAGATAAATTAAGCCCTCCTCTCACTATGGATGTTATGTTTTCTACTCCATTAATCATCTGTGCCTAATTTAACTACCATGCTTTGGGTTGTTTTGTAGCAGACACTCTCTGTACTCCACCCCTATTTACCCTCCAACTGTACCACTGCAGCACACTGTCAGCTGGACTTCTGATTGCCAGCTCTCAGCCCTCCCGACCTGAGGGCATTCTCTGGTCCCCAGGGCCTGCTCAGCTTGAGTGCAATGCAGGTGAGAAGTGCCAGGGATTGTTGCCCTCAACTGCCTTCTTCATGGGAGACTCATGGGAATCTGTTTACAAACATTCTAGTTCTCCTGTCCTCAGTGCATAATTCTGAGACACGTGTTCTACACTGTTTCCCAGCACTGCCCGGCTCAATGTTGTTCCAACTGTCTGCTGGGGTAACCTGCTTGAGAACGTTCCCTCTATCGCCTGCCTTTCCTTCCTCATCTGTCTCCCCTGTCACCTACTGGTATTTCCCTAGGAAATCCCAAGTAAATACTTGGTTTAAATAATATATCTTTAGATGATGAAACCCTTATTTATCTTGTGACTTTTTAAGCAATGAACACATGTAACAAACCATGTAGTTATATTAAAACATAGGCATGGTATGGCAGGCCAACCTAAATGCAAGAGTGTACCTATAAGTTTCTTCTGTTCTAATAAGAAGAAAGGAAAAGGTAAAGGAAAGGAAAGGAAGGAAACTCCAGGAATAGTCTGTTACCATGCTGTAATATTGATCTTTTGGTAATGGCTTGGCAGGAGTTGGCTTCAGTTCACTTACCTTTTACACCGAATTGCTGCAGACAAAAGGGAAGCCCACATATCCTTCACACTCTGCAGCTGCTGCTGAATAGCAGGAATGCCTTCTGGAGAGGTATTCTGCAGGACAGATTCCCCTCTGGTCACTATCATTTTCATCTGGATCTCTTTTTCCTGTTTCACTGATAATAGAGCCTATAAAAACAAAATCAGAAGTCCTTTGTCATTTGCATCTTTAGCATTTCTGGCTTTAAATGTTTCAGAGCTCCTGAAGACAGTAGAATGATATACAATTGCAGGTGAGCCATGAATCTCTCGGCTCACTGGGTGGCACGTGGGAGAATCACTTGCTGGCGAGAGTCAATAACCAATCCGCAGTCACTTGCTGGTCTCCAAGGGGTCTTGCTTTTTAGGTCTCAATTCTTCTCTGAATAATCCCTTCCACTGAAGTTTTATTTTGTTGGTTTTCTTTTGCTTTGTTTTTTGGTGTGTTTATCAATTTTTAAAATTAGTTTCAGGGGTAAAATTTAGTGATTCATCATTTGCATATAATACCCAGTGCTCATCACAGCAACTGGTTTTCAATAGAGAAAAATAGAGTACAGTAGAATTCATAGATTTTCAAAGGTCACAGGATGAAGAGCTTTATAATGTTAAGGTCTCTAGTACAACAAGCCTAAAGAACTATATCAGTTGATATTAAATGTTAATTTATATATTTTGAGATCTTCACAGGCATTCTTCTTCTTCTATATAAGAAGGGAATTTGAATTCAAAGTTATAAAATTGGCATTATCACTTAAAAGGCAAAGTTTCATCCCCCTCCCTAATCTGGACCCTCCCAACATCTACAGATTCAGCATCAGCCCCTCATTGCCATCACTTAGCGCTTCGACAAGAAGAAACTACTAGCAATTTCTCCCACACCATGCTATTTGTTTTCTTTGGCTTTTGCTTCTGCTGATACCATTCTCAAATCACAGCTTGGGTAGGAGACTTCCTGAGAAAGCTCCTCTGAATCTGGACCAGGTCCCTCCCACACATCCCACTCTTTCATGTGTCTGTAGCACCACAAGCATACTCCTGTTTTTTACTGACTTGTCTGTGTCAGCCTCCAGCTTCAGACAATGAAATCCTGGAGGACAATGACCATGTTATTCATTTTTGAGTCCTTGAAATCAAGACAGGGTGCCAGTCTCCTATAAGACACCCAGCAAACGAACGTCAGGTGAATGACTGCAGAACAGTTATTTTATCACAAATGTGAAAAAGAACTAATATGCTGGGATGGGAGAAGAATTGACTGAAGGGTACAGGCAGACAAGCAAGTTGACGAAGATGGGAAATGTCTTGCTCTAAAAAAAGTTTCATCAAAATATTTTCTAAGAATAAATGTGTCTATGATGTAATTAGAAACACATCTCTTAACTGTATCAAACAAGTAACTACATTTGATGGCAATTTTAGTTTAATTTTTGTCAAGTATTTGTGAGTGGACATATCTGGGGTCAAATGATTCAGGGATGCTCAGTCAAAGCCGCCCTCTGCAAATAGGATCACACCCATAGAGCATTCTTGGATTTGTTGTAGAGAGAGTGTGAAATAATCACACCAGACAGAGACTTGAGAAATTTTGAGAAAAACAATTCTGTAAATTAGAGACTTTCCTCTAAAAATGCACACCTCAAGCTTGAGCATCCTGCTGTCCAGCACACTTTTGTCGGATGTTGGGTGGCAGTAAGAGTCCAGCATGTGAACTGCATCTGTCAGCCAGTCTTGGAGCTCTTTAATCCCCAGGGAGAACTGATTGTGTTCTGCAACAATTCTATCCAATCTTGACACTTTCTCCTGGAAATGACAGAAATCGTTTTCCAGCTGTCCATACTACTTTACAGCCTATAGATGCTCAAACTGTAAATCTAACCAATAGTTTCATAACTACAATCAGACATAAATTCCTGTGCTGCACAAATACGATGCAAGTCTGTATTGATCTGAGATGTGGGAAGTATCTTTGTAATTAGAATAACTGGGTCAAAAGCAGAATGATTACAATTATAATTTAGTCACTAATCTTCTTTAGGACAACTGTGATTTTTTTTTTTTTTTTTTTGGAATGAGCAAACCTTTTTCCTAATTCTTTACGTGGGAGATGAATCAGAATAGTTTCTACCTTTCCCATACCACATTTGGCTTAACTGATACCATGGACTTATATGGCCTACCTTGTGGCCAGTTCTAAAAGGTAACTATCTGAGATTTTGTAGTAATCCTAAATTTTTATTTTTTTAACTCTTTTTTATTATTATTATTTATGATAGTCACAGAGAGAGAGAGAGAGAGAGAGAGGCAGAGACACAGGCAGAGGGAGAAGCAGGCTCCATGCACCGGGAGCCCGACATGGGATTTGATCCCGGGTCTCCAGGATCGCGCCCTGGGCCAAAGGCAGGCGCTAAACCGCTGCGCCACCCAGGGATCCCGTAATCCTAAATTTTTAAAACTGGGACCATAGATATGATTTTATTTATTAATTAGAGGCTATTTTTGACACAGTGAAGATTTTATAAAGACTATGTTTACAGTTCTTAAAGCATTCAAATATCTATTGATTTTGGATATCTAAATAAATACAAAGGACTAGAAAGAAGTCCTTAATTCATTCTAATTTCAGATATATCCCAGGTTTTCTAAGGACAAAAGAGAAGGAACTTATTCATAGAAAAAAACTGGATGAAACAAACTATTTATTGTAAGATCTATACTAGTGTAACTGTCTCAATGATGCTTATTGAGGACAAATTAGCAGACCTTGAAGTAAGTCCGCACTAAAATAGGTGAAGCCATATTACGGTAGGTTCCCTATATTCTAAGATCTGAAATGCAAAAGAAAAATACAGGGAACAAATGTTACAAGCCACATGAAGCTGAAGGTAGACCTGCCCGATGAAGTTCAAGATGAGCCTGCATCATACCTGCTGAATATTCTAAATTAGGTCATGATGGTATCCCATTTACTTTTTTTCTAACTATTAGAAAAGATATTTAATCAGTTATGTGAGTCATTGCCGATTCTGAGCTCTGCTCTAGAATACGGAATGAAACTCTCCATCAACACATCCTTGACAACTATAATTAAAAAAATTATCACAAACTCATCATGTTAAATCCATTAAATTTAAACTGCTCTGAATTCATGCTTTTCTAAAATAATTTAATCTGAGATTGTTTAGACCCCAACTCTGAACTTTGCCTTATGTTTACACTTCGAGTCTTCAAGGTAAAAGCCCTAGAGAACATCTCATTTCAGTATTGAGGAGAATATTTTGTGCAACAACAGAGATTGGGTCTCTTCAGCCTTTGAAACCTCTCTTGCCTCTTTTCAGACATGCACACAAAGGTGACATGGCACAAATGCTTGACAAAGACTGGAAGGCCAGGAAAGACACTTGACATGCCTTATCCCGAGCCAGCACACAACCTCGCACAACCCTACCGAGGCTCCAGATCTGTGGCTTCAGGACCACACGCACACACAGCAAGGACATGGCGGGCGTTACCTTCGTTAAATTGCTTAGAGCTAGATACTGAGAAGACAGCTGCGACACTCTGTGCATAAAGCTCTTGCTGGCAGCTTGTCCTTCCCACAGCTGCTGAGCTTTCTCTCTTAGCCTGTTGAGCTGAGGCTCGTAGCAGTTTATTTCCTCAAGGACAGACTGAAAAGCACAAGCAAGTTACTATTAAGAGGCTGGGGGAAAGCACATCACGGATGAAGCTTTGGCCCAAAGGACACGGAAATAAACATGGCGAGCAAGGGGTGTGCCTTGAAGGCTTTGTTATTTCCACACACCGTATAGACTACAGGACTACAGACTACAGAAACAGACTGCACCTTAAAGGAAAGCCAGGAAACACAGAATGTGTCAGAAATTGGGAAGGGGTACGCTCCATCTCCAGACAGCATAACCTAACCAGGGTCCACCTGAATGCAAGGTGTGCAGAGCACAGGGGTAAGGATGTGGCCAGAGGGCGGGGGTCCTCTTACCTGGAGCTTCTGCTGTTCCCTCCTCTTTGCGGGCAGATCATACAGGCGATTGCTGCTTTCCTGCACCAACTTCTCAGTTTTACTCAGCCAGTCCTGGACGGGCTCAGCACTTACTTCAAAGTCCTTCATTTGGATCTTTAGATTCTATGAGGTTTTAAATCACATTAGGGATAAAAACAGATTTTATTTTTATTTTTATTTTTTTTAAGATTTTATTTATTTATTCATGAGAGACACACACACAGAGAGAGGCAGAGACACAAGCAGAGGGAGAAGCAGGCTCCATGCAGGGAGCCCAATGTGGGACTCGATCCCAGGACTCCATGATCATGCTCTGAGCCAAAGGCAGATGCTCAACCACTGAGCCACCCAGGTGTCCCAAAAACAGATTTTAATAGCAAGTCCAAAGTCCTTCACTTGACATTGAAAGCCAATGCAGTCTGGCCTCCTCACCCTTTTGCCCTCTTTCCTTATTCCCAACACATAGAACATTCTATCTTTCACTGTAGCCCCTACGGAATTTTTTAATATCTTTTTAGAGCTTTTAGGCACAAGTTTTTCAAAAAGGAGTTTTTGCCTCATTATGCAGCCTACAACAGAGTTCACACCCACTTCTCAACTTCTATCACACTTGTTAATATCAGTCACTATACTTTATCACAGACTGGGTTAGATTGTGAGTTTTCATCTCATGCCAGCATGTCTTATCTCCACAACTAGCTTACAAGCTCTGCAAGGAGAGGGCCTGGGACACACCACTGGTACCCTGTACAAATATCAATAAATACTAACATACATTTTGTCAATTTTGATTAATGATGGGATAAGAAATAGCATAAAGTTTGTATGCTAATTATGTTTTTAATAAATAATTTGTTTATTCTAATTAATAAAGATACCAAAAAAATACCACATAGTGTTCTGTGTTTATTACATAAGAAGCTGTGACTGCTTTCATAAATACTTTGTAGGTATTAATAGCTGTAAAATGTATTTGGTAAAGTTGTATACAGCACCATTTAACTTTCGCAAAGGTGTTTATATCCTCTATTATTTATAAGAATGCTATATTGAAGTGAGTTTGAAAGTTATGCTATCATGTGAACATACTAAAGGCTTTTAAACTTAAATTTAAATCAGAACTTTAGGTAGTACTGTCAAAGAACAAATCCATAAAGGTTAGCTGAAAAATTTAAGTGGCAAGGGCTGCAGGAGACTGTGGGAGAATGCTCCAGATTCTGTCAGCATCTGAGCTGGATTTTCTACAATGTGGGAGAGTCATACCTGCCGTGGTCACCTCTTAGGGAGACATGCAGCTGTAGGAATGCTTTGGAAAACTAAGAGTGCTTCACAAATGTAAGATACCAGGATTATTCCTAGAGCATTCTATAAAAACTTAAGCTTCATGAGGGCAATAGTTCTATTCTGTTTTATTATTTGCTATATCCCAAGAGCTTAGAATAGTCCTTGGCAAATGGAAGATGCTCAACAAATATCTATTGAACAATTAAATAAATTAATAAATTCAAGGTGTTTCCATCATTCTATTACTGAAGTCTCACGGGACCACTAAAGGACAAACTGGAGACCATGTTATTAGGAATTTAGTTCTACAAAGAAATGGAGCTAAGAAGCAGAGCAATGCAAGATGGCTGGGTTCCTTAGGTAAGGAGTGAAGTCACAGGCTGTGAGCAGGGGGCCTGAGGAACAGGAATAAGAGCTTGATACTAAGTCAAACAACTCCTAACATTTCTCATATACTTCTTTTCTATGGGGCTGTAGAGACTTCCCATTAAATGTTCTTTCTGCACATGTTTCCAATTATTTCTCCCAAGGTCTCAATGGCCATCTACAAACTCTTAAAATCCCACATTTATATAACTGTATTTATATAACACTTTAAGTCAGAGTGCCTAAGTTTGAACCTGTCTTCATCACTTACTAGCAGTAAGAATTTGGCAGATTATTTAAATCACCTTTTGCCTTAATTTCCTCATCCACAAAACCTAAATAAGAGAGTTCCTACCTCAGAGAATGGTTATGGTCATTGATGCATACTCAGTGCTTGCACTGGTGCTGGCACTGGTAAATGCTCACTGTCATTGTTATTGTAGCTTTACTCTCTCTGTTGGACTCTGTACTTATGCTCGTTGCTACTTTCCTGGCAATACCTGCTGAGTATCTTTCAGGCCCATCTAATTGAACACATATTATATCGAATTAATTTTTCTATCCCCTCTAAAACTACGTTTTCTACTATATTCATGTGTAGGATAATGGCATTACCATTCATGTCATCTTCCAAACTAAAAACTAGACTCACACTTCACTTCTCCTTTTTCCTCATGCCCCTCACTGAGTTAGCTACCAAATCCTGTGGTGTTTTACCTTAGAGATCATTCTCTATCCATTATTATTTCCTTAATTCCCTCATTTTCCTCATTTGGACCATTATGAGAATTTTTTTCTGGTCTTGCAGCTTCCCCATTCTTGTCTACACTGTGGTCAGAGTTGACACATTTATCTCCAACTTGAAAACCAGTAGGTTCCTTACTCAGCCTTTTTCAACTAAAATTTTGAGAAAAAACTAAGCCCAAGTGTCCTAAAGCATCCATTCTCTGTAATAAATTAACCTTTCTCTTACGCATCATTGTCTCTGGGTTATGTTACATCCTTGGAAAAATTGAGAACATAAATGCTATTTAGGGGTTCAGATAAAAAAAAAAACCTGGTAAGAGTCAAGATCAAATTGCTTAGTACACAAAACATTTCCTATCTTGCCCTAATACTAATTTTGAATCTTATCTCTGTTGTTCATCCCACAAAACCCCACATGGATGTCAAACTTCTCAAAGTCCCCCATTGCTGACACTCATGACACTCTGGCCCTGCACATTCAGTCCCTTCTACCTGAAAGCAGGTCAGCCTTGGCAGATTCAAAGAATGTTTAGCCTTCAAGTTTCAGTTTAAATGTCACCTTTCTGGTAACTTTCCTTGATTTCTACAAGTGGAGTTAGTTGTTTCCTTCTTTGAATGACTACCATATCCTGGATGTATCTAGATTATATTGCAATCATCTCTTTATATACTATTTCTCAGTCTAGAAAGTAAATTCCCTGAGGAAAGGGAAGAGACTAACCCTTTTGTATTCCTAACATAGTGGCTGACACATACTGTTTTCTATTTTATTCCTAATAGAAATAAAGGAAAGAGGAAAGGAAGGAAGGGAAGAAGGGAGGGATACAGGGAAAGAGAGAGGGAGGAAAAAGGGAAGGATGATAAAGAAGACAGAAAGGCAGGTTATTCCTCACCTACCCATCTAACTCTTGGACATCTCTTGAACTAGGTAACCATGCAATCAATGCCAGATGTACTACCTTCAACAATAAATGCTTCAGAGCTCAGGCCACATTACACTAATGATCTCTGTAAGGTTTTGAATAAATTTCTAGGCACTGCACAATGGTTATCACTCTCTATTAAGTGGAAGATACCTACTACGCAGGAGTAGCCACCATTACAGAGAAGAATTACAATAGTCTTGGTCTAGGGAAGGATTGAGGGAACACACATTTTCTCTTTCAAGATATTAATCCTCTATTATTATTTTTTCCATTCCAATTAGTTATTATCATAATCAAATAAAGGAACTATTCTGCCAGGAAATGTTGTTTAAAAGGGAAAAAATTACTCTCCATGCCTCTAAATATTCCTCTGAGTTGATGCACAAAACAAGTAATCTCACAAGAAAAAAACACTTGCATTGTGGCAGTAATCATGATTATAATAAATTCAACTTATGTTGTCTCTGGATAAAAGAATTTTGCATAATCATTGGCTCTTTGCATACTTAACTCTTAAAACCTATTACTTGACATTTGCATTAGCTATAAAATACTTTGTCATCAATAGCATTTTGTAGTCGTACATGGATATTTCTGTTCATTCTCTCAGAACAACTTCCAAACTTGAGGGATTTTAAATGAATGATTGAGTGATATTGTTTAAAAGTAAAACCCAATTATTACTGGTGGGACAATGAAAGACTATGATAATAGCCCCTACTAGGCAAGAAGCTATCAAATTCCTCAGGGAGGCCCATACTTCTAAAATTGAGCTGTTTCTTATGGTTACCCAGTTATCCATTAATATTCAGAGAGGAATACCAAAATCATTGGCAACCATATTTGGATATAAATGAAAGTGTGGTTTTTAACTGACAACGACTACAGCAACAAACTACTGAGGACATGTCCTTGTGCTTGGCTATATTATACCTCTAGGGCAGATTCCTTCTGGTGGAGATTTGAATGAAAATTTTTCCAATCTTCTTTTGCAGTTACAACTTTGGCCTGGATGCCATCAGCTTTCTCTTTGGTCAACAGAGTACCCAAAAGCTCTCCTTTGGACAGTATCATGTTTAGCTTGTGCTGTCCGTTTTCACTTTCTGACAAAAATTCCTACAAAGAAAAATGCTAAGATTAGGCATGATAAAATGCTCTATGCTTTAAAATACATTGATTTTCTACTTCTTTCTTAATACACTCAAAGAGAAGAAATAAACCATTTTTCATTTCATATATTCAATCATTAAGACTCTTTTACCCTCTCTATACATGGGAATAATAATCTTATGCACCTGATACGCTTATTGTGAAAATTAAATGAGACAGTCTGCCTAGGGTGCCCAGGAACAGTGCTTACATTATATAAAGGAACTTTATTAGTCCCCACAACCCTGTAAGTATATAAAAATAGCACACATTTGGGTGAATGGACTAGTTTCTCTTCACAAACACAATTAATTGTTTCCAGAAAGTATTTATTTGAAATTTGAGTTTCTAAAGCATGACTTTAATATGCTTATAAAAAGATCTAGAGGCACCTTTTTAATTCACTTAAGCACTGTTATTAATATTAATTGTTGGCACTCTTACCTGTATTTTCTGAAGATTTGTTGAAACTTCATTAATATTTTGAGGTATATCAAAACATTTGGCAGTAGTGATTTTTGCATTAACCAACCACTGCTGGAAATCCTTGAAGGCTCTTCGAAATCGTTGCTGTAAAATCTGTTCTCTATTCTGACAGCCCTTGGATGCTTGCAAACAAAGACTAAAACCATGATTTGAAATGTTTAAGGGAAGGAAAAAATGATAAAACAGATTTTTAAAAAGTTACAATCAACAGTTCTTAGAGTATGCAGTCACATTAAGCAATGTAGTTAATGACTAACTTATTGTACCTTAAAATAAACAAACTTCTGGCTGCTTATTTGTATAAAAATATTCTGAATACCAGTAAGGTTCATGCTCACCAATTATATTCTTTAATCAGGCTAGAAACTTTTCCACTGTATGTACTCAGGTCTCTGGAAAATCGACAAAGTTCATTTAGCTGAGACTTAAGATCCTCTGTTTTAGGCTCTGCTTTTTTTAGGGCATCCAGTATTTCCTATTAGGAAATAACAAGACAGAGAAGCACTATTTAAATTAGGTAGTTTCCATATCCTCACACTATACATTCATAAATAATATTATAAATTATTAGTATAGAAAGAACCAACATAATAAGTTCAGTAAAGAAATACATCTTATTTTTAGGATTCCTCACTGCAAAAATAGCCCTTGGCTTATTTGCATCTTTTTCTAGGCAAAGATAGGCACTCCAGTACCAAATGTTGCCAAGTAATCAAATGATCAGGTGGTCAAATAAAGTGTGACAGAAAAGGGAAAGAGAAAATAACTTAAATTGCTTAATAAATTGTTTGACTAGGCCATTGGAAGATAGGTATATTGTTTAAAGGTAAAGAAAAATCATTTGAAAGCAAAGTAATACTGATTTTGGATTAAAAATATGCATAGCAAGTGATTTTACGTGTATATACAGTTAACTTTCACACTAAAAATTCTGATTTAACTAGTAATTCATTCATTTCATAGTTTTATTCACACAGTCATCAAATATATGCTAAATGTCTGCTATGTGCCAAGCATTTTTCTGGATTCTAGGACCCCCTAAAATGACTGAAAATATGAATCCTATACTTGAAGAACACTCAATTTAACAGAAGAGAAAGACACATGAACAATCACATTACTGTGAGTATCTAATCCAAAATAAAGTCTTGAGGGCAGCCCTGGTGGTGCAGCAGTTTAGTGCCGCCTACAGCCCAAGATGTGATCCTGGAGACCCGGATTGAGTCCCACATCGGGCTCCCTGCATAGAGCCTGCTTCTTCCTCTGCCTGTGTCTCTGCCTTTCTCTCTCTCTCTTTCTCTCTCTCTCATGAATAAATAAATTAAATCTTTTTTAAAAATAAAAATAATAAAGTCTTAAGACTGTCAAGTACATCTCTAAAGGCCATGATCCCCTGAATTATACAAGGTACTTTTATGGGATTGTCACAAGGAGCAAATGGGATCACACAAGTACTTAGCAGAATCCCTGGCACACTGAGAAATGTCTAACTAGTAAAAACAGCAGGTAAATGACATGCAAATATTTAAGTGGGACTGTATAAATAATGGTATTGCCACAGTTAGAAAGAAAGAAGAAAGAAAGAAAGAAAGAAAGAAAGAAAGAAAGAAAGAAGAAAAAATTGAGGAGAGCCAAGAAGATGAGTGACTACTCAGATGGCTGTTGGTGTTACTATTTGTGTTCTCAGATTTTTATCTAGACATGGCCTAGATTTGTAGGAAAACCACACCTTTCAACAAGCCAGGTCTGTGTTGCATTCCTCATCCTAGTAAATGGCTCCATCGTCCTCCCACTGATCTAAATCAGAAAACTAAGCTACATTTTGGCCTTGCCAAGAAACAAGAAACAACGAGGTCCAGTCTGTTCTAAGTCTTAGCTGTCTTTCAGTGACTTTTTTCCCTCTGCATCTTACTCAGTCTCCATTCACACATCTGTCATTTCTTTCTGGAAAGGCACAATGTCCTCTCAATTTGAGTCCTGTTCTCCAGTTTTCTCTCCTGTATTTTCTTGTTCCCCACTAATTTTGGATTCTGGGACTGTTCCTCCACCTCACCTATCTGGTCAGTTTGTGACAAACTTCAAGATCCTGCCTCCTTCCCACCTCATGGTGGGAGCTTCTCACCTGAGGACACACAGCACCTCGTCAGCTCATGACAGTGTAGCATCCCCATTGGCTTTGAACTCACTGGCCTTTCCACCTAGACTGGGATTCTGAGAGAGGGATAGTGTTCTCTTGGTTTTAAAATTATTTATCTTAGTGTCTGGACTAGGGAAGCCTAAGATATTTTTATTTACAAAATTCATAATAACTAGAAAGCTTCTCTCTGAAACTCCAAATGCTAAATAAACTAGTAGCTACTATTTTATACCACATTGTATCTTTTATTTAAGGAAGAGCTTACTAAAAGCTGTAGAAATTTACCACATACCCAAAAAAGTAAAAAACAAAACAAAAAACCCACCAGAGATTCAAATAAGTCACTTATAAAATAGAGGATATCAAAAGAAAAAAACTTCAGATCAAAATTTTACACTAAATAAATTTCCATAACTTCATTACAAATTAGTGTTTTAATAGCGTCTTTCATTATATAAACATCAGGTTATATACTTCTGTTTCAGTTAAGTCCTGGAATGCATTTTTCCCTTAGGTTTTAAGTTAAGAAATCGCCTAAATTTCAAACACTAATAACCCAATGGATATTAAGAGATGAATTTTACAAATACAGCAAACAAGATTTTTTGCAACATGACTTTATATAGTTTATAGATGGTGACCCATTTTTACATTTTGAAATATTTCTTGGGTATTATCATTTAATTGCAAAAGAGAAAGTAAATACTTGTGAAACTTTATGACTTATGATTGTCAACAATGATAAGCCCTCTGTAACAGCTAAACAATGCTATAAGAATCCTAACAAATTCATTATTTTATAACACTTTTCCTATGTATTCATTGTAATGGAAGTATCACCTCCATTTAAACATCTAAAAATTTTTTTTACCAGCTTTATTGCGATATAATTGACATATAACATTGTGATAAGTTTAAGGTATACAGTGTGCAGGGATGCCTGTGTGGCTCAGTGGTTGAGCATCTGCCTTTGGGTCAAGGCATGATCCTGGAGACCCGGGGTCAAGTCCCACATCAGGCTCCTTGCATGGAGCCTGCTTCTCCTCCCTCTGCCTATGTCTCTGCCTCTCTGTGTGTGTGTCTCTCATGAATAAATAAATAAAATCTTTTAAAAAATTAAGGTATATATACAGTGTACTTATTTGATACACTCATATATTGCAAAATGATTACCACCCCCCCAGCATTACCTAACACTTCTATCTCTCATCACATAATTACCATTTCTTTCTTATATTATCAATAAAAATAAGAGAAAAGATGAGCATTGGGGAACCCTGGGTGGCGCAGCGGTTTGGCGCCTGCCTTTGGCCCAGGGCGCGATCCTGGAGACCCGGGATCGAATCCCACGTCGGGCTCCCAGTGTATGGAGCCTGCTTCTCCCTCTGCCTATGTCTCTGCCTCTCTCTCTCTCTCTGTGTGTGACTATCATAAATAAATTAAAAAAAAAATTAAAAAAAAAAAAAAAAGATGAGCATTGGGGGGGAAACATACTATTGTCATAAAAAACATGAGCTCTGGAGCAGCCAAACTTGGAAGTAGATCTAAGCAGAGAGCCATCATCTTTGAATTGCTAGTAAGCTAAAAGCTTACTAGCATGTGGATTTTTTTTATAGGTTTCACTTATAATTTTCACTAGCAGTATCCCTAATGCAAAAATTAATGATAGTTCAGAATAGTAATATAATTTAAATATCACCAAATCTTTCTTTTTAAAAATGTCACTCATGTTAATGATAGGAAAAGGAAGAGAAACAGAATTAAAAAAATTATAACTGATTTTTTTTATCGGAGTGAATAATACTGCACATGGAAAAATTACCAACTTCCTTGTCTCCTTTTTACAAAATTGCTTTCTACACTTTATTCTAGTGTTTACATCTAAAAGACAGGTCAGGTATCGGAAAAAAACAATAAGCTAGAAACACTATAAATAAACCTAAAGAGATAATAATAAAGTTTTATTTCATGGTATACTACATTTGTTTGAAATACTTGATTTAAAACAAGACAATGTTGGAAAGACTACATGACTTTCTAATTGGCTGAAGCTATTTTGAAATGATTATAACATAAATAGAAACAGAAGTTTACTTCACTGAAACTTCCTTTTAAGGACATCCATGGTTCTGAGTGTTATAAAACTGCAAGTAACAACAGTGTTTTGAAGATACCATTTAACAGTAAAAGAAAGGATTTCAAGCTTCTACTTTTTCTTCACTATCCTTTCTACACTTTGTTACATTCATGTTCTGAAAGAGCTGCCATTAGTTAAAAAAAAAAAAAAAGTCTGGAAGGCAACCCGAAAGCATGACACAGGGGTTAGGCTGACGGGTTAATTCAGCACAGCTGTCAAAATCACCTCTAGGAGAGCTAATCAGGGTGAAAACTAATAATTGTGTTTTAGGTGATTACCAAATGCTTCTTTTTAAGCTATAAGTTCAATCATTTAATTGTTGGAAATAATTCACTGGCAGAAAACCAGCTATGACTCTCTGTCTATTTATGCCTCTACCCACAGGCTAGTTTTCAGGCTGAATGGCTGAATACAATATTACAGACTCTTACACCATAAGAATGAAAGTAAAATGTCTGCACTAACAAATGTTTCCTACAGTAAATAATAACTAACTCCTTCTCCCTTACATCTTCAGTTTTATAGTAGTCTGACTTATGAGCAAAAGGAAACAAGCTAGATTTGAAAATTTAGTTAGGTAAATAGTTATTTCTTTTAAGTCTAGAGGTTGCATGTTTTTAGTTAGCATTTTTTTTTTTAAAAGCAACCAAACTAAATTGTTAGCATAACCACCAACAGAAGACAGGAAGCCAACTTACTTGTCCTTTCTGCCAGCATTCCACTATCTCCTTATCCGTGTTCTTGCCTTCCAGGAGAGCTAACTGTTGAGCCCAAGTTGTCAGAAGGGCGCTGAACTGCTCCAGGGCCTGCTCCAGTTGAGCTACCTGGCCTGAGAACTCCTGCTCCGAAAGGGCCATCTGGCTAACCAGGTTCTCCAAGCTGGTCTGCGTTTGGACTACACTGTCTTCCCACTGCTTCCAGTCAGCGCGCAGGGCCTGCATCTCCGTGTCCACGAGCTCACACCCACTGGCACTTGTGTTCTGTTTCACTGTAGGAGCCAGCAACTCCACTCTGCTTAGGCGGCTTGCACCAATCTCTCTGGAATCCATCAGCTCCTGTAATGGAATATCGTCATGGCAACCGAGGAGGCTGTGAGTCACTTGGGCTGCAAGTTTACAAATGTGTACAGAGGGGGACCCTGTCCTGCTAGGAAGTTTTAGCAAGTGTGCCACAAGGACCGGAATCAATTCATCCGCCCACACTTAAGTTGGAATAGTGGAGTTATCATCATGAGTGCTGAGATTTGTGGCTAAATAAGCTGCGGAATCTGTGACATCCTGGAACAGACTAGACAGGGACCCTGAAGTCAGGCATTGTTTGAATATGTGAAATTTTTTTGATAGTGATATAAACATTTGCTTGTACTGTGTTTCTTGTATAAATATGCAAATCTATATTTCTCCCTATGTTCACAGATGAGTGACCAAGACTTGTGCCCTGCCCACGGTCTCTGCTCCATTTCATCTTCTTCCAGAAGATGGTGGCTGAAGTCAGTTCTATGCTGCAAGGAATCAAGCCACGCCATCATCACCAAAGAATTAGTCCCACTCAATTCCAAACACTTCAGTACCTTAAACATTTTTATAGTAACTAAAATGGATAATTCAGAGACCTACTTAGTCAAAAGTTCAAAGTAACTTTTAGACTGGGCTTATTTATTGCTATTATTTTTACTTTTAAGAAGCTTATCAGAAATTTAACAATTTAGGTATAGCTTTTAGCTTAAAGCACACAAGTACTCTAAAGGACAAGATAAAATTAAAATATGCATTACAAATTAGGTAGTGACATTTCTTTCTTTTTTTTTTCTTTCTGAGAACAGATTATTTTACTGAAATTTGTCTCACTGTATTCATCATCTGGGTGTTTATATATTTACATATCTATTGCTCAAGTTAGGATTTAGACAGTATTAATGCAAAATTATGACTTCTGTCCTGGATTAAATAGAAGGAAAAGAGGATTATTAGGGAAAAAATTTCAAGATGAAAATCAATTACAAATTAACAAGTGTACAAAAAATAGGAATGTTAAGTATGAAGCATGTTATGTTAACTATCCTACAAATATAGTTCATATTTCATTAGATTCTCCTGAAATAAATATACTTTCTCAAAATTATGTATAAGAGCCACATTTTAGTATAGATCATTTAAAAGTATTTATACCATAGTCCAAGGGGAAATCACATGAATCTGACACATAGTTAGCATTTAATTTGTATACCCATTCTTTCCTCAGCAGCAGGAAAATAAGGATACTCTGCCTTATTTATCAGTGTATAAAGTAAGTAGAGATTTGGGGAAGAAAACAAATAATAGATTTTTTTAAATGAGCTATGTCTAATTATTGGATTTAAATACTTCTAATTTGCCTTTACAACTGATTTCAAATTTGGAGTTTAGAGAGTATCAATAGTCAAAATCAGTTTCCCAAAATACTCTCTATTTTGCATTATCTTAGTTTTCTTTGGCATAAAATGGGACATTTCAATATCTGCAATCACCAATTCTACTCATCCAGATTTTGAATAAGAATGTCATCAATTTTTAAAAGATTTTATTCATTTATTTTAGAAAGAGTGAAGGAAGGGGCAGAGGGAGAAGGGAGAGAGAGGGGGGGAGAAGGGAGAGAGAGAGAGAGAGAGAGAAAGAAAGAAAGAAAGAAAGAAAGAAAGAAAGAAAGAAAGAAAGAGAAAAAGAGAATCTCCAGCAGACTTCCTGCTGAGCATGGAGCCTGATGTGGTGCTTGATCTCACGACCCATAAGATCATGATCTGAGCCAAACCAAGAGATAGACGCTTAACAAACTGAGCCACTCAGACATCCCAAGAATGTCATCATTTTAAAGTATTTGACTTTAATGACTTGTATTTGTACTTTCTTGTTTTGGATTTAACTATTTAAAAATCTCATATGCATAACACACCCTTATACACACACATATTTGGCTCGAAGTTGTCTCTTCTTGGTGGTTACTCTTGGGAGTGGGGAGGGACAACACTGAAAGATAGAGGAGGTGATTATTTATATTTCCTCCAAGATCCCTCCTCACCCCCTCATCAGCCTCCAGGAAGATTTGACCTGGACTTCACTTTCTCCTCCCTGAATTTCAGTTTCTTCCTGCCAGCTACTTCTCCATCATTTCCCATATTTTGGGAAGTATTTTATCAGGGTATTGCAAAAAAAAGAGCATATAGTCTAGACCATCACTCTTTGCTTCTCCTATACTGTCACCCCATAGCAGTTAAATCACTCTTTTACCAAATCTACTGAATTTTCTTACTAAGTGTATTCCATGTGTCAAACATAATGCTGAATGTTTTGTGTGTGTGATCTAATTTAATCCTCAAAACCTCTTGGTGAGGCAGGTACTATTGTTATTAATTTATCAAGGAAGAGGATAAAGCTCAAGGACATCAAGTGACTTGCCCAACACAGCTAGAAAACCAGTAGTCACAGAATACAGCATTGGAGTCTGTAGAGCCTAAACTCTAAATGTATAGTGAGCTATTATTACATTTAATGTATTTTTTTTAAAACATCAGCCTGTGCATCATTGTTCCCAACTACACAGCAGGCTCCTTGAGGGAATGAATAACCCTGGTTGAATAAATGGATAAATGGACAGATGAATAAAATATCAGTGAGGAAAAAATGTGTCAAAGAAATATTTTAAAGAATCACACACTCTGCATCACTTGCCATCAGGGAAATACAAATCAAAACGACAATGAGATACCACCTCACACCAGTGAGAATGGGGAAAATTAACAAGGCAGAAAACCACAAATGTTGGAGAGGATGCGGAGAAAAGGGAACCCTCTTACACTGTTGGTGGGAATGTGAACTGGTGCAGCCACTCTGGAGAACTGTGTGGAGGTTCCTCAAAGAGTTAAAAATAGACCTGCCCTACGACCCAGCAATTGCACTGTTGGGGATTTACCCCAAAGATTCAGATGCAATGAAACGCCGGGACACCTGCACCCCGATGTTTATAGCAGCAATGTCCACAATAGCCAAACTGTGGAAGGAGCCTCGGTGTCCATCAACAGATGAATGGATAAAGAAGATGTGGTTTATGTATACGATGGAATATTACTCAGCCATTAGAAACGACAAATACCCACCATTTGCTTCAACATGGATGGAACTGGAGGGTATTATGCTAAGTGAAGTAAGTCAATCGGAGAAGGACAAACATTGTATGTTCTCATTCACTTGGGGAATATAAATAATAGTGAAAGAGAATATAAGGGAAGGGAGAAGAAATGTGTGGGAAATATCAGAAAGGGAGACAGAACATAAAGACTCCTAACTCTGGGAAACGAACTAGGGGTGGTGGAAGGGGAGGAGGGTGGGGGGGGGTGAATGGGTGATGGGCACTGAGGGGGGCACTTGACGGGATGAGCACTGGGTGTTATTCTGTATGTTGGTAAACTGAACACCAACAAAAAAATAAATTTATTATAAAATAAAAAAATAAATAAAGTGATAAAACTAAAAAAAATTCACACAGAAAATAAGAATTTCAAAAGATCCTTTATGCAATTATCTCCTTTAAAACCTACACAGTCATTGTAAAATTTAAATAATACTTTCTAAGCACCTAAAAATACCCTCTTAAAATGTAGTGATTACTGTTATCATCAACTAGTATTTTTAGGACTTTTATATTCTGATGTCTAGGGATCAGAACATAAGTGAATCTTAAAGTCCTGACCACAATTATACTAGTCATTCCCAACATTTCCTCGTCCGTAACTAAATCATTTAGAATTTCATCATTGCTTAATTTTTAGGTTAAAATCTGTTATTGCAACCTAATGGGGGAATTATTGCAATTTAATATTCAAATAACTAGAAATATACTTGTTCCAGTTCCTTCAGATGCATGAATTTCTATTTTTTTAATTTATTTTTATTTATTTATGATAGACATAGAGAGAGAGAGAGAGAGAGAGAGAGAGAGAGAGAGAGAGAGGCAGAGGCACAGGCAGAGGAGAGGGAGAAGCAGGCTCCATGCCGGGAGCCCGACGCGGGACTCGATCCCGGGACTCCAGGATCGCGCCCTGGGCCAAAGGCAGGCGCGAAACCACTGAGTCCCCCAGGGATCCCCATGAATTTCTATTTTTAAAGTTCTCCCTGTGAGGAGTAAACTAGGCGATAATTTTAATGTCCTTTAAAGCACTGCCTTCCCTTATGTTGTTGTACTGTTGAGTAGGAAAGCAGAATAAAACATCTAGCACAACATTTTCAAGTTACTGTTCAAATAATTTAACTAAGTTATGTTACAAACTTAGTTACTGAGCTGGAAAATAGTATCTGGTTCGGCCAGCCCATCAAGCTGGCATATATTTCATAGTCTCCCCTACTATGGCCATAAGCACATTGCATGTGGAAGGATATATACATGGACAATATTCCATTTTACTCACAGGTGTAAATGTTTTGAATTATTTTCCCCTTACTTATGTTTATAATTTGTGAGGTGCAAGGCAATAACTATCGACAAATATAAATTAGGAAACATTTAAAATAAATCTTATCTACAGAATCTTCATCACAGATACATCTTACTGAAGAACCAACGAAACAATGAAGTTATAATATCTGACCTTGATTTTAGATAATTTCTTCTGGGTGGCTGATGAGTCTCCAGACATATCTGACCACCGATGAAGTTCCTCCTTTGCTGAATGGAGCCAATCTGTGAATTCTTGGACTGCATCTAAATACATGAGATGGTCCTTCACAATCTCTTCCACCTTCCTCATTTTTTCCTAGTAGACAAAGAAAAGGCTACTGTAACAGCAGGCATTATTGAGAATATTAAATCCAACAAAACAACAGGTCTCTTAAGGATTTCAGAAGATTTCATTCCTATTATTGAACTTTCTGTTAATATCTTAACATGAATACATTAAATCTTAATTAGACTGAAAGACTTTGAGGAAGCAACCAATTCCTTTAAATTTATTTTTGTCTAGGTTAAAACAAAATCTATACTGAATGAAGGTTTACTAATATCCCTCACTAATAATCCATTGAGTAATAATTATTATATCCTGTATTGTTGCCTGAATAATAAGAATAGTTATTATAATAATTATTATTATGTTAAGAAAATGATAGCGTTAAAAATACAAAGATAGTTCCCAAAAGGAAAACTGAGAAAAAGATGTCACAAAGTACAAAAAAGAAAAATCATGGAGAAAATAAACATTCAGAGAGAACTAAAAACAATCTTGGTATTACATGAAAGAACTTATATGTGGAGAATTAGGATAGGAAAAGGTGGTTTATACTGCAATGAGAAATGCACAAAATACATTGTACATGATTGAAATCTGGGAGGTAAACAGACTTGCATTTAATACAACAAATATAAACTGCAATAAAATAAAAAGAACAACAAACACTGGCATTTATGGCTCATTCTTACAAAGAAAAGAAATGGACTAACATCCTAAGTGAAGAAGGATAAAACAGAAAGAATAAAAAATAATCCTAAAACTGCAAAAAGAGGAGGATTCATGAGCATCCACAGGCAAATATGATCTTCATGTAGTAACTGTTCACTAAACGTATTAATACTTTAAGTGCAACCAGGTCTGGGATCCCTGGGTGGCGCAGCGGTTTAGCGCCTGCCTTTGGCCCAGGGCGCGATCCTGGAGACCCGGGATCTAGTCCCACATCGGGCTCCCGGTGCGTGGAGCCTGCTTCTCTCTCTGCCTGTGTCTCTGCCCCTCTCTCTCTCACTGTGTGCCTATCATAAATGAATAAAAATTAAAAAAAAGAATATATATAAAAAAAAAGAGTAACCAGGTCCCCTATAACTCAACCTGTAGTATGTTCTGCTTTTGTTTTGTTTTTGTTTTGTTTTTTTTTTTTTAGAGAGAGAAGGAGAGAGAGAATCCCAAGCAGGCTCCACGCCCAAAGTGGGGCTTCATCTCACAACCATGAGAGCATGACCTGAGACAAAATCAAGAGTCAGATGCTTAACTGACTGGGCCACCAAGGTGCCCTGAAGTGGTAATATATTCTTTTCCTGAACCTTAAAGGTTTTTTTCTTCAATATAAAACACTAACCTTGGAAACAGTGATTATGTCATTAAACTGTGTTTTCAGTTCCTCTTGAGCCGTTTCCTTGAAAGATTCATTCTCTGTCTTCTGGTAAAGCTCCCTGGATTTTGAGGTGAGGTGCTGCAGGGCTCCAGCATGATCTTCTGCCTCAGATACTATGGACTGGAAGTGATCCAGAAGGGAAAACTTCTCCTTCAGACCTGGCTGCAGTTGCAAGGGATGCTCTACTTTTTGATCCACCGATTCCATCCACTGCTCCAACTGGTTCTTCCATTCTAGATAGTCATTCCATTTGCTAATCACAGACTCCAAAGTGCTAGAATTAATGTCACATATTACAAAAATAAGCTATCTTGTCATCTCTACTGAAACCAAGTATGAGGGCATTGCATACATGTAAGCTGTTTGACTTGAATGCTATTCTGTGATGAAAACACTGATTTTAAGTGCAGGGAGAAAGACTTCCTCTGACCCATAACAGTTTCTTAAAATGAAAAAAATCTATGTCGAATTTGAAGTAAGGTGGTATAGTCATATAGGCATCTAAAGTTTGTCTTCCAAATGCTAATTGATCTAAATAAACAAAGTTATATGTTTTGTTTTTAAAACATCACTGCTGGGGCACCAATTACATTTTAATATATATCAATTCTTAATTTTACTGGACTCTGTTTACCCCTTATTCAAATCAGTTGATAACTGTTTATTAACTAGAATTCAAAATTTAAAGAGAAAATTAAAAAAAAAAACAAAAAAACTAAAAAAGCAAAAAAAAAAAAAAACTAAACTAAAAAACAAAATTTAAGGTATTTTTTTTTAAAGATTTTATTTATTTATTCATGAGAAACACAAAGAGCACAGAGAGAGTGGCAGAGACACAGGCAGAGGGAGATACAGGCTCCTTTCAGGGAGCCTGATGTGGGACTCAATCCCGGATCCTGGGATCATGTCCTGAGTGGAAGGCAGACGCTCAACTGCTGAGTCACCTAGGTGTCCCTAAGGTATTCTTTCTAAGTAAATAATATCACTAAGTAAATAATTACACTGATCTTCACTTAAGGATGTATATGCATAGGCTTAGTGCTTCTGAGTTGAATGTTGTGAAGGAAGAAAAAGCTTAATGTATTTATAAAAACATAGTCACGTTAGTCATATAAATAATAATCAAGTAAACAGCTCTCCAGATTATTAAGTAAAAGGCTCTTCACACTGGTATTTTTTTTAAAAAACTTCCATTATTTAGCTTTATAAACTATTCTATTTATTTATTCATGAGGGACACACAGAGAGAGGCAGAGACATAGGCTCCCTGCAGGGAGCCTGATACTGGACTCCATCACAGGACCCCGGGATCATGACCTGAACTAAGGCAGACATTCAACTACTGAGCCACTCAGGTGTCCCTACAAACTATTCTAAACTCATCTTTGGTGACCATTCTGAGCGTCCCATGCATATGACCCTATTATCCTGGAGTATTATCTCAGGTAAATATACTTCCAGCATCTCCTAAAATTGTCCCTTTTGCATCAATATTAACCTCAGCATAAGTGCCTTAAAGTGCTATCCTTTCCTCAAAGAATTTACCAGAAAGTATAAATCAATCTCACATCTCCAGAAGCAACCCCAGAAGCATCATCCTATAGTCCCACAGTGTTGTAGTAATGCAATCTGAGTCAGAGTGTTTTAGGATGCATGCTACCCTAGCCTCTGACCACTTTGGAAGCAAAAACTACTTTGCTTCGGTTAATTATTTTAGCTTAACATTAGAGCACCACTACTGCTCAATATGTGGTTGTTAAATTTAATTTCTTGCTGAAAAGGAAGAATCAGGGATTTGAATCTGCTTCTTATATTTAATGTTTTATTCCAAAATCCCAAAACTATTCACCCATATTCTTATTCGCTTTTCTGGAACTGGCTCATTGCCAAGCACTGGGAGTTAGTCCATGCTCCAGTGGTCCATGCTATCAGAACCACGGGATCTGACATTTTTTCTTTGTGGACCATTATGAGTATTATTGGATTCAAAGTCCTGCTGACTTTAGGAGTCTCCACCTGTGTTCCCTATTTAAAGGAAATAAAACAAAACAGAATGAAGCTTCCAAAATTTTAGTTGTAACCATGCTTCGCTGTTTACATTAGAGTGGATAATTGCAGAGCTGTTTTGTTTTGTGCTGAATTTTAATCTTTTCTTCATCCATTTATTATGCTATTCATTTATTTATTATTAAACACATACTTCTTCAGTGACCTAACACTATACATAACTTTCAGAACATGGCTCTGGAAGGTAATTTAGTATAATTCTGACTGAGGGTCATTTGTTCAACCAGCCAGCCAGGTTATTTGTGGATTCTTGGAAAAGAGAGGAAGGTGGAAAACCCCCACTCAAAAATGTAAACAGCAATAAGCAATAAATAAGCAATAATAACAATAAGCAATAATACCTGGTGTAACAATAAGTATCTTCTCTAATTGCTCCAGTGCCTTTCAACAGGGGCACCAGGGAGTCGTGGGTGGGTTGATTGTTGGCTGTGAGAATGTGCTCACGCACTGCAGGATGTAAGCTCTCCTGGCCTCACTCACTAAATGCCAGGAATGCACCCATTGCTATGATAATCAAAAACCCTACACATATTTCCACAGCGCCTTTGTGGGTGACATGACTTCTGGTTGAAAAAAACACTCATAGTTAAGCTCCATAGTTGCTAACAAATTAATTTCCCATATGTTCCTCTAAAAAGGGAAAAGTTATTAAAGGCTTGCTTTGATTAATTGAAAGGTGGTATCTTACTGAGCCCATGTCATGTATAAGATTCCATGAGAAATATTATGGGAGATATAAATATTACACACCTACACACACACACACACACACACACACACCAAACAAGCAAACAAATACAACTGTCTTTCCCATTACAGAAAATACAATCTAAGCAAAGACAAGAAAGCATACAACTAGCTAAAATAATATGCTTGGTAACTCTACCGCAAGATACACTCTCAGCATTGTTCCATCATTTTACTAAGCCCAGTAGGTTGCGTGTAGGCAAATAAACACTAAAAATAGGCTCTGTACCTCTGAGCATGTACGGAGGAGCTCATGATGTCTGCCCACACATCTTTAAGGGTCTGTAGCTGAGTCTGAATCACCTTCTGACCTTGTTTGTTGCTACTTCTCAAGGCCTGTTCCCCTTTGCCAATGGCCATGTTCAACTTAACTTCTCCTTCACCTTTCATCAGGAGAATATCCTATGGAGGAACAGTGAACACAGGTCAGTAGGAATATTAAAACCTTCTCATATTTTTAGGAACAGTTATGTTTCCCATGAGAATCAATATAGGGAATACTTTACTCACTTTATTTTTTTTTAAGATTTTATGTATTTATTTGAGAGAGAGAGAGTGTATGTGTGTGTGTGTGTGTGTGTGTGTGTGTGCAAGCATGGGTTGAGGGAGGAGCAGAAGGAGAAGGAGTAGCAGATTCTCTGCTGAGCAGGGAGACTGATGCAGGGCTCAATCCCAGGACCCTGGGATCATGACGTGAGCCAAAGGCTGACACTTAACCAGTTGAACCACCCAGGCCTCTCTACCTTATGCACTTTAAAATGAAAACACAATCACAACAACAACAACAAAATCAAAACACAACAAACTCTGTACCCTATTGTAATATGACACTTAATTTAAATATCAGATATCAGGAGTCTGGGAATCAAGGATTAACTCCAATTTAAATTCCTGGAAAACTCTGGGCCATTAACCTAGAAAATTATACATTTATTGAATGTTGGTTTCAAAATAAAAATAAATTCTTTTGAAAATGAAGACACACTTGTCACAAACCTAATGGTCCCCTACTGTCACTATCTGCCTAATTCCTAGGGGTACTGCAAGTAATAATTCATAAGTTAGCCTCTCCCACTAGACTGTGAGCACTTAGAATGCAGGCACCAATTCTTACTTCTATTATCCCAACAACTTGCATAGTGCTTGGAGTAAGTAGTCTACATTTGCTGAATACTCACTAAGTGAAATTAAAAATCATTTTAAAGCTATTGAAACAAAAATGTTCCTTCACAAAGGGGAAACATGATCCCTACATACCTCTTTTGCAAACAGAATATTTTCTCCATTTTGCCCCAAAATCTTTATTCAGAGGCTCACAGAACAATTGGGACCCAATTCAAACATTGTGAATCTGAGCAAATTGGTCTTCAGAAGTTGTCAGGCCTGGCTGGTGCTCTGCTTACCTGTATTTGTAACAGCCGCTTTTCTAAAGTGTCTTTGCTTCCGATGGTGCTCTCTGCACCAGCCAGTCTGTCTTGAATGGCTTTCACCCAGGACCACATGCTCTGCAGGGCTTCCTCCAGGGCTTCGTGCTCTTGCAGGGCCACCTGGCAGCTCCGGAGTTTCTCTTTGGTCATTCTGAGTAAGTTCTGGTAGTTAGTGAGGAGCTGGGAGCACAGGCGTCCTTCTTTCCCAGCACCATGGCCTTCTTCACTGAGAAGCTGCCCTCTCTGGGAAAGCTTATCCAAAGATTCTCTAAAAATAACAGGAAAAAAAAAAAAAAGAATTCTGACATCCTAGAGCACAGCAGAGTGACCAGTGATTGTTGATACTAGAGAAGTAACCAGACATGCCTTTAAAATGAATATGCTGGGCACCCCAGGTGGCTCAGTGGTTTAGCGCCGCCTTCAGCCCAGGGCCTGATCCTGGAGACCTGGGATAAAGTCTCACGTTGGGCTCCCTGCATGGAGCCTGCTTCTCCCTCTGCCTGTGTCTCTGCCTCTCTCTCTGTGTGTGTGTGTGTGTGTGTATGTCTCTTATGAATAAATAAATAAAAATCTTTAAAAAACAAATAAATAAAATAAAATAAAATGAAGATGCCGATGGCCGAGGACCTTCACAGGGCCGGCTACTTACATTCGCTACCATTTCTCTTAATGTAGTCAATTTACACCGGGGAATTTCATTCTGTCTGTGCTGTGCCTAGATCCTGGCCTCTGGATTATGAGGAATTCACTTCAGAAAATGGCCCAGGACTGCCTCTGCAGCCTCATCTCTAGCACCTCTGTTCTGACTAAATATCCTAATCCTGAAATGTTCCCAAACCTCTGCTTTTTGGTGTATATGTGGGGATTCCTCCTTTGTGAAAATGCATCTACTCTCCTCTGCTTCCCTCCTGGCTAAACCTTCAAATCGCAGGGCAAGCATCACCTCCCTGGGCAGTGCTGTGCTGACCTCATGTGCCCTCTGCCCTCTGCCCTGTCTTGCTCTATCCCCTCCTACACCCTATCTCAGTCCACAGCTTTCACCTTCTGGAAGCCAGGATTATCACATTCATCTCATATCCCCAGGACCCAATCCAGAAGATAAAATGCAAAACACCAGTTTCTTTCAAAAGGCCATTATATGAGTGCTGATGAGTTTCCTTGTTGTATCTTGGGCACTTGGCTCATCTCAGTTTGGAGTTATGTTAATTAAGTCAAGGGAAAGTGTAGTCATATGTGGCTAGGTTGGCTTCATCTTGTTTTACAGAGTTCTGAACTCTGATCAGCATGTCTATCAGGAAATTCTCAGGATACCAGAAGGGAGAGTACAGATGTGTGAACACGAACTCTTCTGAATACTAGAAAAATAATACAAACCTTATCTCCTACAAGGTCTGTCACTTTTTTTTCTGAGCATCTACCAAAGACATAGCATCCTGTGGCCCTCTGGGAGATATATAATTTATATAATATTGCATCCACTCTAAATTACATTTCTTATAATCTGATAAGACAAGAAGCTGGCTTAAGCAAGGATGTGAGCTAAATAATTCAAAACAATGTATATCACTTGTTACTACAAGGATTGTATCATGAATGATAAAAGTTCAATAATTATTAATCTGGGGTACTTTTAAAAAAGGCAACCCTCCAAGATAGTTGAGTACTAGAAATACTATGATGAAAAATCCAGAGGACTGGGGGAATTAAATGGCCAGTAGGTGAGGATCAGGGGACTCAGCTGGAGAAGCTGGGTGAGCAGCAGAGTACAATAGAATTGTCTAGAGAAGTAACCAGGTACAAAGAGCCTGGGAGCAGACACACTTAAGGACTCTTAGCATCTGGTCCTGAAATGTCAGGGGTAAAAGCTCAAGAAGAATATGTAAAGTCATTTTAGAAGTCTGGAAGAAAGAGAGAAGTAGGTCAGCCCATGTTACATTTTACCTAGACCCAAGTCAAGATTTAAAAAACAAATAAAATGCAGTATAATTTTCAGAAAGCTATATAGTTGGAATGATTCTGCTATCATATTAATTCAGCAAATATTTTCTTTTCCTGGCACTATATCAGACATTGGGACAGTAATAATAATAAAAACCTAAAGATGCCTGGCCTTGAGGAACTCACTGTCGGGGGTTGGCATGTGCAGAGTCAACAAAGAGTGGACCTAATGGTAAGGGCTCATAGAATGGGACCAAAGCACTGCAGGGAAATTTTATAATAGTCATCAAATTAACACGTTAATAATAGCTCATTATGTGTCATGTTTGTGGATGTGTTTGTTTTTTAAGGCAAGGTATACTAGGTAAGTTTGACCAAAAAGAAGACTCAGCAGAAACAAGGAATGAATATGATCAGAATTAGACCTGAATTGATCACTGCTGCTAATTTTTTCTGATTAAGCAGGCAGGGTGCTAGCCTCTCTTTCTTCACAGATGAGAGTATCTGCTCTTTAAGATGATAGATAAGAAGTTTTGGGTCAAGTTGCACTCTAAGTACCAACAAAGTCAGTTGGATCATGAATTTAGGGAGCAAAGCCCTGAAGCTGGTGGAGTCAAAAGCATAGTCCAGACAACTTTGCCTGGGAAAGGAGCCAGAAAGATTTGTTTAGTCAGGAAACAATGAAGAGACAAATACTGTAGTAAAGAAGCGAAACCTCCAGGATAGTCAGATTTAATGACCATACCTTTTGCTTTCCTAAGAATATGATAAGGATGGGGGTGGATTAGAAATGGAACTAGATGCTAAAGTCTGTGAAGAATATATGCAAACAGGGTCTATAGCGTTGTTTCTTTTTTTCTCTTTTTTCTTTTAATTCCATTATAGTTAACATGCAGCATTATATTAGTTCCAGTGTCCAATATAGTGATTCAATAATTCTATACATTACTCTGTACTCATCATAAGTGTAATCTTAATCCCCTTTAATCCCTTTTTCATCTTTTTTAATCTTAATCCCTTTTCCATCCATCTTCCCTCCTACCTCTCCTCTGGTAACCATCAGTTTATTCTCTCTTGTTAGAAATCAATTTCTTGGTTTCTCTCTCTCTCTTTTTTCTTCTTTGCTCATTTGTTTGGTTTCTTAAATTCCACATATGAGTGAAATCAAATGGTATTTGTCTTTCTCTTAGCATTTCACTTAGCATTATACTCTTTGGTGTAGTATTATTATGTAAGTGAAGACTACCTTTATAATGACCTTCTATCCTTATAATAACCCCCAAGAATAAAGTATGGTATTACTTAGCAGCATAATGCTTAGAGGCTGATATCAAGAAATACAAGAAATGAATGGCCTGCCCAGTTTGTTGAGCAAAGGGACATGGATGAAGATAGCTCCTCACTTCTATATAGGTTCTCTCCAGATTACCAATCTGCCAGAGAACAATGCACAATCATCTGTATTCTAGACATTTATTCTATGTCTAGAATACATATAAACATACACAACCACCACCAACTAACCAACCAAACAAACAAAAACTTGTTAGTAGGGAAAGGACCTATTTCATTTCAGCACCATACCTTGCAGCCAGAAGTTCTCCTAGAAACATTTCAACTTTATGGACTTCATTCTTCTTCTCAGGAATGTGTTGTTTACTCTCTCCTAAGTTTTCTATACTTAATCTTTCATCCATTTCATGGATCCATAAGTTCAGTTTTCTATGCTGATCCTCAAAGCTACAGAAAAGAAAATACTTTGTAGAAATTCTTCTGCACTCATTATGATCAATAAATTCTAATATCTGAGGTCTCAATGTCTATGGCAATTAAAAATCTCATGAATTTTCAAGTATGGAAGAAAGCCCAACAGTAAGCCCTTCCAAATTATTACTTATTTCAGTAACAAAATGAAAAATCATGGAAATTTCTCTTGAGATCCTAACACAGTCACCCTATCTTGCTGAATGGAATTCCTGGTAATCAGCTCGTAATTATCAGCAAGATTCCATTCTCATGTCAACGTGCACTTAACTTTGTGTCTTACTACAGGACTCTGAATTTGGGCCAAAGGATTAAGTATGGCAGGGGAAGCCCTGGAAAAAGAAGGGAAAATCATTTCTGTGTCTTTGTATCTTACGGAGATTTGAATATGGCATAAGAACACAAGGCTCTAAGTTTTGAAAACAACATAACTTCTCTAAGAAACCTAAGTAAGAGTAAAGCAAATTACTTTGTGATCAGAAGTCATTTTGATTATACTGACATCTTTTTCTCCCTAGTTTTTTGTTTTTTTTTTCTTCTAATTTTATATTTACTCCTGTTGACATAGTTTCCTGACCAGAATCTTCATTCACAGAAATTTGGCAAGTGTTTTTTGCCATCACTCCAATCCAACAGAAGTGAACACAAAGAAAAGACTTGAATAATCTAAAACCTGAGCATCAAAGCTCTCCTATTTTGAGTTAATCACACAGACAAAAATACATGCACACATGCCATTTATAATAACCAGTGAATACAATTCCTTACTTTTTCTATGTAGAAAATAAAGCCAAACAGCACCATCAGAGTCCAAGCAATTAATTATTGTCCTAGTATAAACCTGTACTTAAGGCTGAAGCTTATTATAATTTAAACACAATTTCAAATATTATTTGTTCACTCACAATGTCTCTTTTCAAAGTCTTTGAAAACATATCCTGTGTATGATGGAGTCTACACTTATCAAAACAACCTACCTCCCAAGTTCTAAAGCACAGTCTTGAAGAGTTTGCTTGTCTTTAAGGCATTGTTTCAGAAATGCTTGAAATTCCTCATTAGCCTTTGTAATTTTTTCCTGAATGCTGCCGACAATTTGCTTAGACACATGAGCATACAAAGTCTGTCCTTCCTGAGTCACAGCATCAAGCTTGCTCTGCCCATCACTGATTGAGTCCAAAATGTTCTGTTTCAAGAAATAAAGGTGGCATAGAATATTCACTATTACTCAGAGACCTGGAGCATGGGAGCACTGATTATAATTTTAGTTGAGATAGTAGAGCAAGAGAAGAAAGACAGAGCCTAGAGGCAGAAAGTCTTTAAAAAGGCCCAAGTGAGAATGTACAACTAGATAGAATCCAGCTCATAATCGAACACGGTACCAGCCAGTCATTGGAACCACTGACTGCGGACTAAACTGTGAACAAGGCCAGTCTGCAAAGGAAGGTGTTCTCATCAAGGTATTTCTCTTAGCTTCGCCCCATTCTCACTGACCCAGCCCAGCCCAGGCTATACTTCTTCACACATTAGTGTGACGTTCCCTAACTGGTTAGCTGCTTGCACCCCTCTTCCTCTTCTGATCCACCTTGTACACAAAGTTCTCCCTACAGGTCCCTTCTTTTCTTGATAAAGAGCCATGCTCATGCATATTATCTTTCATATTTTTTAAAAATAATACTTAATGCAGTGCTTTGTTCAGATGAGCTACTTGAAAAGCTTGTCCAAAACTCAATTTGAGTCAATCACTTCTGAACTCTACTTCACAAGGGCTTTTTTCCTTCTTGAAGTCATATATTTTTCAGTCAGTAAAACCTATATTATCTATTACTTTGAGTATATCCTAGCTCCAAATTTAGACTGTAGGTTATTAAAAATTATAAGTATGTCTTCCTTTTAAAACTCTTCCACAATAGTGATAGGAAATAGATAATTATTTATGTTTTTACTGCTAGAAAAATTAAAACTAGGTTTAGTTTTGGATGAATTCCAAAGAATGGTCAATAGGCTAAAAGAGAGAAGAACAGGATCAAGAAATTCTGTAGCTCTGATTTATTTTCTCAACTTACTTCTCATATTGCTTATCTCCTTACAATTCAAGAAATCTAATTCTATAAAGAAGAAGAAAAGTTTGAATAAAATAAGATCTGTGGAAGAAGATGATTTAGGTCTGACCTGAAGGCACAGGAGTGCAGTTTAGGGAAGAAGGAAAAGCATTGCCAGCTCTCATACCTGAAGATGATGGAGCTTTGCCTCTAGAATTTTGCTGTCGCCAGTTCTGTCAGATGATTCTTTTGCTGCTGCCTTTATTCCAGAAAACCACTCTTGGAATTCCTGCATAGACTCTTTTGAAAATAATGAAAATGAGAAATACATCCAGAACATTGAAGGAGTTTCTAGGATTACCACAGTGAATTAATTCTGGCCTTCAGCTCACTGCATGTTGCCTTAGAGAATGTTCCAGAAAGAAAATAATAACAAGAACAACAATAATATTAATAGAATATATTACAACATGATCTATAACTATGACTGTTTGGGGCAGAATGGAGAAATTATCTCAGGGAAAAGGCTGAAAAGAAATTTATATTCTTGAAATATCTGATTTCCCATTGTGTTTCTTTCTCTTAGTAAAGAAAGAAAATTGCCTGAATATGGAAGAGAGTGAAGGAAGAAAGGCTGTAGGGGTGTTAAAGCCATTTTTATGGCAAAGGAAGGAAACATCTCCTCTCCCAACCTGACAGACCATCATTCTGCATCTTCATCAGGGCAGAGGCACAGCTGTGTGGAAGCCGAGTTAGGGACACGAGACTGGCATAGCTCTCCTGGACTATACAGCTGCTGCTGTTTCATGGTGTCTCCTGGTTTCCAAGCTTACTGTGTTGCTTCATCACAGCAGTGGAAGTAATTTTCCACAAAAATGAGCTAAATGTAGAAAATCCCGATAAAACTCGGAATCCTCAATATGGTGGATTTCTACTTGCTTGGGGAGAAAGAGGAAGAAATCAGCTCATGATGGGAGTCCAAACACAGCCCTTTCACTGCCCAAATCTCAACACACAAATGAATTTAAAATAATATTCTTAATAATATTCTTCTGTAAAGTATTTCCAACTATTGCTGGCAGTTTCTAGGCAGCATTTGGTTTGGATTCTTTCTTATAAACAAACGATTCATGCTAAGCCCTGTCGGAGCTCACCATTGAAGTGTTTCTCCAGAGAATCCTGAAGGCTGGCCTGTGTTTTGGAGCACAACTGGCTCACAGCTTCCTGGTTCTTTATAAGCCGGGTCAGGGCACTCCCCAGGCTCTCCAACTCAACAGAGTGGTACTTTCGGCACAAGCTGTTGAGATTTTCTTGGGTGGAGCTGATGTTGCTTTGCTGACTCTGAAGTTCCTTTTGTATTTCCTACAGAATAAAAGAATGTCATGAAAGATATTCATCACATTCAAGGGAAAATACCACTCTACCTCACTATGGTACTTCTTTAGAAACTTATGTTGTTGAAATCCACTCAGTAATGCATGCATTTTTGTGGGATTTTTTTTTTCTAGTATAATAGATCTGTGTTGACTCTTTCAGAGTTGTGCCCAGTTCTCCTCAGGAACAACTGCAAACAGCTGTTCAAAGGTACTAGGATTTGGGCTATAGTCTAGGATTCCAAGCAACTAAATATGTTCTTAGGGATTCCCAGCCCATAATATTGGGTTTAGTTGATTAGAAACTATTAATGGAGTCTCTGCCTAAGTTCACATTCTTTGATGGGCTTCTTGGGCTTTGTTTTAGGGTCATGGGCCTCACCAAAATACCATTAGTTACTTTTAAAATTTAAGTACAGTAATAAAATATGCTAAAGACAACAGATCACATATGTTGAAGAGTCAAATCAACTCAAAGCTTTACAGACAGTTGATCAGGAACATTATCTCTACAGACAGATGACATAGTAGTAGAATATTGTTTCTCAACTGTTTTTTTTAATATATCCTTCTCTAGATAAAAGCAGTCATAGCCACCAATAAAAATAATTAAGAAATAAAAAAGTATTTGGCATTCAAATGTGAAAATTCATGGAAATTCAAACAGGTGTTTTATAAGCTCTACCCATTTACTAAAAAAATATGAATATGCATAGCTTATGAGGAGGTCCTACAGTAATGCATGCTTTCTGTTTTTAGATTATTAACCTTCTATTTCCTACTACCTGCAATCATTTCTTCATCTGTTGACTTACTTTGCTGTATCCAATAACATGAATTAGTCAGCCTGGTGTTAATATAGGTAACTGAGAGCAAAGGTTTTATTTTTATTCCGGTCACCACAAAATAGGAAAAACAGTATTACCATTGGAAGTATAAATGCTTAATGATAGATAATTACCTACCTTTACTTTTTTCAGCCCTTCCCATGTCTCAGTCTGGGCACAGTTCATCAATGATTCTTCTACTTTTGTCAGCCAGCTTGTTATGTCATTAATACATTTCTCCACCTGTGTACTCTGAGCAGTGAAATCTTTCAAGGTGCCTTTTGCTTCTTCAGTAATTTCTTTGGCATGCTCCAGTTTCTGCCTTAGGTCTGCTTCTACAAACTAAACATGAAGTAGGATTTCATTAAAATATGTGAAGACCAAAACACTCAGAGTAGGAATTCTGTTCATGTGCAGCTTAACAGAAAAACAAAACAAAACAAAACAAAACATAAGCCTAACCGTGGATGTTAATTCAACTTTTCTAAGAAGGGGAATCAGCAGGCACAAGTGGTCAAACATTGTAAGTGATGGGAAACTAGAAAGAGTAAGGATTACAGTTGACACTGGATGTTGAAGTGGCATTCTGATTGATGGTCAAAGGAATCACACTTCCAAAGCAGAGCTCAACCTACACGGAGTTACCAAGTTGGGGACCAAAACCTGCTCTTACTTCTTCCTGGGAAACACTCACATATCATGCCCTGATGTAACCATTGCTTTGAATACCACTGTAGGATTTTATCTTGAAGCAATTTTATTTTTGTCTCCCACTTTAAAGTATTCAGTGAGGCTACTTCTTCTCTCCTCCCAAACGATCTGTTTTGGGAGGGCTCCTGACTTCTCTGGCCCTATAGATAATAAAAGGACTTATAATCAAGATAAATTGCAAAATGGTTTCAATTCCACAGTTAAAACATCTAGACCCATTTAATAATCAACACATTGAACTTAAAATTAAGGCTTTTATCTTACCCCTAGCTCAGATCTGCTACAAACAGGAAGCCCATCTGAAGAAAAGGGCCAGGTGCCTTTTTCTCTTTCTTCACTTTACTTCTATTCCCCCACGTTTTCCAGCTTCTGACCTCTACAGGCTTGAACAAGCAGGAGGTGGGTGAGGGGCTCTGAAATTTTGACAACTGTTGTGAGCTGGCATCCAAGCTGTTCCAAGGCTGGATGATGGTTCCCATTCTCTCCTGTTACACAACTTAATCTGCGGGGTTTTCTGAGACTCCCCTTACTTCTGGGACCTCCCATTGACACTGCCTAGATGCAAGCTATGTACTCCTCTTTCTCCTTCCACAGCCTGTGGACAGCTCTGTATCTTGCTGCTGAGGCCTGTTCCTCCCCCAGAAAGCCTTCTGAGATAATCACACACAGATGCTTTCTCCTTGCTTTTCTTCTGATAATTCACTTCTTGACGGCGGGGGGGGGGGGGGGGGAATGTCACACTCTGGCATTCACATGAGATGATTCTAAGATGCACACCACTCAATACAATACAATTATTTCTCTTTTGGCAAATACACCAACAGTTAGCCAGCCTGTCTTTCACCCATAAGGTCTTTTGGGGGAGTTAGATAGTAGACTTCAGAGTCCACTAACTGCAGGGGCACGTGTTATTTTTTCCAGATGGTACCACGAAAGCTTTTTTCCTTATTTTAAGGTAAAGAACAGGTGTCCCAACACTTTTTTGTTGAGTGTGTGTGTGTGTGGGGGGGGGTAAGAAGGCAGAGTATAACAGTAGCTCTCTCCCAAAACCCTGCCTCCATCTTAACTCTGCAAAAGTCTACCTGTTGCTCATTTATATTGTGGCACAAGCAACATGCATAAGCACTCCTTTTTAGTTCTCTGTAATTAGCACCCTTTGTCTCTTCTTGCTTCAGGTAAACTTCTAACATTCTGGTCCATGCATATCATTCACTGATGTTATTAAGTGACAGATATACAGTCTCTGGTCAAAGCAAATGTAGAATCAAGCAAGATAGATGGGTAAGCAAGAAGCAGTAGGTAAAGGACAAAGGCACAACAGGAAGAAGGAAAATGCAGAGAAAATCCATGAGGGCAGCTACAAATTCACAGGTTAAAGTAAGGCAGCAGAACATTTAGCCTGGAGCCTGTAGTGCTGCTGCCAAAAGGCCCCCTATGCTGGCTGCTCCTAGAGCTCCCTCACTGACCTACCCCAGGCTTCCTGGTCAGAGCTAGTCTACCCCAGCCTCTCTCCTGTTCCCTGGGGATCTGTGACACCCATGAAGCCCTGAAAAGAGGTCTGCAATGGCAGACTCAATCACTGAGTAAATGAATTAGGAAAATATCAATATTCATAAATGTGGTTTCTGGTCTGGTCTAGACATAAAATGGTCCATATGAGGCAAGCTAGATGATACTACTGCCAAAATTTAGTAAGGAAAAGGGGAACTTATCTAATTTAATATTTGTGTTAGAGATATGCTATTAATACTAGCACAAGGAATTCTAAAGATGTTAATGTTTTAACATCCATATATGGTAAGATCCACATGTTTGCTTGAAATTATGATGATAACAATGAAAATACATATATATAACAGATAACATTTGTTTATTGTTATTATATATCAGTGATATTAGAGATTATACTTGAGACAGAGTCAGTATACAGTAGTTGTTACTAACCTGATTGAGTACTTACCTGAAGGTCTGGTGGTGTTTCTGGATTTTTAGTTAATTCTTTAAGATCATTAACTTTGCAATGAAGTTCTTCCAGTCTCAATGCTTTGTTCTTAACTTCAGACTGCCAAAATAAAAGAAAGAGAAAAAGCATAACTAGTCCAAACATTGTCATATTACATTTGGCACTTAATAATTTCAAGAGTTAACCCAACTTTAAGCCAGGCTTTAAAAAAAAAATCTCTGATTTTCTGAGGACTCATTATTTACGCATGTGGAAAAATGTCATCATCAACTTTTACTTTGAATGTTAGGGAGTATGCAGAACTTTCTTCCCATCCTCTTTTATTGGAAAAAAAAATCTCCTGGAAAAAATTAAACACTAACTAAAAAGTCTTGAGTTAGTGGGAATTTACAGTAACTGTCATCTACTCATTAGCATTAATAGCACTGGCTCCCATGGCAGAATTAAGTTTTGAGGAAGTATTTCAAAGCAAACATATGTCAAGAGTGCCTCACTACTGTAGACTATATGTAATACATCAGAAATGTTTCAAATAAAAACATAAAATACTTGTATTTTAAATAAATATCTTTTTATTTTTTTGCCTTCCTATTTTTTATTATTTTGCACCAACACTAACACAAAACAAAGAAAAAATAGGCAAAGAATCATTACTAAACAAATTAGATGCTTGTAAATTGCATAGTTTTTTGGGGGCCACAAAGGAACATTTGATAGAGTATCCTTCTCATCTTAAATACAGCATTTTGGTGCTTTGTGGACACTAACAAACCTCCTGATGCCTTCAATCCAGAAAGTAATTTACTTACCCAGTGAGCCATGATGAACTAACTGTCAGGCCCACTGGCTTTCTCCAGGAGCAGGCTGAGCAATTAAAGAATTACACCTTCACCCTTATACACTTTACTTTTGAATTGCAACAGCAGTGCATAATAAGGCATGGGGCTCAATCTGGGCTGCTAACTTTATTAGTTGCTGTATCACAAAGATAGTCGGTAACATTAAAAAACCCACCTTTGTGATGACTGAACCTACATATGAATGTGGGACTGATGCCCTTTGGTTTCCTGGATCCCAGATGTCAGTAGTGGAAGGTCCCGCATGCTGATTAAACAATCAGCTCTACCCTGACTTGTAGTATTTACCACCATTTTGCATTATATCACAATGTCACCGCACACAGTTTGGAAGCACTGCACTACAGCACAGCATCCTATATTTCACCATGCAGATTTAACAGATACCAACAACTCAAGAGCCTAGATAATAGTTGTACGTAGAGCTTAAATTAAAAGTGATAAGTTTTAAGTATTTATTAACTTAATTTTTAATATAATTTGATTGTAAACTAATTTATAATTTAATTTTCAATAATGGTTGTGGTTAACACTGGTTTGCAAACTTCTTTAAAATTTACCAATTGACTTTTGAAAGCTAACCCTATTCCAGGGCACACCACTATTTTGAGCTGGAATGTTAACAACATCAAAGATAACTTAAGAAACTGCAGTATTGGTCTCCTGATCGCATTTTCAGTCTGGCTAATTTCCTTTACTTCTGTTTTCCCTTAGAAATAGGCGTTTGATTTAAAAATCACCAGAAAGTTCTTTGGGTCAAAGCTAGACAACACAAGTATACAGTTGATTCACCTACATTTTTTCCGACCGCAGCCATTCATTACCTACATGTTGTGTTCCATTTGTGTGCTGGGCACAGTACCCAGCACCCAGACATGCAATGGTGAATCACAGAGAGTAGTGTTTATAGGCTTTATGAAACTTGTCTTCTCTTATCACCATTTCCTCTTAACCTTACTTCATTTTTCATCCTAGCCTAAACTAGGACTGCACATTTTACATACATAGTGTAATGTGAATAAAGTAGATGCCACAAGGGTAGGGGCTTTGTCTGTTTTACTGTTTATTCTCAGTGTCTAAAATAGTGCCTGACATATTTTAGGTGCTTATTAAGAATCTGATGAGTGAATAAACAAGTGAATGCTATAAATGAAAATAAAAAGTTTAAAATAAACTGGTGACTAGAACTTTAAAAGGCCATTTTCTGAGGAAGCCTGTCATACTCCAATCTCCAGTTTTCTCCCATTTCTGAAGAGGAAGTGGGAGAACCCAGTACCTAAGTGTTCAGCATATGGTAAATACTCAATAGACATCTTGTTTGAATGAAAGAAAAATCACCTGTAAATATTACTAAATTATAAAAACCTTCAATTTGGTTTTCCAGTAGGAAGGTGCCATAGTCTCAGATGAATGGAAAATGGAAAAATACAGATTTCATGGGCTTTTACTTTTTTCACTAATATCTTAAGTACAGAGTCCCAACTAAGAAGTGATAAAAATAGGGAGAAAATCCTTATCCATTGCCTATTCAGCTTTCAGGTAAATAACAAAAGATAGTTAAAACTTCTGTAATGTTCATATGTGTCTCTGAAAGAAAGAACAAACTGTACAAGAAGGACACAACTTTCCTGTATTCTGGTCAATAAGCTCACAAGCTCACCAAGGTAGATGTAGTCAATTTACCTCAAATTCTTTAAGGAATTCTTCTGCTCTGAGGCTGTTATTCAGGTTGCTGATGCTTTCTGCCAGCCGCGGAACAGAACTGTTGCACCATCCATCGATCTCATCTTTACTTGAAAGTACATCAGCCCAAATGGTCAGGCTTACCCTCAGCCTATCCATGTTTTCCTCAATTTTCTCTGATATCTGGGATAGAAAACAGAAGCCATAGCATCATCAATCCAAAGTATGAAGATGCTCCTTATCCCACCAAAGTACAAATAATGTCAATGCTGCCTTAATCAAAAAATTATATTCTGACTGAAAAACAAAGTTTTACAAATATTATTGCAAGGGAATCAGTGCACTTGACTCAAATAAATGCTAACGATTACATAATTTGTTTTTGTCATTTAGAGAGTTGACTGAACTTCTGAGACATTTGATTTTCATTTGTAAATTGGGAAACAAAGAATAGGTCTATTGGAGTCAACTTCTACAGGATAGAGGTCCATCTAAGGAAGTATTGTGTTTATCTTTGAAAGTAACATAATAAGCACTTTTATTTGTAATGCTGAAATATAAAAATGGACATTAATTAGACTTGAACATATTTATTGAGTAAATAAATACAACAGACAGCAACCAACTTTATATGTTTAAACTAAAGAATTATTGCTTAATACTCTTCCTATAGTAAGAATGTTCTTCTAAAAATGGGGGCAGGTAAGGTTTTCTGCAGTCCCCAAATTATTTGATTACATTACACAATTATCAATGTCTAACTTTAGTAATTCAGCTTAAGTAATTTAATCTACAGTAATACACTGTAGGTTAATAGAAGGACAACAGAATCACTGGATTTTTGAGCTGGAAGCTACATAAAATATGTATGAGTTGAGATGGAGAGTTCTAGAGAGATCAAGTGACTTGTTCTATTGTCACAAAACTAGTAAATGACAGAGCAAGAACTAAAACCCAAGGATATAAACTACAAGTCTGATGCTTTTCAATGCAAAATTATAGTTTGTTATTCTAAATTATGATACATTATAGTTTAATATTCTGTAGGATATTTATAAATTATCCTTCAGTATTTATCCATAATCCCAGAGTTTTGAGAAAAAAAATTAAAGTTATAAATTTGTTTTAATTAAAGCTACCAAGTTCAATTCTAGAAGATCTGCCACTGTTTTTTTTTTTTTTTTAAGAGTGAGGGGAGGGGCAGAAGGAGAGGGAGAGAGAGATTCTTAAGCAGGCTCCATGCTCAGCATGGAAATCAACTTTGGGCTCGATCTCACAAACTGAGGTTATGACCTGGGCAGAAATTGAGTTGGACACTTAGCTGATTGAACCATCCACGTGCCCTCAAAAAATTTGCCACTAAGTTTTAACAAAATAAAGCAAATAAATTTTTTTTTACTAATTCTAAACTTTAGGTGAATACTGTTTTTCTTCAAAATATCATTTTGCATGTAGCATTAAAAGTTAAAAATGTAATTCCATCCCTGAATAATCCTTTGCCCAAAATTATGATTGACAAACATGAGTATTTGAATGGTTTTGTACAACCCAGGGGATTATCTTACATCCAGCCATCTGTCCACAGTGCTGTCCATGTCTGTTTTCACCAAGATGAAATCACTACTGTGGATTTTTTTCAGCTCAAATAACAACTGTTTTCCTTTACTGGTAAAGTTATCCAATTCTTTCTGTTTATTACACATTTCATTCTTGGCAGTTTCATGCTGTGGACATAAATGTTTCCTTAATTAATAAAATAATCAGTGATAAGTCAGGCATTCAAAACCATTTGACTCTGAGAAATTTAATTCATGGTTGACTTTATGCAGAGTTGGTCAGCAGAATTTTCTACATGTATATGCACTGACAAGAGTTGTACAGAGAATCCATTGTATGTGAAAATCAGATCTACTAAGCAGTCTACTACAATAAAATAGTTTTGATTATTACCTTGGACAAAGCCCATTTAAGATCCTCCTGGTCTTTTATAGTAGTTCTAGTTGCAATCACATTGCTGGCATTTTCTAGGACTTTAGATACAGCTGACTTCAAGTTCTGATATTCCCTCATTAGGTCAATAAGTCCACAGCATTGACCCTGGCTATAGTAATTAAAGAAAAGGTATCATTTATTATCATGTATGAAAGTAAAGGGTTCCTTATGATTGGACCTGATATGTCACTACATAAATATATTCATAGATGGATGCTGGAATCAAGAAGAAACCATATTTCTACCTAGAAATCAAGAGTTCTGGTCAAACCAACTTAACTCTAATGTCCAAATTGTTCTCCATGAGTAAAGAATGCAGTCATTAACGCAAAATCTGTGACCTCAATGACAAGAAAAAAAATATATGTTCTTGACAACTAAAACTTATGTAGATGCCAACAAATTTTTGTTTTCAATTTTTTTTCATTACTTTATTACATCATACTGGTGTGTATTAAGGGGAGGCAAAAAAACAAAAACAAAAACAAACCCCAAACCAAAATAGATGGTTTTTGTTTATAAGTTTAAAATGCCTCTGAGCAAGCAATTGTACACGTAGTAATTTTTCCAGAATAAAAGATGTGCCCTAAGATATAAGTAAAATTATATTCTTTATACTAATATTTATAACAAGAGAAAAAAATAAAAGTAACCCAAATGTTAAAAATACACTAATAATTGAATAAATTCTGATACCTTCTTATAATTGAATACTACTGTACAATCTCTAACAAAGCACAATTTAGGAGAATGTTCAATAACATGGAATAAAATCTTATAAGATGGTTAAATTTTTAAAAGCTTACATTAATAATCTACAGTGTGCAATAAAAACTTAGGTACACACAAAAAATTGAATGTGAATGTTTATAGATGGTTTTTTATAGTCATCCAAACTGGAAAGAACTCAAATATTCATCAACTGGTGAATGAATAAACTGTGGTATGCCTATTAAATGGAATATTATCTGACTATAAAAAAGAATGGACTTCATTAATACACATAGCAATGCACATTGTGCTGAGTAAAAGAATTTATTTACCCAAGTGCAGTAAAAACTTATGCACACAAAAAAATTGAATGTGAATGTTTATAGATGCTTTATTTTTAATCATCCAAACTGGAAAGAATCCATTTGTATGTGATTCTGAAAAGACAATACTACAGAGACAGAAAATTGATCAAGGTTGCCAGGGACTGGGAGTGGGGGAGAGACTGACTACAATGAGACAGAGGGGAATTTTTTTTCAGGTGGTGGAATGATCATATGAGATTATAGTTATAATAGTTACTCATATAGTGTGTGTGTAGTCATAAACTGCATGTGTATTAAACTCATACAGTTTAAGAGCATATACTAACGAGGATGAATTTTACCATTTGTAAACGTATCTTAATTACAAACAAGTACAACAAAACAAAAAAAAGAAAATCGAAGGTTAAGATTCTCATGGTAGCACTTTATAATTTTTGACAGCTTCTGCTTTCAGGCACTGAATTACACCTATCATTGTCATCTCAACTTCTTCAACAAAATTCTGTAGGACTAAATTTCTAATGTACTAAAGGGACACAGAATACCTAAGATGGCAAAAGATATTCAATTCTTGATCACACTGATGCAAATCAACAGACAACAGCCCAATGCCACAAAAAAAGAAAGTTGAAAAAAAAAAAAGAGAGGTTTTTTACTTACTTTTCATGAATGAGTTTTTTTGTATCATCCCAGGTGACCTCCAAGCGGTTTACCTCTCTATCGACTTCAGATGCAAAGGCTACGTCTTTCTGAGCAATTTGTTTAGCTTTGTCTTTCAACCAACATAGCTCATGCTCATGAGAATTCAATTCATCTTCTAACTGATTAAAGACTCTCAGTCTGTGAATTAAAATGTTATTTTATTATTAATTTACTAAAGGTAAGGACTAATATTTCTTCTCCATTAAAGCATACCTATAGATATCTAGAAAAACTCTTAACACAGAAATTAAGTTAATATATATCAATTGTGAAAGACACCTTTAAAATGAACTTTGCAGAACTCAGACTATACCGTGGGGAACATTTAAAGTCATTTTCACTATTGATCTTCAACTTTCTATGAAGTTTGTATTCTTTTTCTATTTTGCTTTCATGATATATGACTTTTAAGACTGGGGCTGAGCTTGTAGACAAATCAGATGAGTACTTATTACAAGACCTTTGGTAAAAAAAATCCTTCTGTGTCCTGAGGTCCAACTCATGTAAAATAATAATATTTCAGGGTACAGTTGTTTCATTTAAAATAATAGCTTTAGGGCAGCCCTGGTGGCGCAGTGGTTTAGCACCGCCTGAAGCCCGGGGTGTGATCCTGGAGACCCAGGATCGAGTCCCACGTCAGGCTCCCTGCATGTAGCCTGCTTCTCCCTCTGCCTATGTCTCTGCCTCTTCTCTCTCTCTGAATAAATAAATAAATAAATCTTAAAAAAACTTAAAATAATAGCTTTATTTTTGGTCCATAATATATTAATATTGGAATACTTGTAAAAGGTGGTCATATAGAGGCAGCCATGGACTCATACATTCTTGCATTTTAGTATATAGTGCTATAGAGTTATAAAGTGAGTGTACATGCATGATTCCATTTCATTAAAAAAAAAAGTGGTTAAGAGGATGCATTATCATTACCTGCAGCTTCCAAGAAGACAGGCGATTTGCCCAAAATCGCACAGTGAAGCATAAGTATGGGGGGAGTTTAATAACTATATCAACTGAGGGCAACATTTTCCAAAACCTCTGTGTGATGTTGGAGGTTTAGTGTTAGAGATATTGATATGGCTCTTGAACCCGACCTGGGCCTTCTTCTCTAGCAATTTTAGGATTTTTTGTCTGCTTGGCTTAAGCAGGCCAGAGAGGGCTATGCCATTCTGCAGCACCAATCCTAGTGCTGACTTCCTGGGTAAGCTGTTTGCTCCTTTGCCATGTTGGCTTCTCTTTTTGTCTTTACTCCAGAGGCTGTTTTTCCTTCTCAGATCTTACTCTTTTTTGTAAGCTTACTGTTAAACCAGTCAACTTCACACTCATCATGCATGTAACCTCAAGAGCCATTATTATCTAACTGTAAGCCTTTGCTAAATGCTTGATTCAATTAAAAGGAAGCAAATCACAATGGTCTTGGCATGGTCAACACAATCCTTATCAATTATGGACACTTTGGTATGAGTGCATTTCAGCTGTTTATTTGCCCCTGAAGAAAATGGAAGACAAATGACCCTGAGAACATAAATGGGGAGAAAGTCCTGTGAAGGAGGAAAAATAAGACTGAGAAGAAGGTTATAGTATTAGAGGAAAAAAATTACTTCCAAAATTACTGCAGGAAAATACCACTGCCCCCTTAGGTTCTCTATTAAACTCACCTGACAAAACCAAAATTTAAGCAGTTTAAATTCACTTGTCTGCCTTTTCCACATCTCTAAGCAGTTACAGGTAGTTGCTGAAAACTACTCTGCCAAGCTGATTGGTTTCACTTTAAGTGAAGGAATAGAGAACTCAAATGGCAGCTTTATCATCTTAACAAGCTCCAGAGATATCATTTCCATTTCCTCTCTATAAAAGAACCATTTATACCATTTTCTCTCTGCCAATATCCTGTTACTCTCATCTAATGAGCTTATTCAGTCTTTCTGAGGGGTAGGCAGCCACCGGGAAGAACTCCCTCATATTTTCACCACCAGGACTAAAAAGCTACTTGGATCACTCCCTCTCTCTTCTGCTTTCATTCTTACTACAGAAGATGGGGACCTTCTCCTAAAAGCTAACCGTTGCTTAAAAATAGATAATATGCTCTACCGTTTGTTATAAACAAGATCTTAGAGAGGCTTATATAGACAGAGCCCTTAGGAAAATCTTTAAGGAAACCAAAGAAATTTTAGTACTTCGCAGGAGGCAAATTAGTCACTAATTTTATCCTCAAAATATTAAAGGAAGTTGCTGTGACACTGTTCAAATGTTGCATAAAGGTTAATTCTAGAACAAATAAAAAAAAATAAATAGAACAACTGGCTCCAGCCATTTCTTTCTACCTCTGCTGAAGAGCTTGGCGGGTAAGCTCCTTCAGCCTCTCTTTGTCTGTCCTTTCTTCAATGTCCTCAATGCTTTTCAGTAACTCCTCCTTCTGGTCTTGGAATGCTTTCTTCAGTACTGCCAGGGCATCTGCTTCGCTCTGCATTATTCCCAGAAGGTTCTGGATTCTCTCTAATTCAGAACAGAGGTGATCAGCTGTAGTTCTGCAGGAAGTCCTTTGCTCTGAGTTTCCACTTTTAAGATGGTATTGAGCTTTAGCAAGAACGCTGTCGAGGCTGATGGCCACAGATTCTAATGATTTAGCATCTTGAATTGCATGATTTAAGTCCTTCTCTAATAAATCAGTCTGTTTCCTATTCATACTGTTGGTTGCTTCCACTGTGTGTCTCAGCCGGTGGAGAACCCCCGACAGCGAGACATGGCTCTGTAGGAATTCAGCCAACTGGGCCAGGGCAAGCTGCCGCCTTTCCACCACCTGGCTGGCCTCCTCGAACAGCTGGAAGCAGTCCTCTGCCTTGCCCTGGAGGAGGGGGAGGCTCTCAGCTCGAACCAGAGCACCCAGCTTCACCAAGTGATCCTGCAGACTCTGCAATTCTCCCTTTTTACTCTCTACTTCTGCTGCGTGGTCCTGGAAGGGAAGAGTGAGTTACTGAGTCCTCAGATACACTGTGGCTAATAACACAGATATATTCACTATTTGTGATGTCAAGATAGTTTTCAATGCAGTGGATGGTATAGGATTTAAAGGTCATCTATGGTGAATCTTTTAGAAATGTTCCTAAAATTTCCTGTTTTCTCATCTGTATGTTTCACATAAAACACAACCATGATTTGGAACTAATTCATTGCATGGAAAAGAATGTCTTCATGAATAGAAATTGTAAAAGGAAATTTTATATAAATATAAATATATATATGCATAATTTAGAAGATTTAAAATATATATGTATACATGTATAATATATATGTGTGTGTATATATATATATAGTAGAACTATACATGCAAGTGTAGTACATGTAGTATATATATTAGTATATATAGAAAGTATACTAGAACTATACATGCAAGTGTATAATTCCAGTATATATACCATGCAATATATGTAAAAACTATATTATAGTATATATAATAATGGCATATATATATATATATAGTCGAAAAGCAAATCACAGGCCCAAAATGGAGTCACTTAGGGTAAGTCATGTCACCAAACTGATGTTTCACACCTAACCTAATTGCAGTTTCAGACTCCTCCGGAAATAGAGTGTTAACTTGTCAGGAATTTTTTGGTCAGTAACCATGAGGTAATCTGTCACATTGGTTATCTTCTCCCCCATGATTCCCCAACCCAAGGAAGATGAGGTAATCTACAGGATAAGACCCCCTGCTCTTACTCATAAGGGAAAGGGACCTTGCCTGAAAGGATCCTTTCTTTCTTTTCCTAATAACTTCCTTGCCCCATTCTTCTTCCGATGAAAACCTTCCATTTTAACAACTCCTCTGAGCTCTTTTCTATTCGATTATTCACAAATCGCTTAGTAAAGCCAACTAGATCTTCAAACTTAGTTAAATTTTTGTTTTTTAAGAATACTATATATAAAATAACAATACCATATATTATATATAACTAAATATATAAGATATTGAAGTTTGAACGATTTTAAATATATATACAATAAAGGTAATTCTAACAGAGCTTATAGGAAAGGAGTGTAGGAATAGATGGGCATTAGCTTCTCTTCAGAGGCAGTGGGTGAAACAGACAAAAGCACAAGTTTTAGCAGCCTCCCTTAAAGAAACAAAGGGGAGCTCATTGAGAGTGTTGTATAGGAAATTTGACTTGCTCACAATAAATCATGTTTGAAATCTCTAAGAGCATTGCTAACAAGCTCAGCATGGTACCCATTAAAGAGAAATTAACACCTATCTTAATCTTGACCACAATGGCCTTAATATCTGTCTCTGCTTGACTATTAAACTTTAGAAAGCTTCTTGGAGCATTTACTTCAAAAAATTTACAAACTAATTCTCTGCCCTTTTGAGATATAAATCTTTTTAAAAACTTCTTTTTTTCTTTTTAAAGATTTTATTTATATATTCATGAGAGACACGGGGGGGGGGGGGGGGGGCAGAGACACAGGCCTAGGGAGAAGCAGGCTCCATGCAGGGAGCCCAACATGGGACTGGATTCCGGGTCTCCAGGGCCATGCCCTGGGCTGAAGGTGGCGCTAAACCACTGAGCCACCCGGGCTGCTCCTTTTTAAAAGCTTCTGTATAGTTACAACACAAGAATATGTTTCTCAAGGACACGTGAGTTATCCTTTTGAAACCAACACGCTGAGTTAACAAATGCTTGATTTTACCCTAAGAAAACTGGTTGACCTGACTGATTGATGAGCTTGGTTGGGCAAGTTGAATGAACATGATAAGCTAAGACTAGAGCAACCTGGGAAGAATCCTTGCGGTTGCATAGAAGGGATCAAAAATGAGTAACTCCTGTGACAACACACCCCATGTGTAAGCAAATCGTGCTTACACTGCCACTTAATGAACAGGTGACCCATGACAAGACACAATTTCTGAATGACCATGGTCAAAAAGAAGGACACCTCCCTTTTTTCCTCTATCTAATCAGCATATTCGATTCAACCTACATAGCCATGACATCCTCACTCCTTATCCTTAAATGCACCCAACCCCAACCCTTTGGAGAGACATATCTGAAATAGTCTCTTATCTCCTTTCTTTGTAAGAAATCCTAACCCTTTGCAAAAGACCAGTGTTATGGTATTCGGTTTTCCATTGCAGGAGGGCAAATGAACTCTTTCCAGCTTGGTAACACGTTTGAAATATAATCCTGAAGGAAGATAGTGCTCCCATCTCCCTTGTCTCTTTTAGAGGATAGGAGCCTAATTTCAATGGGCATCTTGCTCCAAGTTGTAAAACTACTTGAGGTCGTAAAGATATAAGAATATACTATTCTTTTCCGTAAAACCAATTAGCAAATTCAGCACAGAGTGAACACTCCATAAATATTAAATGTTTTATCATTAAATATTGTTATAAGTTTATTGTGTAGCTTATCTCCAACCACTCCAATGCTTAATCAATATCTGATTTTTAAATGTTTTTTATGCCAGGATAGATATTACACATAATTTATAATTAAAGAAAATAAATCATGAATTTTAAATAATTTTCAAGCTAAACAGTAATTCAGTAAACCTGTAAAGCACTGGAATTCGGTATTCATTTTCAGCATTGGAGCAAAACAAACCAGAAAGCTTAAAAATGAACATTCTCCTCACTTTGCCCTAAGAAATCATTTGCTCCATTTTGAAGAAATAGTGTCTATATTCAGTTGCCTATTTTATCTGAAGTGGCTTTATCTGCTTAATTTATCTGCATAACACATTGCCAGGACCCATATGTTCAATTATTAAAACATTTGCATATGAATGCAAGGGTAAACTGGTCCCCATAGTTGGGTTTTTTTTTTTAAATGCTTTTCCTTGTAATTCAAGAGCTCTGTTTGATGAATAAATTCTCTGATCTTAAAAGTACATGCTTTACCTTGTGCCGAGTAAATGCTGCTTGATGGTCTGTTATGCTTATCTCCGAAGTAGACTGTAATTCACTAAGAAACAGCTTAATCCAGACAGAAAGGGAAAGCAACAGTTCATCAAACTGCTGGTGTTCAGCGACCACAGACTGAAGAAAAGCAATCCTATGGAGAGAAAGGTGTTAAAGTTAAAATGTCTCACAAATGAACAACGAAAGTTAATGAGACATTTTTACAATAAGCCTAATCGAGTGCAAAAGTGACATTGTCATACATGGACAAACCAAAATTTTTTGTTTTCCACTTATCAAATGCTTTCAACTTCTCAAGCTCTCAGTTTTCCACATCTCACTTAACATCACCACCGTCCCTGAGGTGGGCCTACAAGCCATTCTTCATGCCTCTAGTTCTTTTTTTTTTTTCTTTAAGATTTATTTATTTATTCATGAGAGACACACGCAGAGAGAGAGGGAGGCAGAGACACAGGCAGAGGGAGAAGTAGGCTCCATGAGGGGAGCCCGATCTAGGACTTGATCCCAGATCCTGGGATCATGCCCTGAGCCGAAGGCAGACGCCCAACCACTAAGACACCCAGGTGTCCCCATGCCTCCAGTTCTTGACCACCACGTCTAATCTGTGCATACCATGCACCCCAACACACACAACACAGTGTGTCAGCACCCCTACTACAGATATTTATTCTATGCTCTCCTCTCCATTTCCACAAGCCTCCGGGGTCTAAATTGCTTCATCTCTTGCCTGGCCTCCTCAATGACATCCTTCCTACTACCACTGTCTCTACAATTCACTCTCTAGGTAAGAGCCAGGAATAATTTTAATGTAATCAGAACATTGTGAAGCTTAAACATGGAGGTAAATTTCCTTATTCCACAAAAGCAGGCAAACTCCACAAGTCCTTACTGCAATCTGTGAGGGACCCCACATAATCAACTTATCTCATCTGATACAGTGCTGCTCCACACTACCATCGCCTCTGTTGAGAAATACCATGGGAAGCAAAATTTTAATTACCATTTTTCTCCTGTACACAAATAGCTTTGGCAAAAATAATACAAACATGAGCAACCTTACCCTCTTCAATATTTGTCAATCACTTTGATCATCTGCCCAAATGGTAAGAAAAAAATTTTAGACTGAGGTTCATCAGAAATGCTAATTTTTGAACACTTTGAGGTTTTTCTTCTTTCTTTGTTTTATATTTTAATTCCAGTATAGTTAACATATAGTATTATGTTAGTTTCAGGTGTACAAAATAGTGATTCAACAACTCTACACATTATCCAGTGCTCATCACAAGAAGTATACTCTCAATCCTTTTCACTTATTTCACCCCTCTCCCCCCACCTTCCCTCTAGTCACCATCAGTGTGTTCTCAAGAGTCTGTTTTTTGGTTTGTCTCTTTTTTTCTTTGCTCATTTGTTTTGCTTCTTAAATTCCATATATGAGTGAAATACTGAAATCATATGATATTTGTCTTTCTCTTATATTCTCTAGATTCATTCATGTTGTTGCAAATGGCAAGGTTTCATTCTTTTTATGGCTGAGTAATATTCCATTGTATATATATAATCCATTTCTTCTTCATCTGTTCATCTATTGATCGACATTGGGCTGCCTCCATAATTTGGCTACCGTAAATAATGCTGCAATAAACATAGGGGTGCATACATCTTTTCAAATTAGTGTTTTTGTATTCTTTGTGTAATTAATTGCACAATTACTAGATCATACAATTCCATTTTAATTTTTTTTTTTTGAGGAACCTGCATACTGTTTTCCACAGTGGCTGCACCAGTTTGCATCCTCACTGACAGTACACAAGGGTTCCTTTTTCTCCACATCCTGGCCAACACTTGTTTCTTGTGTTTTTGATTTTAGCTATTCTGACAGGTGTGAGAGGATATCTCGTGGTTTTGATTTGCATTTCCCTGATGATGAATGAGGTTGAACATCTTTTTATGTATCTATTGACCATCCATATGTATTCTTTGGAGAAATGTCTGTTCATGTCATCTGCTCGTTTTTAAGTTGGATTATTTGTTTTTTTTGGGTGTTGGGTTGTATAAGTTCTTTACATATTTTGAATACTGACCCTTTTTTTAATTGAATACTATCCCTTTATTGGATATGTCATTTACAAATATCTTCTCCCATTCAGTAGGTTGTCTTTTAGTTTTGTTGGTTGTTTTCTTTGCCATAGCACTTTTATTTTTTAAATGACAAAGTAATTTCTTTCCCTTCTATACTTATCTGAATAGCTTGGCTATGTAAAAGCAAATAAAAACTCTGCTTTCTTAAATTTATATGCTTACCACTTAAAAAATGAATGATATAAATATTTTTTTTAAATCCAACCTTTTGCTAATTATCTGTGGCAAATCTCTCCATCTTTCATCCAACTGTTCCAAATGTAGTTTCATCATTTTCACATCATCTTTGGAGGCCACAGAGAATAGTGATTCCTTCAATTGCAAAAGGTTGCTGTAGACTGAGGCCTGGGATACAACTTCATTTTGCAGTGCCTAAGAAAAGCAGAATACATTATAGATCTCAAGCTGGGATGATTGACTAGGAAGGATCATGTGACACAAGTAGTTGCTGTCCAAAGGCTTTGCATTCTTGCAAAACAGAGGTCACTGGGACCAGGCTTAAAGAGAGTTTTTATTACTTGATTCAGAATGGATCTGCTTCACCTTTAATGAAACACTTAAAATACTACTGAAACCTGAATTAGTTTTCAAGAATCTGAGTTCTATTAATTTAGGCAACTTTAGAAGCTGTAGAATTTCTTTCAAGATGAAGAAACTGTGTGGGTAAAGAGAATCAAGAAAAGCTATTGCTAAAGAGAAATAATGCCTATCTAACAATAATAGAGATGCAACTCTGGGTACCAGAAATGTGGTGTCCTTCTTCATTTAAAGACTATATTAGGCCAAACTGGGGAACGTAAGGGCTCTTCATTTGTTTTCATGCAACAGAATGACTTATTTTTAATCAGGCAATGAACCTGTAAGGTGCTGTGAGTGGCACATAAAAACATAAAAGTTGTGATTCCTATCTAATAAGAGATAAAAGAAGCACATACAGATACCTAACAACATAACAGACGCATGGTAGAAAATTGATATTCAAATGTGTTGAGAGGTGTGTTAGGGGTGTGTGAATGTAGGGGTGGGAGTGGGGAGGATGGGAGAGGGAGGCAGGATGGGGGTGTGCGGTGGTGGGTTGGGGGCGGGAGGGTGGGTGGTGATTGCTATAGTAGGGTGTGCACACCCAGGCGGGTGATTGATGGAAGTGAGTGGGTGGAGGTTATGGGGGGTGGTGTGGGGCGGATTATAGGTGTGGGTGGGTGGGGGGAGTGGGGAGAGGATGAGTTGGGAGGGGAAGTGTGGGGCATTTGGTTTGGTGGTGGGGTGGTGGAATAGTGAAGGGGTTGATGGTTTGTAATATTGATGTAAATGGTTTGAGTTGAATTAATTATTTTAATATATTTGAATTTGTTGGTATTTTTGGAATGGGTATGAGTGAGTATAGGGAAGTTGGTGAGGATTGAAGGATAAAGAGGGAAAAGTTAAGGGTATATGTAGGAGGGGTTTGGGGTGTGGTTGTGGGGTGTGAATTGTGAGGGGGAAGGGGGTTGTTTTTGATGGTAGGGAAAAGTTTATAGTATATGTGGGGTGTTTTTTTGTTTGAGGGGGGAAGATGGTTTTGGAGAGTGAAGATTTATTTTATGATTGGGGAGTGGTATTAGGGATTGTGGTTGGATTTGATGGTAAATGGTTATTTTTGATGTTTTTAATTTTAGTTTTAAAGGTTAGGATTTGTTGGAGTTTTATGTTATTAAAGTGAATTTTGTAGTTGTTATAGATAATATTTGACTCTGTCTGAAGAAATGTCCATTTCTGGGGAACTGGTTATTGCTTCACACCGCTCTAACCAGGTTAAAAAGGTTGATAATTCTTTCTCCAACCTAGAGAAAGCAGAGATGAGAGACAAACTTATTCAAAATAATCATGCCAGAAAACGAAACCTTTCAAGTTGGAGGTCCAACACAAACCATTATGAATAATACAATGTTGATTATCTTATTTCTAGATGTGAAGGTAAAAATACCATTCTCTTCACATTCATATGTATATTTGGACCCATGTTTACATCTGTGTAATATGAAGGATACACATACATCTTCTCCACTTTCAGGGGTCTTCAGCTTCTACAAAGACCAACAAGATCTTCCCATATTAGACACATAAGTTGTGTTTTATACCTGGGACGATTATTTCCCAACAGCTGGTCCAGAATTTCCTACTTAAGAGTGGTGGCTGAAATCCATGCTGCCAACTCAGGAAGGAAGGCTGCTCACCTCTGCCAGTGGGCCAGCAGTTTCTCTAGTGCAGTCTGCCTCTCCTTGGCCTGACTCTGCATCTCCTGGTACCTCTGCTGCAGGGCAGCTGCCTCCTGAACACAGGAACCTCTGCTGGCGACCTTCTGGGCGCTGGCTGAGGTGGTGGCCACTGTACTGCTCAGTGCCTCCAGAGCCTGGCAGAGGTCCTGACAAGAGGCAAAAGGAATACAAAGAAAGCAAAGCATCAAGAAATGAGGCCTATGTTGTTCTTTGAGATCCATTATCACTAAAAATTTTCCGTCAGTCCATGGTTTTCAGCAAGACATAGTTAAAGTGACTTCTGAATCCTGAAGTCAAAAATGAAAATGGAAAGGCTCTTCCCCAAATAAGAATTTATTGCTGTAATATGAATAATTTCAACTTTCCCTTAATGATTCAGTTTGTGAAATTATTCATTTTATGCCAAATGTATATTTTAAAAAACTCTATTTAATTTATAAGAGCTATATGTAACATCCCATAATCTCTATAAAAATTATAAAGGGAGTATTATGGCTGACATAGCTATTAGGAATCAGTGATAATAATAATAATAATAACAATGGTGCCTCAGAATGTGGCAGGTACTATGTTATGTGCATGTCATATATTAACTCATTTAATTTTCATAAGAATCTTAAGAGTTATGTTCTTTTATTATCCTCATTTTAGAGATCAGATAATCAAGACAGAAAAATAATCTGCTTTAAGAAATATAAATACTAGAAAAAATAGAATATTATACTCTCTGGTACTCAATTATTAGCTTACTTAACTATTAAAATAATTCCATGAAATTCCATTTTCCTACTTTTCATCATGTTTTGGGTATTTAAAAAAATTATCTAAGTAGCACAAAAAATGCATTCCTTTTTTAAATAAGGATTTTATTTATTTATTTGAGACAGAGAGAGAGAGAGAAAGAGAGAGAGCGCAAGGGGGAGGGGCAAATGAAGGGGGAAGAGCAGACTCTCTGCCCAGCTGGAAGCCCTGCCTTGGCTCCACCACAGGACCCTGAGATCATGACCTGAGCTGAAGGCAGCCTCTTAGCCAAATGAGCCACCCAGGTGCCCACATTCTTATTATAAGTTTTCAAATGATATAAACTCCACTCTCCTTTCCAAATGTGCATTTGTTACATGGTTTTTATCACTGCAGCCCCGTCCCCTGGCAAACATGCACATACATAGGGGTAACAAGTTTTTTTTTTTAATTAGCACAATGGTAACGCATGCCTTTTAGTTTTCTTTGTGCCTGATTCTCTCCCTTTGCTCCCTCCCTAAATTACACCAAAGGCATCTGTTCATTGCTCTGTGAACATCCCACAGTAGTCACCAGTTCAGGCACCAGACCAAAAAAGCCAGTCATTGGTTAAAGGTTAATGAGGGCATACTATTTGCATATCTGACTGTTGTGGGTTGAAATCTAAAATCTGCTCTGCATATGTATGTTTTATGCACATCTGACTTTTTGTAATGCTCCCAAGAAGAAACAATTTACTAAAGCTATTATCAGAAAAAGATACATGTCGTAAGTATGAGAAAGAAATATTATAAATGAATACTCCTTTAATATGCATTTTTAATAAAAACTTATCTGCACACTTGTATTTCTTGTGTTATATGAAGTGAATATGTTTGATTTATATTATTCCTCAAGTAACATAAAAAACCCTTTCAATTTTAACCATCATGAAAATATTTATTATGTTTCCTAGCAGGAATTATCATATTCCTCTTACCATATGTTCTTGGAGAACTTTGTATGTTTCTGTGGCTGACGAACATATTTTAACTGGATCAGCAAGTTTATCTTCAAATTCAGACACAGATTTCTGGATCTAAAATATTATGAAATATAAAGATAATGGAAAAATGTACATCAAGGCAGAAAAAAGTTATTAAGGAAGCAACATGCTTATCTTTCTGGATAGCTTTCAATTAAATGATAATAAATACATACTTAAAAAATCTAAAATCAGTGTGTCCCATTATTTGAAAGGGATTGATAAGCATTAATGCCTATCTGAACATAATGTATAATAACTTTTTCTTATTCCCTCAAAAAAGGTACCACATGAATAATGAAAAACTTAGTCATCATTGACAACTTGGTAAAGGATTAGTTAATTGTGTCTTCCCTTAGTCCACTATTTATTGCATTTCATTATAAATGCAATAAAAGTGATAATTTCGGAATGCATGGACCCATTCTTACCTTTCTAAGATTCTCTTCAAACTTTTGCTGCTGAGATAAATGTCCCAGGATTGTTCCTTCCAAGCACTGTGCATGCTCTCGGAGTTCTTCCCAATACCTTCTTATTTGTGTCAACTTGGCTTTGATTCGAGCAGATTCTCCAGTGGTGACAAACTGAGCAAAAGATTGAGCTGATTCTTCTAGCTCTGTAATACTGCTGAGCTTGCTTTGTATTTCCTGAATTATGACCTAATATTTAAAATAAGAAAAATGACAATATAGGCTAAGCAAGCTTGTCTTCCTGAAATGATACATTATCTGCAGAGAGAAACTCAGAGAGATCTTCTTAGCTGACATTTCAACATACTTGGACCATTAGAGAGCAGCTATGAACAAATACCATATGTTTCCTCACCTTATTTGGAGAGGAGAGATATGCAATGTCTGAAAAATACAAAATGATGGTGTTCGTGCTCACTGCACTTTATTTTTATTTTGAAAATAAAGAGAAAGAGCTAACTTTTTGCAGAGAAGTAGGGAGATGTCCTTGTATTTCATATTTTTCATTTTTGCATTTCATGTTTTACCAAACAAGAAGTATGTCTAGAGGTAAAGAAAATTCTCTGCTTATCCTAAGAGTCATACCTTTTGCCAGCTGATCTGGGAAGCAGTGTGTTCCAGTAACTCGTAGAAATGCTAATATTGACATTCATATAATTTTCCTCAAATATAGTTGAGTATTTCATATTTACCAAACTAAAAGCTTTTCTGATTCCACTCTTACCTAAAACCAGTTTTTTTTCAAATTTATTATCTTTATGCCAGTGGTTATCAAATTTGGAATACATTAGGATTACCTGGCCCCCATCCTCAGGGACTCAGGATCAGCAGGTGAGGCCAAGACTTTGCACTTCTATCAAATACCTAGGCGATGCTGCTCCTGCTTATGCAAGCTGTACTCTGAACCACTGTCTTACTCATTAGCTGTAGGCTCCACAATGAAAGGCCTACATACTATCATTTCCATTTGGAGCAGGATGACACTTCATATATTAGTAACACATGAAAAGTACTGAAAGCCACTAAGGATGTGTGTGGGGGGAAGAAGGCACGTCTGTCACAAACACAGAGGCTTATTTATACATAAGATAATGAAAATGATTTCTCTGAGAAAAAAGCCAAACCTTCCAATCAAATACAGCCAAAAATTCAGACAAGTCTCAGTTTCAAATAATTTAAATGGAGAATTCTGTTACCCTAGGGAAAAAAAATGTGTGACTTATGTCTACATGAGACAACATAGTCAGAAATAACTTCTGTCTAGATGAGACAATCAGAAATAACTCGCATCAGATTTGTGCCAGGTGCTCATCACTTACTGATTTTTATTTTTCCTATGAATCACTAGAGTGGTATATCTAATAGATATTTGTTATTTGAACATGAATACAACCTTTCTTTGTTTTGCTCTTTTTCAAGATGATGTTTTTTTAGAAAAATTACTCATAAATTCAACAAAAATATATTTGGTATCTCCTATGTGCCAAAATTGTTCTAGGTGCTTGTAACACCTCAGTGAAGCAATCTTAAATAAAACAAAATTTCTTAGTTTTTACAGTAATACACATTATCAACAAATTCATAAGTGCAAACTATGTAATCATATTATTGGATTCCAATCCAGAAAAGGAAGATGGAAGATGAACCCAGGGTATGTTCTTATCATTTGGAAATTATCAATTAAGAATAAAAAATCAGTCAATTTGGAATAGCATGGCCTTATAGATAAAAACCTTTTTGACAATGCAAATGCTTCAGTAATTTTAGTCCTAAGCTTGTTTAAAGTGAAACATTATGACAGGTGTTACCTTATTTCTAATATTTCCTATAATTTGGTCTCCGTATGGAAAGAGAACATGAACCTACTAGCCTAAATTTCACAGTACTAGTGTATTCCACACCATCTTTGCTTATTTCTAGCAAATACTTCGTTCCTATTATTCATATTCATTTAATACATCTTTAGATAGCTTTCAAATGCCATAGTGGAATGTTAAGATGTATTTCTAGTCTAAATGGTATTGAAATATACAATTAAATGTTTATATATTTAAATATAAAATGTGTAATCATTTTGTTTCCCAAAGAGTAAAGAGGCAACGACAGTTGATCATTGATATACTTCAGAAGCCCTGGAATTGAATTAAGGTTTAAATAATAATAAACTGAATTATAGCAAGAATTAGCACATTAAAAAGTGTATGCCAAAAATTTTTGAAATCATTTTTTTTGAAAGCATTTTTTGATAAAAGTATTTAAATGTACTATTCTTTGTTTACTTAGGATTAGTGAAATGATCAAATAACTACTTTCAAATACAGTTTTAGAGATTAAACATATTTTATGTATATTCCTTAGCAGGTTGACATCTATTTTCCCTAGTATACCACACAAAACATAAGCAGACTCCATATACCAGACTCTATGTATCCTTGATTGCAAAAGATGTGTGATAAACCAGGATAATCTATGCAGCAACGTAATTGTAGCTAAGGGACGTGGTACCCCTCCACTGTGCAGATGGTAATGACTTTTTCTGATCCATAATGTGAAATACATTGGTATTTATTTTACTATTTTTAATTGAATGAAATGGCAGAGGGTTTTCCCATTTTTTTAAAAAATGAGATTAGATAGAAAAAGTGGCTGCATTTTGCAAGTGTGTTGTGTAAAAATTGTATAAAAGAAAGAATTCATTACTTTCAGTCCATTTTTTCTTAAATGATTTGAATGAAGTGAACAATGACTATCTATGCACATGGTCATTTTAGAACTGGGAGAACTAAAGTATCTGAGTATTTCAGTCTGTGCCCAAAGGTCATCATAAATGAAAGACAGTGGAGTCTGATGGCTTCACCTAAAGAAAGTAATCGCTCCTCCCTGTGGTTTGTGAGGGTAAATGCCACTAGTATTGAGCTAGCTGTTTGGAATAATACTTAAAATGTACAATTGTAAGTGATAAATACATTTCGTGTTGCATAGGTGAATCAACAAAGCACTCCAATGGGGTTAATTCAAAATCAAGGAAAAGAATAATGTAACCATAAAAACATTTTAATGATATTGCACACAATACTGACTTTGAATGCATAAGTCAGAAAATATTAATACATAATTCCAACTATAAAGTGTTGCCCAGTATCAATCAAGACCTCTCAGCTCAGCATTTGTGTGAATTGAATTTTAATAGAGTCACATAGCAATGAAAGATTTGTCATGGGCCAACTAGCATTTGATGAAATAATGTAAGAAAGGAGTTCTTAAAAGCTAGATATGGATTATAAATGTAACGTGTGAGCAGGTCACCTTAATCTGGTGGATTTGCATGTCCATGGCAGATGACGAAGTTTCCAAGGCATTGAGTTCTTTTTCTTTCTCAGTTATCCAGATGGACAGGGTCTCAAAATTATTGCCAAAATGATCCCACTTGTTTTTCACCATTTCCATGGTTTTAATACTAAAATTAACCAAATTAAGTAAATAAAATGCAGTATTTTAATAGAAAACAATAATACATTTTCCTTTAATTCACCACTTGTAAAGATAGCGAAGCATTTGTGACCATGTGAAAGTGAAACTATTGGAACAGGAAAGAAATGCACATTTGAACTGAGTAATAGTCCACAAGTCTTCCTATTTATCTCCTCTGAGAATGAGCATTTAACGAGGTAGTATCTACACTATGTCATGAATGGAACTGTGCTTTGAACAAAATATTACTAGGTACAAAGGGGTTTGAATCCAGGTATAATCTAGGTAAACTCTTCATACGACCAGTAGTTGCCAGGACTTTTAATAAGCTGCCCACATAAATTCCAGTGTACAGAGTCTTTTAGCAGTCCTGCTCTTGTGGACATGGTCTTTTGCTCTTAAGAGCAGAGATACTGCAGGGATACTCTATACTCAAAGATCTTTATAAAATGTACCTTTGTGAATCAAGAGAGAGCTTGTAATCTGAATCTCATGCTGCCTTACAGGAACTGCTTCTATCATTAGAGCTAAGCCTGCAATTTATAACCTATAACGATTTCAGCTAAATTTAGATGTTTGTACAGTCTTGATTCCAAAAGACTCATACATTCTTGTACATGAGCACCCTAACTGCTTTTAGAAAATTTGGGCTTTATTTGTTACAAATCTAGTGAATAAAATTTCAGCTATAGATGTCCAGTTTGTAACAGCTATGCATATATAACCATGTGTTTATGGTTTTCAGTTAGAAAAAGACTAAGAAACTAACAGTATATCATTGAACTGATAAGTCTTAGGGTTAAAAAAAAAATGAAAGAATTTCCCGGTTTACCAAAAGGCACTTGAAGACATCAAGAAGAATGCAGTGGCATCGTTGAATGTTAAATTAAATAATATTGCAGTCTCTAATGTATACCCTGGATGTGCCTAATGCTCTCATCAGTAGTTAATGCAAGCGAAGTTATATTGCAAGTTTTCAAATGAAATAAATTCAAATGGGTATTTCTAATAAAAGTAGCTTCTTTTCTAATAAACTCTCAGTTTCATCATTTCCATAACTTGATGGATAATATTTAATATAAAGTTCTCAAAGTTTTAAGTCATAATTTCCTTTAAATTATTTAACAAATTTTAAAGTTTAGGCAAACATACAATGTTAATTTCCAGGTGTCACTGGTTTTAAAAACAAATTTTACATTTTAAAATCCACTTTAGAAATTATATCCTCTTAAGAATAATATGTGTTGGTGATTTGCCAGTAAAGAACTTTTAATAAAAATGTGCAGTCATTAATATGTTGAGGAACATTGGCCATATCGTCATATATTTATCCCCTCCAAATTTTTTTTGTTTATTTTGTACATAATAGCATACCATAGGCCAAACTATTTTTTCTTTCTTTTTAAATAAACAAATATTAAATGTTGAAAAGTAAAATAAATTTTTGAAGTTAATTTTTGGAAACAGTATATCAATTAGTGACAATTTGAATATTGAGGCACTATAAACAAGCTCTGTGAGCTTCTTGGAGATAGAGACACTTAGTCTATGTCACACATATTTAGGCCCAGCATCTATACAATCAAAATATCTCTTCTTCCCTCTAACTGGTGACAGCAGTACAATACAATAAAAAAAATATTTTAAATATTGGTTCTCTTTTGATATTGCATGAAGGCCACAGAATTTAATAGATATGGCTTTCTCATGAACAAAGTCAGTTTACAATACAAAACCACATCCCTTATATTTTTCTGCTCTGTTATATAGACGATGGTTTCTGTCTTGGTGACACTTTCTTTTGAACTGTGAGTTGCTTCCTCAAAACATGCTGAAATACACAGACACTTTGAGATTTTAAAGGAATGTTTTGAATACAATATACAGGAAAGACTGTATGAAACTTTATCTCAGAGAAGAAAGTTTAGGACTTGTCAAGCACATACTCTTCTTCAAGTGTGTCTTCTAATTTTTTGACTTGCTCTTTGATTGACTTGGCCTGCTGCTGAAGCAGCTGCTTATTTTTGGGCCCAAGTGGTATCTCAGAAGCTTCCTTCACAAGATTTTCAGCCTGGACTGCAATACCTTCTGTTCGTTTAGAAAACTCCTAGAAAAAGATATCATAATTGTTAGGAAGGCATCTTCTATTAAATTCTGCTCTCAGCTAAACTGCATATACTTGCAGAGTCTCTACTAGAAAAGATGAATGGCTAGATAGATTCATTCACATATGAATAGTAGTATATAATATTTGTAGCAACAAGACAGACTTCTATACATCATGACCAGAATAAACACTTCACTAACTTATTTTCATTTTATATACACAGCCAGATATCTACATTCACAGTTATCCATCAATTCTCACAAAAATCTTTTTCCATTGTTTCCTGGTTTGTGTTTATTGCTTAGAATTCTGAGCTGCATTATAATAACTAACTTTTCCACAAATATCTTAGTTTATTATATAGGCCTCATTCAGGCAATGATCAACAGTGATTGTTTTTCAATCATAGAGGTAAGAGATTTCTAGGACAATAAATATAAATATTTTTAATTTGAAGAATATTTTAGTCAATACAGTGTATCACTGATACCTATAAAGAAACATTTTGTTAACTCATTCCCCTAAAAGAGAGCTGACCTGATCTTAATGCTATTAAATCTTATTCACTATGTACCTATACTATATGATGAAAAGAAGATAAGTTCTCAATCAGTCGAACCTGGACTAGCACTCCAGATTTGTTAATTACTAGTTGTTTGACTTTGGTGAATTATTCTTCAGGATTTCATATAAAATGCAGATAATAATGCTTTCCTTGTAAGGTTGCTGTTAGCATCTGATTACCAATTTCATTTTTAAGTACCTGGCATCTAGCAGGTACCTATTATTGCTTTTTTAATGTACCTTACACAAAATTAAGGACAAAATGGTTTACAAAATTCATACATTGATTTTCATTAATAATGAACTACTTCAATTCAAAGATGAATTTAATATGGGTGAGGCACTGGTAAATTTGAACTGTTACCTGAATTTTGTCAGGTAAATGTATCAGAAACCAAATTTATAAAGCTAAACCCAGAGATAATCTTGTATGAAAAAAAAATTAGCTTAGTGTCTTATTTCTTCTCATGGAAGAGAAACTCACAGGAGATTTAAATTTTGATAAGAAACTCCTCTCTCCAAAATAGGTAATGAATTCTGACGTAAATATTTCAAAGGTAAGAATTCTGAGAGCCATCTCTTCTCACAGAGTATCTCCCAGATTTATTACATAATAGTATGTAGTAAGATAGTTACTACATAATACTACTGTATATTCACGTTTGAAAGAAAGTCCTCATGGAAATATCAACATTACTTCATGGTGAATTCATCTGTGAAGACTGTCAGAACCCCATGAACAAAATCAAAAGTGCAAAATAGTATTTTTTCCCCCACCATTTCCCAGAGCCCAAGAAAATCATGGAGAAAGTGGAGTTATGTCTGAAAATGCTTAGATACATTCAATCTAAGAGCCTTCTATAGGAACTATGTATGGGGAAAGCATATTGCAGAGGAATGCAAAGGACAGAATGATGTTGATAAAAACAAATTGAACCAAAATAGAATAATGGTATAAGGCTTTATCTCTAAGTCCTAAAAAGAAGTCATGAGGCCACAGTAGGTGCAGCAGGGAAGGATGGACTCTGGCATCAGAGAGGTCTAGAGTTGAAACCAGACTATGTCCCTCACTGGCTGTGTGAACCTGAGTCACATAACTCTCTGAATTTTCATTTCCTCATATTGCCTTGCTGTAAAGAATAAACATGATATTGCCATGGGCTCCCTACCACATGCTGGCAGACAGAAAGCACTCAAGTCCTTTAGCACAACCACACAAGGGCTACAACTAGAATGAAGGCTGTATTAACAATGTCGACTGAGCAAAGAAATAGAGAACAATTATTATGGATTACATGTGCATGTGCAACAGCATACATAAACAGTAAAGTAGCTTAGTTTTTCAATGAAAAATCTAGTAGGTAAAGGTATGTGTTCTGGACCTCTGAGGTTTGAATCCCAACCTCACCAATTAGTAATCCTGAGATCTTGGATAAAATCATTAACAACTCTGTACCTTATATTTCCTCATTCATCACAATAGTATTCATAATGACACCTATTTCTTAGGATTGTTCTGGAGATTAAAGAAGATGATAAATATCAAGTGATTAGGGCAGCCCCAGTGGCGCTGTGGTTTAGCGCCACCTGCAGCCTAGGGAGTGATCCTGGAGACCCAGGATCGAGTCCTACAGGCTCTCTGCATGGAGCCTGCTTCTCCCTCTGCCGGTGTCTCTGCCTCTCTCTCTCTCTCTCTCTCTCTCTCTCTCTCTCTCTCTCTATGAATACATAAATAAAATCTTTTAAAAAAATCAAGTGATTAGACCAGCATATATATTTTTTTCAATAAATGTTAGTTTACATTATTAAATCAATCCCAAACCATGCAAGATTATTGGCTAGGAAAAATTTTAATAGTAAGACTAGAAAAGGTTACATTTGCTTCATCCACAGCTGACAAATCAATTCAAAGGGATTAGAGCCACAAGGTATCAGAAACCCTGGATGGAACATGGGTATAACATGATAATTAACCCAATAAATCTGTTTGTATTTATAAAAAACACCTGATATATTTTTAATATATAGAATGATTACAATTATAATTAAAAATGATGTTCTATTTAAATGGCTGATGAAAATCACACAGAATTGAAGAATTCTGTGGCTTTATAAGACTTCAAATTCCTTAGTGAATTAGGAATAAGAGAGATAATACAAAATTGTCAGTATGAGAGACAGAGAAACCTTTTACTGGAAAGAAAAAAGCAGCACAGGAGTTAATTTGCTAAAGGCCATTAACGGGTAGATAGGAGTCTTCTTTCAGATTCATTGGTTAACACATTTCTATAGAAACTCAAACATTCTATAAACCCCAAGTATGTGCAAAAGAAACCAAAAGAACTTACACAACTCTCTAAATGCTTCAGACAATGTATTGATCTTCTCTAACTGTTTAAAGTGTTTGGGGTTATAGGCTTGGGCTCATGAAGCACATCTACTAAATATTCTCTGTTGGATATCCCACTGGATCCTCAACCCCAATTTGTCCCAAACTGAATCCGTCATGCTGTCAGTTGAGTGGCTTTCTCAACTGAAAGCCACTCCTTCAGGCTCCTATCTTACTCCCGTTGCATCTGTCAAGCTCAGAACCTTGGGTATCATCTTATTTTCCTTTATTCTTTATCTCTTGTTTTCTGTTCTCACTGCCATCCCCATTATCCTAATTCATATCCATATTAAAACACATATACAATACCTTTCTAATTAGATCCTATGACATCAGTCTTTCACCTTTTCAATTTTCTACACTGCTTAAAAATGCATCTTCCTAGGAGCATCTGGATGGCTCAATTGGTTGAACGGTGACTCTTGACTTCAGCTCAGGTCATGATCTCAGGGTTGTGGGATGGAGCCCTGAGTCAGGCTCCACACTCAGCAGGGAGTCTGCTAGAAGACTCTCTTTTCTTCTGCCCTTCTCACTGCTCACACATGCACTCTCTCTCTCAAATAAATAATTTTTTTAAAAAATGCATCTCCCTAGAGTAAAGCTCTGATTATGTTACTCTTTCTCTTAAAAACCCTTAGGAGTTCCATGTTGCTTACCAAATACTGCTTCAGACCTTCCAGTGTCTTGTGGTATGGCCCAACTTTCCTTTACAACTGTATTTCCATTTTTCTGCTTTAAAACAGAATTTCCATACACTATCATACTTAATGACATTCCCCATTATAGAAATGCTCATTTTTTTTGTCCCACACTCTGCTTTTCTGTGTATTATCTGCCCTTCAAGGTTTAGTTAAAAATATTATTGCCTTCAGAAGGATTTTTTTAAATGTATACATCTATGAAGGAACCATTTCCCACTTTAATGAAAACTTTCTCTTAGTTCTTGATGTTTAAATCTTATTTATGTTTTCATTCCCCAGAGCAACTTGACCTGTCTGTTGAAGAGTGGGTGATCAATAAATAAGAAGTGCTGATTAAATGAATAATTATAATAATTAATAGTAATAAGGGATATAAACACAGTGTTTCTTCTGAATAATGAGTACCAAGGGATTGTATTGTCGTACTGATATACCTTTGTCTGTTCCAATTCTGAAGATAAACTTTCCAAACTGCTATAACTCAGGAAGCGCTCATGGCTGGAACCTGTTTGAAAAAGGTATCTGACCACTGTCTCTTTGTTCGTTTCAAATCGCTCCCACTTTCTTAATGTGACCTAAATTTGAAAAAAATAAACATATCATGTTATGATTTATCAAAGTATGCCACAAAATATTGTTCACATTTCCATTCGTTTGTTAGGCTGTCAACTTCCAGTTAACTTTGTTCAAATTTCACATATTATGCTGAACAAAGAGGATACTAATGTCTCCCGTAAGAATTTCACTCTGCATTTCAATTCACCTACAAAATGAGGATGGGTAGGTTGCACTCTGAGTTTTCTTTCAGTTGTAAAGTCCTATGAATCTAAGGATATTACTTAAGATGTAGATAAGGGATAAAGGGGAAAAAAGGCCTCTCCATCTGCTTCAAAAACAGAAAAAATAAAAGGGAGAAAGAGAAGGAAGGGAGTGTGTAGTGAGCAGGTGGCAAGAATTTAAAACCCTTTTAAAGTGTCAAGATCACAATAAGGCATAAACATGTGGCTGCTGGACCGCCCAAAAAAGTGAAATGACCCAGTGCTAATTCCTAGATTCAGACAAGTGTGGATTAAAATTCTGGCTTTATCACGAATCACTGCTCTGTGACTTTGGGTAAAGACCTCAAACCTTTTATTTTTAAGCTTCTGGTAAAGCACACTGGTAAAATGTGCTAATTATAGTATCTATCTCATAGAGTTGAGGTGAGGACTTAAAGAGTTAATTTGTGTCAATAGTTAAACACAATGTTGGAGCATCAGAGGTGGAAACAAACTTTTGCTCCCCTTTGGAGATGTAAACTGTGACCCGGAAGTCAACAGGCCCTAGACTTTTGGTCTCCTACCTGGATGCGGCGTTCCTGTTTCTCCCTGCTGTGCTCCATGTTGTCCAGGGTGCTCTCCAGCTTCCGCAGCTCCTCCCGGACTTGGCCCGGCAGCCCACCTTCTCCCTGCTGAGCCTGCTCTATCTGCTGCTGCACATCTCTCTTCTTTGCAGAAATCCTCTTTGTCTTTTGCTGGACGACAGATGGGTATAAATGTTACTCTCTGAGCAGCTAAGCAGGACAGAAACACCTACAGTCTAATAGAGGTACAACCTTACTGTGGTGTGGGCTCAAACTGTCTTTTAAAAGTTAATATCAACAGGGGCACCTGGGTGACCCAGTTGGTTAAGCATCTGCCTTTGGCTCAGGTCATGATCTCAGGATCCCCAGATAGCTCATGGCATCCAGTTCCCTGCTCAGTGAGGGCAAAGAAACAAAATCTTTTCTCTCAAAGAAACAAAATCTTTTTTGAAAAAAGTTAATGTGAACAGTTAAAATGGCAATGGGGACTCTATGTTGGTCAAAATGGGCATTATTTATGAATAGTTTATGTTTTTAATGATAAACAACATAGTTAATTTGATCTTGATGTTTTAACTGTGTGCAAATTTAGACATTTAGCATTTTGTGCAATATTCCAGAAGGAATTTGACAAAACTACTCCTTTGGCATAATTCTCCTTAAAGAATTATTTCTGCCTAAATACATGAAATCCCAACTCTATTTTTTCTTATCATTTATGTTGTTAAAATGCTGATATTAAGAGATTTAATTCCTGGGTCTATTCAGAATGATAAATCTGCCTAGGTATTTGGGGAAAGTTATGTTTAAAAATAAACTTTTGGGGGCGCCTGGGTGGCTCAGTTGGTTGAGTGTCTGCCTTCAGCTCAGGTCATGATCCAGGGGTCCTGAGATGGAGCCCCACATCTGACTCCCTGCTCAGCTGGAAGCCCACCTCTCCCACCTCTGCATGCAGTTCCCTCTGCTTGTGCTCTCTCTCTCTGTGTCAAATAAATAAATAAAATCTCAAATAAAATAAAATAAGCTCTTTATTGAAGTATAATGTATAAACAATGGTGTACAAATCTCAAGTATATACCTTATGAATTTTCACAAAGTAAACACAGGCATATAACAAAGCACCTGGTCCAAGAAATGTGAGGAGTTTTAAAATATTAATGTAAATATCTATAAGTACATATTTCTCTGACTTAAATTAAAACCCAAACCAACTTTTATAATGGTTGAGAACAATGTAATACCAAGCATTAATTTTTTTGTACTCACAGTCTTTTTATAATTAAATAAATCTGTAAAGCCTAGAGGCTGCTGTTTTACATATACTTTTAAAGCTACTTCCATGTTTATATATCATTATGTATAAAATTAGCTAGTATTTTGCTACACATTAAGTTACCTAGAATTTTGTCATTAAAATATTTTATTTGAATCATACTTCTACTTATATTGAGTCTACTTATAGTGAGTTAGAAGTGTTTATTATCAATATATGTACCGGAATTTCTTTACTTTCAGTTCTAATCTTTCATAACAGCATAGCATACCAAAAAGGTCTGGTACTTCATGTAAATTTTAATCTTCCAAACTGATATGTATTCAAAATTGTAAATTGAAGAGCATGATTTTAATATAATGACAAGGAATATTGATTTCAAATATGGAGCATTTATCTCTATGCTTTCCTTCTCTGTTTGAGAAGGACAAATTGAGCAAATTTTATGGTTTTCATAGCTAAATCAACTTTTTCTCCAAAATATTCCTTGAATTTTTTGATATCATCAAATTACTCAGGCTAAGAATTTATCTTACAGGCTCTTCTGAAGGTGACTAATATTTAACAAAGAACAGAAGTACCAAGATATTTAACCATTCACCTGGACTCCTTCCTGCACCCTACTTCTCTTGTCCTTACCCTGTGGACATACAGTTCTCTTCAACTCTGTGGGTCTGTCAGTGACTAATGAACTCTGTATAAGTGCTCTGGATAAAGAGCATCTTACCTGGTGATGAAGAAGTAACTGCTGTGCTTCAAACAGATTTTCAGTGTCCAGGATCTTCTCAGCTTGTTCCTGGATTTCTTTAGAGCCAGAAATTAACTCCTCAAGGGAGCTTTTAACTATTTCTTTGTACTGGACACTGTCCCCAAAGTTGCTTAACATCTTTTCGACCTAGGTTTTCATGAAAAAATTATAACTCATATAATGTTCATGTAATCTTAAATATTTTAAGAGTATGTGTAAAGTCCATCTCAGTAACTTGAAATATATACACAGATGTCTTTATTTTCATATATTTTTTAGGTTTGTTATTATTAAACTGTATAGCCATTTATATGAATCTCAAGCCTCATTTGATATGGCACTTTGTGCCCACTCGATCTGACAATCAAGGCATGATAATCAAAGTGGGTATATTGTATACTTTGTTACCTGATCCCCTTTAATTACAACGCCATGAATAAAATCTAATTATAAATTATTAAAATGCATTATAATAAAGTTTAGTCCACCCTATTTAAAGTAAGTAAGGAAAAAAATTGTGGAGGGGAAAAATGGAAAGAATAAAGAGTATTTGTTGAAAATGCACTTCCAATATTTTTACATAAAACATAACAGAATTTCTAATTTTGTGGTTCTTTACTGAATTCTTTTTCCTGAATTTTCAGCTTTCTTTTCTGTCTCATTTCTGCTTCCTCTAGTTCAGTGTCATTAGCATCTTTTGTTTCAAAGTCTATCACTGCCCATCTTCACTAAGATGTCGTTTTCACACTTTGGTGTTCCACAGAAGCCTTCCAGTTTATCCTTCTTTTCCCACCTTTTGACCCTCTTCTGCTCTGAGTTTGTCCCAGGTAACTTGAGTGTGCTATTCTCCAAACAGCAATACGACCCTATGAAAACCACAAACTCCAGATCTCAGTAAATCACAGTTTTCGTTGAAAGAAGTGACTCATCAGTACATACTGTCAGTCTACCCACAGTCTCTTTTTCTTATAGTGGACAATTGCAAACACTTTGTGTTCAACATTGATTTAAATACAAAATGGATTATAATCAAAGGATGGGCTGAATGTGTCAAATCCATCTTTTAATATAAATCCAGTATCCTTACCTTGTTACAACTTATCTCTTGTGTTTTTAGTATTGTTAATATGTTGTATAACAAAAAGAATGTTTTCCATTCCTTTTTACTTGGTTTTGCTAATGAATAATTAGCATACAAGGGTATGTATACAAACGATGCAGAAGTTTAAGGTAGATGGGTGTGCAAAGAGTCAATATCTGACATAATTGTTAGAGGCAGATTTTTGCTACAAGTCCACAGGCAGTGTCATGAGAGTAGTTGGAAGATAAAGTAAAAAATGACCTTGGTAAAGTGTTAGGAAGACTAATAATTTCTAATTTTAAAGGCTGCCAAATTGTTTTATGTGTGTGTCTGAAAGTGGAACAAAATATACACTCATCTATCAATATGACTAAAATGATTTGTTAAGTCTTGGATCAAAGATCACCTGCACGTATATTTATTCTTAAAACTGTAATCCTTACTTACACCCTTACCTTCTTAATCAAAGAGAGAGTAGAAAAGAATGATGTCAGAATTTTACTTAAAATATGATAGGAGCTATATTATCTGAACTATTGCTATGAAATTTGTATATCAAAGGATTGAAATAACTCATGTTCCAAATTTGATTAATCCTATCACTATTTTCAATTTGTCAAAAATTTTTAAGAAAGTTGATATACAATACCAAAATTCACACATAAAACTAAAATCACATGTGGTTCAGAGTATTTTTGGCTTATGTAAATTCACTGCTTGAGTCTTAAGTGGATCTATGTGCATTTAAAATATAAAAGGTTAACTGTCCAAACTGTTAGATTAGGGACATCTACAGAGAATTCCAAATCTTCAGAATTAGGGAACTTTAAATCATCTAGATGATCATTTTCCCATGCAAGTTCATAAATGACTTCAAGAAATAATGGTAGCTATCTATTCAACTTTCCATTCTTATGTCATCTTCCCATGCACAAATTCATTAGACATGCAAGACAGCCTGGTAAGTAAAAATATTCTCACCGAGGGTAGAAGGGATCCTACTAGAAATGAAGTAAATAAGTTTGTATATTTTAATCCAACTTAAATGTATATCAAGAAGTTTAAAATGAGTAGGTCTTGCATAAAATAGAAATTATGGTCTGCTAACATTGAATATTTTATTATTACCAACTATCAGTTATTGAGCATTTATTCTCAGGCACTATACTAAATGTTTTACATTTGCATTTTGGGAGTAAATTTTTCTAGCTCTGTTTTATAAGTAAGAAAACCAAGGCCCAGGGATGTTAAATGACAAGCTCAAGATTACATAGGAAGTGGGCTATCAGAGTTAAATTCTAACCTCTTGGTTCATTTGACTCCCAGGCTTGTGTTCTCAACCTCCATAATATACCTTCAACTGACCATGAAACAAGGCTTTTAGTAAGAGCAAAGAGTGTGGATCTGATAAGGTTTGTACTTTAAATAGAAGTTGTCACTCTGAACTAACATATCCAATAATGGCACAGACTGTAATTCAAACATCTTCTCCACCAATCTTCATATAAATAAGTATCTTAACCATTGTGTTTCAACTATACTTTCTTTACATAATTACTTCTTAAACTACAACCAAAAGAAAAAGAACCCTCCAGATTCCTCATCAAAACTATCTATTTACAATACAAGTAAATGGTATACCTCTGACAACAAAGATACAAGAGCTTTGAAAGAACCAGATAATTTTGCCAGCTCATCTCCTTGCTTTTGGGCTTCATTCTCAGAAGAAACTTCAATTAAAACTTTAAGCCTGGATTTCAGCCAGTTGAGAGTCTCACCCTTTGTGGTAACATCATTTCTGATCTCCTGGAATGAAGAGAATACATTATGAATCAAGAAAGGACTCAGACTAAGAAAGTTCATACGGTGGAGGTATGAAAGCCAGACATTCATTCACCAGCAGAGTGCCTGCTTCTTTTATTTTTTATTCACATCTTTAATAAAAGCCCATAAGTGCTAGAAAAAATATTTCCCCAGTGCCAATATCTTATATGTAAAATCAATACTTTCTATATCAAAAAGATGACTAGATGGTTAGTTCATACCTAGATGGTTAGATATTTATAGATATTCTCTTGATCACAAATAAAGATGCTTCTAAAATTAGTACTGTAGAAGAAAATGGGATAGCAAAATTGGGAACTATAACATTATTTTCTGTTAGCTGGAAGGAACATGGTATTTTTAGAAAAAAAAGGTTGAAAGTCCTTTTTTTTAGTGAGCTGATTTCTTTTTGTTTGAAGAGTTTAATTGTTGAATATTATTATGGATTCCCTAAAAACTGATTTTAACTTTATTAACTTATATTTTATGCCTCATTTTTGTTAGCTTTTGGAAGTCAATACCCCACATAGTAAGATGTGCAAACAGGAACACAGCCCTAATCCAGGGAGGGATGGCATACTGGCCAGGACAATGCCAGAAAGATTCTGGTGCCTTAGCCCTTGTAAGCCCTGGGAACCATGGGAGTGCTGAGTGTGGCAGCCTCTTCCTCCTACACATATTCTGGGTAGCATGAGGAAACCACCTGTGTCTCTACAGAGGATCTTATAGGGTAAGTTCACACCCACAGAAAATGACCGGTTCCAGAACCAAGTGATTTCTTCATTTTAAGATGTGAATGGTTTTTTGTACTATAACAGCATCCAATAGCAAATATAAATATCTTTCTACAGGGTAAAGCATGATATTACTGAGCATCTCTAGTATTTAATGGGATTATAAATTTAAGAGAAAAACATGGAACTCAGGATAGGAATAGAAAGGAAATATATTCTCATTAACAACAACTATGTGACTTTCAAGAATTCAAAATGCTGAAAGATAAGGGTTTTCGCAATGGCATGTGTCTACAAAACACAGCAGAGCCACACTAAGAAGGAGAGGCTCTCTGTGTGTCATTCACAGAATGTGAACTGGGTTCAGGCTTGAGGTTTTGTCACGTGGCTGAGTTTATCAGGCTGGACCCATGCTTACGGAGCTGACTGATCCAGACTGAATATGATGTAGAAATGATACTTTAGAGACCTTGCCCAATTCTGTGATCTGGCTTTTAAATGGCTGAAAATTAAAAACCTATAGCGTTGGGATCCCTGGGTGGCTCAGTGGTTTAGCGCCGCCTTCAGCCCAGGGCATGATCCTGGAGTCCCAGGGTCGGGTCCCACGTTGGGCTCCCTGAATGGAGCCTGCTTCTCCCTCTGCCTGTGTCTCTGCCTCTCTCTCTCTCTCTCTGTGTGTGTCTCTTATGAATAAATAAATAAAATCTTAAAAAAAAAAAAACTATAGCATTCTTGTTTTCCAGGACAATTCTTAAGTCTCTGCTGTGCTGTACGCCTATGCATGCAATTTTCCTCTCAGGATTTTCCATTAGCTAAAGATGTATTAGAGGTACCACTGAGCATGACTAAATCCCAAAGCTAACAATGATTCAAGAGGGAAAATCCCCTCTTCTCCACAGTAACATGAGGAGACACTCTTGATAGTTTTAAGGAACTTAATTTTTTTACAGAAGAAAAAGAATACATCAGTCAAATTAGATTGTCTACCATTAATTTTTTTATTAATGAAAATTTTCTGGTAACAAAATATGGCCCAGAACTAACCTCTACAGCATGTTTAACCTTTCCATGGTTGGCAGTATCGATGGGCTCATTCTTAAACCCTTTCAACTCTGTCTCCTTTGCAGATATCCAAGATGAGAACTGAGAAATTCTGAAATAACATAGATATTTTCTTATTAAAGGGAGAAAATATCCCAGCGGTTAAAATACATTTTCTATTTTGAATTTATTCATGGAAGTTTAACAATCAACTCATTAGCAAGTCAATTAACAAATTTTCTGGAAACTGTTCTTTAACATGAAGCTCAGGGCAGAGGTGGCTGCCTTTTGGAGGAAAGAAAAAGAGCAGATGGAGCTCAGCTAAGGAAAAAGGTGTGTTCCAGGGCCTGAGCACCTGGGAGTATGGAAGGTACCAGGTGAAGTCTGGCCTCATAAATCTCCACCAGACTGAGAAACCCAGAGGCAGAAGTTCCCCTCTGGGGATATGAAGAAATAGGGGAGAAAGGAAGTGCCAAATTTGCTTCAAAGAGATAACATCTACGTCCCCTGGAAATAAAGTGATTCACTCTGTTTCTAACTGAAACCCATTCTTTTTCTTAAATGCAGCATTTTTATATAAGAGCATGGACAAGATAACACAATCAAATTTTCTTTATTATTTAAGATGAAACGTATGTCACTTCTTGTGGTGCAATGATCTCTGAATTAACAGTATTAGGACAGACTATGTACATCTCTGGAAGTGGTTCTACAAGTACCTGCTAGTATAGTCCTTCCACTTGTCTGGGTCCTCCACAAGCTTCATATAGGTGGTATCAATGGCAGCTCTGAGCTCTTTGAGAGTCACGTGACAGGTTTCAGGTGTATTCCTTACTGGGTCCCGGCCTGGGAGCTTCAGACACAGTTCTTCAATAAGCTGTAACCTTTTCTCACAAACATGATGAGGACCTTTGTCACTGAAGAAAATCTAATGAGCAATAAACGTTTATATAATCCCTGTGAGAATCCATACAATAGTTCCATATTTTCATAGATGATTCCATTTAGTTGACTAGTATAAAAGATAATTAAGCTATTTAGTGTTTTCAGACTCAAACCAAAGTATCGGTTATATATCTTTTAAGTAACAAATATGACTTTGCATGCCTGCACTTGGGGTGCATGAGACATACCCTGTGCTCTTTAATAATCTTTTCACTGCCTTCCTGGGGCACCAGCTTGGTCTCTCGATCCAGCTCAGTCCTGCATTCTTCTACAGAAGCTAAGAATCTATTCTTCTCCACATCAATCTTCAGATGAAGCAAATGATATGGGGCTTCTCCTTGAAGATCCTACATTTCATAGGAAGATTTAAAAAATATAATAATTCCTGACTATATACATTTTCAATGAGAGGGGTAAAACCCATAAAATATTCCCTTTAGGGGCAATGTGATTAAATCACTATTGTCTGCACCTGGCTGCTTGCTGCTTTGTACTTTTCCAAATATTAGGCCTGAAATGAATCCTTTCAGCCTGCAGGGCCAGATTTTTCACAGGAATTATTCTATTTAATTTTTACTATAGCCTGACACAGTATCAATACTCCTGTTTTACAGATTAGACCATTGAGGCCCAGGGATAAGTAGAAAAGCTACATTTGAATCTGAATTTAAATGATGCACTGATTCCACATACTCTCCTCGATACACGTCCTTTTAAATTTTGTCAATGATCCTCTGAGGCAGGAAGAACATATATTATACTCACTATACAAAAGGCAAAGAGAAAACTTTAATAGCAAAAAAGCCAGGATCAAGCAGCCCACACTTTTGACCACCTGCCTGGTCCTTTATCCTTAGAGCATCCCACAAGAAAACAAGCCAGCAGCAGGTAAATAACATGAAATGTTTTATGATCTTTTTTGATATAAGCATAAGCTATATCATTACCTTCCATCCTACAATTGGTTAATTTTAGCCAGCCTGTATCCTTTTTCATTTCAAAGGTTACTTTTAAAATATAATACTAAAATAACTGATGAGAAAATGATTTCCAGCTATTGAAAGACTAGAACAGATTATATCCTAGAGAGCTTAATGTGTGTGTGTGTGTGTGTGTAAAATAAATACAGCTTTCAATTAGAATCTCTATTCCATAATATATTTATGATATGTTAAGCTTTAAAGACACCTTAACAAGCTGGAGTTTCTTTAGGAATCTCTTTTTAATTTTCAAATTTAAACAAAATATGTCCTTAACTGTGTTTTTTCCTAAGCATAGGGCTAATTTTTTAGCCTATGTTACTGAGATGAGTAAAAAAAATCTAGAAAAAAAAATACAAAAGCTGATGGAGAGGGTTTTAGCTGCCTATCTTCCAGACCCTGCGACTTCTTCATACAATACACATGACGTTTGCCACTCACTATTACCTTGTGGTAGCACTTGTTAACCTGCCGTTAGCATAGCCTGCCTTGAGGAAGACAGCCTTCTGGTTGTCTCCATTGTACTGTAGCTGCTCCCCTGGCAAGCAGATTCTAGAGTCAGCTTCCCTGTGACAAGCTCAGTCTGGGGCACTCAAGTTGGACAAGCCAAGTGAATCCCTCTGTCCCCCGCTCACATGCTCTCCTGCTGTCCCTCTTCCAGTTGCTGTCATTTCCCCCTCCCGCCCACTTCCAGATCTCTGCTTCTTCTTTAAATTCCTAGCTCGAAACTAGTTACTTGATTCACTCCTTTCCATTCTCCCAGGGGGCCCACTTCTCTCTTCCAAAGCTTTCATAAGTATTACTTACACTTTTGGGGACTTATTAGATATTATACTTTCATTATCTGCAACTAATTATCTCCCCTACCGGACTGTAAGCTCTTTGGAGAAATGGATTGTGCTTGTTCGTCACTGAGTCCTTAACCAACAAATGTTCATTTTATATATATTTTTTAAATCATAACAATCTAAACCAGATGGTAAAATCCTTGTAAACAGCGAAATGTTAGTAATATCTGACATAATTTCCTTAGATGAGAATTGTTTACTAAATGTTGCCAAATAAGTAAAATGCCCTTGTCATTCCTACCCCCCCCCAAAAAAAAAATACTCAGGAAAAGCAAAAGAGCATTCTTAAGTAATATGATAAAATGGATGCTACTAAAAAAAATGTATCATATTTTATCACTGCTTTATTCAAGTTTGGTTCTTTAAATGGGAGAAGTTCCTGTCGTGACTTTCCATGAATTTCTACATTTCTCTTACAATTGAACCTTATCACCCTCATGCTACCCCCCCAATACGTGTGACCCCTACTTATGTGTGTGCTCCCATTATGCCCTGACTCACCTTCCACTGTTTGTGGAGCTTTCTAACAGCTTCCTGTAGGCCCTGCTGTTCCTGCTCAGGGAGAATGTCGGTGAGCTCATCACAAGCTTTCAGGAAAGCATTGAGCACTCTCTGGTCCAGTTGGCTGAAGAACTCCTGTCAGGAAGAGGGGGAAGTGGTTCAGAGTGTTGGGCAGAGAAAAAGGCAGCATCAGACACTATAGAGTTAAACAGTCATGCCTCTACACAAGCCCCTTAGCCAGCTGTTGCCCTCTTTAAACCTTCCTGGCAACTACTCTTTTTTTTTTTTTTCAGGAATGAACTATAATTATCTATAGTTATGAGTCAGAAACCACCACATCTGAAATTCAACTAGTGTTTTTCATTTTCTAGAAAAAAAATGTGCAGTTTTCAAATTTGGTAGAATATTCTGGAAGACCAAGGGGCCCAAAACCTTGATTCCATAGTAATAGAGTTTTCATTCCTCTAAGTGAATGGTAAGGTCAGAAGAGCTGAACAGAAGCTAGCATTTAGCCTTACAGTACCTCATACCTTAACTGGAGTGTGTTTCAGGCCCTGCTGCTTCATTGTGAGCCATTTCCATATTCAGACAAATACACACGACCCCCCATACACTATGGATGGAATTGTGCTTCCCTTCCCCCCTGCCCTACCATCTGTCCAAATTTATATGTTGAATCCCTAACCCCTAATGTGATGATATTTGGAGATGAGGCCTTTGGGGTAATTAGGTTAGATGAGGTCATGTGGGTGGGTCCCTCATGATGGAATTAGTGCCCTTATAATAAGAGACATCAAAGATCTTGCTCTCTATTTATCTCTGCCTTATGAAAACACAGTGAGAAAGTGAGCAGTCATGAGACAGGAAGAGAGTCCTCACCAAAACCAATCATGCTAGTATTCTGATCTCAGATCTATAATCTCTAGAACTGTGAAGAAATAAATGCCTGTTGCTTAAGCCACCCAGTCTGTGCATATTTTTAAGGCAGACCAAACAGATGAATACAGCATGCGTGCATCTCTGTGCAGACCAACTCTCACACAGGGTACACATGTAGAGATATTCTGAAACAACAGTGATTCAAAATAGAAAGTGCCATACTACAGCAAATGAATCAGTGGAAGGAGATGTTGAGTGGCCATATACATCAACCCCAAGGTCAGTCAGCTACATCACAAATACACAGCAGTCACCCTATGATAGTATGGTTTATACTAATATTCACTGAAATTTCAGGAAAAATAACTCAAAATACATGTTTTAAGAGGGCCCATCCTCTCCATTCAGAATTTAAGAGATTATTACATTTTCAATACTGGTATGACTTAAATGAGATGATTAACAGGAATATGGCTTCACAATAGGACAAGTTGTGGATCAGCTATCAAACTTCAAGTGACACGGTGTTCACACTTTGATATGGCAGGTTCATGAAATGAGCACAAGAACTTTGACATCCACCTAGAGTTCTCTCTTGAAAAGGGTGTGTTGGTTATATAAGAATTTCTCAGCTAAATAATGAATAGTAATTTGGAGAGTCTGAATTATGTATCCTGTAACTCTCTACTACTTTAGCCACTTAAGAATGGCCAATTATAAATGCAACTCATCAACTGCTCTTGGAAGTTCTTTTTGCTGCCTCCAATTTTTGGGTCTCATAACATAAAATGTTTCTGTCTTCCTAACTCATTTCTTCTACTCATTGCCTCAAAAACCTATTAGAACACAACACTTTTAATTTTTCACCCAAGACCACTTGTCTGTGTCCTCAGGTCAGGTACCCCATGAGGGACAAACTCACGGTATGTCTCCTCAGGAGGTCTTCTGGATTTCCCTTTTCTTCCAAGCCCTCCTGAGCTATCCGCAGCACCTTCTCCAACTCTGCTCGAGACTCCTCAAATTTCTTCATCAAACGACTATTGGTTTCCACATGTTTCTTCCAGTCTCCAATTTTCTTCATCATATTCTTGATTTAAAAAATAACCCCAATGTAATGCTGCTTTCTCGTTATTGAGAACATCATTTTATTAAAGAGTGTTGTTTCTTTAAAAAACATGTGGAAGGAATAAATTTCATTATGAGAGTAATCAACTCCTTTTGACATTAATGAATATTAGAAAAAGAAGAAGTGCAATGATTCGTTCCAAACCTCAGCAGGCAAGGCATTTAGCTAGAGGGAAAGCATGAAACATGATGATTATATGTCCTCATTCTTCTCACGTCTCTATAGCAGGGACAAAGCTTACCTGGAAAGCACCATGGGCATCTGCAATCTGTCTGTGCAGCTTTGTCTGATCAAAATGCTTTAACACACTGCTCAAGGTCATGAACTTTTGAACATTTTGACTGCCTTTCTCAATTTGTGTCATGGTTTTCTTACAGCTTTCTTGACAAGCTGACAGTTCCTACAGGGAAAGGAAGCCCACGACAATAACATTTAAAATGGTGAGAAAGAGAAGGAAAGAGAGTAACCATTACAAAACAAAAAGAACAACATTATATAGCTTTTAGGCTTTTAGCTAGCTGTAAGTAAAATCAAAAGTACAGAGAAGTGTTTCTTTTCAGAAGAGCTCAATTTTAAGCAATCACTTAAGTCAGTGCTTTTTATATAAGGCATTTAAATGTCACATTGAGTTTTTTGAGATTTTTTTTATTTCATGCCTGTGTTATTAACATTAAGAAAACGAAAGGGCATAAAATTGTTATTTGCCTGCATGTGTCCAACCAACTCATAGGCCTATTGTTTACTGAGAGAACAATTACAAAATCAACATATTAGGTTTTAATCTGACTAAATAAATTTAATACCAATGCACATTATACTTTACTGAGAGAGCTGCAGCAAATTATATGTTATTTGTGTGTCTCAAAATGTACAACATTGAATTCCTAATGTTCATTAGCTGTCAAACTCATTAACAGAACGGTGGACCTCAGATCCTAACCACAAAAGGGCAGCAAACTGGTGGGTGTGGGAGGACTTGTAGTTGTCACACATTCACAGAGTGAGGAACCACGCTGACCCAGGCCTCTGGGTCTCTTCCACCTCTGCTTAGTAACCTGGCATTGTAGTGATTTCTGCAGTTAAGAGCATGGAAATTATTTAGCCCAGCCAAAGGCCAATAGTCATTTTTTGACTTGAAGCCACACTTTTGTATTTCAACATCCTCAACTGCTTTGGAAAAGTATTTCAAACTGCTCATTTGGATACCAGTTTTGGTAATCTAGATGCAAATACTAAGACCAAGATTTTTGTTGTTGTTTTGTGTTGGCAAAATGGAGTAAGGACATACTTTTTCCTTTTGAAGATTTAGGACCGAAAAGAGTAATGTATGTTAGAAAGATATTATTAGGGGATCCCTGGGTGGCTCAGGGGTTTAGCACCTGCCTTTGGCCCTGGTTGTGATCCTGGAGTCCTGGGATCGAGTCCTGCATCAGGCTCCCTGCATGGAGTCTGCTTCTCCTTCTGCCTATGTCTCTGCCTCTCTCTCTCTCTCTTTCTCTGTCTCTCATGAATAAATAAATAAAATCTTTTTTTTTAAAAAGAAAAAAGATATTATTAAATATTATTAATATATTATTACTAAAATATCAAATATTATCTTAACCGTGGAAGGATTCTTTGATAGCAATTTATAGCAATTTGAGAATATGAGAAATGGCCCTATGACTCAAAGGGAAAGACAATCTTTATCCAATATGATGAGAACCTACTAGAACAGGGTTTGGTGATATAATCATTGTGGATTTACAATCAATAATAATAATCATGATAATAATTGCTACCAGTTATTGAGTACATATTATGTGCCACTATTTGCTAGTTACATTATAGAACATATAATGTCATCTCCACAATAAGCTCTCAACTTAGGTATTATCACTTGCATTTTAAGGTGAGGAAACAAAAGCTAATCAAGACTTTGTAATTTGTTATATCAGATCTAAGATCTGAAGACCTGACTCACTTCAGATACTCTCTGCTCTTTCTATGAACTGATTCTGCCTTCCTTCTAGGAATCTACTTCAGTGAATGAGGTGGTAAACCTTCTGCCCATTAAGTTTCACGCTCCTCTGATGGAAAGGGTCATTTATAACAAACTACTTAAACAAGTCAATTAACTCCAAGAGTGGGAAGCTGTTCTGCATAGAGATCTGCTTACTAAAAATGAGGCAAAGAAAAATGATTATCACTTCAAACACATTTCCAGAATTTTATGATTGTATAATGAGACTTAATCTTAGAGGCAAAGAAAAGATCTCATAAGACACATATAGACACTGGATACAAATGGAATGCCACAATTTGCTTTTATACATATCTAAATATCTAAAATTTAAAGTTCATTTATAAAAATGTTATCTATACACAAATTTATATAGATAAATAGATAAAATTTTTATTTTATCTTTAGTGGGCAGGGTTTTCATCTTTGGACAGATATTTTTGTTCTGAGATGCCAGTGCTATTCCACTTTTTTAAATATTTTATTTATTTATTTGAGAGAGAGAGAGCACAACCAGCAGGGAGAGACATAGGGAAAGGTAGAACCAGACTCCCCGCTCAGTGGGGAGCTCGATGCAGGGCTCCATCCCAGGACCCCGGGATCATGACTTGAGTCACAGGCAGACACTTAACTGACTGAGCCATCCAGGTACCCCAAGATGCCAGTGCTATTCTAGAAAAATGCTTCTTGTCCTAACTGAATTTCTACTACTATAAGCACCACTCAGCCTTACTACACATGCTTTAAAATAACTATGTCTCCTCGAGGGGACTTTTCCTTACCTGTTGTTTCTGTTTAAAAACAGCACTAGATTGTGCCTCATGCTCAAGAACTGTTAAAATTTCATTGATTTTCCCAACTGAGTCATAAAAGAATGTCATCTGCTTTTCTAATTCTTCCAATGGTATCAACAGCTGCTGAGACTCATAAAGGAGTGGAGAGTAACAGTCCTTGACCTTTAAAAATACAGAGACAAAAATTCAATTAAAGGCCACTAACTACCACAAACGCAGAACACTCTTCACGGCCCTCAGAAACATTTTCTTCAGTGATACTGTCAACAGGCCTTACAGATCTCCAAAGACATTTATTTAATGATATTCCCTATGTATTGTTAAATTTTGATATAAAAAACAATACTACTATATCACTGAGACAAATATATGTTACAGAGTTTTCCCATGAATACTTACCCAAATTATCCAAATGGATAGCACTTTCTCTTTTAAATGATGCTGTTAGTAAGCCAGATGGCATCAAATTCCAATTCATAGACTATGCAGTTATCTTCACTTCGTCCTCAAAATCTGACCTGAGATAGTCATGAATTACATTATCTAGACTAACCTCCTAACTTTATTTTCAAGGTCTCTGTTACTTGAACCCTTACCTCAAGACCAACCTATAGCTTTGCTGACTCATTCTTCCCAGACAGGCCTTGTGCTTCCCTACATCCCTCAGTTCCATGCTTTGCTGCTCTCCCTATTATCTTCTTCATCTCAAGTGCACAAGTCACCTACCAATTTATTTACAAAGGTCCCCCCCCCCATGCCAGAGGATATTTTCCTAGTCTGAACTGATCAGCCCCTTCATTTGAAATTTGTTGTTTAAAAAAATGCTATAACTTAATACACTTGTATTCTTTATCTTAATGCTGAGGCCATACACTCCTGGGGATCAAGGGATCTGTAAAATTTCTGCCTTATCACCTTTATGTTGGAATCCAGGACCAGGCAATTCTCTAAGAATTTCCTGTTCCCACTCATTTTACTTAGAATTGCTCCCAAAATATTATTCATACTTTTGGGAACCAAGGAAAGGAAACTGAGTACTTGTTAGTTGACTATTCTCTTTTCTTAAATTATAAATATTTTTACACTATTGGATACCCACCTGAAGGATAAGTTCACCAAAAGAAAGCTACTAATCTGCTACAAGGCTCTGATAAAATGACTCTGAACAAAATGAAAAGAATCTGCTAACATGCATAAACATCAAGTATGCTTTAGAAATATTTCCCAAATACAGCTGAAAACTTACTAAGATGCTACAATTGACATAGTGGTTAAAAAAAAAAAAAAAACAGAACAACTTAGATGTGTTTACAAGGTAGAATTTGCTTTCTCAGAGATTGCCCTAAATTATTAAACTTGGCCTAGGCTAAGATGTGCAAGCCCAAGCTATGGCTCTGAAAGCTTGAAGATTATCAAATCGATAATGCTGACTTTGAATTGCACCCAATCTTTATAAATAATCTTCACTTGAATATTAAAATAAAAAGAATTAGGAATTAACATTCTAATTTATACCAGTTTAGCAAATGAAGTTTTCTCTTTTTTTCAAGACCATGATTCTTCCTATTTTCACCTATCTTATTCCTCTTTTCATTAATTTTCCACTACTGATTTTACATAGGTTATTCCCTTTTGCTTTTTCTCTCCTAAATAACAGTTTTCTCTAATTTCTTTTCCTCTGTTTCTCAATTCGTCATTACAAAATTTTCCTCATTTATATAGTCACTCCTTTCTTCTATCAGAAATGAATTACCCAATTGCAAACAATACAATCTTTATAAAATTCAACTTCAGGTAGATAACAAATCCCAATTACAGAGTTCTTAAGGAAAGTTCATCAATAGAACAGAAAAGTCTACGGCTAGTGCTTGATGTTCATGGAGTTCTCTGTACAGAAGTGGTACAAATGTATATATCTTGAATCTAAGGTGAGCTCCGTAAGCTGAAAAGAGCAGAATTTCCACTGCTTCATGGCTATGCAGGCAGAAAATAGCATAAATAACCTTAGAGCAGACAGATGTCAAATCCACCCCAATAAAAGGCATTTGGGAATTCTTTCTCATTTAAATATCTGTTCTCTTCCTTTTCCCTCCCCTTCCTTTTCTCCCCTCATTTGTTTTATTCACATTTAACTGACTCCTTATTCCTCCAGAAGAGACTTAGCTTTCTATTAAAATAAAACTATTACTCCTAAATGAACAGAGGTAATACCTGACATCAGCTCCACAGTTTGAGCTTTGAAACTCATGGCAAAGTTACTAAATATCAGAATTACTAAATGAAGAATCCCACTAAAAAAATAAAAGCATGATCTCTTAACAAGTAAAGAATTTGCCCATGGGTGTGACTGAGGAGGTGTAAAGCACTCTGAAGGCAATGTAAGTCCTATACAGTGTGTCATGCATTAAAGTATTTCCCCACCTTGGTTAGCTGTTCTTTTAGCCCAGACATGGTTGCAAACATTTCATTAGCTTCTTCTTGGGAACTCTCTTTGGTAATGAGGTGTGCAGTCTTTGTAATCATCTTGTATTGAGCATCCATTACAGGCACCCTCTGCTCAATGTCCTGCATGAATCATTGAAACAACTAAATTAACACATAGTACATTTCCTTTTAATTTCAGAATTCCACAGAAGTCTGGACAAAAATCAAAATGTACTGTATGAAATCCTATACTTCTAATACGTTTTTGGAGATTCCAGTTATTGCTTTCCTTCATTGCTAATATATTATATATTGGTAATATTATATGAATAAGCAAAAGGTTTCCTTTATAAGTAACTGTAAATCCTTAAGTTAACATACAGACAAGCTGAAGTAATCTTTACGCTTTCAAAATGTATGTGTTAATGTAGTATGTAAACATTATATCAAGTAAATGCATGTTAATTTGGGGCAAATCCTCTGACTTTAACAATTATACAACCTAGTTTTTCTTAAAAAAAAAGTAACACATTGTCATTGTAAAAAATTTATAAATCAGAGATAATAAGATAAAGAAAATTTAAATTACTTACAGTCTTCTCACACAGTGATAACCAGAGCCAACATCCCATCACTACATCATTAATGTTTTCCCTTGTGCATGCTTACAACCATTGTTTATATTTACAAAAAAAAGATACAACGTTTTGCTTTTCTCATTAATAGTATATTAGAAAAGCTTTCTGTGTCATCAAATATTCTTCTACTACTTCATTTTTGAGAGCTGCAAGGTATTCAAAATATGTAAACAGCACAATTCATTTAGTAAATCCTTTATAGGAGAGGCACTTATGTAGAAGTGTTCTCTGTAGATGTTGCCTTTTTTTTCCTAGTCCTCTGTAATTTGGTTGTAGAAAAAAATCTCAATTAAAAAACTATTTTGAAGTTACTCTATGATCAAAACATATCTTTAACATATTCAAATTTATTTTTTTATTTAAATGCATTTTTTTTTCAATTTTGACATGCAAATCAGGATATGCACACATGTCAACTGGTGCCAAAGAGACACAGGAAAACTTTGCAATGATTTGAATTAACTTCTGTGATCTTCCTTTCACAAGAGATCAGGCTTTCACTTTGTTGTCCAGAAACCCCCTCACCTCCAAGTCTTGAATTAATAGCTTGACATTAAGAAAAGAGACTTCTAAGGGTTCGGAAAGTTTCTTATGGGCTCCCATTGCAAAATCAGACAGGGCAGTGACACAGTCTGTGTATTCCTTCTTCATTCTGTCCAGCTCATCAGCCCGAGCATACTGTTAGGAAAAGGGAGGAATATAACATGGAAAGTCAATGAACCAAACCTCTGTGAGCCTGTAGCCTGCATATCAACATACTCTCCAGTTATGTGGTGAGAAAGATGCCACTTTCTGATTATTTGAGATACAACTGAAATAAGACCAAATACTGTGAAAGTAGAAAAGGAATGAGCACAGAAGCAAAGAATTATGATCTCAAACATAGGTTGCTCCATATTAGTAGGCTTCATATGTCAATATAATCCTTAATCAAACTATACATTTCTGTAATGTTCCTCTATTACAAAGGGAAAAGAATAAAGGGCCAAATATAAACATAACAGTTCTAAACACATCTGCCTAAATAAGCTCATGCTACAACAATAAAACAGTCTCTAAACAGACTGTTTATCACCACATCTATAACGCATGCATGTTCTGAGCATGTACAGATTTGAAAGACATACTTGCTTGACTTCCATGAACAACTCCCTCCATCGCCCATTGAGCAATAGCAACTGCTGTTTAAGGTCTCGGGAAACCATCTCATCACATGTTTCAATTAGAAAATTGCCTGCATCATTCATGGCAGCATGCTGCTGTATCCAGTGAGGCAAATTTCGGAAAAAATCCTAAACAATAAGCAATGCATACTATTGTAAACCAACAAATCAAAACTTAATGAATGATATGAATGAATGATTTCCCAAACTATGAGAAAAATCTTTCTTCCCAATTTGTGTAAATTTTAAGGTAAATCTTAGCTCTCTTTCCAAACGCAATTTTCAGTAAAGAGGTTCAAAAATAGGAACTAGAAACAGCGAGTGTCTTTTTATAAGAACGGCTTATTTCTTTTGTCATATTGTTTGCTGAAGACAAAATAAAACATTATGACCATTTTCTGTTATTCTTATTTTACAGATGAAAAACTGCATTTCTGTAAGTGTAGGACTTGTACATGGTCTTTAGGCTTGTAAATACCAGTGCCAGAGTCATATAAAAGGTATGGTGTGTGTGTTTTTTAATTTTTAAAAAGATTTTATCTATTTATTCATGAGAGAACAGAGAGAGAGGCAGAGGCACAGACAGAGGGAGAAGCAGGCTTCTCGCAGGGACCCCTATGTGAGACTCAATTCCAGGACCAGGATCATGCCCGCAGCGAAAGGCAGACACTCAACCACTGAGCCACCCAGGAATCCCAAAGGTATGGTATTTTAGAGTAATGCACAGTTTTCTGTAAAAATGATAAACTTTTGACCTATTATTTTTTACTTCAAAATCTGAATATGGTACATGAAGGTAATTAACAACATGGATATAAACCATTGAAGGAAAATTTTTAGAATTAAATATCTGGGCCAAGAACACTTAATACAATAACATCCTTTCTTATTCATTTAAGGTTACTCAGTTGGCAATGAAGCGGTTTTCTGCTGATTTCAAGTTAATACATGTGTGCTTGTGCATATACACATACACCACAGTAAAAACCAAGGATACCAAAGATAATTCAAAATCTATTTTACAAGCCATGTGTGGGAGGACTTCCCACATAAATAGATGAGAACACTTCTGTTTCTGGTGGTTATAATCCCTTGGATGAAATTAACACATATGACATTTACTAGGGCACAGCCAGTCCAATCAGCAGAGCCAAAATCTGTATGGGTATATGGTTCTTGTCATCCTTAGCTACACAAGAATATTTAATATATGTGAAACTGAGACTGGTAAACATTAAAAAAATTATGCATCTACTTGCATAACACAATAACAGAAGAATTTTGGACAGCAAGCACTAATTCTAATGTATTTGCTATATTTTTAATGGGAGCCTGGCATTTTAATGTCTTTTACATATAAGTTGATTTTTCATGGGAAAATATCATCCCCACTAAGAAGTACATATACAGAAATAATCCACTTTATGTGATATTTTAGTGTGATACTAAAATAAAACTGTACCTCTTCAAGTCACATATACACACCTATAATTGGAGGAAAAATATCACTCTTGCCCACTCTTGCCTGCTCTCAACCCCTGACCGAAAGCTCATAAAATCCAACAAAGAATATTTAAAGAGATGAAAATATTTGACTACCCAGATGTCCAACTGGTGTGTGTCATTACACAGAGTTAGTATTACATTATCCTCTCTTAAATGAGGAATTCCACAGAGGTTGAGACATTCAAGTACAGACCTTAGGGTGAGTATAGCGACCTCTCCTGCCCACTGGGATTGGCTGACCCTCCACAGGTTCCTGCTTTTTTGAATGCAAAAGCAAAACTACTGAACTGATCAGAGATGAACTCTTTTAACATAACTTGTATAAAGCAGTATATTCCTCGGCTTAAAATAATTTGCTAACGTGAAAGCACAACTTTTCTGGCCAAGTCAAGAATCCTGAATCATCCTTGAAAATATATTATACTCCTCAGAGAACTATGCTGGAAGTGCCTCACTGCTAAGTTCCTGTGAACTCCTTTCCTTGGGTAAGAAGCAATCTTACCTTTTTAGCGTGCTCTGTCTGATTTAGCATTTTCTCAGCATCCTCCAGCCAGGCCTGAAGACTGGCCACCGTATTGCCATATCGATCCCAGTTAGCGATGACTTCTTCAAGCATGCTCCGCACGCTCCTAACTTCCACTGAGAGGTTCCTCCACTGGGCAGTGGTTTCATTCATGAATTTCATCACATTCTCAGCTTCTTCCACTACAACAGATACAACAAATTATAATTCTTACTTTATATTTTAAATCCACCAAGCCTTTTTTCTATGGTCTATATACTGGTGTGCAATTATAATTCTTCTTTAGATTATGACATTAACAGATGACATGTTAGAATTTCATTCAGCTAATGCTGGGAATATGTTATACCAAATATGATAAACATGTTCACAAAATGAAGCAAACATATTTTTCAACTTATGTCTTCACACTAACTTAAGTTTTCATTTACTTGATAATAATATTCGTTACTTTATTTTTTTCATTTAATCCTCAGAATTCAAAATAGGTTAGAAAATTGCAATTTAGAACATGAATGCTATTTTTTTTTGCCCCTTTTAGAAGATCACACACACAGACATGCACACACAGTTTGATTATACAGGTTAGACAGGCAATGCACAAACTGAAGGGGACTGAAGCCAGTATATGTTCTTCAGGCCCATAGCATGGTCACAAAAAGATTCTGCAGGAAAAAAAAAAAAAATGACCTGATCACACAGAAACCTGTAGGTTCTAAATTGTAACTCAGTCATAACTGAAACCAATTCTATCATGTATTTTACCTGAACCGTCAGCTTGGATGTACATCTCCGCTGTCTGTTTTAGGATCTGGTATGTCACTTCATACTGTTCAAAGAACTTGGTATTTTCTATAAAAGACTAGAAATGAGGAGTGGTTAGAAGATAGCAAACGCTAGGCACAGGTAGAAATATCAAAGTCAGTTTCTTCAGAAGAGGCATATGGGTATTTTGCCCAAATCTATCAACCTCATTCTTATAAAAAAAAATATCAAGTTAATTCAACTGCTATAAAATAACCTGATTATTCTGAGAATATAAATTGATTCCATGCTTTTAATTCTAAATCAGCACTACTGAGAAAGTATTCTATTTCTCCTCCACCAAAGGGTTTGTTTTCAGAAGAGACTGCAGTCTCTCCAGACGACCTGGGGCTAACATTTAGAAAGCACTAAATTTGGACGAACATTTTAGTGTCCAACTGTGTCTTAGCTGTGGGATTTTGTTGCTCTTTGAACATTAATTCTTGTGAATAATGGCTCTGAGAAACTTAGACTATAAATAAATGGCATAGTGCACATTTTTCTTAAAATAAAAAGTACAAAAAGTGTTTACAAGTAGAAAAATTTTAAATAATCACATATACCATCCACAAGTATAAAAATTATGGATAAGACACGTTTATAACTGTATGTAATTCCCATATGTAATAGAGTCACCACCATCCAATGGGCACTGTAAAATTTAGAAACACAAGAAATCCTTAGGTAAATTTTATTGTTAATTCCAGGAAATATGAAATAACTCCTGTTTCAAAGATTGGTCTTGCTATTAAAATAGCAAAGTAAAAAAGAATAATGTGATTATAGTTACCAATGTATCACCAAAGACTCTTTTCCTTTTAATAGCACAATTAGTTCCTACAATTTGAACCCACTAAAATACTTGATAAGTATCTCTATTATAAAATGCAAAATTAGCCTTTAAAAAACAGCTAAAGTCCACTGTAATATACTAATAAATGCTTAATATGGAGATGCAAAATATTTGAGTGCAGATATAAAACTTCATACAAAATTTCATAGACATCCGTTAATTTAACTGAAAAATGTTTATCATATTTCAAGATAACACTTAGAAACATTACATGCATAACACATTTCATAGCATTTTATGTTTATAAAGCATTTTACCTATATATTATTTTTCCTGGATATAGTGAATAGAGAAAGCTGCAAGTTACCTGGAATGAAGGGGTCCATGATGAACACTTATCTCAATAAGTTAATAGGCTGTATTATTTTTGGTAAGTAAAAGAAGTAATCAATTGGTTAATTATTTAGCCTTATGTTCTCTTCCCTTAACCTCCCCGTTCCCCAACTAGGGAAAGAGTAATTTACTGTAATTTAAATTTGGAATAATTTAGCCAAATTAGCATATAATACTTTGATCAAAAAAGGAAAGTCACACCTAATGTGCAAGACACTGTAGATAATTGAAGAGATAAAAATATTTGTCGATGTTTAAAAAATAGTCTCCATTTATTTTTGGCATAAATTTCAAGAAGCTAAGGGGAAAACAATTGTTCTAAGTATCAGAGGAATGAAAAATAGTGCCTATATGGGACAGAAAGATTTCATTAAGTATGCTTTTGCTATAATTGTTTACAAATTAATTGAAAATGAACAAGAGGGAACTTGTTATTATTTTCCAGTTTCATTTGTGATCCAAGAGGAAAAACAGGATATTTTAAGAATATTATAAATGTTGTAGGGATTCTTTAAAGTATTTTTGAGCTTTCCTAGTAGGAAGACTACACAATTAATTTTTAAAGGAAGGAATCTTATTTGTTATTTTACCTTTTAGCTGTTTCATTTATTTTGGCACTTTTTTTCTTTCTGAACACAAAGTAAATCCATTTAGTAGCATGAATTATTTTTTCTATTATTATCACTGTAGCAGGAGGACTTTTGTTTTGTTTTTTGTTTTTTATTTTTGCAAGAGGGCTGTTAAATCTCCTTTTTACCATGAGCTAACTACACAGTCTCTCAGAAGGTTGCAAAAGAAAACACAAATGTATATATTAAAATAATGATAGGATTAATTTATCTTTCAAAATAAGGCTTACATCTGGATATTAACTTCAACAAATACGCCATGTTATAGATGATGGCACTTCAAGAAAAATAAGATACCTCTTTATTTCACTAAATCCAAATTATTACTGGAAGATACTAAACTTCCACTCTCACAAAATAAATACAAAGACAAATAAATTTCATTCACTGATCTCACTGGAATGGAGCTAAACCAAGTAATTTGAGATTTAAAACTCATCTTTGAGAAGAGGCTTTATCACAAGTTCTACTTACATTAATAAAATAATTACAAATAATAAAATACACGTTCACATTACTAATGTTGCGTTCACATAGGCCACAATTCCAAGAGCTCTTCTTTTATGGAAAAAAAATGAATTCTCCTATTTCTTCCATAGTAAAACTGAAACACGTGTTAACAAACACAGTCATGTCAAGAACAATTCTGACAGCAAAACCAAACCAATTATCTCCTGGTTTATATTACAGTATGTAATCTCTTATGAATAGCATGTGGCCTAGGTTTATAATAAGCATTTGTGAAGCATTTTTCCAAGAATTTCTTAAGCACATAGCAGCATCAATACCTGAGCTCCTAGTACAAGAGGTAAGTAGGAAGCACATTTTCTGATTCTCTAATCCTTTAAAAGATGGTGTAAGTTTTTGCATATGAGTAAGATTGAATTGAGAATTCAAACTAAGGAAAAGATAATTATGGAACTTTTACATCCTGCATATTACTTTGGTTATTAGATTATGGAGCAGCCATATGGCTCATTACAATAAATTTTTTTAGAAACCAAAGAAAGGAGTGGATTTAAGAACCTGATTTTAGGATTTCATTTGGAAGTCTTCACTCTTTGAAATAGTCTGTTCTAAAGAAAATTATTTTCTCACAAATTCCAAAGGGATGAGAGAAGCTATAGGGGGCATGAGATAAAAAGAAAGAAGTGTGTGTCCATCTTTCTTCCCTACAAAAGTCCCTATAATTCTATCATCATCATTATTATTACTAAAAATTTGGGAAAGACTAAGTCTCCTCGAAAATAAGTCATTTATAAAGTCACATGGGTTGTAAGTAGCTGAACCATGATTCAACACATTTCCATGAGCCTGGTGGCCAGACTGTAACAATCTCACATACTTCACCCCACTCTGCCCCAATACCATGCCTAAAACAGAAATAGTAACTGTCAATATCAGGCTACTGTATGTAAGTATAAAATATTGTCAAATATGAGCTAACATTAATTGGAACTAATATTTTTGTGAGCTACATTCCTTAGTTCAGTAAGCTACAGGAGATCATTTAAATTATTTGGCCTTTTAAGTAAAAAAAAATGTTCACAGTCAATTTTGTTAGATAGTCAAGTTCAGTACTTAAGCTTCTGGTTCAGAAAGATGTGATTTCAAATCCTGACTCTACTTCTTACCAACTATGCCACTCAGAACATGGGGGTTGAGCACAGGAAGGCTCTCTTACCTCGATGAAACCATGTAAAAATGCCTAGCCCATAGGGTTGTCATTGGGATGGAAGATAACACATGTAAAACACTGGGCTACATGTAAAACACTGGGCTACACTCAATATCCCACAGTTATTAAAACTATTAAATAAAAAATACTGTAAGACTCTTTATAGAAAAGAAAGGCTAGCAATAAATAGATGTTTTCCCACCACGGAATAAAAATATTAAGAAATGTTCATTAAAATGTGCTACATTTGTAGTTTAATTAGCAAGGTTACCAATAATTTTAAGTTATGAAGCAGTTTAAAACTAGCAGCTTAGTGCACCTCTTTTTACTTTATGGAGAAAGCAGAAGTACTGTTTTTTAAAATTAATATTTATTAATTTTTTGTCATCAATAAACAACTCTACTTACATATCCTTTATTTGAGAAGTTCGAAGAGAATTACCAACATCCTTGTATTACAACATTAACCTGGTGGAACAGTCCCATTAGGCATTTCAATCTGATTGGCTGTCCTTAAATAGCTAGAACAAAGCTGGATCCTGCATAATTACCTGCTGAGCTCATTGTGTATCATTTGACATGACTAAACCCAAAAATATAAATGGATAACTATATTTAATATTTAAAAGACTCAAGTAATTGCTTGAATTTTAAAAATAAGATTTTTCATTACTTTCCAAAATAATTCAAAATGAATAAGGGAACATATCATAACAGATTTCACATTTTTTGACAAGTGTTTTCAAGACACTTTTAGTAAACCTAAAGAAAGATTTTACTGTAAATGTATTTTTTTCCTAAATGCATCTTGTTCATTCATCACTTAAAAAATGTATTTAAAATATAGTAAAATATATTCTGATTCTAGAATGCTTCAGTAAAGATATGGTTTCAATAAGCATTCAGTCATACCAGTTACAAAGCCACTCAGACTAGTCAGGTTAGAAATGGGCTTGTATTTTAAACTTACTAATTTATCATTTAGAATTTGTGATTAAACACATTAAACACATGTTTAATATGTGATTAAACACATAGTGCAGGACTGAGATGCCTCACAGACATTAACTTTGAGAGCAAGTTTGTATTGCTAATAAATTTTGGGGGTAGTGTTTAACAGAAATAAACTATATTTAATAAATAACTCTGATTACATGTAAATAGAACCTGCTGGTTACAGAACAACCTAATTTTTTCATTAACGCAGGGCTACTATTCTATGTAGTTAAGAGAATTATTTATACTGATAGTCCAAAATATAAGATAATCTCTAAAGATTAAATTGGTACAGAGATTCATAGACATAATTTTACTTTTCCTGGACGCACACAAGAAAAAATGAAACTCGGAGACATGCTAGACCTAATCTAAAAAATAGAAAGTCCCCATGTGGATAACTGAGAATGGTTATTTTTTTAGAGACATGAGGTTAATCTTTAAGTTTTTTAACTCAGTTTTAATGGTGAGCTCACAAAGTCATGGCTATGCAATGCAAAAACTTTTTTTTTAAGCAATAAAGCCAGTCACAATGGCTGAGTCTGGTTAATGCAGCAAAATCTTTCTATATTTCTAAAGAAAAGAGGTGAACATTTCAGATTTTGAGAAGAGTTTACTAATTTATATCGAACCCACTTAACACACTGGTACCTTTATATTTAAATTCAAGATAAAAATAATAGCATCAAATAAACCGGTAAGTACTAAATGCTAAATCCATGTGTCCTCTGATTTCTTTCTCAAAGCTCCAGGGAGACTTACGATATAGTTTTGCAGAAGCAGCTCCACTGACTCTCTCCTCCCATACTTGACGATCCAAGATTTCAGCTTTGACTCTGCAAGAACCAGCAGTGAGAGCAGACGGTACTTTAATTCTAGAAATTCCATTTTCATTAAGTGTAGCTCTGATGTGGAGGAAACAAAATGAAACCTAGAAATAAAACACCGAGAATTTACAGAATGTAACTAATAGTAACAGAACGGTGCTTACTTAACCTGTTACACGTCAGTGCTAAACATAATGCAGGCACAAGGTCTTCTAAACTCGGGCTGATCAATCACTATCAGGAGATCTGATTCCTTTCCTAGCTCTGGATTTAAAGGCAAATCGTGATTGACTGGAGTATTTAATTTAGTTCTTTCCCTTGCCAAGACAACTCTCATCTGTTTCTTTTATAAGCTGTTTTTGCAGTATTACATAATGTTCCTCACAGTACTGAATAAAAATACAGTCTCTGAAGAAACCATTTCTGTGATTTCCAGGCTGTGCATATATTCAGGTTTACTCTTTTCCAACAATAATATATATTAGAATGTTGGATTCTTAGCATATTGTTACGGAAGCTCAATTTTTATGTGCCCAAGGTAAGCATCTCTGTAAAAACAAAACAAAACAAAACAACAAACCAATTCATTGAAAAGAAATGGATAAAACACCCACAGAGCATTTAAGAAAGATACTTCCTTTCCAATCAGCCATTCTCTTACCTTTCTGCCATGTCCTCTAATTGGTCAGGTGGCACTGGGATCCCGTTAACAGACCTGGTCCGGTAGATCTCATGGAATGCTCTTTTGTGGGCATCTGTGTTTTGAAGCAGATCCTAAGATATAATTTTAAGAAATTTAAAAAAATGAGAAAACATGTTCACAGGAGGCTAAGAAGCATAATTTTCAGCCTGTACCGATGAGTCAATGTACTCAACAATTTGATCATGCTGCTACATCCATGTGCGGCTTGGTGCCTCTCCTAGGCTTTTACCTTGTTCAGGAGCTCAGGCACTTGTCTATAAGGCCTGTGCTCGAGCTGCTGTACCTAATAATTATGGCATCTTTTAAACACACATGACACTTGCACAGCAATGCATTCAGACATTTTAAAGGCACATGGTCCAAAGGAAAATGTAGTTACTGCTATAAACAATAATTTGTTAGGACTTTTCTCCTTCCTTGATTTTGAATACATCAGTTTTTAGAAGCTGAAAACGGAGCACAACTAGTTTAACCCTTTAATGGTAATACATACACACACATTATACTCTATTGTTATTACACTTTGAATACATGTAGACTATCTTAAAGTGATATTTGCTCATCATTTAAGTCAATTATATTACAACATTATGAAAATACCCTATGGTTAGAAGATTTCAAATAAGCACAGGGAATGTCCTATAGATATCAGAGTGGAAAGATCAAATGTAATGTTTATAAATATTCTTTGTAGGCTGTACAGAACTACACAAATTTTAATAATCTTTTTAGGCTTGTTTTCTGAGCTTTTCACTGTCAGTAGACTGACTTACATAAAGATTTACAGGTATGTCACAATTCCTAACCAATTTCTCACATAGAAGAAAGAGAGAGAGAGACGGAAGGAGGTTCATGCCATAGTCTCTAGAGTTTGGTTTGTTTCTCAGCGGCAGAATAAATACCCAAAAGTTTGTCACTCACTGAAAAGTAAGACCCATTAGGCCACCAGAATGGTACATGAAGATTAACATTGTTTAACTCACACTGACTGAGATTATGTGGATTAATTGGAGAAAATAGAAGCAAAAAACAGGTAAAGCCGTAAGAGAAACACTTGATGGAAAGGCAAAAAAAAAAAAAAAAAAAAAAAAAGAAGGCTCTCATAAATAACTTAAAATGGTAAAACCACATGTGCATTTTCTCATAAAGCCAGATGTGTCTGTGCCTTTTAATGTGAGGGACATTAATTTTTATACTGTAGAAAAATCTACGGCCAAACTTTCTATCGTGGTATATTTTGCTATTATCACCTATTGATCTGCTTTGAATTTCAGGTAACTACACACATATTCACATGTCTCTCATGCCCACAGGCAGGCTACTATGTGCAGGAGCTGATCACAGGGGACAAAAAAAACAACCTAAAGTAGTAATGATTATGAGAATTTTAGTGACTCCCTGCCTTCTCTGTAACATCTAGACACATTTCTGTGGCTTATAATCTTGGCTGAGACTCCCCAAGTAAGTGCAGGGCAAATTTAGAGCTATCACCACACCTAACTCTGATTTATTATATATGACTGTATGTTAATATATGAGTAGGGGTCTGTGATTATACTGGAATACTCATATGTCCAGTTGTTTCCTAAAAAGTTTATTATAGGCAGTACCTAGTTAATTAAAAGAAGCTTGACAAGATAGCAAAACAAACAAAAAACATTTTCAAAAATATCATAAAGGAACTACAGCTGGTGTGATGTCACTGGGATCTCTGAAAACCCATCACACTAAAAACCAGTGAGATGCTGGGCACAGCATGTGATTTTAGTTCACTGGTAGGCTCACAGGAGGTAAGAGAAATCTTTTAGGTCTCTTACTCCTGTTAAAATATGACCCCAAATTGATTCACAGGCCTGTGAGCAAAAACAAATAGAAAAAGCCGAATGTTTGAAGCAAATACTTATACCATTGCTGCATGAGTTTGAGTCTTGGAACTTGGAGAAGGTGGAAACAACAAAACTCAGAATCCTAATGAGCCAGGACGGTTAAATATTAACAAAAAGAAATTGGTATGAGTATAAAAATATCAGACAGAATAGGTTTGAAAATAAAAATCATTATATGTAATTGCTTATGGATCAAACTTTCAATTTACTAGTAGCTATATTAATTCTGAATTTGAACATGTCTAGTAAGCTTCAAAACACACAGAGTAAAAACTGATAGAACTAGTGGGAGAAACAGACAAAACCACGTGGCTCTGGGAGGTATCAATGACCCCCTCTCAGTGACTAAGATGGAACAAAAGAACAACTGGGATTAGCAGGTGATGGAGGGAGGAGGGGCGGCCAGGGGAAAGTGCTGCAGATCTGTGGATCTCAGGGGCCTCTGTAAGACTTTTGGAATGCTGATTTTGAATAGGTGGAATCTAGTGGGAACTTCCGAGAGTGGTGAAATGAACTGACTTGCATTTTAAGAGCGCTGCTGTGGCCAAGTTACTGAAAATGCCCTATCATTGATGCACTGCTTGTCTTAGCTTCTATAACAACACAGGAGCTGGATTTCCTCCCACCTCACTGATTGCTCTTTCTCTTACTCTTCTGCTGTTCCACCTTCTACTCTTTGATTTCTTGACAGTACATTCCTTTAGGGCTAAGTTCTTGACTTTTTTTTTCTCTGTCTATGCTTTCTTATTTAATTTCTTTGGTCTCAGAGCTTCCAATATCCTTCTACATACCAGTGATTCTGAGATTCTGAATATTTATTTCCAGCCTCTACCTGTGTCTCAAGCTCCTGTCTGTTATCTCTTACTGCCTACTCCACATGTACGCTTGGATGTGAAAAAAAGGCTCATACTTATCATGCCCCAAACTGAACTTCTGATCTTTTACTCCCAAACCTGCTTCCCTGTCTCTCTATCTCAACTGATGGAAACTATTCTTCCAACTGCTCATGTGAAAAAAAATAGTGCCATGTATGACTGGAGAGATTTTTTCACAATCAAAATCTAATGCTGAAAATTGCTCTCCCTAAAAATATTCAGAATCTGACCTTTTCTCACTATCTCTACAACTACCATCTTGAGTCAAGCCACGCTATGTGGATTATTGAGACTGGTTCCCTGGCTTCTGTCCTCCATAAGTAACACAGTCTCTATTCCCACATGACAGATACCATCATTCCTCTGGTAAGAAGGTGGATGGGAAAAGGCAGTTATAATACACAGAGAAAATCAACAGTGCCGAAAGTGTGCAATTAAGGAAAGTAAGGATATGCAAAGGAACAACATTGGGGGAAAATAGAGAAGCTTAACTACAGGCACAGAAAAGATTACCAATTTTTTTTTAATATTTTGAATAATTTTATGCAAATAATTTTTAAAACTTAGTCAAATGGATAATTTCCCACTAAGTGTGAATCTGCATTACTGACCCAATAAAATTCTGAAAGCCTGATATTTCTAGTCATTTCTAGGGGCTGGGAATACAACAGGGAAAAAAATAATTCTTGCTCTTATGGAATTGATACTACAGTTTAGGAAATCAAGCACTAAATGAAATACATAAATTAAAATTGTAGTTAAGATGCAGATAAATGCTAAGGTGAAAAATCAAACAAGGAAGAGAGGTTGCATTTTCAAAGAGGTGGCTAGGAAAGTGTTGACTAAGAGGTAAGTTTTCAAGAAAGGCCCAAAGGAGATAAAGAAGAAGGTATTGAGACTAATCAGTGGGAGCATGTTTCAGGCCAAGGACAGAGAACATTCCAGAACAATGGTAAGGACAAATGGGCTGAGGTGGGAATGTACTTGCCTCTTTGATGTCGTCTTTTCAGTAAGTTTTCACTGACTAACCCTAGTTAAAATTGCAACACCCTCTAAAACTTTGTCCTTTTACTTTTAACCTAATATGTAATTATTTTATTACTTACTTACCTTTGTTATTATCTGCCTCCTCCCACTAGAAGGCAAATTACATGAGTGTAGGAATTTGTCTGCTTTTCTTATGGGTGTATTACAAATGCCTAGAACATCACTTTGCACATAAAAAAAGTATGCAATAAATATTTTGTGGAAAGACTGGGAAGGATTAGAATGGTGTAGCCAGAGGAGTAGAAAGAAAATGAGGAGTCCAAATGAAGAAAGTGGTTCAAAGATGAAAAAATAGCTATGTGAAATGCTTATGATTGGCAAGGTAGGATGAAGACTGAGAATTGACCACTGAGTGAGGAATGAGGAGGACTTTCATGAACCTGACATGAGTAGCATGGCAAGAAAACACTCGACTGGAATGGGTTCTAAAAAGAACTGGAGAAGAGAATTCTGAAACCAAAATGAGCACAGGTAACTCTTTCAAAGAGCTTCACTAAAAAAGGAAGGGATGGGGAGGGAATGGACAGTAGCTGGAGTAGGGTTAAGAAAGAATTTTCATTTTTAAAATTTGATTTATTCTTTTTAAAAGAGTCTTTGAGATGATTAGCAGCATATACTTTATTTGGATGGGGACAATCCAGCAGAGAGAGGGAAAAAATTTAAGAAGGCAAGAAATACAGGAATTGTTTACTGGAGAAGAGCAGGGAGGATGGGATCTCATACACATGTAGAGGGGCTGGTCTTAGCTTGGAGCACAGATGGTTCATCCCTAGTAACAGAAGTGAAGACTGAGTATTCAGGCACAGATGCATGTAGGTGGGTTGATGTGGTCGTGGGAGCTTGCGGAAATTCTTTTTTGACTGCTTCTATTTTCTCAGAGAAATAGGAAGCAGTGTCATCAGCTGAGAGTAAGGATATGGGAGGAGGTGTAGAAGATTTGAAGAGACAAGGTATGGAATAGTTGTCCCCAAAATAAAGAGGCAGTGGAGTTGGGAAATGCCTTTGGAGTGCAAGGCAGCTTTAAAGATCCACTTGGGTTAGTCATCATGCCTGAGGGTGTGTTTTTCTGCAGCCATACTCAGTGGCATATGTGTGGGCAGGGAATAGGCAGAAAGTGGGCTTTAATCAGGGCTGTGTTTTAACCAGGACCACAGGACAAAGGAGACCTTGTCACGACAATTAGTGTGTGCTTTTGGTGACCTTTACTGATTCAGCATTGAATTTAAGTAGAAGACGAAGGAAAGGGATGATATGAAGAGAGTGAGAGGCAATAAAATCATGGATTATAAGGCACAGAGTCCATGCAATTTGGAGTCAGGGCAAGTTTGGGTGGACAGTGAGATAGATGCTTGAGAAAGAGATTGTGGAGGGGTTTCAGTTCCTAGTGATGACAAGTTCTAGACTATGCCTATGCTTTGGAGGGCTAAATTAGAGTGTAGGATGGGATGACTAGAAAACAGGAGACCAAGGAACTAACAGTCCAGGTTATTGGTAGAATCACCTATGGGTTACTGAAGTTATTAAGAATTATGGCTTGCATTGTCATGCAGGAAATAAAATCCTTAAAACAGGAGGAGAAGTGATCTAGGTAGGATTAATGACCACAATAAGGATGGGTAGCAGGTAGTAGAGTTTGACGTCTATTTTCATGATTCCTTAAGACTGAAAGCATTACTTGGCCAGAGCAATATTACTAATAAAAATTAATAAGTTATTTACTGTATGTGTATTATATGCAGTAGCTTTGTGGGCATGGTTTAAGGTTAGAGTTTAAAACAATCTTGATTATCAGCTATGTACCTTGGGCAAGGCACTTAATGTCTCTCTGCCTAAAGTTCATTCATTTGCAAATGAGGATGATAACACCTATCTCACATCCTACTTGTCAAGTGCTTAGCAAAATTAAGTGCTTAAGATAGAAACATGGCTAAATACTCAATTATAGTTAGCTATGACTATATTTGTTACCTTCCTAGATAACTAAGCATTAGAGTATCTGGAAAATAGAAAAGCTAGTAAAGGTGTATCTTGCTCTTCAGAATAATATGATCCTACATACATGTAAGTTAATTAAAATAAAAACTATGGTAGATTTGTAAAATCATCTCTTTGCAAAAAAAATATTTTAAAAATTATCTGAATCCAGTTTTCAGACACTGAATATAAATTAAGTAACAAACAATTGTCATGTGGTATATATTTTTTAAAAAACGATGTGAACAATGCAGAAAACCAAAAATTCTAGATCTTGATAGCATATGTAAGTTTTTGTGACAAAAGCCATAGTTACTTATAGACTGGGATAGGAAGATAATATTCTAAAACATTCTTGCTTATGTATTGAGGAGTCCTATATCTTTTTTTTTTTCAATTTTATCATCAGTAAAACATATAATTTAATACACAATTTGATAAATGTTTTTATTGGGCTAGAATTGAACATTAGACTTGGAAGATAATTTGTAAGAATTGGAAGATGATTTATACTATATTGTGTTTTTAATTTACATATTGCATTTCCAAGTGAGTCCAATATAGCAAAAAAGAAGTGATATCAAGTTGATGGGCTGATTTTTTTGCTATTGAAGAAGTCTGAAATTTTAGTTATCTTAACAATGATTCAAATTTGTCACATCATCAAAGTTTATCTTATTACAGGCACGTGATAAATATATTTTAAATAAGAATTGATTTTATAATTGACAATGACATTGTTTTATGACTCTACTACTTTAAGTGCCTGTGCCCAGACCCAGTAAAAGTTCCTACCTCAGTAAAAAGATCATTCTGGAGATCTGCCTTGAACATCGTCTTCACCTTTACCTGCCTCTGCTTGCTTCATGTTGTCTTTACTGCATTCCCCAGCTTTCTCTTCAGTCCTTTCTGATTTTTAGTCTCAGATAAGCTTCTTCTCCAACTCCTACCACTCCCCTTTTCCCTACTCCACTTCATTTCTGGTTTTTATGGTTGTTTACTACACTTTAGCAAAGGGATGGTTCTTGCTGCACACTTGGTGGTTGGCACAGGGTTTCTCTCTCAAGGGACCCAGAGGGGTCATGAGGAACCTTGGGTCATATAATTACTGAGAGAGACGCTGACTGCATCTGTGCATCCAGCTTAAAACTCAGACTTCAGAAGGGGTTGCGACAGCCTAGAGTGAGCAGCAAATTAACGTTATCTGCTAAATCTAATCATCTAGTAAATAGCACAGCTAATATTGCAAGGCATTTTCTCTATGGTGGAGTATTCAAATAAGACTTAAGTATGTTATGACAACAACAAACACATGCCATGTCTTGAACTTCTAAATTGGAGGTGCCTTCACCAGTTTCCCTGATGCATAAAGCTGGCACACAGTAGACCTGCAATGTACATTTGCTGAATTAACACAGCTAACCCATGATCGATATACACTTTACATTTGATTTTTTTTTACATTTGATTTGAAACCCTAAGGTGACTTTCTTTTATATGAAATACTCATATTACTTAAAAATAATTTTGATTGCTATATGATGTATTGTACAGAATTTATGATGAATTACTAATTTGTTAAAGCGGTATTATTTGTGTAACACTGTTTCAACATGTCCCCTTATTTTTAATATCCTGGGAATCTTAACATAGGCATAAGCTAGGCTTTTCTGCTTTTAAGAAGCCTTTACCATGGTTCAGTCTCAGAAAAAAATCTTATGACTTGATCTCTTATTTTCTGTCTTCAGAGAAAGTACAGACTATTGGGCCTGGATTTTATGTGTTCATATTTCCACTGATGATACAGACCTCAAATCATGCTCTTACCTGAGAAGCAAATTCTGAGGAGTTTTCTGTGTGTTTGGTGTGTGTTGGTGGTGGCGGAAAGGGGAGAGGTTAAGAGATAATCAACAAAAGATCAGTGTCTAAACTGAAGAAGGGACAAGAATAAATGCAGGAAGGACCCTGACTAATTGTGTATGAACACAAAGTCTTGCTGTGTCCCGCTTGTTTGGTAGTTGAGTCTGGGTTGAATGTGTTGAATTGAGAGGGACAGGAGCTGAAACTCTGTGACGCCTCTGTACCTCCACATTTCTAGTTCCAAACATAAGGTCCCAAAGGGACATAAGACAAAATCTGTCATGAATTTGCTTTACAATCTGGTCTAGAATACCTAACAGTCTATTTCCCTGAAGCAGTTTTAAAAATATTAGTATTTTGGCAGAAAGTATATATGAGCTATAAATTGCCCATATGTGGTCATCTCCACTGGTCTGTTTTCCACATATAGAGTAATCCCTGCCATGACCCAGGAAATGTGGTACACAAATTCAATTGCACAAAATGCAGGATTGAGTTAACGTGATGTGATGAAAATAGCATTTTTGTACTATCACAAAACACAAAGATGCAGGATGTTAGAATTTATACTAAGAACAACTGACTTTACTGCAAGTGGAAAAAGTCACAAATAACTAAAAAGTCATCAAGGCCTAGTCCCACCGCTTCCTAAGATCACCACTCTCCCTCGACCCCTGCTCCGTCACAGCACAGGACATAAGAACTTGGCAACCTGGCTTGCCTCCTTTTGAGAATGGAGATGGGAGTGAGATCTGAAGCCAAAGGCCAACCACATTTTATACAAATGTGTGTGGTCTATGGGTTTACCTTTTGAAAAGTAACGTATAGCAACAACAATAAAGATAACCACAGATGAAAAAATACCATTTTTCATTTCAGCTATTGGAAAATACCTCAGAAAACAAATCTATTGGAACATCTCTGAATTGGTATGAGTGGATGTCGGGGAGACCCAGGTGGGTGGGAGGTCTCAACAGCCACATCTCCAGACTACACCAGGACTATTGTGCCAGATTACCCCACCAGAACTTTACCTTGTGTTGCTCACGTTTCCGTTGTATTGTGTTGGCCGTTTCCTCATGGACCTGCTGAATGGTAATTTCCTCCCTCAGAGCTACTTCTGCTCTGTATAACCAGGCACCTATAGTGCCCAGAGGTGCAGGGAGAGATTTATCAAGCTGTATATGCCAATCAAAGAGCTGCAATATAAAAGTAGAAAAATAGAATTATCTTTAATATGGAAAATTCCTAAAACTCACCCAAATGACTTCTAAAGACATAAGGATCCCAGGTAATAATTTCAGGTTAATTTAATATATACCAAGTAAGAAAATATTTGTGTTCTGAATTTGATACTTTGAGAATAAGGAGGAAATTATAGTTATAAGCAAGTTTTGAGGAAACCTAAAATACATTTTAGACATGGAAGGACATTATTGAGAGCTTAAACAATTTTTTTTCTTATAGGAATAGCATAAAGCCCCCACTGATTTTCAATAGAGCTTCTGCTGAGAGGGAAGTGACTGGATTTTTTGAGATGTTCAAGGATACAGCTGTTATACACTAGCTGATGTGTGTCCTTTAAAACCTGCCACATAAGGGAAGGTCCAGAAAAATCAGGGTCATCCAGTCATCTCTGGAGAAAGGAAAATATTCGAGATTCTTTCTATGATAGTAACTATTTCTTCATTTCTACCACTTTATCCAATTCTTAAGCAGTGTTTCTCCCGACTTATTGGAATACCAGGTAGGATAGGTTGAGGTGCTTGGGAACTAACATATTCTCTGGTAGAGTTTGTAGGAAAAAGATTAGGTTATCAAAATGAATAAAACAGAGTAAGTTCAAGGCTAATATTTCCATTTGCAATAGAAGTTTCAGATGTTTTAAAATCCTGGTCTTTAAGTTTGCAAAATATTAACATGAAAGTTACTGAGCAGCTTTTTTTTTTTCAGGTTTATGAATGACCGGATAAGATTTGCTTACATTAAAGACTGTAAACATGAACGTGCTTATAGAAGGAGGACCTGTTGATGAAACCTGGTTATAGACTTTAGAGAAATTGCTGAAGCTCCATTCTTGGGAGAGTCATCTCTTCTAAATGACCCAGAATTTAGTGGGTAACCCAGAGAGCCTTTGAGGATTTCAATCCATCATCTACTCCATGGGGAAACTACATGTAAGGTGGCAAAGCAGAAGAGTTGTTAAACCAAGTACTTCCCATAGGCAAGCCTCTCCTTCCTCAGACATAGGCTGTAGGACTAGATGGAATATATCATTGTGTAGGAAAACATGAGGGAAAATGTTCTTGACTAAATTATGTCAGCCTTAATGAAATTAATCACGAGAGAACTTACCCTGGAGGACACTCTGTCCCAGGATTGTTTTACCAACGCTTGGTCAAGTGACAGTTTACCGTCTCTATGTACTGGTTGTATTAAATGTTCAATCTGTTTCCTTTTTATTTCATATTGAACTCTGAAGTGCTTAAATGACTAAAAGAGGAAAAGCAGCAACAACATGGAAATGAGTCAAAAATAGCAAATGCAAAGGAAACCACATTTCCTAAATAACAATCCTTTATATTGGGATTACACTCAATGTATGCTGCTGATAATAATGATGACAGTCATGATACTGATAGCAGCTACCATTCCTCAAACCCTGATGATGAGCCTGGTCCCATGCTATACACTCTCTCCATTTTATTCCTCTGGATTTCTCCATAACCCTGCAACATCCACATGTCCTATTATTATCACCACAGGAAACCCAGAGGTCATTTGGCAAGAACAAGTAGTAAAGTAGAATTAAAACTTAAGATTTCTCATTTCTGGTTAAATAATCTATGTGCCAGTCCATACTCCATTGAGAAATAATAGTAAATAGGAATATAAACCTATGCTAATAAAATAGTACCAAATTATTCAGAGTACCAAATTATTTAGGTTAGAAATTATGTATATTGAAATAATACCGATTTAACGATATCTAAATTTATGCTAAAATAAGCCTGTGTAAAGTAGGGGACCCCATTTATATAATAATATTTTGTTTTAACTTTGCACCATTATAATGTTAATTATTGTATCATTTCTTTTATCATAGTGTGTTTAACATAAATTTGTAATATGTAGACTTAACCATAAGTCTAATACTAACCTTAAAAAGTAGTGATTTTAATTTTACATTTTATATTAAATTAATAAATTCTAAAATAAGACTCCAAGGCCAAGTATTAATTGAAAATATCACTAAAATGTGCAATTATGTTAAAGAACATGAAAATGTCCTTACAGAATCTAGCTGATAACACATCTGAAAAAATTTGTCAAACAAACATGTAAGTTCACAGTACGAACACTGGGGGGAGACGGTGAGTAAATATTTTACCACAACTTTTATCTTTCATTTCCTCTAACTTAAAGTAATTTAAAAAGACCAAAACATAAAATTGATCTTCAGTTTTATTCCACAGAATTCTATGCATGAATAAAACAGGAAAATATACTACTTACTGATAAGTAGAAACAGAAAAATGCTGTTTGGGGACTGGGACAAGGAAAATGTTCCCTATGTTCATTCAGCTTTCAGATGGTCTCTCAATCTTTCTTAAGAGATAGCTTATTATCTTTAGACTGAACGGAATGTTTCTGTTTCATACTTTCCTAATACTCTGTTTTCCTTTTATACAATAACATCTGTACAACAGGTAATTTCATAATTTGGAATTGATTTTTTATAATTTATGACCAAACCAAAACTCACCAATGGTCTAATAAGTATATTCACTCTGTTCTTATATTTCTATTCTCAATTTACTGGCTTAATCTTTTTTTAATTAAGCTCATCCAGAAAATTGTATTTTTGAGAGAAAAGATTACATTGAGTTTCAAAGCAAAGAGGGCACATACATTTAAGCACATATATATTGCTTTGCCATGTTCAGTAAATATGGTATTGATGGCATCATCCATCTAAATTCAGGCACATTTTATAGAAATTATTACATAAAATTGCACACTAATGCCAATAGCTAAATCTTTTATCATCTGCCATGTAGAATCTCATATCATTGCCCCTTTTTATATAGCAAAACTGATTGAAAAATAATATGGACTAGGATGTATTATAGTTTAGCCATTAAAATGCAATGCTATCTTAAATAGGAGGATAACATCAATAAATCACAATTTAATGGGAAAAACCTATTACAAGAGCTTGTGTCTGAGAAATGAAAATTAGAAGCCAAATCCAAGTAATGGTGGTATAAGGAGACTGAGGGATGGCCATAACACCTCTGGCCTCAGTTTGAGAGCAACAGTGTCGAATCAGGCAGGCTGCAACAGAAACTGATCCCATTAATGGGCCCACTCCAAACATTCATATTGCAAACTTTTCTTAAATGTGGCTTATCCCATAGTAGTTTTCAGTTTGGCACTGAAGTTATTTTTTGTTATATGACATCTACAAGATCATGAGTTATAGAAAGACAATGACCAGATGTTTGTGTTTGGGGTCATTTATAAGACTCCAGAAAAGTCATGAAGCCTCAGAGGTCTACATACAGGACGGACACACATAATTTAAAACTACTAATTCTATCTCTCAGTATATGAAAGGAAATGAAAATAAGATACTGAAGAGGTATCTGCATCTCTTATTTATTGCAGCATTATTCACAATAGCCAAGATATGGAAAAAACATAAGTGCCCATTAATGGGTGAATGATAAGAGAGGTGTGGCAGATATAGATATATATATATATAAATAGCAAGAGAAAGAAAGACATCGTTCTATTTGTGACAACATAGATAGACCCCTCGAGGATATTATCCTAAGTGAAATAAGGCAGGCAGAAAAAGACAAATACTATATGACATCACTTATATGTAAGTATCTAAAAAAGCCACACTCATAAAAACAAAGTTAAATGGTGGTTACTAAGGATGGGAGGTGAAATAGGGGGACAGGAAAGATGCTACTTAAGTGTACACATTTGCAATGAGTAGTAAATAAGTCCTTGAGATCTAACACACATTATAGTAAATATAGATAGCAATATTGTATTATAATCATCAAACTTACTAAGAGACTAGAATTTAATTATCCCAACCACAAAAAAAAGAAATACTTATGCAATGTGACAGAGGTGCTAATTATCTCTACAATGGTGGCAATCATATTACAATATATAAATGTATTAATTTTTTTAAAACTATGTATTTACACAGAAATACAATTATTAAATTACATGCAAACTTAAGATAACACATATTATTTCTTTAAATATTTTTCTCATTAATATCATTCAAAAGATTGAACATAGATTAAATGACTTATATGAATCTTACTCATAAAAAGGGTTTTAAGAAACTGAAATGCCTCTTATACATTACCTGATATTTATCTTGCAAATTTGATTCTGTCATCTGTGCCCTTGTCAAATCTCTTTCAAATTGTTCTATCCAAACTTTTGTTTCCTTCAAAATTAGCCTGTCTTCTCTCTAGAAACCAGAACATATTACAATTTTATTAATAACTATGCATTTATTTAATTGCTGATTAATACCTGGCTGATTCTAGAATACACTGAATAGTTAATAAGTTCCAATTGTCTCTGAAAAACTTCCTCCTCTCCCTCACCTCCTTTGGAGAATGAGGGGTAAAAGTTTAAATTCTAGAAAAATAGCTTAATTATCTTGCTGAATACTAAAATTATCTACCTTTAGGCAGCCCGGGTGGCTCAGCAGTTCAGCGCCTCCTTCAGCCCAGGGCATGATCCTGGAGACCGGGGATGGAGTCCCATGACAGGCTCCCTGCATGGAGACTGCCTTTCCCTCTGCCTGTGTCTCTGCCTCTCTCTCTCTCTCTCTCTCTCTCTCTCTCTCTCTCTCTCTCTCTCTCATGAATGAATAAATAAAATCTTTTAAATAAATAAATTTTAAAAATGGTAATCATTAAAAATAAAATAAAACTATCTACTTTCATTCTTTTTTTAATAAACAGTAATTTAATTAACAAAGCAGGCTCAAGAGGAGATGTCCTAAATACAAAGATACTCAGAAAGAGCAATGGTTGGAATAAGACTGACAACATAGGCCTGGGGGTGCTTCTTAACCCACAGTTATTTGTACCTCAGAGGAGTATTCCAGATGAGATTTTTTTTCTTCCAATAAGATTAATTTTGACTGAATCAAAGGAGTTACAGTCACAGAACACTGTGGACTAGTATTATTTAAAAGTGCTATTCAGTATTACAACATAAGCTCATCCAAAATGACAGAAAATACTCTTTTTGCTCAATATGGTATTATTAGACCCTGGTAACACAGCACCTATAAAATATTTACCAAAATATTTCCTGAATGAATGCATCCAGGCTACCCCTCACATCTCAAAAATGAAAAAAAAAAAACCCAAATCCAGAGATTTATATAATTGTTTCCACAAATAATCACAAGCCTCTAGCATTGATTTAGTGAAAAATATCCTAATTTTTCACCAAGATTTCTTATCTCGTAAAAATGTAAAAGTAATCAAAAACACATTTAACATGGTTCTTGGCTCTTACAAATCACTTCCAACTACAGCATCTCACTTGATCACAGCCTTGTGACACAGATGAAATCACGATGACAGGTTAAGTGGCAGAGGAGATAGAGTGATGGCTGTGGAGGCAGGCAAAACTGGTTGCAAATTCTGGTTCTGACAAGTATCAGCTCTGTGACTTTGGACACATTTTTTTTTAATCCTCTCTACTGCTGTACCATCATATGAGTAGACACCACACACTGCTTCTCCGGTTTGAGGAAGAATTCAAGATAACCTCTATAGCACATCTAGCACAGACACTAGCACACAACTGTCATGATCCATGCCTCTTCTCACTTTCCAGTCTCACAAAAGCAATCTTGTCCTGCCTGAAAACATCTTCCTCTGGATAATGCCTTCTTCAGAGCTCAGCTCAGCACAACCTCTCTAGTAAGCTTTTCCTGACCCAGAAGTCTTGTTGGAGTGCCTCTTCTGTGCCAGCGGTTCTCACACATTAAGATGATCACCTCCAGGTGATTCTGTGCACTAGAATCACCTGGAGGGCTTCTGAAAGAAGACTGCTGGACACCACCTTCAGTCTTCCTTGGCTTAGTATGTCTAGGGTGGAAGCCAAGAATTTGTATTCCTAATAAGTTTCCAGGTGAATCTAAGGTCTAAGGACCACATTTTGAGAACACTTCTCTGATCTTGCAATAACTTGAGCTCAAATATTCACTGAAAAAGCATTATTTTGTATCATCTACTTAATTGTCTCTTCTTCTCCATCCATAGTACAAACCCCTTATGTATCTTATTTTTCTCTAGCCTAACACAGTGTCTGACACCACTGGAATAAAAATGAGATCCAGTCTCACTCAATATATCATAGTAGAATAAATTATTGGTATAATAGGTAAGTAGAGAAAGAAATGGAACAGGAGCCCAAAACTCCAAAGTTTTAGCTTTTCCTAAGATGGCTTCTCTGAATGAACAGATAAATGTGACCAAGGTACATGGTTTGCTGGTTGACCATCACACCCATAAAAGCACAATGGAACATTCTTACAAGGTTGGAGGAACTATATGCTCTTGGTTTACCTCCAAGGTACCAGAGGCCAATGTGACCACTCAGTGGGGGGTCGGGGGAGATCATCAAAGTGAGCATGGAACTTCACTGTGAGCCTCCAAGGACCTATTTCTCACCAATTGAAATTATTTCGCAAAGTCATTTGAGAGAAAAGATTATATTTTTAAAATAACTATTAGAGTTCATCTAGTAAATGACTTTTTACTGGTGAGGCAGTGTCAAGCAAATTGCAATAAGGTAAGAAGAATGTAGCTATTTCACACACTCAACATTCTCCTTTTAAGAAGAGATATTGTACAAAAAACATTTAGGTTCCCAGAGCCCAGTTAGTCCAGTGGCTTTTCTTCAACTGTTAACTTTTACATGCATTCAAAGACCTGGGTGTCTATTTGCCTACAGAAGACCACCTAAATTCCAGGCAGCCAACTGGGCAGTATTCTCATGACTTTTTCTTTCTCTCTTTTTCACTCAAACTTACAGGCATATTTACATGTTCTGTAGCATGTTCATGTGTACATCAACTTACAATTCATGGAGCATAAAATAGAAATTAATTTAACATGATATAAAGTTACTTTTCATTTTTATTCCAGTGTTGGCATAGAGTCTAGTTTGTTGATAGAGCCTTAACCTCAGGCCTATATGGAACATAAAGAAAGATAGAAAAAGTACAGGATAATTTGGAATTAGGAAAGAACTCAGAATCATTAATTCCACAAGTATATCTGAGCACTAATGAAAGAAACTTGTATGTCATGAACTTTATGAAACAAACTATATGACCAAATACTGAGCAAAAGGGATGTGATAAAACTCAGGATACAAGCTAACTGAATACTTACCTTTTTTCAAATAATTATTTCCTGCTTAATATTTGATAACATAAAAAAATCTTTAGCTTTATTTTTTTTCATATCACATATAAAGAAACCAAAAAGTTATTGTAAATTTTTCCTTTTATTAGTGCTAGTGACTGTTATTAAAAAGAAATTAATTGATGCTATCTTATAATTAAAGATTAGTCCATGGGAGTGGCTTAGACTGTAACTAACATTCAATAACACTTACCTATGTTATTTATTCTATTAGAAAGGAAAAGGAAATAACAGAATTAGTGCATTAAAAGAAATGTGTATATAAAGACAAATACATGCAAAGGAATGGCTAATAAACTATGGAATGTAGGATGATTGAAAGAGGTCACTAATTCAAGATTATTTAAATCTTACCTTAAAATTTTGGATAGAATTTGCAAAAGATGGAAAACCTGGAAGTATTTCCTAACAATATGAAAAGATAATATATAGAAAAATAATATAAATCATGGACAAAAATTATATAGGAAACAAGAAAAAAAACAATGGAGAGGCATTTGTCCATAAATAAATAGATGATAATTTTACATGTACAGGTACTTTAAGAATTTTCATAACCTTTGAAAGCATCAAAATAAGGTAATGTAGTATTCTAGCATTTCATGTTTGATTTTAACTTTTGGAAATATTTATATCTTGAAATATTAAGCATTTCATATGGTGAACTATGAAGAAGAGGCATATTAATTCATTTCTTTTCTCTTAAATACACTCATAAGATGCATCTCTGTACCCCTGTATCAACTAAGATGGTGCTGTGCTTCTGAGAGCAGTCAGTAGTATTTGTTGCAATGGAAGAAGGAATGAATGAATAAATAACTGAAAGTTTAATAGCTCAGAGAGAACTAATAGGAATATTTTATCTATTTATGATTGAGTGCTCATTACTCAAGGACACCTTTAGGTGTCCCTAAAACTTTTTTAGGGAAAAAGTTTATCAGTTTTATTGGTTGGCCTAAAATAGGCATAACAATGTCTATTTCCAATAAGAAAATCAGATTTGACGGGCACTGAGAGGGGCACTGGACAGTATGAGCACTGGGTGTTATACTATATGTTGGCAAATTGAATTCCAATAAAAAAATACAAAAAAAAAGATTTAAAAATCATAGCTATAAAGTACATAACTTAAATAAACTCATAAAGAGGATACAGCAATCAAATCCACCAAAAAATGGAATCCTGGGAGACGCACTGATGTTAAGCTTTCTAAAGGTGAATTAAAAGAACTATTTCCTAAAACTTAGAGAAATACTAAATATTTTAAGGTGATGCCATCAATAACCTTAATATATATACTCTATAAAATCTTAAAGTTTCACTAGATAAAATTAGGTGGCCATTTAGCTGCTTTACACAACTGAAAAATATATAAAAATACATAAAATTCCTCTTTTCTTATTGAAAATATTCATTTTTAGATGCTTATCCCCAACATTACAAATGCCACACTAAAAAGGGGCAAAGCTTATAATACATTTTCCTCAAAATTAATTTTTGAAATAACCCTGAAAAATGATATGTAGTCTCTTTTCAGGAAGGGATAAAGGAACTTTTAAAAAAAATCAGAATTTATTTTCTAGATAATGAAAGTAATCTCTTAATAAAACGTCTTTAGTAAAGCTTATTAACAAGCTTATGTCAGTAACAACTGTCTTCCAAATCTCGAGGAGTTTTGACATTGAATTCTTGCTCATGAGCATTAGCAAAAGCACCTCCTTTTGTTTCTCAGACTCAGCCAGTCACAGAGTTTACTCATCTGGAGAGATGATCAATGTCGTAGAAATTAAAACAGTACAATCTCAGAAACTTGATCAGAAATGAATTCAATTGGGTAATATAAGAACTTGTGATATGAAAATCAGATGGAAAGCTGATTTTCTCTATGCTGTATGGGTCGGGTCTAATATGCTTTCTAATAGAGTTTCTTATTCACACAGCAACATCCATACCCAATTATATTCTCAAAACCCAGAAAAGCCCCAAATGTCACCAAAGCACATGTATCAGTCTATGCTAGGAATTGTACAGATAGTTTGCTTTTGCTTCCTGTGGTGCTTCTTAGAAATACTTATCTTACTGACTATGGATAAGTTACTCGGGTGGTCAATGTTTGTGCCTGAATCTTGTCAAGGAACAAAACAGGTTTCCTGAAATGATAGTTTTTAAAAAAAAAAAAAACTAATGCAGTTCTATCAAATGTCAAATTAACTTCATCCAAGTAACCTAGGAAACACCAGTTACCATTGTTTAAGTTAATTTTTTATGAAGTCACAGATTTCTATTGTGTAATGCCTTTGCCTATTTGAAAATTTTGGGTTATGAGCCCCTCCTTAGCCTTTTCCTTTCTTAGACCTGTTTCTATTTGGAAAACATATTAAGTTTCTTGTTGTTTTCTTGTTTCTTTTCATTATAATCTCAAAATGTTTTGAAAATTCTAGTTGAGAACTGAGCAATGAGGTCAGACAAATAGTTTTAAAAAACACATCATGAAAACTCCATTTATTTCTCTCCCTGATGTCATTCTATCTTATAATTAATTTTAAATTCAATAGTAAATCCACCTCTCTATAATTAAAGAATAATAATAATACTTAAAAATTAAAAGAATGGAAATGTCCATTGTTAAAGCCTAGGAAAATAGATATTCTGGTGTGTGGCTAGAGTATAAAGTGGGACAAATTTTCTGCAGGAAAATTTGAAAACTAAAATTCAAAAAAGCATTAAAAATCTACATGCACTTTAGCCTAGAAATTCCACTTTTAAGGAAGAATAATAAAATGATGTTTTATTTATTTTTTTTTAATTTTTTTTTTAATTTTTATTTATTTATGATAGTCACAGAGAGAGAGAGAGAGAGAGAGGCAGAGACACAGGCAGAAGGAGAAGCAGGCTCCATGCACCGGGAGCCCGATGTGGGATTCGATCCCGGGTCTCCAGGATCACGCCCTGGGCCAAAGGCAGGCGCCAAACCGCTGCGCCACCCAGGGATCCCTAAAACGATGTTTTATTATAAAAGTGTTAATAGAAGTACTTTTTATAATGGCAAAAATTCAGAAATTTTCAACAATTAAGATTGGATAACTTATTGTACATATACATATAGATGATGTCCTGGAAAGAATGGCATAGGAAGAGTTTTCTATGATGTTAACAGAAAAAAAATGATGAAATTGTATGTATCTTATAATTCTATTTTTGTTAAAACATTATACGTGTCAACATATATATAGAAAAATGTTGGAAACTTATACCAACATATTAATTTTTTTCTAGAATAGGGTCTCTCTAGAAAATCAAGTACAGATAATTTTCTTTTTCCTTTTTTTCACTTTTTTCTTTATTATGACAATGAACATATGTCATTTGAGCAGTATGAAAAATATAAATGTTATTTAAACTATTGAGAGGCTGAAAAAAATTGAAAGGTCCTGAACAATTAGGACTTTTACAAGTTTGCCTTACTTTCGTATGTTTGTTTTGAGTAGTGACTTATATAATAAACCTAAAAGTCAAAATTAGATTTTCTCAGAATGAAAAGAATATGAGGGCTCCAGCTCTAGAGGCATGACATGCTGGATATAAAATTACTTCAATCTTCAGACTACTAACTGGATTTCCCAACATGACTATCTTTTCTCAGTTTTAATTCATCAGTATCATATGTCCAGCATTTATTATTAATAATACTTTCTCTCACATATCCAATATACACATCAGAAAAATCTTTCCCTGTAATCTTCTCCCTAATTGGTTATATCTATTATTTACTCAGTTGCTCCTTTTTTGCAATGCATTCCAAAATATAATAAAACAAAATGAAATGAAATAAAATAGTAAAATGTATTCAAATTTAATTTTTCAAAAGCATCATGTTAAAACATCTAAGTCACTATCATTGAGTGCGCTATCAATACCTGAAGAAAAAAATACTTACATCATTTTCTTGCCCATCAGTGCCTGTGTTGTGGATGTCAGGGTAATGCTTCAGAAATTGGGCTACATAGGTCATAATAGACTTCTCATCTGGTTTATCCACGTCAACATCTGGAACAACCAAAACCAAATGTGAACAAGTTAATTAGCATTCTTTCTATTTTAATAACACAACCTTTGAATCCTAGCTAACATACCAAAAGACACTATCCTAAATGCAGAAGAAAAATAGAATTAGTATTTCGAGACAGTGAGGGAGGGCAGACCAATTTAGTTTGGATGACACATGATGGGAATGTTGTGACACACAAAGATGAAACATTTTAACCAAGAAATTTTAGGAAGTAATGCAGGTTTCATTTAAATGATCTCAACATTAATTCACCAGAAATCTGAGATACTCTATGGTAATTCAGATATTCTGTGTCATTAATAAAACACAAATACTATGTAAATTTCAGAACTGAAGTGAATGGATAGAAAAAAAATGCTTACAGGTGTGGTGTTGAATGACGTGACTCTAGAGCTTGTATACTGTATCTGGCCAAATATAGAGAAGCTCCGTCTTATCCCCACAAATTTTATTTTGGAAAAGAGGGAGATGCCTTATGTTCAAATCCTTGGATAGACTCTCCCTTGTGCATGATTCTCTCTAAATTACTACACTTTGAAAAGTCAAGTACTCTGAAGGAAATACAGAGCCTGAAAACATATTTTTAAGTGTACAGATGTTTATCAAATAAAACCAGTAAAAATCAAGCAAAGGTATTTATATAAATTTAGTCATTATAGAGTTATACGGGGTAAGACTGCATACCTAAAGTGTTCAGTGTTTTAAATCATCTCTATCTCTTTTAAAGGCAATGAAAAGGTGATTACATTTGGAGTTTACAAATATTTACAGAGCAAAAATATAACAAAACAAACAAAACCCATGAAAACCAAAACATAACTAAACTGCCCTAACATTTTGTAATGTGCCTTGTTATCGGAGATATAATTTCTAGGGACACTCCCATTATAGTGGCAAATATTTTTCCAAAAGAAAATCAGTGCAGGAAAGTACTATTTCTTCCACTTTCCTAAAGTTTTCTGGCCTCTGATAAGTTCTCAGAAATTATTTGTAATTTCTGCCTTTAAGACATAGGAACGTAGAGAGTTGAAATGTGTGTACAAGAACAAACAATTACTCCTTACCTTCAGGATCCAACAGTCTGGGGATTCCTAGTTCTGTTTCAGCAATAGTGAAAGCCTCCTCCAGGTTTTCCTGGTTAGATCTCCCTTTCACTTTCTCCAAGTCCACTAGTTCTGGTCGAATGGCATGGATGACAGAATGGAAGGCAACCCCACTCCTCCAACTCCGCCCAAAGTCCTTTACTTCTATTCCCGTCTGCCTTAGTGTGATAGAAAATAAAATATTTATTTAATGTCACATTCTGAATAGATAATATGCACTTTCCTCAAGGACTAATGCCAAATCCAATCCTCAGCAATGATGTGCAGTTAGTTATAGCAGTTAGCTGCTTGAAAAAAAAATAAGCAAAACAAAAATTTTAGAGAATAACAAGATAAGAAGGAGTTTTGTTTCCATACTTTGAGTTTTCCATATTAAGCTTTTCAGTAACTGAGATACTCAATTTAAAGCACATTTTAAAAGGAAACTAATAGGGGCACCTGGGTGGCTTAGCGGTGGAGCATCTGTCTTTGGCTCAGGGCGTGATCCTGAGATCCGGGATCAAGTTTCACATCAGGCTACCTACACGGAGCCTGCTTCTCCCTCTGCCTGTGTCTCTGCCTCTCTCTCTCTCTCTCTCTCTCTCATAAATAAACAAATAAAATCTTTAAAGAAATAAAAAATAAAAGGAAACTAATATAGAGAAAACATGTCAGGCAAAATAAAAAAGAAACTTATAAAAACACCAAAGATGAGAGTAATTCATCATTATATATTTTTGAAGTCTCTAGTGCATTTCTAATGACAATGATAAACAATGATGTACAATGTCTTGTACATGTACAGATATTAACATGCCAAGATAATACGGCTGAATTACATCAAATGCTTTAGAATGAACAAATGCAAATGGATGTGACCATCTCTCAATCAGTCACACAGGAGCCTACACTCCACATAAGTCCACACAAGCTTCCATTTACACCACTGATCAAATAGTTTTTTTAAAATCTGTTTTTGGAATTGCCTTGACAGCAATGTCCTGGTGGCAAATATCTGTTCTTCTGTGGTAGATATGATTAATTCAAAGTCAGTTACGATAATTAAGACTTCATTCAAATTGGTAGTAATATCTGCTAGTGAAAATAAAAGTGTACAAGCTCACAATGATTTTTTTACATGTAATTTATCAACTATATAAACTGTATACGAAAGCAGCTCCAAAAAGGAAGTTGTGAAGATGTCTTTGAACAACATTCCTTGGTTAAGTTTAGAGACCCCCAAAAGTGATCAATTAGATGACATTCAATTGATGAATATTCTGGTAGTCTCTTTTTTAAAAAAATTAGTCTCATTATAGTTGTTTCTAGATGAAGCAGAGGTAGTATCACCTAACACCCCCCCCTTTTTTTTACTATAATCTCAAGATTTCCATGAAGTGTAGGGTATATTTGACTGATACACTGATTAATATACAAAGTTGGTAAATACCCTTAGATTTTATCTCTGCAACCTTAAGAGTCACTTTAAATCCTGTTATACCAATATACATTCAGCTTGCATAAAACGTCTTGGGCTGAAAATAGCATCATTGAATCCCATCAATAAGTTCAAAAATAAATATTTCCAAAACAATTTTGTAAGATTTCGGTAATTATAAAGTAATCCGGTATCTCCTTTTAGTTGTTTCAGGGTTTCTGTCTCTGGTAGTTCGCATCCAGTATATTCAGCCAAAGTCTGGCACATGGGCAAATACCCACACAGGTGGAGCAGGTCACTGTGCTCTTGTCACCTCTTCACTTTGTACATTTGCCCCTGGCTTCACCTTACTTTTCCACCTACATTTTCCTTTTGGTTACACTTACATATTTTTAAATGTTTTTGTGTTGACAGTTACTTCAAATTGTATTTTAACAAAATAAGGTGGGTATAAATAAATAATTAGCTAGCAAATATTCATTATGTATTAGATATTTTCTGACTTTCCTCAACTTGTTTATTGTTTCAGATATTTTTAAAAAGAAATATATAAAATATTTCCCTACATATTACTGTTGGAATAATTTTTCAAGTTTTAGTACATTTTCTTTTTCTGTATTTTTTGAACATACACACATACACACACACCCCTATAATGTTTCGTATTACATCAAAGCAGTAGGTGGTATTCCTAAAAAGTTTTAGTTTTAGTTCAAGTCTCTCATTTAAGAATCTTTGATATAAATTCTAAAAAAAGTAAATATGTTACTTAAAGAAGTGTTACAAACTTCCAGAAACTTGGACACATCACTTAAAGTGATGAAGTATATCCAGTTTATATGCATTTCTGCTAATACATATTTACTTCAAGTTATCATTCAAGATAGATCATCTTGAATGGATCATCTTGAATGGATCTGGATATACAGATTTTCATTTGTTTTGCTATCTTATTAATTTTTGTCTTGAAATACAATTTTATTCTTAGACATCTCAAAATCAAGTTTGCAAATATCAAATATGCTATAATTTAATGCTTTTATGTCTGAGAGTATATATTTCCTATCAGGAAATGAAATTAGTAAAAAACACAATAGAGAAGGTTTAATCATATTACATCACCAAAACAGTTTTTATTCACTTCTCACATATTTTGAAATTTTATATGAAAACAGTGAATATATTCTGACAATATGTCTGGTGTTTACTGGATATTTTGTCATTTCTTGTCATGTTCAGTCCTGTGAGACTGATAAACAGACCACAAAGTATCACACATTATAATTTTAAAAACATGTCTATACTTAAATAGGTATAGATAGTTAAGTATTTATCCATATCAGTAGGAAAGTTGCTTGGAAAATACAGAGTAAGATAGCATTTTTTAAAAAGGCAGCTTTTAGGAAAATTATCAACAATTTGGTAGGTATAATGGAATTATGTGTTCATCACAGAATTTTTGTTAGAGAACAGTCCTCTCCCCAAATCTCTCCCCTTGATGCAGCTGTAGAATAAATGGATCTCACTCATACGCTGATGGGTGGAAAAGCCTTGAATCATAAATCTGGACATTTATTCAGATAAGGAAAATACAACTTGCACTAATGTTACAAATATAATGTTTGCAGGACTGACTTTTAGGTCATTAGGCCTCTGCATATTTTTGAAAGCTAACACACCATATAAAAAACAAAACCAAGGCAGAAAAACTCCAAAAAATTTGAGTTTACCTTAAGCTACTATAATATTAAGTAGAAATCAATTTATTTTCGGTTAATTTAATGCTTTGTGGAGCAATGGGCAAGAGAATATCACATTGATATTATTACAAAATTTTGCTGCAATAGCATAACAAATATCCTAGTGTGTGGTCACCTGTCTCTTCCTGCCTAGTACATTTCTTCTCTCTGTTTAATTAAGCTGCAAAAGAGTTTAGTAATTGCCACTGTGGATGGCATGCAAACAGTATACCAGCAATGTGGTCAGGTTTTCAAAATTTCATTTCTACTACAGATTCTAAAAAGCCACAAAGCTTTGCTTTCAGAAATATTTTTGAATACAAGTTGAATCATAAAAATATACCCCAAATTAGAAATCCACCAACACACTTTAAAAGTTAAACAAAACTATATAAAATAGTAACACTAATTACATCTTCTCTATGTTTAGTTTTTCTCTCTTTATTTTTGCTCTTTAAACACTTTAAAAATAGAACTCCCTAGGTTTAAGTGCTTTAATATTTTATAATAATAAGTACTCATTGAAAGGTATTTTTCAGAAGTAGAGGGTAAGATTCAAATTAGATTTAGGCATGTAAAAGCAAAACAGAAAGTAAGTTAATTTTACATGTCATTTAGGAAGTCATACAAAAACACAACTTCTTTATGAAGAGATCTTACTACTGACCACATCTGACCACAAAATACTGGTAGTCTCAACTGAAAATGCTCTTGAAATTGCTTTGAAAAGATACTCATTGAGAGCTGTAATTTTCTATCATTATCACATGAATGTACACACATATAAATTTATTAGGCCCAGAAGCAAATCCACAGTCTATAAAACTGAGGTTGACAAAGGAATTTACATTCCAGATGAAAGAGGAGACACAAGGAAAAAGAATTTTAAAATAAAATTGCTAGAAAGTTTTGGGAAACAAAAACAAATATAATTATTTCAGAATGTGGGCCTTAGTTCCATTATTATTAAATAGAACTCAACAATCTTGTGAAGAGATAATCACATTTAAATCTCTAATTTATTTGTGTAAGGATTATTTAATAAAACAGGAAGTCCAAACAATGACCTAAATATAATTACTCCTCAAATTACCAAAGCGTGTGTTAAAAAAACTTAATTGGGCCCAATCACATGAATGGTGAAAGAATTAGTTTGATTATAGCATTTTCCTAGAATATCAGTGATGATTTCTGTTTATATTTTAATTCGAGGAAAGAATGGAACAGCCTGAAGCAAAGCCTTTCATTCAAATGTCTCTTCAAATTCTGCAATATTGGAAGGGACTCTCAGTAATAAATTGGTAACCAAATTATTCAAGGGTTTCAAATTTAAACAAACTCTTGGTACTTACTTGGCTACTGTGTACTGGACCCACTTTAATAAAGCCTTCTTAGCATTTCCTTGAATCTTGGTGGCCACTTTCCGTTTACTTGGGGGGCTGGCAGTCTCAGCACTAACCATGCTATCCACAGAGGATGTGCTGCCAGACAGAGACTGCAGCTGTGGCAGGTTGCTGGTCAACTCCTCAATCTGTTTGTGAGTTAACAGTTGGCAAAAACATAAGAATTATCTTGTTCTTATTTCCTTGGATGTTTTACTTTTCCAACTAAGTGATTTAAATTCCCACCCTTCACCCATTGACAAAGTAAGCCCTTAAGGGCACGACTGACACTGTACTTGGCTTCCTACTTCCCACTGCATCTGAAACTACTTTATACACAGTAAAAAATACTTGTTAAACACATGAATGAATGAATAAAATAAAACCTAATGGTTATCCAAACTCATAGAGCATACACCAATAGTGAACACAAATGTAAACTATGGACTTTGAATGATAATGACTTGTCAAAATAGGTTCATTAATGGCAACAAATGTATCACCCCAGGGGAGGATGTTGGTTATGGGAGAAGCTACACATGCTGTGCAGACACATAGTAAATGGGAAATCTCTTTTTGTTCAGTTTTACTGTGAATCTAAAACTGCTCCAAAGAATAACCTTTAAAAAAATAAATAAAACAAAACCTAAGTGTCTGGCTTCAGCTCAGGTCATGATCTCCAGGTCCTGGAATAGAACCTGGTATCAGGCTCCCTGCTCAGTGGGGAGTCTGCTTCTCCCTCTCCTTCTGTCCCTCCCCCTCACTTGTCATCTCTCTCTCTTTCTCAGATAAATAAATTAAATTCTTTAAAAAATTAAAATTTAAAAAATTCAAACAACCTAAAGGCTAGAATAATTATTCTAGATCCCCTTAATGTCTAATAGGAACATACAACTTGTGCCTTCCAGAAAAGAACAAATATTTTCTTGAACTCTTTATACACCAATATTTCATCTCCATTGTGCCTTGCTCACTTTTCAGATTGAGTACCTATACCACAGTTCCTTGGGAGGAGTTCCATATATAATGTCTTTGGTAACAAAGAACAATGTATATGGGAAGGTCAAGTTTCTGCTCACTTAAGAATCAACCCCAAAGGTAGGTAAATGAGAGTATTATTAAAATTTCCACCACTACCTCCATCCATGACATTATATCAACTGAAAAGGGAGCTATGGTACAATACCTGGAAATATAGAATAATGGTCCACATCAATCCAAGAACTATTGATGGTCGGCCATCAGCTATATCAGTGGAGTTAATGTTGACTAATTTAATCTGTTTAAAAAGAAAAACTGTACTAGTAATGTACTAGAAGATTATAGACCCTTAATTATTCAATAATTAGCACTTTATTAGACATCAATAACATTTGGTCATGCCTATGTAGTGGTACATAAAAGTAAGTAGGGTGAGCCATCAAAACAAACAGGCACATGGTTTCAGTGGAAATTTCAGGAGCATTCATTAGGTGCACACAACAAAAACAACTATAGAATGAATTTCAAAAACTTGTTTAAAATTTTAAAAATGTGACATCATGCAAGGAATTACCAACAAAACACACACAGGAAAAAAAATGTTATTTGTTTACATTCAGAAGCTGACTGGAACTTAAAAGAAACTGTGATGAGTAGTTTAAGAAAATGCACTTACTTTGAAGTTTGTTACCAAATAGCATGAAACTTATGTTCTCTTTTACCTATAAAAGTCAGGAGTTAAAAATTCTAAAATTTGTACTAACCGGTGATCCTCTGTACATGGACTGACATGAAAAACAAAGGGAGAAGATGATATACATATATAAATAATGTTTCAAAATCAGAGTTATTTGTTCAAAGGGAATAAAAACATAGGTAGTAAATTTAGAGCATAATTTGGGGGAATACATTATAAAGACAAAGGAAAGCCAAGAAATAATTAAGTAGAAGAGAACTTTAGGGTTCAGTTCCTGACTTTTGGGCCTTCAGGATAGATGTTAACTTGTCTACAGTTGTCTTCAATTATTTTATTTTAATGCCTTCTCAACTATTAAAAATGTTACTCCCTAAATCCCAGCAAAATAGACTATACGGTAAGTCTATCTCAGCCAATCAATAAAAAATACAATTAACAACTGCTCATCATCCTTTCCATAATCTCTAAATAAATCAGAAAAAATTAAATACTCCTTACATTACTTGCTCAATAATTCTTAAACATGATTTAAACATGTATTATTAATAATAAAGTTCAGAATTTTGTAAGTGGTTTACTTTTTAAAAAGTATCAGATGCAAAATCATCCCACAAATACTTTACTCTGGAGTAATTAGTTTATATTTACTAGTAGAGTAAAATCACAAAGTTACTGTAAATAATCTGAGATATACCCATGGAATTTTGTCTCACTGATGAAATTCATTCATCAGGTTTAGAGACAGAAAAGAAAATTGAGAACTTCCATAGATTACAAGCCTATGTGTCAACTTCTTTTAAACCTAGCACAGCATGAGACATATAATACATGTTTATGGAAAATGAAGAACATCACATTTTTTAACCTTTTATGACAGAACCTATTGCTATGTCCATAATCATTTTGATTACTCTTGTTTATAGCTTCTTCAGAATTTTCTCCACATCCATTTTAGCAACCACAGGGCACAGATATATAATACACGTTAATAACCATAAGATTAATGCATTCCATAAAGAGAAGATTATTTCTCTTTCCTTACATATCATGCTTTTTAAAAATGACAAGTTGAATTTCCTACTCAATTTCCTTCCTCAATCCAGCTACACCTGTACTATGAAGTTAACATATTTAATTTGTTCAACTTCTGAAGAAAAAAATGTTCTTCATACCTATTTTTTCTCTTAAAAACTGTGTGTTCCATAATGGGGTCATGGAACTTATTCTTATGGGTTTATGGAACTTATCCTATTAAATTCTTACTAGCCTGGGAGTGTGGGATGGGCAAGAGAGACATTCAAAGAGAATGAAGAATTCCCAGAAACTACAAAGAGAATGGGATCACATTGATGGACTTCACCTTTGACCTGCTGACCTTGGGCATGCAACCCCAGCATATGCTTTAACAAAACCTCTAGGTTTTATTGATTCTGGTGCATGTCAGTGTTTGAAAATCCCATACTAGACAACTGTACTTGGCCCATGTCATCAGAGGTTTGATTTTGCAAGCCAGAGACCCATATTGTCTGATGTATGTTCCCCCCAAATTCACATGTTGAGGCCCTAACCCCCAATGTGACTGTATTTAGAGACAGGGCTCTCAAGGAGGTAATTAAGGTCAAATGAGATAATGTGAGTGGGTCCTAATCCAATAGGACTGGTGTCCTTATAAGAAGAGGAGAAGACACTAGAGCTCTCTCTCTCTCCACATCTATACAGAGGAAAAGCCATGTGAGGAGACAGTGAGTACGTGTGTCTGTCTACAAACAGGAAGAAACAAAGAAGCCAGCTCTGCTGGTACCTTGATCTTAAACCTCCAGCCTCCAGAACTGTGAAAAAAATAAATTTCTGTTATGTAAGCCATCCAGTCTGTGCTAGTGCTATGGTAGCCATAGCAGACTAATATAAGGCCCACAGATGTTTCAAAAGTATATTCAAATTATTTGGGAATAAATTTAAAATAAGACTCCAGATTACTAGCATTTCTTGCTAAATTGGGAAACCAAACAAATGGATGCGTTGCCACTTTATACTAGTTACTTTCTACAATGAGGTGTCAAGTGAGTCATTCTAACCAGTGATACAGGTAGCCAACTATCTGCATTACTTAGTAAATAGCTTAAACAAATAATTAGATTTCAATAAAAATCCAGATTGCTGACTTTTCTTGTTGAAGTGGAAAATCTGGGATCCCTGTGCTTCCATTTCACTGAGGCAACTATGGTCAGAACTGAATGTTCACTTTGTTTTCCAGACAGGGCCCAAGATTGCTCAGTTCTCCTATTTCCATGGGTAACCTCTAACTCACTTCATCTTCAAGATCACCTATCTGACTTCATAAGAGTCTAAATTTATGTCCCTAGTCTGCACTAAGGAAAGTTTTAGGAAAGTTAGTCAGTGGTTGGCTCCTTTTGTTACTGTTTACCTGATACCTCACTGGAGAAAGAAACTGGTAGAAATGGCACCAGATCATTCGAGTCACATTTACAGGGTTCCTAACAGGTAGTAATGTATGCTTTTTTTCCACTGCCCTGTAAACAAGTGGAAAATAAACACAATGGTAGGGTTTTCTTCAGTAAAATTTTAGGAGTGCCCTCATTATTCCTTAAATCAAGCTAGAATCCAAGGACTAAACTAATTTTCCATTATCTAAAGAAAAAAATATAAATGGAGGGCAAGGTAAGTCCAAAGGTCAAAAACATGTTCTTAAAATTCTTAAAAATATGTTTGAGACATAAGTTCTTAAATTATTATTTTTAAAAAATTAAAATAAATAGTGAGAAGGTGGGCACCAAAAAAATCTTTAAAAACTCATTCCTCCCCACAGTCATTTTTATTACTTAAGGTTGTTTTGTGAAAATGACCTTGGATAAAACAAGTCTGTGAAAATAAGATTTTTTTGGTCCTCTTTGTAAACAATGCCTTATACATTAAGTTCTTAAGTTTTCTCCAAAACATTAATAAGAGGAATTTTGTTTTTATATTCTAGCAAATAAAGGATAGCTCAGAACAAAATAAGACATCATTGTCATATAGGTAAAATGGAAGACTGAATGATTTGGAAAACTATAAATATCTTGTTAAACATGTTTTTTTCTGCTTTCTATGAAAAATTCATGGAGGAAGCTGGAAAAAGAGAAACACTCCATTAACAATGATATTAGTGATCCAGAAACAATGTCCAATATTCTATAAGAAGCTAATATTGTTTTTCTACATCATCTTAATGTCCAGACTCTCTTTTTGGCATGGAATCTGCACAACTGAGTGGACTTTATATTGTTTTATAATAGTATCAACTGATCAAAATATATATTGTTCAACCAGCAGAATCAAGTTTTTTTGTATTTTCCAGAGTTCTTAAAATAGAAAGTATTCAAATATGCATTTGGGCAATAAGTAAATGAATTTAGTGCAGATAGACTTTGAAGGAAATAGTTGAATCATTCTGTTTTCCAGGAGTATCTGCATATCCACTTATAAAGCTGGTTTTGGTATTGCCAAACACAGACACCTGAATTCTCATAAGTTAGGAAAAGGCTAAATCTAAATCAGTTGGTGCAACTGATTCGGAAGGAAATATGGCAATACCTAACAAACTACATATACATTTATCTTTTGACTCTGCAATCACACTTTTAGGAATTTACTCAGAAAATACCCTTCTAGTAGTGTGAAAGTACTGTGGACAGCCAGCCATTAATTGCATCATTGTGTTTGAAAAATACCAGAAACAACCTAAATGCCCCTTTATAGAAGAGTAGTTGAATAGACTCTGGCACATCCAGATAGTGAATGCAGCCTGTGAAAATGAATGAGGAAGATCTTTAAGAATTGATCTGAATAATTTCCAGGATACACTGTTAAATGAAAAAAGCAAAGTGGAGGAGTGTATTATAGGATGTTACCCTTCATGTAAAAAAAAAAAAAAAAAGATGGTGGATGAAAATACATCTGCTCATTAGTGCAAAAGAAATGCTGGAAGAATCAATCTGAAGCTAAAGAGACTGGTTCCCTAAGATGAGAGGAAATGGAAGAAAGAGAGATGAGACTAGAATAGCAAGGATAAAGAGGGGGTGCCTTCTCTAAGCATAACTTATACTCTAGGAATCGCAGTAATGTCTCATTCCTCAAAATAAAAAATAAAATAATCATAATAACTAAAGTTAACTAAAATGTATGTGTGTATGAGGGGGTATTCTTCAAAACTGATTGATTGATTACCTAACTCTATTACAAATGGCTAACAAAATCACACTGAAGGGAATGAAAAAGCAGAAGTAACCTAAGCAAATTTGGAAAAACAGTCTTTTGACTGAATACTGTAATATCAAAGACCAAAAGAACAAATCTATTTCTCACAGGGGTGTGGTGAGCAATTCTTAAACAATTTTATGTCTATACGAGGATTAAAAAAGAGGTGAATTCATTGTAGGTGAGGGCCAGGTTTCTCGCTGTCAGAGGAAAAAGCAGCAAATAAGCATAGAAGGCTATAATGAACCTTGCAGCACTGGACTGGAAACAGTAGTATCAGTTTAAACTAATGGTACGTACACACACACACACACACACACACACACACACACACGAGGCAAGAGGGGAGAGAGAAAACACACAGATGCATATCCTGGGTTAGTAAGCATTCATATTTCCTAGATTTGTCTGTTGAGAGGGCCCAGGGGGAATGAAACTTCAGTAGCAATGAGTATACCAGCACCTAAATGTCTCTCACTAATAAAAGGAACAAAAACCTGCTTAATGAAGTGGCTGATTCTAGAACTGGGGTAGTGAACATATGAGATAAATGGGGAAAATCTGTAGTTCTGGAAAATGAGGAAATGCATGGAAACGTATGGAGCTGTGTCAAAAGAGTTACAGGAGCCAGCCTGAAGGAACTCTCAATAGCCAAAGCTGGAATGATTTGAGCAGAATAATAGTAACAATAATGACAATAATAATAATTGTAGGATTGGATTACATTTATAGAATAAAATAAGTTCATGCCAAAGTAAATAATTGAATAAATAAATAAATGGTGGAGGGGGGAAAGGACAACCTTTTCTTACAAAATAATTTCGATTAATACATGTGAAAGGACTGAGGGAAATGAAATCACCATTAGATAATTACAGAAACAATCACTGAAGGCGATTAATGCTAAAATCAGTGAGCAAAGTCTGCAGACAAGCAGGATTTGGCATAATCTCAATTACTTCCCCTAAATTGTTCCTCATTATAAAGAAAAAAATAGTATCTTTATCATAAAAAATATAACAGAGAGCCTTACCAAGTGATTGAGGTTAACATGACCAGCAATAAGACGTAACAGAATTCTATATGCGCTAACATGATACCCTGAGAAGAATACATCATTTCCTTGGAATTCTTGTCAAAAATGTATAACCTCAATCTCGAGAAAACATCAAACACAAATTGAGAGGCTTTCTGCAAAATAACTGATCACCAGCTACTATCAAGGTCATGAAGGACAAGGAAAGACAAGGTTGTAGAATGGAAGAGACCAAGGAGCCACGACAATTAAATTCAAGGAATGTTACTGGATTGGATCCCCGAGAGAAGTAAGAAATAAGTGGAAAAAATAGATGAAATTAGACTAATGTCTATGCTTTAATGAATGGTATCACACCACATTAAAATTCATTCTTTAATAATTGTGGGATATATATTTTATATATATAATAATGTATATATTATGTAAGTTCTTCATTGCATTAGAGGAAGCTGGCCAAAGTATAGACAGGAAATCTTTCTACAGTATTTTGCCACTTTTCTATAAATCTAGAATTATTTTACAATAATGTTGCATCTTTTGCTGTATAATTTACATGCACTGTTTTTACTGCATAGCCAACACTGAAAAACATTAGTATGACTTCTTGTTTAAAAAGGTGTTTTGTTTTGTCTCTCTCTTACCTTCCTTCCTTCAAGGAACTTGAGTGCTGTGCCAATATTAGCAACAGCATGGATCCGCTTCATACGGCGTCCTTGTTCACAAGGCTATAAACAGGAAGGAATAGCAATAAATAAAAATGCACACATTAAAAAGATAATTATGAAATCTATTTAAATGGATTAAAATATATTCAAAGAATATTCAAGAACAATATTACTCAATTTCTATAAAAGTTAGTAGACACACAAAGGAGCATTATCCCCACAGCACTTGGAAGGTATACTAATTTACTCAACAAAGATTCATTCCCAACTTATCTGTTGGCGCATGTGCCTGTCAGGTTTCTGTATGCCAAGAGCAGAAGTCTGCAAAATTCCCATGCCATCTATTGAGACTGTCCCTCCTATATGTTAGGAAACATTTATATGAAAACTGCTCTTGGTACATGTGTGGGAGCCAGAGATATATGGGAAATCTCTACACTTTCCTCTCGACTTTGTTGTAAACCTAAAACTCCTTTAAAAAAAAAAAGTCTTTAAAAAAAGACTTGGTCACACACCATTTCTTTTTTCAGTCATACTAACATGAAAGGTTACTGAGAATATCCGTAACACTTCTTGTTTCAAATGACCAAAATACATGGCGCATAAGAGCCATGGTTAAAAAGGAAGATTGCCAGGAATGAAAATGGTATTCACACACTCGCATGTCTGGTACAAGGACACTCTAACTGACTTGCATTTGCATTATTAAAATGCATTACGTGCTTTCTGTGTGCCACAATATTATCTCTAAAACTCAAAATAGTTTCAATAAAGTAGATATCATTAGCCTCCTTTACATATATGGAAAATAAATGGATAAGTGTGGTGAAGTAATTCTCCGTGGTTGTATAGTTGGTAACCTGGTCTCTCCTCTGTGACACCAGAACTCTAAATAATCTTCCACTAAAACTCAAAACTGCCATCTTTTATATTCTAATTATGGTGTACCAGGCAATGATTTTTATAATATGACTCTAAACAAATATTTAAATAGAAAATGAGCTATTTTACTTTTTATTTATTCTCTCCTTGGAAACCTCTGTTAAGCATGACAGTCTCACTGTTGATCCACACATGGCCCACTTAGTTATTTCATGAGTTAACTTTTATAATGTATGAAGCACCTATAAACCTTCCAACTAAGACGAGGCCAGGGCCTAGAAATTAAGTACAAAAGCCACACCCCTCAATACCATCACCATCTATTTCATCCTCCTGCCTTTCTCTACCCATGGCAACCATTATAAAATCCAGTCCAATGCTTTCCTTTTTATATAGATTCATTTCATTTATATTCATTTATGAAAAGTATTTATTTCAGTCTTTAATTTTATATATAGGATATCATAATATTAATCTTTTGAGGCTTACTTTCCCATCTAATACTGTGTTGCTGAGATTCATCCATGTTCTTGCTGTCACTGTATTTCATTCATTTTGACAGCTCTTTGCCATTTTTCAATGAAATCTGGGTTATTTTCAGGTTATTACTTTTTTTATTATTTTCAGGTTATTTCTATTGTGACCTATGCTGATAGAAAATCGATGTACATCCCATGTTTGGTACAAGTATAAGGAGTTTTCCTTGGTTGTAAACCTAAGAGTGAAACTGCTGGGTCAGAGGGAATGTGACTTTGAACTTCTAACGTAAGGCCAAACTTTTCCAGAGTGTTTGCATTTCTTTCCACTCTTGTCAGCAATGCAACAATAATTCTATGGATGCATATCTTGTCCAACACTTGATTTTGACAGATATTAAATTTTTTTTTCACTTGAATGTATTGTAGCATGGTCTTTTCACTGAGGTCTTCATTTACATTTCCCTGATCAACAATGATATCAACATGTCTTCCTCTAATCTCTGACAATGTCTATTTCTCTTGCAAAAATGCCCCCTTCACATCTCTTACCCAGGTTTTCCTTGAGTGTTTGTACTGTTGATGTTTTGAAAATGTACCTTCTGTATTCTTGCCATAATCTTTTCTTAATTTTTTTTACTTCATGTATTGTGAATATCTTTGACCCATTTTTTTTAAAAGATTTTATTGATTTATTCATGAGACACAGAGAGAGGCAGAGACACAGACAGAGGGAGAAGCAGGCTTCCATGCTCCCTGCATGGGACTCCAGGATCCGGGTCTCCAGGATCACACCCCGGCCTGAAGGTGGCGCTAAACCACTGAGCCACCGGACTGCCCTCTTTGACCCATTTTTAACTTCTTTTGTCATTTTCTTTAAAGGTTTTTAATTTTAAGATATCTTTAATTCTAATACAGTCAAATGTAGCAATCTTTTATAGTCAATATTTTATGCCTTACTATTTTTCCCTATTCAAATGTCTAAAAGATATTCACCTATATTTTCTACTAAGAACTTAAAGAGTTTTTGCCAGTAGGTTCTACTCCATGTATATTTGATTTTTGCATAGGTCATGAGATAAGGATTCAATTTTATCTTTTTATATTAGGATAAACTTTTTTCTATTTTATTTATCAAACAGTCTCTCCTCCCATCCTCTGATCTGATAGCCACTTCTGACATATATTAATGTTCCATTCATGCCTTGATCTGTTTCTGACCCTACTGCATTTGTCAGTATGTCCATACTTGCACCAATACCACACTGTCTTAAGTGATGTAACTTCACTGTAAGGCTTGATATCTAGTGAGGCAAATACCATGTGGATGTACCCTGGCAAAGTGAGCAAGTTATAAACATCTATTGTATTGTCCCTCTCAAGTTTGCATCTATTTTTAATACAACTTAATCTGCCTAATACAGTGATCATCCCTACCAGGCTACAAGGTCTTACAAGGCTCTGACCATATCCCATTTACCTTTGTCTTCCTTAGAGGGCATAAGGTAGTGTCTTATCCATAACAGAACTCCAGAAATGTTAGCTGAACGGATATTCAGTGGATAATACCAAGCTCAGTTGCAGATTTGAGATCTATTCTAAGTATATGATCAATGACTAGTAAAGTTACTTAGTAAATATTCAGGGCTTTTTGATGCTCCAGATTTCCTAAAAGCACCCAGTGTGCATTTTTTTTGCAAGCTTATTTTCTTCATAAATACTTTATTGAAATATAATGACAAAAAACATTATATTAGTTTCAGGTATACAGATTAATGATTCAGTATTTACATACATTGCAAAATGATGAGGACAGTAAGTCTATTTACCATACACAGAATTTTTTTTCTCATTATGACAACTTTCAAGATCTATTGTCTTAGCAACTTTCATATATGTAATAAAATATTATCAATTGTAATCACTATGCTGTACATGACTTACTTATTCTATAACTAGAGGTTTTGTACCTCTTGATCCCTCTTATCTGTTTGGCCTACGCCCACTCTTCTCCCCTCTGGCCATTGCCAATCTGTTCTCTTATCTATGAGTTTTGTTTTATTATTTGCTTTGTTTTTTAGAATCTACAAATAAGTGAAATCATAGAATATTTGTCTTCCTCTGTCTTATTTAATTTAGCATAATATCCTGAAGGTCTGTTTGTGTTGTTGCAAATGGCAAGATTTCATTCTTTTTCATGGCTGAGTAGTATTTCATTATATATATATGGAATATATCCATTATATATTCTTTATCCATTCATCAATTGATAGATGATTAAGTTGTTTCCATGTCTTGGCTATTGCAAATCAAACTGCAATGAGCATAAGTTTGCATATATCCTTTTGAATTGGTGTTTTGTTTTCTTTTATTGTGTACTTTTAAGTGGATTGTTAGGCTTCTCCCTAATGCAAAATGTTAAGGAGTTTTTTAAAGAGAAGGTTAACAAAATGAATAAGAAATAAGTTTCTCGGGGCAGCCCGGGAGGCTCAGTGGTTTAGCACCACCTTCAGTCCTGGGAGTGATCCTGGAGACCCGGGATCGAGTCCCACGTCAGGCTCCCTGCATGGAGCCTGCTTCTCCCTCTCCCTATGTTTCTGTTTCTCTCTGTGTCTCTCATGAATATATAAATAAAATCTTAAAAAAAAATAAAGAAGTTTCTCTGCAGTCCTTTAAACTCTATTCATATTGCTACTATTATATCTAATTTTTCATGGCAATTTGTAATATTCTTTAAAAAAAATCCTAAGTGCAAATTAAATTTAGTGTTTCTACGTTTATGTGCAATTAAAGATATATAATCATTGATCCATTTAATAAAGAGTAATGTTCCACAAGTAATAACCAAAGAATGTGCAGAAATCTAAGAACAGTAATTAAAAAACTAAAAATATTCTGTCTTTAAATATAATCATAGAGATTTCTCAAGAGATGCTGGCAGTGCAAAGGCATTAAGCCTTCTGGCCACATCTCCCAGATGATCATGGTCAGAGTCAGAGGCCCAGACTATGTGAACCCTAATGCTAAGCATAGTGTTCTTAATAGAATTATACCTATGAGATATTATAGAATTCCTGAATAGTGTTAACATTCCTGAAGGAAATGTTCTTACCCACATTCTCCCTTTGAAAGCTCTAAAAGAACACATAGGATATTCATTCCCTCAAATGATGCTTTTCATGTTAATGTGGTCATTACCATAACGACATCTACAAAATTTAAATAACCATTTCCAAGGTTTATTTATTTGCAATTTCAGAGTAATCTAATTTTATGTAATTCAGAATCTTGACGGGCTCAATATAAATAAATAATAAAGGTTAAATTGGAAATTGTCCTTGTATGTCTGTTTTCTTATCTGATACTTAAGAATGCTAAAATTCTTAAAATCTCTTCTAGCTTCAAGGTCTTATAACTCTATGTCTGAACAAGTATGGCACTTAAACAGAAGAAGGACTCTTATATCAAAATATTTGCTTTTTTTAGAATTGTCTAGCTAGCTTGACAATCAAATGCCCATCAAGGTTTCTATACCCTATTGGTCAAGTACACTGGCAAAATTATATTGATATAGAATGGTATACCTCTTTAATACCCAACTGAATTAGAACAAAGGTTCCTTTAGCTTTCTAGTAAATAGCTTAATTCAGGAGGATATACAAAGGATGGACAATTATATCTGGAGATTGGGGCTATATATATCTTAAGTCAATGACTCCCACATTTGAGTGAGAATTTATTTAGCTCATGCATATACTTGTATATTCCAAATTAGCTTTTCATATGTGTTTTGTTTAATTTCCCCCAAAACAGACCCTGAGATAAGGCCTTGGGTGTGTGTAGTTTACTGGGGAAATGACTTCAGGTAGTAAGAGTGAGGAGAGGCACAGAGATTGAGACAAGGAAAAAAGAGGCCCACTGTGAGGAACTGGGCCTCAATCCTGCTGGGGACCCAAGCACTCTGAGATATGTGTAAAATATGTCACAGAATTGTCCCTCCTACAATGGTAGACTGGAACATTTATTCATGGATTCCCATCTCCATTGGTTGAGAGAGGGACCATTAATCCTTCCACACATCAGGGCTGCCTTGAGCAACTTGTGCCTTTGATAAAAGCCATGAGGATGGAATCCTGGAGACATGTTAACAGTATTTGAAGCAAGATGCTGCTACAGTCTACAGTAATGCCCCCACTGTCGGAAATCTCACTTGCTGAAGTTGGAGGCAAGCTAAGATGGCAGAAGGGGCACTGAAAGCATCCACTATAATATGAATCCAATTAGATTTACACAAAATTATTATCAGTTTACAATTTTCCAGCAAATTCTTTTACAAAAGCTACTTGGAAGACTCTGCACAAAATTAACTAAAAAATGGTGTTTAGGCAAAACGCTTATAAAAACCTCAATTATCCAAGTATGAATGATTGTGTAACTACTGTCAAGAAGGAACAGATAAAGAAAAAAAATAAGTACTCCCAATTTTGACCTCTGTGTCTAGCATGTCATACAACATTTTGAAGATTATTTTCTGAGTATCTTTTTGTAATTACAGTAAACATCATTTATAGGTAATTCATCTTTGGAAACTACTTACCTTTCTCCTACTCTGAATTAACAAAACATAGGCCAGAAAAACAAAATATAGATCTTCCTCGATTTACAGTGGGATTATATCCTGATAAACTCATTGTAAGTTGGAAATACTGCAAATCAAAAATGCATTTAATATGCCTAACCTATCAAACATCACATCTTAGCCTAACTCACCTTAAATGTGTTCAGACCACTTACATTAGCCTACACTTATGCAAAATCATCTAACAGAAAGCCTGTGTTATAATGAAGTGTTTACTACTTCATATAATTTATTCAATATTGTACTGAAGTGAGAAAGAATTCAAAATTTCAAGTATGGTTTTTACTGAATGTGTATTGCTTTCACATCATCATGAAGTCAAACCACTGTAAGTTGGAGACTGGTGATACTTTATTAAGTAATGTGGAAACATATATTCTGTAGTTCACTATCAATGTGCTTTTTCATTCTACTGGTTCCACTGCCCCTAAAAATAAGCTGTTCCTGTGACAAATGACTGACTATGGAGGATGTCCACAAGTGCGTGAAGAATGTCACGCTGATTTCAAACTTAATTTTCAACAAACAACTACATAAACAATGCACAGTTATGGACCAACAATCCTTTCCAAATGGAAAGCAAATGCTATATAGTGTTAATCTGCAAATAATCTTCCTGGATACTACCCAGAAGCAGTAATTAAACATGACAGATTACTGATGAGGTTTTTTACTTTGCCTTCTAAGGTAGCTACTACTATATATAGAGTTTCAGATCCACTAAAGTTGTGTAGGAATTAGAAAGGAAAGATATTCCCTGCTCCCAGAAGTGATGACTGATAGGCTAGTGTTTCTAGTGTATTATTAACTATAAAAAGAGAACTTTTGTTTTATAGGGACAGTACCCTTTATGCTCCCAACTCCCAAACCCCCAAATTCCACAGGGGAACAGTGACAAATCTGGTCACAGGAAAAGTCCTTACCAATTTCTGCCCGGACAGAACCTCCAGAAGCGCAAGCAGCTTAACACCATCTTTCATGTCTTCAAAAAGATCATCTACCACCAGTGGGGGTTTCCGCTATAAGATTAAAAAATGAATAAAATTGAATGAATGCAAAAAAATGCTTCCATCTCTCTCTTATACCTTTGCTGCTCATTTTGGTGAAATTTCTAAATACCTAAATTCTTTTGGATATGATTGGCAACTACCAATTATAGGAGAAAATCCTCTGGAGATAAACTTACTCAAAAACCAGAGATTTAATGCTTGGGTTTTCACATACACACTAGCTTCTTTCTAGAAAGGAATTCTTGTCAAGGGTCAAAAGACGGTATGGGATAAGAGAAGGAAAAGAGGTCACAATCAACATAAAAGATAAGAAGACATTAACACAGGGCCTAAACAGGGAAGAGGAGGTGCCCCAACCAGTGGGTGAGCACATTACGAGGGCTTACTCAAGGTAGGCATTTTTACAGCCTATTCTTGCCACAGCAATCTCCTTGCCCCAGTGCCAGCTGTGTGAGCTCTGCTAGGACAACCAAGGTTGCAGATTTAATCTCCTGTGGGTTAGCTAGCCATGTTCTGTTTCATGGCCTGGCAATCTAGCACAGCTTTCTCACAATGTGGCATTGAGCCCAGAGGATGGTAAGCATAAGATTACAGACTGATCAGTGCAAATCCATCACCACTTCTAGAAAAATAAGTCAGAGCCCATTTTCAATTCATGGAAGGTCTTTTATTTTTTCATAAAGATCACTAAACTATCTAATATAATGGGGTTCGTCAAACCTTGAATTAAGGTCAATCTTAGCTCAGAAGAAAGGAAAGAAGTGATAATGCTCATGTTCACCGTCAGTGGAAGATCAGTGTCCTCAGATTTCTCACAGAACAAGAATTTTTTCATTTATTACCTGGGTTCAAGGCCTACAGTTTTCTGGTTCTCACTGAATCATGTTAAAAGCCTAAAGCTATATTTCTGACTATATTCAATTGTCTTTCTTTCTAAAAAAGAAAAAAAAGGAAAAGTTCTATGAAAGATATTAATCACGAAATGTTTTATTGAAATATGACTTTTTTCTCTACCCACTGATATGGAGCATTTATATTTCTCTTATGACTGCATGAATTATATCCTCTGAATGGCACAATCCTAATTTTAAATGCATTTCTCTCTTTATAAAATGAACAGCTAAATATATTTTGTTCTCATGCTGTGAAATACATGTTCAAAAATAAGAGAGTTTTCATTTTCAAGCATTCTCTTTTATATTCCACTATTCATACTTTTTATAATTAATACAGCAAAAATGTAATAATGACTTAATATTCTAAACATATAGATAAAATTATTAGTGAGCTACAATGAAAACTATTCCATGTGACAAGAATAAAAATTATTGCATTAGTTATATTTAATCATTAAAAATATGGCCTGTTTATCATTGAAAATGGCCATTTGTAACCAATAATATAAATGCAGTGTAACAATGAGGAAAAAGTTAATAAATGTGATATATTCAATGAACAGATGCAAATGAAGTTTTTTTATATTGCATTAACCTGAAAATATGTAAAGAAAATGAAACAAAGCAGGGAATTTTCTTGAAATAACAAAAATTCCAAGAAATTTGACACACACAAAAAAGTCACATTCATCCATCCATTCTTCCTTTTTTAAAAAGATTTATTTATTTATTTATTTATTTATTTTGAGAGAGATCATGCACATGAGAGGGGGTGTAGCAGCAGAGGGAAAGGAACTGAGTCTCAAGCTGACTCTACACTGAACCCAGGGCTCCATCTCACAATCCTGATATCATGACTTCAGCCAGCACCAAGAGCTGGATGCTCAACCAACTGAGCCACCCAGGCCCCCCTATTCTGCCTTTACACAGCAACTCGTGTCTGCCACTTTGAAGAACATTTTCTCGTGACCCCACTTCTACGTCTGATGTTTCTTGAATCTACTGGTGCCCCACAGTCTTCCTTTCCAACAAGCTGCTCCTGCACATGCTTGTGGACACAGCCATCAGGTCAGTAGTGATCACTGAGCAATTCAACTCATTAGTCTCTGTGCTGACTGCTGGTACCAACCTCTCCTTGATCTGTTCCTCTCCAAACCTCTTTGATCAGCCTGCCTGGTTCCCAAGCCTCTTTTCCTTCTCTCTTTCTCCTTTCTTTCTGACTGTGGCCATCACAAACTCAACCTGACTCCTCTGTTCTTCACAAAATTTTGTAGGATAGACATGACTCTTGAATCCTTCTGTCCAGGTAAATGTTCTCTTTTAAACATTGTTGAGCCCATGACAGGCACTCAATATTATATCATTGGCTGAATGACTGACTGGATGATTGAATAAATGCAGTTTTCTAATATATATATATATATATATATATATATATATATATATATATAATAATATATAATGCCTTTATATATAATATATTTATTCATATATAATGCATATTATAATATATAATTATATATAGGTATACATATACATATATATAGTGCCTATATCAATGGCTTTTAAAATGTGGTACATATATAAGTAAAGAAAAATGTTCTCCAGGTTTTAGGTAATCAGACTGCAACACAACACAAACATAGAAGTATCTTGTTTTTGAATGTCTTATTCACAGTACGAGCTCATTAAGTATTTGTTGAAGGTATGAATTAAGGTCCCAGTCTGAATGATAAAGAAGAGTGGATGGTTTTTATTTCAAGAACACATATCTAGAACACCCTCACTTTTCCTCTTTCTCCACTTAGTAAATTCTTGCTCAATTTTCATGACTCAGCTCATAGTTAATCTTGTTCAGTTTTCCAACTAGAATTAAACCACTACTTTTGCCCTAAGTACATTGTTCAGATTAGAATGATCATGTTACATTATAGTTAGTTATTTACAAATCTGTGTCCCCAGGAATTCAGATCATGGGGTTTCTTGAAGATAAAGAAGACGTTGGATATATTATTATATACCTAATACCAGGCACAGTGCTTAGCAGTAGCTGGCAATAACATGTAAATGGTGAGTGAATCACACTCAACAGAGATATGTGATGCTTATTTGCAAATATCTTTGGGAATCTTAGAGATGCACATAGGTAAGGTCATGATGCAGAATTTCTCTTTTTATAATAAATATGAGTTGCTTCTGGAATTTTTCCACCAGTGCATTCCTGCACAAAGTAAAGAGATGTAGACCGATGTCTATTACCAGTGCAAATAGAAATTGGGAGAAAATATTTCTTCTTAAAATAAAAATGTTTTAAAAATGTTTATATCAATTTAATTTGTAATGCACAAATATTGTATTTGCAACACACTGAATTACAGGACCAAACATTATGTAACCAATTCTTTACTTAACTAATTCTTTACTTAATACCTGTACTAGTAAAAGAGGGGGAAAATAGACTTCTGGCTACTTTACTGCAAAGAGCTGGCAAAAATGAATACTAGAGAATGATCTTCATATTTCTATAAGCTCTATCCAATCACATGTAATGTAAATACTGTGCAAAATCAACAAAACATTTATCAAAAATTATATGAGAAAAAAATGTTCTAGTAGTAGTGGACAAGATTTGTTATCCCATTTTGTATAAAGAATTGTTTACATATAGTAAAGGGTCAACTACAGAAGACCTTTAATATTGTGACTATATAACAATTATTTTTTGGAACAATGTTTTAATCAAAAAATCTGTCAGCTAAAATGTCCTTCCTATTATATATATAAATACTTACAGCACCAATCTTATTACTCTGGCAGGATTAAGGTGCCAAAAGAAAGAGTTAGGAATGAAGGTAACTAATTGGAACCTGACTTAATTGAAAATAAAGATAATGTGGTTTTGTGCCCATTGCCCCCCAATTTGCAGTTTTAAGCACTACTGAATGAGGAAAAATTATAGAGGAAGACAAACTATGAGACAATCTTAACTCTGGGGAACAAACAGGGTTGCTGGAGGGGAGGTGGTGGAGGGATGGGGTAGCTGGGTGATGGGCACTAAAGAGGGCACATGATGTGATGAGCACTAGGTGTTATACTATATTTGGCGAATTGAATTTATTTTTTTATTTTTTATTTTTTAATTTATTTACGATAGTCATACAGAGAGAGAGAGAGGGGGGCAGAGACACAGGCAGAGGGAGAAGCAGGCTCCATGCACCGGGAGCCCGACGTGGGATTCGATCCCGGGTCTCCAGGATCGCGCCCTGGGCCAAAGGCAGGCGCCAAACCGCTGCGCCACCCAGGGATCCCGGCGAATTGAATTTAAATAAAAAATCTATCAGGCACTTTTCAAAACCACAATTATAATAATTATTATTGTTATTAATTATTTATTATTAATATTATTATGGTCAATCACACTTAGATATTCTGTAATGGAACCAAAATATATTCATGCCGAATCTGAGGTTGTTCAAAGAATAGAACTTCCCAACGGCGTCATAGTGGGAGAGGGAGATAGAGATGGGACAGAGAACAGAGAAAGAGGTACTTCAATTCTGTGGCTGCTCCTATGGGTTCTCCCCAACGAGGTTTAACCTTTAAATTCTGGCTCTAAGAGGACTGTCTTGGTCTAAAAGGCCCTAGAAACGTGGAGAAGCTGCACATGCCTCTGTGCTTGGCTTCACCCTTGGGAGTTAACTCATGAGTGAAACAGACTTCACAGAGCTTTTTTTTTTCTTCTCCTTTATTTTTGCTATGTAGCTCCTTTAATGACACCTAATTAGATTTAGTTCATCCTTGATCTTTATGGAATGAGAAAGTACAGGTATCTTAGACATAATTTTTGCTGGCCATTCCCTCTAATTGGGGAAAATAACCTATTTTCTAACATTGTGTGTGTGCCTACATGCATGCGAATATCTTGTGTCACTTTACTAATCTATAAGCATCAGTACATATTCAAGCCTTATCTACCATCAATTTTCATATTTATTCATGGAAGGATGGCCATGTTTCCTCTGCCACATATTGATTTTATGCTCCTAGAAACAATTATGTTACTTAGAGGAAAAAAGGAATACGAATATAATTTTGATGAAAAAAGATATCAGA